GTCCAACTTTCTCTCTCTCCTAGTCTTCATCTGCCCCTTCCCTCTGCTTTGACCTCTGCCTCCATTCCGCTCCCTCCTTGCTGATTGGCCCTGTGCTCTCTGGTAACACATGTCCCCTAAATCTTGCAAGAAAGAATCTACTGATCTGGCTTGCTCTTCTCTCTCTTTATTTCTCTTTTTATTTCTAGCAACCACTTCAGCATGAATAGCATGTGTTATGAAATCAGGCAGCGTCGCAGTACGCAATCCAACAAAATTTCTCTTTATCCATTCAGAGACTTCTGGTCTTAAATTAGCCAACATCCCTTGTTTAAACTGTTGATCCCAAATTACACACTCCGCTGCATTATTGTCCCTCAACCCACTGTGTTTTCTAAAGGCTGTTTCAAACCGCACTCTAAAATCTACTACTGTCTCTTCCTCCATTTGTCTTACCTGAGCTAACTTCCCATAGTCAGGTAAAGTTTTGAACATTTCTCTGATTTGATTATGTAGAGTATTTAATCTATCATTAATGAGTGGGTCTGCTGCAGGAAGAAGCACAGGTGGGTTTGCATTATCATTTGGGTTATTTGGGTCCAATCAACTCCCATTTTCGTCATGTAAATGTCCCTAATTTCAATTCCGTTAAGCCTATACATGTCCACCAGTTGTTTCATACCATCGCAAAAACTATCTGGGTCTTCTCTATGGCTTGGGACACTTTCTGTGGCTTTAATTATGTCTGCTTTCGTCCAAGTACGAAAGACATACATAGTAGGCAAACTTCCAACCACTTGTGGATCATGAGTGGGATTTGGGACTTCTATCATTGGGAATGCATCTGCTCCTCGCTCTGAGAAGTCAAACCTTGGACTGAAAAGGTTTCCAAATTGTTTGCTCCAAGACTTGTTCATTGGAAGCCGTGATCTAGTAGCAACAGGTGTTTGTACATCACAGACTTGTGGCTGTGCTGCTGCTTCTAGCTCTGCATGTGGATACAAATGATCCTGTAGTTTTACAGGATGATCTGAGAATGGATTTGTTGTCTGTTGCAGTGGGGTATATTGAGGTGGTGCTCCCGTGTGGTTATGAGCCTGTACTACAGCCTGCTGCTGCTGCTGCTGCTGGTGCTGCTGCTGCTGCTGCTGCTGCTGCTGCTGCTGCTGCTGCTGCTGCTGCTGCTGCTGCTGCTGCTGCTGCTGCTGCTGCTGCTGCTGCTGCTGCTGCTGCTGCTGCACATGGCGCCTCCCTGCCTGGACCAAATTGTCTTCTTCTGTTGTAAAGGCAACTAGGCTCGTTTCACTCTTCTTCTCTTTAATTTGCTTATCTCTACACTTTGCTGCAACTAACCACAGCTCTGCCATTTTCTGCTCATGCAATTGTTTTTCTGATGGCAACTTTTTGGATTTAAGTCCTAAACTAACTTTCATCACCAGTATTTCACACTCTTTTAGTGTTAGTTTACCTTCAAACCCATACTTCTTCTTCCAGTTTTTTAAATACTTAACTGATTCAGGATTTTTTCTCTGCATAAACTTAGGATCTCCTTTTAGATCTGGTGTTTTAGTACAAGATGAACCCATATTTACTCTTTAGTAAATTACTTAGATATCTTCAACTTCTATTTAATAACTATTGCTTATACAACAGTGGATATTAATTACACATTTGTAAACGATCTTAGTGGAATGCCTCATGGGCCAAATTACTTTCCTTGAGAAACAAGCTTCTAGATAAAACTTAATGTTTCATCCGGTTTCTCTCTGGGTGTTTAATCACAAGGAATGTAATTGTTTTAGACCACTTTCACGATTACTTAAAACATAATGAGATGCAATCCAACTCTACTTCACCAAGCCGACAACTTTTCGTTATCACCGCAAGGTTTCTGGTTGTCCGGTGCTTCAAGTATAGATTGACCTCCTTTCACACACACATTCACACAGACGTCTTTAAATCAAAATGAACCCTGTTCACTTTTAACTGCAGTAAAAAGTAGTCCCAGACTTACTCTTAATAATAACCCCGTTATTATTACAGTCTATGATAGTTCCAGACTATCTAAAAGAATAACCTGTTGTTATTCCGGGCTCCCCCTTGACTGTCTTTAATAGCTCCCCGACTATTAGAAGGATAAACCCCGTTATCCTAGGCCTAAGAAATAGCCCTCGACTATTAAAAGGATAAGCCTCGTTATCCCCGGCCTCTTTTTTGAGTCTCCGCGATAACACTTGCCTGTTATCGCGATGTCCGTGGCTTTTGTGTCTTCAATCCGATGTTCGAAGCTGATCAAACCCCACAAAGAGACTGTTGCTGCAGTTGTTTTTCGACCTGCAACCTCCAAGCCACGCTGCTGCCTCAGATCTCTAGTAGGACGACGGTCAGCTCCAAAAAAATGATGTTTTGACATCCGGCTCAAGAAGGACCAAAATATGTTAACGCTGGTTCAGCCACGGTTTCTCCTTCGATGATAAATGGACACTACAAATTCTGCTTAGATATATAAAAAAGGTTTAATATATAAAAGACAGAATACAGGATACAGGATACAGACAAATGTAGCAGACTGGTTCTCCAGTCTGGGCCCTCTCTCTGGCAAGCCAGAAGCAAAAGACACTGCTTCAGGAACAGGCTATCGGTGATAAGCACACAGTCACATGACCATGATAATTGAAGACATATGTCCCAACATCCTTAGGTGAAGACAATACCTTCTCTGTTTCAGGACAAACACATAGCCCCTTTCAGAGTAAGCCTGAGGCTACTAAAAAACAGATGTTCTCTGCGCTTTTCTTAATTTAACTTCCTGTGCTTAATGGCTGGGGGATGATTCACACATTCTTCACTCTGCAGACTAGCTACTAGATCCATACTAGACTAAACGTTACATTTATTAATATGATAATAACACAATAACATACTCCATTGACACTATATCTAAATATTATATCTATATCTAAATGTTAAATGTTATATCTAAATATTATATCTATATCTAAATGTTATATCTATATCTAAATGTTATATCTATATCTAAATGTTAAATCTAAATGTTAAATCTAAATGTTAAATCTAAATGTGTCGCCAAGTGTAAAGCTAAATATATAGAAACCACGCCCACTGCAGTGGCTTCAAATCCAGTGGGCCCGCCTTCCGTGCCGTGTGGTGAGTGGGGGCGGTGCCGCGTGTTTTGAACATAGGAATACACGTGGACCGACGTCACGGCTCAAGGCCATGGATGTATTATATTAAGGCATGTTGGGTCTCCGGCGCCATCGTCCTTGGCCACGGTACAAAATTAGCATTTTTGTGAAGATTCTTGCTTATTTGCTGGAGCCAGAGTGTATTCACTGTAAACTAAGCCACATGGAGTCCCGTGAGATTCCTGTGTAATCCTGTAGGGTTCTCACCACACGGCACGGAAGGCGGGCCCACTGGATTTGAAGCCACTGCAGTGGGCGTGGTTTCTATATATTTAGCTTTACACTTGGCGACACATTTAGATTTAACATTTAGATTTAACATTTAGATTTAACATTTAGATATAGATATAACATTTAGATATAGATATAATATTTAGATATAACATTTAACATTTAGATATAGATATAATATTTAGATATAGATATAACATTTAGATATAGATATAAAATTTAGATATAGATATAACATTTAGATTTAACATTTAGATTTAACATTTAGATTTAACATTTAGATTTAACATTTAGATATAGATATAACATTTAGATATAGATATAATATTTAGATATAACATTTAACATTTAGATATAGATATAATATTTAGATATAGATATGTCTTAAATGTGAGGAAAATGTGCTAAATGTGAGGAAAGTGAGCTAAATGTAGAAAAATGTTCAGCTAAAAAATTTTAACAGAATTTTTACAAACGGCACCCCATACAATTCATACAAAACTCGAAGTGCTGAGCAAAATAAGAAAGCATTAAAATAAATAATCACAGTACATTAAAAAAGATAATTATAAAATACCTCAGTTGTAGCACAGCTAAACAGAACTGTTTTTAACCTGGTTTTAAACCTTGTCAGAGAAGAGGCCTGTCTCACTTTAGCTGTGCTACAACTGAGGGAATTTATATTTATCTTTGTTAATGTACTGTGATTATTTATATTAATGCTTTCTTTTGCTCAGCACTTTGAGTTTCCTTGTGTATGAATTGTGCTACACAAATAACTGATACATACCTGCTACAGAGACATTTGAGCTCAATGACTGCTATAAACGGTTTGATGTCTCTGTTAAACAACATTCAATATTTTATACTTTGCTGCAGACTGTTACTGTAGGCTACAAATGTTTTTCCTTCCAACCACAGTGAAAGAGAAAGAGGTGTGAAACCCACCCATACGGTACTTGATGGTGTGCGTGTGGTGTGTTTGCTCGTGCGCGTGTGATTTTTATCGACTAGGACGCAGCTTTTGATTGTGAAATCAAAATAAAACTTTTGCACCATTGAATGAGACTGTCTCTGCCTCCTCCTTAAAACTTACCTGTGTGCTCTATTTAAGTTAATTATATTTCCCAGGTCCTAGACCTGGGTGGCGTTGTTGGTTTTAAATTTACCACTTTATAGTTCGCCCACCGCTCGCGCTACATATGGCATAATTTTTTTTTTTTAACTATATTTTTTGGTTGTAACTTCTACCATCAATTAAATTGAGTTAGTCCAATGAATCATTTTTTTGAGTGTGTACGCAATGCGTACTTTTGAAAATGTGAGGACTCTTGAGAACTGAATTGACAAGAAGTTTGAGAAGTGTTTTTTTTTATTACAAAATAAGGAGTAAGTAAAAATAATAAAGTAATAACTGTATTGTTACAGTACTTCCAAGTGTTTGTACAGTGTTTTACAGAGTCAACGCTTTGGGATTCCTGCGTGTTGTACGCAGAAATTCTTTGATTTTGTCCACACATTCTTTCAGTTCTGCCCTGTCCATGCCTGGAAAATGTTTCTGCAGTGTGCCAAGCACAAAACTCTTCACATTTTGAGGCAGTTGTAATTTGCCTCTGGATCCATCCCAATTTGTAGTTTTGGTCCATGTCTGGTAGTTCTCCTCCGAGATAATGTGCCTGAAGAGCAGGCATCCATATCTGCCAACTTGGCCGAAGCTTTGTTGGTGGATTCGACTATGGTCTTCTGGGCCAAAATGACGCAAGCTCACATCTGGGCGTTGACGGGGAATTTTGAGGCTCTCGTTGAAAGAACAAGGCAGGGCCAATGGCGACATCTGAAATTCTGACCACTCTATATCTGGTTCTGGTGTTGAGGCGCTTCTGGGGATTGGTCTGACAGGTGTAGAGTGAGTGGTGTTTGGTCTGATTGGTGTCGAATGAGCCAAAAGTAGCGCCGATTGCAGCTGCCCTAAGCCAGCTCTCAAATCTTGAACGAGGAGTCCGCTCTGACTGGTCTCTCTCAGCCCCTGCAACTGTTGTTGGAGGTTGTCGGTCTCCGCTCTGCTGGCTGCTGTCTCCGCTCTGCTGGCTGACAGGTCAGCGTGCAATTTTTCATTCTCAGCAAGCAGCTGACCTACTCGAGCTCGTTCCGCAGTAAGCTCCGCTGTCCTCACGGCTAGACGCTGTTCAATGTCTGCCATCCAGCGGTCCTTATTGTCACGCACCAGCGACATGGAAACCGCTGCCTGTATTGAAATTGAGAAAAGTCATGAGTCGTGGCTTAGTTAAGCGAGGATGCCTGGCTTATTGGCCATTATACACTACACATAATACAGGAATACACTTACCGCTTTTTTTGTGACGAGACGCTTTGCCGCAAAGATGATGCTGGCGAACGTTTGCCTGGAGTCTGTAAGAAACATTGCCAAAGACATTAGAGGCTGTAGCATTGTTTAATATTACATACTCCTAGGGCCTAATAACATTCACATTCAACATTACATTTAACAACGTACCCGTTGTTTCACCTCGGCTTGAGGTGAGTTTTCGTTCCGTGGGAAGAGAGTCTTGACGACTCTGGAAGCGCGTTCGTGGTAAAAACCTTTGGCTTCCATGCTCCCGAAATACTGGAGTAGGACCTCTGTTAAGGACATGTCTATATATACTCATACCGTCGCTATGGGCGGGCCATAGGGGGCCGTGCCCGTCCCCCAAGATGCTTGTGCCCCCCCAGCCAGTGGTCTATAGTCCACGTGATATATACACAGGTACAGTATGGGCCATATTCCCCCCTCCCCCCACAGACACACACACTCTCTCGCTCTCCCCGGTGTGCGCAATGCGAGACACGGCAGGTGAAAGTATTGATTATTCCCGCATGCAGTGTTGGGCACGTTACTTTGAAAAAGTAATTAGTTATAGTTACTATATGTGTAAATAATGTAATTTGTTTAAACTGTAAAAGGGATGTGTAAAAATCATGGAGCAGTTAAATCTCTCAGATGCAATGGACAACTCTTAACCATGAATAGCACATGACCAAGATCTATAGTGTAGGAAAACAAGTTGTCATGTTGTGATTGCTATTACTGCTTAAACAGATACAAGTAAATCAGAGCAGACGAGATATGGTTGGATTGGCCAAGCGGCCTCAACACCTCGTTTTTAACGCACCACACAGCAAGCATATACAACAGCGGTTTGTTTACAAACGGGGCTTTTTCTAGAACTACACCACCGTACGAACATTTTCCCTTTTAAATGTATGTACATTGCAATCGTGTAGAGCGTGTAGAGTCTTCGAAACATACGCGTGTTATTGTAATTGTCTCACTGCAATACTTGATATCGCCATCGCTAGCAGTAACAATGGCTCTATTGTTGTAGTTACGAGAGGCACCCTCTATCAAAGGGACCACTCACGTCCACACCCCATGGCCCATCAGCAGAGGTGTTGATGGGGCCCCATTCTTAAAAAAGAACAGCCCAATATGTAAATTATGAAACAACACATACACATTGAATTACATTGAGAATAACGTACACACTGTTTTCCAGATTGTTGGCTTGTTTCTCATTCAAAGCCTCTTCCTTCAGCTCCATTGATTTGCTGCTTCCCAATAAGACAATTTACATTCATTACAAAAAACAGTATTCGCCAAATGTTAAAATTCATGCATGTTTACCTTTCCTCTAACGATTGTAACCTTGTATCTGCTGTCAGAAGTTCAACTCCTGCAATAGTGTTGAATATACAATAGACAGGTAGTGTTGAGATTCAAAAGAAGAAAAGTCTGAAATGTATTAATGTATTTGTTCTTTCTTTTTCTAGGACTTGATATCTGGTCCATAAACCGAGGCGGACAGCAATCAAAGATGAACACACCACTTTTATTTATATTATGTCAAATATTCCTTTTTTTCACAATGACTGAAATAAAAGATAGATGTATATTTGAAGCAGCCGCGGCGCCAGGGATAGGCCCGGGTAGGCCGGTGCCTACCAGTTTTTTTCTTGGCCTACTCAAATTTGTTCTTCACCTCTAAAGTCATTAGCCTTTTTTATTAAAAGTCATAATTTAAATATTGTTATTTTTATACACACATTATTGCCTAAATGTTGCGTTCTAATGTTTTAAGAAAATGTAACCCCCTGAGCGTTCACGTTGCTTCAAATATAGTCCTGTTTATTGGCTGAACATTTTTGTCCAATAATCTGCATGATCATATCACACAGCTCGTTCCCGAGAACAAGCAGCTATTCCTCGTCTTCAAGATTGACAACGCTCTCAAAACATTCACAACAGAGCAGCCTTTTTAGTCATTTTAGTTTTAAGAAAGTTCAGCGTGAACTTCGTGAGGTAGAGGAGCCAGAGGCCCGGGCCCGTAGGTCCCAGAGGAGAGCGCAGTCAGGCCAGGTTCCCCTCGGTAAACTCTAGGCCTGTGTGTATGAAACTTGCCCTCTATTAAATCTCTATTAAATCTGACTTGTGTGTGTATTATTTTGATCTGTATATGTTTTTAAAATGTGAAGCGGTTTGTGATCCTGAACTGTGAAAGGCTCTATATAAATACACTTTACGCGACAGGGATGTGTGACCCAGCTATTGCTGTGACAGGCTCTGCACTGCGTAATTACGCACGGCTATTTGTATTCCTCATTCACATCTGGCTTCAGAGTTTCTTTGTGAAATCTGGACCGCAAACACTCTCTGAAGTGTACAGTGCTTTAATGCGCACTTCTACCCCGAGCCAGGCTGCGTCCAAGACACTGCAGACGCTTCATTCATGAGAGCCACCGCTGCATAATATATATGAATTCATTCATTCATTCAATCAATCTATATTTATTCACTCCTACAATTCAAGAGAGATTTTTCTAATGTATAATGTAGTTTCAGAAAAGGTTCATATGAGCACGTCGGCCCAGACACCCTTCTGGATCTTCTCAACTGTAGACATGTGGATTGTAAAGGAAATATGATTTACATCCGCCAATAATTGCTGAGAGGTTTTCTCATCCTCCCTTCTCTCATGACAACACGCGCACGAGTCCTATCACGAAGTAAAAAGAGAAGTTCATTGTTGTTTATGAACAACATGTTAAAGCTGAACTGTATTGAACTAGATTGACCACAGGAATGTCGAAAATCCAGTTCTTCCTCACATATGCAAAACATCTTATCTCGTGATTGGGACGGGGCCGGGGAAAAAACACAGGGAGTGGGCGGTAGGGGGAGGGAGGTGTGTGTAAAAATCAAGATAAATAGTTCAACCGATGGTAATGTATATTTACACTAGATGTCAGCGATGGCTGTGATCAACGCACAAGTCAGTGAGCTCATCAGGAGTCTGCGTAATAGAGGCTGGACGACTAGCGCTATCGCCAAACACTTGAGTTCGGTAAAGTTAGCTTGATATTCACAGATTCGGACTTCCGCGGTGAATATCTTACGAAAGCTACGTTGTTAAACGAAAGTAATTGTGCCAAAATGATCACCTCTACATGGGCTAACTACTACAACATCGATTTTTCTAATCCAATGCGCTGTTTTAATGCAGAGAAATCCATTGAATCCAATGCGCCGCAAGTGCCGAGAAAAGCACTTAGGGAGCGTCAACAAATGCCAATACCAGCTGTGTAAACGAACAATAGTTTTTATTTTAAGCCAAGTACACGCACTAAACTCTCAAATACTATAAATAGCTACCATATCTAACTACTACAACCTTTGTTTTCAGCATTTGTTTCTTTTTTGTATTTTTTATGAATAAATAGGATTTAATATTAATATGAATTTTGAATAACTTTTTTTCAAAAAGGGGCGTGGTCACCAAATTCTCAGGTATCATCAATAACTGCCATATCTAACTACTACAACTTTTGTTTTCAGCAGAAATATCTTTTTTATATTTTTTATAATTAAATATGAATATGAATTTTGAATAACTTTTTTTCAAAAAGGGGCGTGGTCACCAAATTCTCAGGTATCATCAATAACTGCCATATCTAACTACTACAACTTTTGTTTTCAGAAGAAATATCTTTTTTATATTTTTATGATTAAATATGAATATGAATTTTGAATAACTTTTTTTCAAAAAGGGGCGTGGTCACCAAATTCTCAGGTATCATCAATAACTGCCATATCTAACTACTACAACTTTTGTTTTCAGAAGAAATATCTTTTTTATATTTTTTATAATTAAATATGAATATGAATTTTGAATAACTTTTTTTCAAAAAGGGGCGTGGTCACCAAATTCTCAGGTATCATCAATAACTGCCATATCTAACTACTACAACTTTTGTTTTCAGAAGAAATATCTTTTTTATATTTTTTATGATTAAATATGAATATGAATTTTGAATAACTTTTTTTCAAAAAGGGGCGTGGTCACCAAATTCTCAGGTATCATCAATAACTGCCATATCTAACTACTACAACTTTTGTTTTCAGAAGAAATATCTTTTTTATTTTTTTTATGATTAAATATGAATATTAATTTTGAATAACTTTTTTTCAAAAAGGGGTGTGGTCACCAAATTCTCAGGTATCATCAATAACTGCCATATCTAACTACTACAACTTTTGTTTTCAGCAGAAATATCTTTTTTATTTCCTATTTTACCTAATTCTCAGGTATAATCAATAATTAAAATATCTCATGGGTTTGACCATGCAGGTGGAGGTTTGGAGCCTCGGCTTCCTCTCTCCTCATGGTTCAGAGTCGTCTCCTCAGATTGTGCTTCCTCTGCTTTTTTCATGTGTGTGCGTGTGTTTTCTGAGGGTTGTGGTATTGTTTACTTGTTTGTTAACACTTGTTTGTGTTACATCCTTGTTATTATTATTATTGACACGTGAAGGTCAGATATCATCAATAAGCACCAGTAAGACCTGAATCCCCACCTCTCATGGGCACAATGATTTAAACTGATAGATGAGGCCTCTCACCATTAGTCTATAATCTCAGCCTATATATATATATATATATATATGCCAAGGGAAGGAACTGTTTTAAACCTATTATTTATTATTCACATGTTTTTCAAATATTCTGCAATTTAAATATATATGTATAAAAAGAAGATATTTCGTTTGTATAAAAAAATGTGTAAGCACTTAACATTACAACTACAGTGATGATGGTGGTGGTGGTGGTGGAATTCTGCTGAAAACAAAGGTTGTAGTAGTTATATATGGTAGTTATTGATGATACCTGAGAATTTGGTGACCACGCCCCTTTTTGAAAAAAAGTGATTCAAAATTCATATTCATATTTAATCATAAAAAAATATAAAAAAGATATTTCTGCTGAAAACAAAGGTTGTAGTAGTTATATATGGTAGTTTTTGATGATACCTGAGAATTTGGTGACCAGGCCCCTTTTTGAAAAAAAGTTATTCGAAATTCATATTCATATTTAATCATAAAAAATATAAAAAATATATTTCTGCTGAAAACAAAGGTTGTAGTAGTTATATATGGTAGTTATTGATGATACCTGAGAATTTGGTGACCACGCCCCTTTTTGAAAAAAAGTGATTCAAAATTCATATTCATATTTAATCATAAAAAAATATAAAAAAGATATTTCTGCTGAAAACAAAGGTTGTAGTAGTTATATATGGTAGTTTTTGATGATACCTGAGAATTTGGTGACCAGGCCCCTTTTTGAAAAAAAGTTATTCGAAATTCATATTCATATTTAATCATAAAAAATATAAAAAATATATTTCTGCTGAAAACAAAGGTTGTAGTAGTTATATATGGTAGTTATTGATGATACCTGAGAATTTGGTGACCACGCCCCTTTTTGAAAAAAAGTTATTCAAAATTCATATTCATATTTACTCATATTTATTCATGAAAAATATAAAAAAAAGAGACAAATGCTGAAAACAAAGGTTGTAGTAGTTAGATATGGTAGTTATTGATCATACTTGAGAATGTGGTGATCACGCCCCTTTTTGAAAAAAAGTTATTCAAAATTCATATTCATATTTAATCATATTTATTCATGAAAAATATAAAAAAAAAGAGACAAATGCTGAAAACAAAGGTTGTAGTAGTTAGATATGGTAGTTATTGATCATACTTGAGAATGTGGTGATCACGCCCCTTTTTGAAAAAAAGTTATTCAAAATTCATATTCATATTTAATCATAAAAAATATTAAAAAGATATTTCTGCTGAAAACAAAGGTTGTAGTAGTTAGACGTGTTAGTTATGGAACATACCTGAGAATTTGGTGACCACGCCCCTTTTAGAAAAAAAGCTATTCAAAATGCTATTAAAATGCATTCATACAGGGCGGTGATAAATGTGAATTTCTCCTGTGTGAGATCAATAAAGTCTATCTTATCTTATCTTAAACCACAACTGTATCCACACCTGCCCTAGGACACTGACAGAAGTGAGGCAACAACCACATGCCATTGTCCTTCAAACCAATCACGGCACGGTGGCTGAGTAGATAGCACTCTCACTTCTCCGCAAGAAGGTCCTGGGTTCGAATCCCGGTTGGAGCTGGGCCTTTTTGAGTGGAGTTTGCATGTTCTCCTCGGGTCTGCGTAGGTTTCCTCCGGGTACTCCGGTTTCCCCTACCACTTAAAAACATGTACAATAGGTCTGACATGCGCCTCCTGTGCTGGCGACTCCGCTCCCATCTCTGTGTGGAGTGAGAGACAAATACTCAAAATAATAACAATTGTAAACCGCTTTGAGACTCTAGTCTGTGAAAGGCGGTATATAAATAAAGATTACTTATCACTTAAGATTACTTACTTACACGCACACACACACCAGACTCAAGGACATGTGGGTTTAGTGTCTCATCTCTTGCCGCAGAAATTATTAATTTATGAATGATGGTTTGGTACCCCAGGTTTAAGATATTATTTTCTTGATTCAAATATCACGTCTACATTTCTTTCACTATGCGTTTTTCATTTATCTCATTGTTGTAGTTTTTCTTTTCTTTCACTATCTTTTACTATCTGTCATTTCTTTAATATGATATATCACTTAAGTTTGCACCAAAATATATTAGTGACATGTTAGTCCCATATGAACGAGTCCGGACTCTGAGGAGCACAGGGACTGGACTCCTGTTAGTGCCCAGAGTCAGGACTAAACATGGGGAGGCTGCTTTTCAGATTCATGCTGCTAAAATCTCGAACAATCTTCCTGAAGATGTGAGACAGGCCTCCTCTCTGACAATGTTTAAAACCAGGTTAAAAATAGTTCTGTTTAGCTGTGCATACAACTGAGGGATTTTATATTTTTATCTTTCCTTTTAATGTTCCGTGATTATTTATGATTTTAATGCTATTTTGTTTTGTTCAGCACTTTGAGTTGCCTTGTGTATGAATTGTGCTATACAAATAAACTTGCCTTGCCTTGAATGAGCTGCAGTTTCACTCAACACTTCCTTCTTCACAATGGAATCTTTTCTCGGACCTTCTACTCGTGAACACCTCCTGTGTGTTAAGGACCGGGTCTGTTGTTGTCGACCTGCTTTTGTTTCCGTCTCTAAAAGATAACAAGAAACTGATTCTGGGTCAGATAAGCACAGTGAGGACCTCAGTCGTAGTCGTTTTACCCAAGTCAAGTAACAGTTTGTGAAGAGCTAGTGGAAGAGAAGCCCCTGCTCTATATAGGCCGCACTCTGCAGGACATAAACAGTCATATAGCCACATATTGGTTACATTATCTCTACAGAAATCAGATACTTTGAATTCTGGTCATATCTTTGTGACTCCTCAGGAAGCTACGTGAAGTTCATAAATGACACAATTATACAACACTGTGAAACTCAAGCTGGAAACCAAAATCATCGGTCTTCCAAGTTATATGTTTATGTATTTGCCTGCACAGGGACTATGAAGGAAAACTAACTTTGTCACTACAATCTGCTATATGTATTTTTTTTTAATACATATTTTCATTCATTTGCATTGTCTCTATCAAACAAACCAATAAATAAATGTATGTTTGTGGTGACAGGAATGTTTATTGTGTAGCATGTGTACTTGTATATGTTTTATGTGTGTAAGACGGCCAACTACAAATGAAAGCTATAAGGATGCAATAATTTGGGAATTGTTTAGGTTTTGGTTGAGGATTTATGTTGTGATAACTTTATATATATATGAGCTAAAGCCACGTACTTCCTGGGAGTTCCCACATCCTAGAAAATTGTATATGAAATGTGTAGGGACTGAAATATATATGTTTCATGAATAACAAGAATTAAATTTAAGTGAATTGAAAAATAGATCATTCAAAAAACTGTATTTATAGAGGTCTTTATGACACAAGAGTGTGTGTGTGTGCGTGTGTGCGTGTGTGTCAATCCATCAATCAATCAATTTTATTTATAAAGCGCTTTTCATACAAAAGATACAACACAAAGTGCTTTACAGTTTGGTTAAAAACAATCCCGCCGGTCCATGACCTCTCCCCCCGACGTGTGTGTGTGTTTTTATTTTACTCATTTTGAATTTTGAATTAAACAACACGGAAAACAAGCAAAACAGAAATGATACAAAGTCGGCATACAACTGGGGTCAGGATTATTAACCACATCATAACTATAGTGTAGATTCAGGAAAATTCACAAACTGGGAAATAGGACTACAAAAATATACACACAGACATGTCCATATGTAACCGTTATTGACCATAGAGCGAGCCAACATTTTTGTGGTTAACTGAACTAAATAATAACTGAAGCATTGTTCTGTAATGTTTCCTATTACGTCACGACTGCAGAAACGGTGTGAAATGTGGATGTTTGTTGCATGGTATAAATCTTTGACCACAGAGTTCTGCAGAGTTACACAGGAAGAGGCAAGAATACGTCGTCCATTTGTTTTCTTGCGGTGACCATGACGAGACGACTGCTCCTTTGTGAGTAAACCAGTTTTCTGTTTCATTTGTACAAACATTTAGAAAACAGTCAAGCTAAAAATGACTTAGTTTGTCTCGGGATAAACTGTGTATAGTTGTATCGTCACTGTGAATATCTGAACCCACAAAGCTAGGTCTTGTTACTTCTATATTCTCACACTAGAGTGGATTCCAGATTTGTCTATAGATAAAAATGATCAGAGTTGACTGTATTAATTATTCATATAGATACAGATCTCTAAGGACACTGGAGTAAATGTGTTTGTATAGAGTTGTGCTATACTTAATATTACCTTACTGTATTGTGTGTTTGTGTGTGCTCCTCGTTCTTTCTGTTCTGTAACCTGCGAAACAACACTGACATTTCCACACTTCAAAAGTGTATTTACTTTTGGAATTCAACTTATATGTGAAACTAATGTATGACGGACTCTGTAAAGACAAAGAGAGAAATATCGAGCCGTCCTTTGTTTTATTGTTTATCATTGACTCACGGTAAAAACCCCAAATAAAACACTAGAAAATGTTTTATTTTATTTTTATTCTATTGGATTGTGAACAAAAATCAACAAAAGCACATGTCACTTTATCTTGTATCACATTCTGCTTTCATATTTTAAGATAAATTGCAGAAATAAACCATATTCTAATTTTCACCTGTAGATTTTGCTGTTTTTTGTTGTCATTGCTTTTATTTTATTAGTGCAATTCCTATAAAAGCAAATCATTTCAAGTGTTATTATGTACATTATAGTATGAAACTTTGTAGAATTTCGCTGACTCAAAGTATATATAAATCAGACTGCAGCGTTATTGAATCTAGAAGCACGGCTAACCACAATTATTTTTTTACTTTGGATCAATTTGTGGATTTATAGTTTTAAGTAATAATTTGTTAAAAAGACATTTTCTGCTTCTTTGTTCCCAGTGTTGTGGACTTCGCTACTGCTGGACCCCGCTCTCCAAAGTCAGTCCACTCTCCCGACTATAATACTTTCAAACATGTGTTTTGTTACTAAGTTTGTCCTTAAACTGCTGTCATTTCTACTGCCTATGACTTATCAAACACGCTGGATAAAGAAACAAATTACATGCACGGGGAAATATATATACTGTATATTGAAAATATCAAAATATATCAAGCTTATAGCTCTGATAATAACGACTCACAGTTTGTAAAAACCCTAAATGAAACGTCTCATGAAGTCAGAGTGATCATGAGTCACTCTGCAGGTCATGAGTCACATTTTTAGTTAAATAGTTGTTACATTTCAGAAATAAATGATGTTGAATGAAAACGTACAATCCTTGCACTATCTACTTCTTTGTATTCTCAGATACATGTATTTTTTGTGGTTATTTTGTTGTTTAATTCTGGAAAGGTGTTTTTTTGTTTGATCCTCGTCAAATCAGACGCTTTTTCTTTTTTATTCATGTTAATACCAGCAACGTATTGTGTACACACTGTGTGTCGATGAGTAACACTGTGAGGTCACATTCAGAGCCGATTTTTGGCTTTTAAACAAAAGTATTGGCTCTTTTAGTGAAATTACATAATTTCAATACCAACCCCGGTATTTGCAGATGTTGAAAGAAAATAAACTACATTCATCCACTCCCTCAAGTTACATGTTTTCTATTATTTTTTATAATATTATTGCAATATCCCGAATCATTTTAGGTTATCTAGAATTTACTTGTTGTGTGTTGTCTGTTCGTGTTTTATTTAATTTAATCTCTTCACGCCCCCAGGCAGAGTGCGGGTCAGTCCAGACCAGTCACAGTTCTTCAGAGGGGAGAGGCTGAACCTCCGATGTGTCGACTCAACCTGGAAAGTGTGGAAAATGGGTGCAGGCATCTGGAGGTGCTGTGGCGATAAGTGGGGCGCACAGAGTGGCCCCCACTGTGTTCTCAAAATACTGGAGACAAAGGACAGCGGTCAGTACAGGTGTCAGTCCAAGGATAATGAAACATCTGAAACCTCCTCCATCACTGTCACAGGTAATGGCTGGTTTTTGGGGTACCACAGGGCTCCCTACTGGGACCTGTGCTGTTTGCTTTATACATCAAACACCTGTTTAGAGCTGAAAGTAGATTTAATGTACATATTTACAATATGATTGGCATCTACTGCCCTGATGGAACATAAATATATATTTTCACAGTATGTGTGTAATAAAATAAACAAGTCTAACTGCTAATTCACACATCACGCGTTACAGCACGTACGCGTTATACGCGCAGCAGACGCGCGTAACTTTTTTCCATGTTAACCTATGATGATATTTACACTTCTAGCGTTATACACGCGTATGACGGACGTATGACGCGAAGCTGCGCTCTAATTTAGGATGGATTTCTAATTTTGTGCGCGCACCAACGCGTCTCCCATTGAAATCTCATGTAAAACATGATTTTTCTAGCGGTCCTTGGCTCTAGATCACATCTACACACACACAGCACTTGTGTCTAAACATCAGCAGGAGGAGCAGCAGGTTTTACAGTGATTCTGGACATCGGTTTTTTTCTTTCATAAAGTCTCGCGTCTCGCCAAACCAGCGCACAGAGACCATGAAGACAAACACATGCATGTGATTTGTGTTGCTCTACATCAGTCCTCTGGCCCGTACTGTCCTCTACACCAGTGGTTCCCAAAGTGGGGGTCCCGGGAACCCCTGGGGGGGTCGCAAGATGATTTCCACACACACAAAAAAAAGATTTTTTTTGCTCAAAAAAAAAGAAGTTTTTTTTTAATATAAAAAAGGGCTTTAAAATATAAAGCCCTTAAATATTTATTTAGCATTTGATTTGATTCAAAAGGACTACTTGTTAAATTGTGTTTGGAGACTATAATATATTTTAATAACGTTAGTAATTTTGTCCCAGTCATTGCAGCGTCAATCAAAATCATCACGTAACACAGCTCACATCATGCGCAGCGACAAAGCGTGTCCTGCTGTTGTTTGCTAAAACTAAAGGTGTTTAGAGGCTACAAATAAATAATACCTGCTTTAAAATGAAACGTGGTTAATATCCACAACAGAAAAACCCGGAGGGGGAGAAAAGTCACTTGTATCAGGGGTCAGGCTGATGGTGCGAGGGAGAGAGGGAGGGAGAGAGGGCAGAGGAGGGAGAGAGGGCAGAGGAGGGAGAGAGGGCAGAGGAGGGAGAGAGGGCAGAGGAGGGAGAGAGGGCAGCGGAGGGAGGGAGGACAGCGGAGGGAGAGAAGGCAGCGGTAGAACAGCGCGTTAAAGAGGCCCGGCTTTTCGGAGTCAAAGGTAAAGAGGTCTGCATATTAAAAGCGGGTGGCCGGTTTATGCCTTTACTGACAGTAACTTTGGAAAGAGAAGCCGCGGGGATGAACTGCATAAAGTAACAGCAGAAAGCGGCCGCCCGCTTTTAATGTGCGGACCTCTTTACCGCTGACTCCGGAAAGCCGGCCCACTTTACCGCGGTAGGAGAACAGTGAGGGCGAGCCGCAAGAAATGCGCTCCACTTCTGACTTCTGCTGAGGAGGGAGCCCACCAAGCCCATCACTGTGTCACTACATGAGTAAAAATATGCAAGCCTCCTTTTTTGGGCTGGACAGTGCAGCTCGGTAGTGGCGTGAGTCTCTAGAAAGCGTTACTCCGTATCAAGGAAATACATGCTCATTTCATGTGACGAAAGGGCGGTTGGGGGGCGGGGGTCGCGGGTTAGCAGGGCATTTATGATGGGGGTCGCGGGCTAAAAACTTTGGGAACCCCTGCTCTACACTGCTCCATAGACTACACAGGGAGAGTATCAGAAGACGCGGACCTGCGCGCACGGCCTGTGTAGATACTCCAAAAAAATGTTACGCGCAGAGAGCGCGCAGTAAACGCGTACGCGCTGTTTACGCCTACTGTGTAAATTCCCCGTAAGGCTGCGGTCACATATGCCGCCTAAAGCCCGGTTAAAGTGTGCCAGGGTCCGCTTCGCGATTAGATCCGGGCTTTAGGTGCCATTTGACCGCGGCATTCCAGGAATTGTGCTCTGGCGCGGTTAAAAACTGCGGCCAGCGCTCCCAGCGCTGATGAGGGGGGTCAGGGTGGTGGGGAGTGGGGGATTAGGTGGGGTGGGGACTTGATATTGTGCGTCAGATTACGTCTTCCTGTGACACACGTCTCTCCTGCACTTTCGTATTCTCTGCTGTTTCAAACCTTTCATAAAAGCCCCGGACCGTGGTCGAGGGGCACAGGGGGGTGTGTCGCTCCAGAGCCAAAGAAAAGTGTTTGCTACGGGTTTAGCTCTCTTCTGCCCTGACCCTCGCTCTCAGTGTGGTGCTATTGCAATAACACTTCAGACATTCAAGAATCAATCTTTATTTTATCACCAGAACACACACACACTTGTAACCTCCCTGTTTGCGGTCGCTATGTTCGTACTCCACACTTTTCATTCCATTCTGTATCCATGCATTCTGGATCAGTGACTTTATATAGCGTACTATGTCACGCTGAGATTTTTGCAAGAAACAGCACAAATATAGAGAGAGCATTTTTTGTGTTTTTGTCTGAGAAACAGGAAGTGCTTTTCTAATGAGGTCACTAAGCTCTAAAATCTTTGAATAAATATTATAAATTCATTGGGTGAATAATTAGGAAATAATAAATAGGTGACACAGTGATAAATAACATAAACTCTGCTCTATTCAAATGAATCAAACACATGTTTGTAATAACGTGATGTTGTTTTCCTCAGACAAGGCCGTGATCCTCCAGATGACCACTCTCCCAGTGACTTCAGGACAAAAGGTCGATTTGATTTGTCGACATCACTTTGACCCCGGTACTACAGCTCGTTTCTATAGAAACACAGTGGCCCTGTCAGGGGGGTCTGCAGGGACGCTGACACTCCAGCGGGTGGCGCTGTCTGACACAGGCCAGTACCAGTGTGAGATGGGAGGAGTGCGGTCAGAGTCTGCTCACCTCCAAGTCCTTGCAGGTGATTTTAATATCTATCCAATGCTGATAATGTTCCTTTTCACTGCCATGTTATGGAAGAGGTGAACATAAAATAAACAATAGTTAAATAAATATAGTACGAGTAACTTTCTGACTCAACTGTGATGTGCTCTTTAATTATATTTTTAGCTGAACTTATTCACAATATTCTTATATTTTGTGTCAAATCCTGTTTTGCTTATTCAACATAAAACACACGCTCAACTTATTATAAAATTAATTATTTGCCTTTATTTTTGAGTGTGACGGTTAATACTAAAGGACTACATCAGGACTGAAGCAAGTTTAAATTAGAACTAAACCAGGTCTAAGCCAGGACTAAACTAGAACTGAAGCAGGCTTAAAACAAGGACAAATGTTATACTTTAGAAATGTTTAATTATGCCTTATTCTTTCTCTACTTTTCACTTTGTCTGTGACTTCCTGTTACTTACAGGGCCATGAAAATGATTCTGATTCTACTGAAGCTGTGATGTGCTCTTTAATTATATTTTTAGCTGAACTTATTCACAATATTCTTATATTTTGTGTCAAATCCTGTTTTGCTTATTCAACATAAAACACACGCTCAACTTATTATAAAATGAATTATTTCCCTTTATTTTTGAGTGTGACTGTTTCCTGTGACGGTTAATACTAAATAGCAAATGTTTAATTTTACATTGCTTTTATTTTACCATTTTTATTGTCTTTGTTAAAACTACATCATATCTGTTGTCACCTTTTCTGTTCAGTTATTTGATTGCAAAAGCACTTTCTCCTCCGGACTGAAACTCAGTGTTTCTATAGTAACCATGTTTCTGTGGCAGTGCCCTCCACTCCTGCGGCTCCACCTTCCTCTGCTCCTCCCCCTGTGACCCCGAAACCCTCGCCCGCCTCTCTCCCCTGGTTTGTGATCCCAGTGGTGATCCCCGTCGTGGGGGTGGTCTTACTCATCGTGCTGGTGATGCTGGTGGTTGTATTGGTGAGAAGATGCAGATGCAGATGCAGATGCAAGAAAACTAAAGGTTTGTGGAAAAGTGTGTAATTTGCATTTTCCATGTGTGTGATGCAGAGTGCGGAAAATAAATATTATATCAGTAATATATAGCAATAGTCTTAAACATGGCCTTTAAATAATCAGGTGTTGTACTTTTTCCAGGTTCCAAAGCAAAGCGGCGCAAAGGCCGGACTCCCCGTCCGCAGAATCAGAAGACTACAGAGTACAGCAAACCTCACAAAAAGAAAAAAAGAACTGCTCCCAATTAAAGACACAAACACTATTTTTACAAAACTAACTGGTTACAGCATCTTTCATCTAAATTTAACTTCATAATGTATTTCAGTAGTGTTTTAAGTAGTATGACATTCTGTAAGTTTGTGAAGTTTTTGCTGATGAAACCAACATGTCGATTGCTTATTTCCTGCTGACTCATGTATCAGAAAGGTATGACTCCTCAAAAATGATGCAAGAAATTTTTGTGTTTTAATAAAAGGTTTATGTATATTTTTAGAACGCCTGTTATTTAGCAGGAGTCATGGCATATTGTTGTTATTTAAAATGTTGATTTTGAAATTTAGGTACACTTTTTTTTGGACTCCAATAAATGGGAAAAACATGATGAAGTTGATTCCAATAGGCAGCACGGACTGTTACTGAATAAATAGCTTGCTTAATATTTTAACAATGTTAAAATATTGTTTTTTAAAAAAATGAATATGAGACTATTCCAATCAAATCTACAGAAAATTTCACTGGTCCAGATATTGCGTATTATAGTGCACAATTCCTGGTTTGATCCAAATGTATGAATTTGCTCAATGTGACAGAAGACATACCTCATTTCCCAAAAAGCTGAACTTAAAGCAAATACACTGGGTCAAAAACATGGACTTTTGTTCTTTGCGGAGGACGTGCTGAGTAAACCGTCCGGGGTCGATCCAGGCCTGGTCCAAGTTCAACAGAGGGGATAAAAACCAGAAGGGAAGCAGTTTGGATCCAAAAGAAGTACCACCGCCATAATGAGGCTGTTCCTAATGCTGGTTCTGGTGGGCTGTGGGGTCTGGGCCCAAACCCAGGATTATGACGATTATGATGCGGTAAGAAACAGAAGTCAGTCAGGACTACACCAGGACTACATCAGGACTGAAGCAGGTTTGAACCAGGACTGAAGCAAGTTTAAATTAGAACTAAACCAGGTCTAAGCCAGGACTAAACTAGAACTGAAGCAGGCTTAAAACAAGGACAAATGTTATACTTTAGAAATGTTTAATTATGCCTTATTCTTTCTCTACTTTTCACTTTGTCTGTGACTTCCTGTTACTTACAGGGCCATGAAAATGATTCTGATTCTACTGAAGCAAAACTGAAACAGGATTACATTTGTTAAAGCTGGGATACCTAACTTTTAACCACAAACTAGTTGCTGACTCCCAAAACAGTTTAGTTTCTATCACAATTTTTCACATGTATGTATTTTAGGCCTCATCTTTAGATCAGCCTTATGGGAATTAGACAGAAAAGAAAAAAGTAAAAAAAAAACGACCTTACTCAGCCAATCAGCTCAGCTGAATAGTGACACACAGGGTTCTTTACTCAAAACATATAATTTTTTCTAGTATGAAGGAAGCGTGGTGTGGCTTGGTTTGTACAAAACATTGCACATGGTATCATTTATCAAAAAAGTAAAGTACCCCAGCTTCATATCCAATGATTAAACCAGAAGTATCTTAGTTTAAATTAAGAGTCTGTAAAGCATTATCTATCATGAGTAAAAATAACAGTCAATAATGGTCAAGATTCAGATTTTAAAAAATGATTTCAACCTAAAAACCGGTCCTGAAAATGATCTGGATTAGTCTTGATACGTACTTATAGAACTGAACTCTTACGTAATTAAAGCTAACAATCCACCATATGTGTTTGAGCTACAGCTTCAGACTCAGATTAACCAAAGCCAAACCAGGATTTCTATTCAACCTTTACTTTCCAATGTTCTAGGTCGGAGACTGTACATTTCACTTCATGCTATTTCTTTCTTCCACAGGACGGAAAGAAAGCTTCTGCATCGGTTTGTACAATATTTCTTTGTATTTCATTCTTGATGGTGATTTAAACTGTACAGGATGTGGAAATGTATATTTTTTATGCAGAATTCCTCAGCGACAGTCGACGCTCGTGGTCACCGTCCTCTGGTCAAAGGACGGGAGATTTATCTGACCAACCGCTACAACCCCTCTATCAGCAGCTCCGGGGGCAGGTACTTTTGATACTACTACTACTACTACTACTACTACTACTACTACTACTACTACTACTACTACTACTACTATCTGGTTATTGCACAATATTCAGCACAGACAGTCTTCTTACAGCCACTAGTAAATGTGAATATCAGTTTGAATCATTGACGTCAACTTCCGCTTTTGTCTTTCTTTGAGGTACCAAGGTCGTCCTGGGACCACCACAGTTACCGGTCCACAAGAGCAGGAGAAAGGGGAGCAGCCAGAGACCGGAGGATGCACCCATGCCATGGAAGAGATGGTACTCAACCAAGACTGAAACAGGACCAAACATGGACTTAAAAATGACGACGAACTACAAGATTCTTAGCGTGATTTGTATGAGGAAAAATGGCCCGACAATTTGGTCCATTTATCTTCAAGTTTAATTAAGTACCCTTTTGGTTCGATATATGTAATACTGATTTCTACTGTAGAATTAGGTGTGTGTTGTTTATTTGGATGCCGCCATGTCCTTTACAGAAATCGCAAGTGAACTCTGTTGTAATGAGACTGAAAATCGTTTCAGGTTATCCTTAAAGTGATAGTCTAGAACTCTAAATGAAATACACATTTTAAGAATTGTATTAAATTGACCTCCTGGCGTGTGCACGGAAAAGTAGGCGCGGCTTCAAGACCAATCAGAAAGGAAGGGGGAGGGAGCTTGGGTGGTTTTTTTCAAATCATGTACCTCTCTCTCTTTTTTCTGACAAAGTCCAGACTATCGCTTTAAGTCTGCGGTTTGTGTCATCACTTACAATCTCCTGCGATAAAAACTCCAAAAGTCTGTAGTGCAGCTTTCTAGTCGAGCTGAATCTAAACTAAAGGATCTCAAACAAAACATAAAGGTTCTCAGACTACTGCCTCCTTTTCCCGGCCTTGGATAAAGCGGGTGAAAGTGGAATAGATCAAGCTATGGACAGAAACAGAAGAATAATGAACCATGACTGAAACTGAGCTGGATCAGATACAACTCAGAAATGAAGTGGCATTGAAAAAAAATAAAATAATAAACCATATAAACTAATGGATTGAAAGACCAAACTGAAGGAACCCCTGAACAAGCAATCCGACAGGACTGAAGCAAGACTGAACCAGGATCTAACCAGGACTGAAAATAGACCAGACTAAGTACAACATAAATTAAATAAAAACACATTTGTTGCATTCGTAGGGCGTGTTGTGTCCTAACGGCTGTGAGCTGAAAACCATGATACAGAAGCAAGAAAAGAACGTCAAAACTGTAAGATTTCACCATGGATAATCCACTTTTCTCTTAAAATGACTTCTTCTCACATTTCTGATATGTGTGTGCGGTGTTGTGCAGAGCATCGGTGAACTGCGCCCCCAAGTGAACGAGTTGGCGCGAGAATCCAATAACATTTTCAACTACGTAAACAGCATGTCCAACAACCTACGGGAGAGGCAGAGGGTCCTCAGTGGTGAGAACACACTGTCAAAAGCGTTTTTTAGCTGGTGTATGGGTTGTCAAATGTATCAAAAAATGAAAATATAATAATATTATAAATTAAATACATATTAATATTATGGAAAATGTCTTCTCAATTGCGCAAGTATTGACGCTAAACTATTCATTAACTGGACTGGAAAGTTTGAGTTTTCCGACATTTTAGAAATTATTTGAGGTTTCCAGACACATAGAGTGCAGAACCCTACGAGAAGACGTGAAGCTGAGTTATGTTGTAACTGACAAAAAAAAAAAATCAATCAAACTAACCCTGGTGAAAACATAACCAAGTGGCTCAAGTAAAATTCAACATTAGTTTAAACATTGATGTACTTTTACCTGGATAAATAAAATGACCAATTATTACACGTGATGCATGCAAAACGGATCTGATACTAGGATTGTAAACGTAACTTTTCATGACATTTTCTGAATGTGTTTTTGATAGAGAACAGCAACATAGTGGGCCAGTACACAGACCGAGTGGAGGAGCATCACGCGTACATCAAAGAGACCGTGGACACTCTGCTGCCGTCCAACATTAAAGTTCTGCAGGTATTTCACTCACAGCCACATTTCATCGGGACAATAACAATGAATTTCACTTGTAAAACGCTCTGCAGGCTTCTCAAGTCCCTGAAAACTCTACACTGTCAGTATCTATTCACTCCACACTCTGCTATCACACCCTCAGACCACCACCAAACACTCTACAGTTTCTGTTGCGTGTTTTGAGTGATGGGGAAACAAGAGCTGCTCTGAAGAAAACCCATCCAGACACAGAAAGAAACATCCACAAAGACATCAAAAATGAGCCCATAACATTCTTGCTGTGAGAAATGCAGCCTATTACCATAAGAGGATGCAAGAAAGGTCTCTGGTTAGATTTCTTAAGCCATTCCACCATCCAATTTCACATTTAGTCATGGTCAAAAGGGATTTTTTTTTATTGATCCATTTATTTTTAATGGAATCGAAATCATTGCACAGTCCTCGAATAGAAACTTTGGGACATTCCTGATTACCGTTGAACAAAAATGTGGTGTCATGGCAGGGTGTTCTGGACAAGATCCGGCTGAAGATTCAAAAACTGGAGAAGGCGATTCAGACACAGACCGAGTCCTGTCAAGAGCCGTGTAGAACCAAGTGTCCCGTCCCTGTGGTCTCTGGTGAGAAACTTCAGCTATTGATGTTGCAGAAAAATAATTTATCACTTGTGTCCTTGTGTCCTTGTATTATAGAGCATTGTCTTGGAAATCACAAGCGCTAATGCCATCCGTTCAAAACATGTTATCGTAATATAGACATGGAAAAAGTGGACCAGTCTTTGTCGATCTAGACTTTGATTCCTCAATCTTTTCAGGGAAAGAATGTGAGGACATCTTCCGTCGTGGAGGGCTGGATTCTCAGATGTATTTGGTTCGTCCAGATCCTCTGCTGCCGGCTTACAAGGTCTACTGCGACCAGACCACGCAAAACGGAGGTAACGACTCTTTGGTTTCACTTTCACTTTACACTACTCCAGCCTGGATGTATTGTTGTTCTCTCAAGGTTGGTTAGTGATTCAGAACCGAATGGACGGCAGCGTGGACTTCGGACGCCGCTGGGACGATTACAGAAAGGGTTTTGGAAACGTCGCTTTGGAAGTCGGAAAGGGATACTGCGAAACTCCCGGTACAAGAACACAACCCTCCCACTTCTAAAAATCTCGACATAGCTTTCTTAATTTTTTTTTTCTTAGTGACAAAACTAAGGGTGTAATTTCTGCTGTTTGTCCAGGTGAATACTGGCTCGGAAACGACAAAATCACTCAGCTCTCTAAAATGGGACCCACTGAGCTGCTGGTGGAGATGGAGGACTGGACTGGAGCAAAGGTACTGACACTTGGAAGTTTGTAAATTTTTGTTGCTGTTTTTTGTGTGTACTGGTGGGAAAAACGTCTTTGTTTGAATGGGAACACATAACACTGGAGGTAATGCTAAACCAAAATTACAATAGTGTCAAATTGATTCGAAATATCTAACCTTTTCAGCACATCAATTTTTTTGTTCACCATGAATATTAATCTGTGCTTTGTTCTAGGTGCATGCTCACTACCAGCAGTTTGCGGTTCAGGGCGACCTCACAAACTACGTGTTGGCAGTGGATCGGTACAGTGGCACCGCTGGGAACTGCTTTTTGGAAGGTTCCACTGAACTCTTTGGCATCAACAGAACCATGACAATCCACAACGGCATGATGTTCAGCACCTACGATCGCGACAACGACAACTGGTGAGCAGAAAAAAAAGGAAACAATATGCAAGAGGCGATGAAGGCCTTATGATAAGTGATTGATGACATCAGCTACTAAAGTCGACCGCGACAACCGTAGAAGTAGTGGTACATTTCACGATCGTTGAAGTGACAAATGACTTTAATTCAGTTTATTGAGATCAATAATATGAGAATTATAAAACGCAGAATTCAATAGTCCTAAGATAGTCTCTGTCTTGACTGACCCAACATTGCGTGGGGATATGGTGTGGCAAACTGGGGGGGTGGTCCCTCACTTCAAGAAGGAGAACTGGAAGACAACAGAAAAGACAAGATTGCGGATAATGAGTGGGTGCTCCCTTAAGCCTAGCGTACATCGGACTGGCAACTGATTATATCCGTCGCATATGAGTTGCTGCCCCGCACACATCGACAATCTGACGAAAACGGGCAACTCCCAGTAGCAGACCAGTCTCGAGAATAACAGCGCGTACATCGACAGCAACTGTCCGTCACCTACAGTGTGTTTTCTGACATAAACTGTTGCAGGCGCGCAATACACGCAATACACACACGTTGTCGGAGCGGCGCATGGAGCGCGCACATCGGGTCATATCTCCGAAACTGAGGACAACTAGTTGCCGAAAAGTAGAACACGGGCAACTGACTGAAACTGGAGACCGACTGATCATCTCCAGTTGTAAGAGCGCGCACATCGACCGATTTTGGCAACTGATCATCTCCCACCATCTCCTCTCAGTTGCCAAAAGCCGCCTTGCAACTAGTTGTCCCCAGTTTCTCTGTCGATGTATGCTAGACTTTAGAGATAGAGTGAGTAGAGCCTCTGCTTCTCCACATCGAGAGGAGCCAGATGAGGTGGGGCATCTGTTGCGGGTATGTCCCACCTGGAGGATTTCCCTGGACAAGATAGAGGAAGTGTGTGTGGATAGAGAAGTCTGGGGCTCTCTTCTCAGACTCCTGCCACTGCTACCCAGCAACAATAGAATATAAGACAATGGATGGATGGAGCTCAATTGTTCACTTGAAGACCTAACGGAGGGTCTTTGTGCTTATTCAGATAACTGACACCTTTCTGCAAAGGAGGGTTCAGATTTATCTCCATTTTTGTGACATAATGGAGTGATTGATACTAGTATGTTCAATCTCGTATTTTCCCCCCGTATCCGTCTCCAAACTCTCACTCTTCCCATGTCTTCCTGGATGTTAAAAGCTGTGATTCGCTTTCTTCTGGGCCGATGATTTTAGCAAACCTCCTTTAGATTGACTAACAGTACCTGCCGCCGGCCTGATGCTAATTTGATAAAAAATTGTATCCATGTCTTTCATAACTTAAATGATCCACACAAAAAGAGTTTGCCTCAAATCATTAAAAAAGTTGCCATAACCTTTCTGCCTCTCTACGCAGGAACCCTGGAGACCCGTCCAAACAGTGCTCGAGGGAGGACGGTGGCGGATGGTGGTACAACCGCTGCCACTCGGCCAATCCCAACGGCCGATACTACATGGGCGGGGCTTACACTAGGGACATGGCGCGTCACGGCACAGACGACGGCATGGTGTGGATGAACTGGAAGGGCAGCTGGTACTCGCTCAAGGCCATTAGCATGAAGGTCCGGCCATTCTTCCAGTCACGTTAAAACTGTGAAATAAATTGCAAAAACCATACATGTGATAAAATGATCTGAATTTAGTTTTGTATGAACGTTTTGTTTGTGCATTTGTATGTGTTTTTAAAGGACATTGGATTTGCTATAGTGCTTATTTAAGAACTTTTTTACATCCTTTTCTTTAGCTGGAAAGAATAAATAGATGTATATTGAAACCAACTTGCACATTCATTGTGAAAACTGAAAGCTAGATATAAAAAAGTTTGAACAGGAAATACAAAAGCGGCACATGAAAAATAGTGCAAACTAGTAACAGTAACTCATAACAGTTTACAAAAGGAATTTTAACTCATAATAATGTTCAAATATTGTTTAAATGAATAAAAACCAGAGAATCGTTTTACTTCATGTATGCCTTTGCAATGTAACTGGACGGTCCAAATAAAAGACCTGTATTTCCAATGTGGTGGTGATTATTATTTTGATTTTTTCTTCATTAGATACAGGTAGTCTTCTTCAGGGGTCTGAAAAATATATGTTCCTAAATGATAAATGATAACACACATAAAACAGTGTTGAAGTGCCGAGTCAAAATACGCTACAGATCTTTTAAAATGTTTTTATTCTTTACATTCACTGGGTTTGTGATCAGCATTGAAGTTTCCGACGGCAACATAATCAACAAAACAATGCGTAAATCTACACTTAAGATAGAAAAACAAATAAATACACAAACAAAACCGTTAAAGTGACGAGCCAGAGTAGGTTTTTTCTGACTAATATACATCCAGACTTATACTTTAATAGGACGACTTTCTACAAATAATTAGCCTCATAGCAAGTTATTCTTATGGTCAAATTGTTATGATGATAAAAAATACCAATGTGGTATTTTGTGTTGCTTTTTGTTTGAAATTATTGTTATGACTCAGGCCATTATGTCTAAAACAATAAAAACAAACAACAACATTTGATTATTTTTTAATTTGCAAATTTTTTTATTTACTTGATTTCTGGATTTCTTGTGAAGAATGGTCTGCGATAGCCTGGCCATAGCCATCCGTACACTCCGCTCAATCATCATTTCACTGCATGTAACGTCTGGGTCTGGTCCCTGTGTTAGCGATTACAATCGGTCGTATTTCGATCGGCTACTCAGCGAGCGCGTTGTAGGCATGGATCTAGGTTGTAAGTCGGTGCCGGTGACGTCAAGAGTTTGCGTCGAACGGGCAGGTTGTAGTTTGGCAACGGCGAAGAATGCGATAGTAAAGTAATCCGGTCTGGTTCTATCAAGAAATTGAAGCAGGAGCAAGAGGTATGTTTAGCAAATGTAATCGCTGGTCAAGATTGTGGCGCTACTCCCCACGGGCTCCGTTAGCAGCAAAGGAGATGGCTAGGCTAAATGCTAAATGCTAACAACACACTCGGGTGCACTACATACGTCAAGGTAAACTCAGATCCAATCGTTTCAATCTGTAAAAGGAGTTAACCCCTCCCACCTGTTGACAGAGCTCAATGGAGCAAATCCAGACCTTAGTATGAAATGAAAGTTGTACTATGGTGTGGTACAACCAGGCTAGGTCTGCGAGGAACATGAGCGATATCAAGGATTTTTAAATTCAATTCACTACAAAGTTCTAGCATTATTCATGATATTGATCTGACACTAATGACTGGAATTCTTTTGCGGCTAATGTGCTGCCATTTTGCCTTGGAGTGAAGAGAACATACTTTGCAATCCAACCCAGCTGGACTTTATCTAAATGCAGTGTTTGAGGATAAACTAAAATACAAAACTATGTATTTAAAGGTGCTTTTAGCAATTCTTTATTATAGAAAAAAGTTTATATTTCTGTATATTTGACTTTGTAGTGACCCAGTGGCTGTATCAGTCTTCAACATGGCACCTTCACTATCCCTCGTACCAGAAAACAGACAACACAAGTGATCCTAGTCTGACTGTGTGATCCGAAGGTGAACTGACGCTGAAATGTTAGTGGGTGGGGCTAAAGTTTGTCTGCAGTCAGGCTAATTCATCCTGGAGCACTTAGAAATCAAAAATCTATATTTTGTTCATATAAAAAGTTGCATAATAAATACAATATAAGCACATTTTTGCATGCTTTTTGAACAATCCATATTATTGTTGGAGAATCAGTACTTTTCAACAGTTCTGACCTCATCGATATATCAATATTGTTGGATTGATCCTCGTACCGATATATCAATATTGTTGGATATCACCTTAAACCATTCTCCTCAAACTCGACACGTTGCGGCCGCAGATCTTCAAACAGGTTCAGTCCTTCATCCAGAACTGTTTTGATGGTTTTATAAACGGGGCTCGGCTCTGGCCCGAAGTCCACTGGAGCGGTGCGGATTTGTGGGACCATCTCTGGTTCCACAGCATCAGATTTAAACTTCTTTTCCACAATTTGTCCCGTTTGGAATCGGAGCGTCGCATAGTCTTCTGGATCTAGTGAAACCGATGAGCCGGTCTGACACGAGCCGAGACAGGAGCGCAGCCTCATGTTCACCTCCACCTCCAGAAAAGACAGACATGTTTAGAAAGAAGCAAACAACATCCCCCTGCTGGCTACAGTGGGGAATTACAGCACTGGTAATTGAAAAAAATAACAAAATATGAGGGAACAATTTAATCGAGTGATCTTATAAGTTTGAGTACATTCTGACTGTTTTATAATAAAATTTTCAAACAGAACAAAGGCATTTAGTTTTATTTCAAGAACTGTTGCTCTATTTTAGAATGTTGCTTGTCCATCCATCCTTTTTCTTCCCCTTAATCTATTTCTGGGTCGGGGGGGTGGCAGTCAGAGCTGCACCCTGTACACATAGCACCAGCCCCTCAATGATCCTCCTGCAGATGGTGAGTCCACAGGAGCCTTGAATATTCAGCAGGGGTTTCAGGCAAAGTGGGGTTAAGTGTCTTGCCCAAGGACACAACGACAGCAGTCATCAATGGGAGTCGTGAAGTAGGTCTGGAGGGCTCGAACCCACTACCTTCAGGCTGTAAGGCCAATGCTCTACCAACTGAGCCACTGTCGCCCTACAGTATGTTGCTTGTCCCGTTGGAGAATATTGTTTTAAAGCAGTCAAAATATGCTGAAAGTTACTAGAGATACATTTTGCCAAAGTTGAGCAATTTTTTACTTATTTTTCATCACTTTTTGCAGCATAATTTTAGATCAGCTAAACACAGCTAAAATGTCACCACCCGTCTATCAGAAATCAAACGGATAAAATGCATGAAGAAAAAATGGGTGAAAAGATTCAATATGTAAGATATGTCACATTTGTTTAACACATATACTGTTTCAGGGCCCCGTCTATATAACGCAGGTTCCAGGAAATTCCTTTTTACAAACACATACTAATAGGAATCAGTAAAGTATATGGCGAATGTTTAGTAAATAAAAAGAGAATTGAAATGAATTTGATATGTCGGCTTGCAGGTGATAAAGAGAATGGCCAGAACAATGGTGTCTTGGTTTCAGCAGATTGAATATTCATCAAACACACATGAATTTGAGTTTCACTTGTTATGCATGTATTCATTTCTCAATAAACAGAATTCTCACCTCTGTTCGCAGCAGCTCTCTCAGTTGCTTTTGTATTTCTTCGTTCAGTTCTGTCATTTTCAGTTCCAGACTTTTAGAGCGTTTCCGTAGAGAAGTCAAGTTTTTGGTCAAATCTTCTGCTCCTTCTACAAACTTCACCTGCAGAGCTGACAATGGCACAACATGGTAGTTATTTTTATAAAGCCTTTGTTAAAGACTTGGCCTTGCCGAGTTTCTTACCAGTTGCGTTCATGAGGTGTTCTCGGTTGCGATGATAAATCTGTGCGGTTGTTGCCATAGACTTCTCGGCTGCGTCTTCGTAAGTCTTTGCCATTTTACAGATATTCCACAGTTTATTCTCCACTTTCTTCTCATGTTCAAGAATCAAACCCTGGATTCTGCAGCCGGAGGGGCAATGTGAGACCTAAACGATAGGGAAAAACATATTTTCAAAGAAGACTCCATCCAAGCAAGAATCAGGAACATGTCAGAGTTCAAGCATCTGGTCGTAAGAGTATAAAAATGCACAGAAAGATCTGCACCGAAAAACTGTTTAATCTACTTATCCCACTCTCACTCTTTAAGGGTGTGAAACTCAATCCCACAAATGACGCTTAGAGTAGAGCCGCTGCTTTTCTACATTGAGAGGTGCATCAGGCATCTGTCTTGGATGGTTCGTGGTCTGGTAGCCTCCCTGGGCATGTAGGGAAGACCCAGGACAGGCTGGAGGGACTATGTTTTCCTGCTGGCCTGGGAACACCTTAGGGTTGAGCTGAGTTGGTTAAGAAAGATAGAGAGTTTTGAAGAAACAAGATGCTGACCAGAACAATGAATGTGATTGTGCAATGTCAATTGGCTAAATTCATTAAATCTTGTCAGAAGCCTCTTCTTTACAAGTGCAACAGTGTACATAGTTATGGAACTCTGGGTATCTCTGCTTCGATTGCTGCCTCCTTGACTTGGCCCCAAACGAGAGGGATGAAAATGGATGGTGTATTTTACCCAGTCATTGTCAGTGCACATGGGGAATTGTGTTTCTTCTCCACAACGACTTCTTGTCTTCTTCTTCTTGTCTGGATGACTCGGCGACTGGCGGCGATTTTGGTTCAGTCTCATGCAAACTGTAGGCAAACAAAAGCACAGAAGACCACGGTCAGTTCAACTCGTGGATCTATTATATTATCAGTTCAACTCTTCTCGTAAATATTAGCTTAACCGCTAGTCCGACTTTTGGACTGGAATGTTGCAACGTTATATTTGGTAAGAGCAGTGTCCAATGTGTTGTCAGTGTGGTTATGGGCTAATCTTGTCTTTTTGGTATGACTCCAATTAATAAAACATTGGATGGTTTAAACATCATGACGTCTACTACTCATGATAACTCTAAATTTATCACATTGTTTTTTTAATGTCAAAATAAAAGTTGGTTGTTATTTTCTCTCTATTATATTTTTCTGGATGGTAATTTATTTGATTCTTTCACAAGTGAGTAATCTTGGGTTAGGAACTAGTAATATCTTGAAAATAGTAATTAGTGGTGAAAGAACTTTATGATTTGTATATATTTGGGCCTAGGCTAGTCATCATATGTCTATGTCCTTGACTATCAGGAAATATGTGTTAGGCCGACCAATGAGTATAATGCTAATTCATTGGACTTCAGGACATGTTTTCAGTCTTTTCTCAGCGCTGCTAAAAAGAACAAGAAAGTGAAGTGAACAAAATGTCTTTATTGATTGAGTCCAGAGTTTCAAACATGGCAACAAAGTTCAATGGTCAGTTTTACAAATATTTGAAGTTTGTGACAGAGTTTTGACCGGGAATACAACACAAATATTTACATTTCCAAGCTTCCAAGAATTCTATAGAACATTTACATAAAACCAAACTCAAATCAAGGACACAATAAGGTAACATATAATGAGGAAATGATGTCATTATTTAACAAACCCCCAGAATACAATGTATTGTCTCGTATTATAGTATTTGACTATAGCTTCCTCAAAATAAAAACAGTATTTATTAAACCAGGTGAGTTTTCATTCTAAAAATGTCTAATTTATGAAGATAAAGGTTTCAATTAATAATGTTACATTTTTATCTCACATTTGGCCAAGTACTCTTGCATGACGACTCACAGAGAAGATTTATTTTGTAAATGTTTAGTAAAATGTTAAGCTCAAAATACGGATTTTTTGTTTACATTTAAATACATTTGTTTTGCTTTAAAATGTGGCAGAGCGTATGAACATCCTCACTTTCTTCAGGCTGTAGTTTGGAGACTTATAGGTCGACCACACCACTCCATTGTCACCGCTGTTAGCATCTTTGTAATAAACACCATTTAGATTAGCGCGGCACGGACCGTACCACCAGCCGCCGCCGTAAACCGCAGCACAATTCTCTTTACTGGCGGTGTTATTTTGATCGTACGTGCTAAACTTCATTCCGTCATGCTCCGCTAGTCCGTCTCCCGCGGATCCCGTGTAGCTCGAAACACGCAACGCATATCCCTCAGTTGCCGCGCCCACTTTCACAGAATACTCCGCGCTAGCTGTGCCCCCTTCCCAATCTTCTAACTCAATTTTTAGCATCGTTTCACCCTGGTTTGTCAAAAGGTATAGGTTTTCGTTACCGAGCCAAAATTCCCCCTGCCCTTGTGCATCTACGCTTCCAAAGCCGTCGCGGTATTCTGCCCACGTGCGGTTGAAGCTAACAGCGCCGGTTTCGCGTTGCTGTGCTAATATCCAGCCGCCCATTAGCCCCTCCTGCTCACAATAAACGGTGACTGTAGGGGAGGCGGGAGCCGGTTGGATCTTAAAGAGTCCGTTCGATTCTCCGTTCAGGTGGAACTGACTGGCCGCCACACAATCTGCAGACACAGCGCAAAAGGGGAGTTAGTGAACGGGCTAGCGTCAGGGGAAATTAAAGAGCCTCTATCCAATATTTCTCAAGTATTGGCGGATAAAATATTTTGCTGCAAGTCAGATGTGTGGTAAAGGTATCTCTTGATGTTGTAATGAAAACACTTCAATCTAATCAGAAAGTATGATGTTATTAGGGAAACAGGTGTTGCTAATATGCTAGCTCTTTGTTAGCTTACTGTGAACTGAAACTGAACCCTGGGATTGAAATTGGTGAAAAGTGCTGATGAACTGATGGCACTGAACAATTATTATAACTCAAATGGCAAATAGCAAAGTGATCCCTGTTGCTCCCAATATTGTTTTATTTTAGCACATTTCACTTTAGTCTAGCTTCAATTGCGTCTTGTAATGAAAGTCTTCCAAGACATTTCTTTTTCACTTCATAATTTTGGTACATATGGCAAGATACAATGCCAGAGCATTTATCCAGCAACCTAGTTGTAAATCTCGGGCTGAAAATCTAAATGGTAAACAAAACACTGAGGCATTTCCTATTTAATAAACTATGTGCAATTTGAATCAGTGCATTTTTTACTTGTTATGAGCCAGAAAAAAAGTGTGTTAGTTATTAAGCTTAATGTGATTTCTACCAGGTTTTAATTATGTTTTGTCAAACCCATAAATAGATCCTCAGCCCCTTTGTTCTTCTTTCTATAGATCAGCCATTCCCAAACTCAGTAACACCAAGGCCCCCTTAAAAATCTGACGGGTCTGCGTGGCCCCCCAAAATAATAACCAAGAAGACAACATTAAGAATAGGCTCTTCTGGTTATTTTATTTTGGGGAAATAGCCTCTGCTACAAACATTGTAATACAAAAATGATTACAGTGGATTATTCAAGTCAAATAATGAACACAAATATTTTAATATTACAAACAAAACATTATAAATTTAACATTAAATAATTATATTATTTTTTTATGACCTCCCGCGGCCCCCCTGCAGTACCCTCGCGGCCCACTAGGGGGCCGCGGACCCCACTTTGGGAGACATTGCTATAGATGTTACTCTTTCTCCGATGTTTCAGTACCTTTTCCCACGTAGTCGGCTTGGCGCTCAACCCGTGCGCTCTTCACACTCCTTGCATGGAAATCGGGAATGTCGTCTTCCACATTATCTGTCATAAACGCTCCCAGATCCAGCCCCGCGCCACCACCAAACGGATCTGCGAATGACGTTTTGGAATCGGCAAAGCTCCCTTTACTGCTAGATGTGAAGGAAACCGTTTTGGTGCCGGAACTGTCCAAACTGGGGAAGAGCGACCCCATTCCACCTTTACTGAAAGACTGGCACTCAGGACCACCTTCCATATACTCTTCCATTCTTTGAACTGGTCCATCGCCGGTGTCTACGATCGTGGTGCGAACGCGCTTGGTGCAGGAGACGCTCTTGGTGCTCATGCCGGACTGACTGAAGGAATCGGACCCTCCACCCAAGTCAAAGTCGCCCCCGAGCTCTGTGATGGAGGAGGAGGAGGAGGTGGCTGAGGAGAAGGAAGTACCTTTGGAGATGGTGGCGGGAGAAGAGCTGGAGCCCTCTACCTCCAGGAACAACTGCACTGTCTCCACCTAAGAGACAGTCCAAAAGAGGAATGAGTTTTATCATAGATGCTCCCTTTTTGTTTGCAAATTTGTCTGCGCAGTAATTTTCACTAAAATTTGATATATAGCTAATGTTCAAACCATAAAGATTAAACAATGTCATGAAATCCATTTGTTTTGAGAGCTATTCTAGGATATATTAGGAGCGCATTGACATCACCCATAGTGTTTGTTGAAGGCAGAAGAAGCTGATTTGAACATGAGCTAGCTGAAGCCCTGTTTCTTATATGGGCATTTTTCTAGTTTTGTAAGTTTTGTGAGTTTGTTTTCACCTCTGGGAAGACGTCCTCAGATGTCTGCTGCAGCTGAATCGTCTGTGGGTCCTTGGACTTGTAAACGGTGTCGACTATGGCGTCCTTGAGTGGACGGCTCTTCATCACATGCAGAGTTCCCACAGACTCAAAGTTCTGGTTCGATAAAGTGTCCAACTGGTTCATCTGGAATAAAATATAAAGCAGAAAAAAAAATCAGTGTTCAGTTTCCTCACTATAGATATGTATTTGAATGGAGATCCTATTTATATCATTATCAAGAAAACTGCAAGCAACTTTTTGTTGGAGCTTAGTTCTGAATCCATGACACTTTCTATACATTGACCTGGCTTCCCACTAACGTCTACCCATATTTTCATTCTATTTTTTGTTTGTTATAACTTTTAGTAGTCTCTTGTAAAGTTTCAGAGCTCCACTTTTTGCTTCACATATTAACATGCGACAGTAGCTCAGTTGGTAGAGCATTGGCCTTTGGGCCTGAAGGTCGTGGGTTCAAGCCCACCATAAGACCTACTTCATGACTCCCACTGATGACTGCTGTCGTTGTGTCCTTGGGCAAGACACTTAACCCTACTTTGCCCAAAGCCCCAACTGAAAGATCTCAGCTCCTGTGGACTCACCACCTGCAGGAGGATCAGTGAGGGGCTGGTGCTCTGTGAACTGGGTGCAGCTCTGACTGCCACCCCCCTGACCCAGAAATGGATTAAGGGGAAGAAAATGGATGGATGGATGGATGGATATTAACATGCTATTGTGGGATCAATAAAGTTTTATCTTAACTATCTATAATTTCAAGAATGTCTGTCCGTCCGTCTGTCCGTCAGTCTGCCCTCATGGTATATAGTGATCCAAAGTCCAAATAGGAGCATCTAGATAAAAAAGAGTATGTGCCGATTTGCACCAGAAGTTCTTCTCTAAAATCTCAAAAAGAGCTTTAGAGATTTCATGACACTTTGAAGCAACTATGGTTAAAGTTCTAACTCATCATTCTAACAATATGCACAAGCCAGTACTTTTCCACTGCATGTTTTGATTTCTGAAGGCCAAGCTACATGGCATCACGGCGAAGGCTGATTGGACGGTGTTCATTCCTCTGCTGGATATTATCACTTGCAGTCTGTAACATCCTTGTTTGTGTCCGTGCTGTCTCTACCATCCACAATAAAACATGTCTTCTGTCTGAATTAAAGACACCATCCCAGACTTTGTCATCTTCTTCAAAGCCTCACCTGTTTCTCCAGAGCCAAATGGCCATCCTTCTCCAACTCGTAGCTGTTGTACGTCTTGCACGAGCCCTTACACGTTCGCAGCTTGATGTCGATGTCCACCTTCGGTCAGCGCGGGGAAGAAACAGGAAATGTTATTATGACTTTCTATGCGACATCAGTGTGTGAATGTGGCGCACCTCGATCCTCTGCATTTCGGCCATCTGGTCCCGCACGCGCTCCTTCAGGGCCCCCAGGACCTGCACCTGCTGGTCGATCTTTATTTTCATGTCAGTGATTCTCTGCCTCAGCGTCTGGGCCATGTCGAAGTAGTTGTTGTCGTTACCTTTGAACAACAAATATGACGCTTTACTTGGGTGCATTTTTTGTGCACTTTAACACAATATTTAAACACTTGGCGTCTGATGAGCACAGGGACTGGCCTCCTGCTGGTGCCCAGGGTCAGGACTAAACATGGGGAGGCAACGTTTCAGATTTATGCAGGTAAAATCTGTCTTCAGTCTTCCTGAATATGTGAGACAGGTGGTACAATAGGTTGAACCATCTGCTGTTTGCCTGTTCATATAGCTGGAGGACTCGACCTTTACTCTTTTAACGCACTGTGGTTATTTATGTGTAATATTTATTCTAATCCCTTGTGTGATCCTAAAGTTTGTTTTTAATTATCTGTGTCTTTTAATTTTATGTTTTTAATACCTTAATACCTTATCTTAATGGTTGTTTTCCCTGTTTTTTTATGTCTATGATTATACCTCTACAAGTAAACAAATTTAGGTGGAAGTGGGAAGTGGGAAATTACATTTTTTATAATTTTACACCCAAAACTTGCATCATAGGTTAAGTCCTCCAGCTCCTGACAGATTTCCCTATAGTAGAATTCCAGGGCGGGTCAAATGCAGAGGATACATTTCCCAGACGGACCTCACCTTACCTTACATCTAACATGGGATGCTAGGACGGTTATATAGAAACACATTTTTCTGCAGTTTAGAGACCAAATTCTTTTAATAAACAGCTTCACTTAGTTACATAATCTCATCTGTCAGAGAATAAAAAGAAAACTGCTCAAACAATGATTGAATTTACCCTTTGAGGTGAGCTCAAAGGGTAAATTTGCATGTTTGGTCTATAAGTTGCTGATAGCGAGGGTGGAGCTAAAAAAAACAAAAACCTCTAGTTCTGGTTTTGTTGAGGGTACAAAGTGTCTCAGAAAAGTGTCTAATCTTTCTTTTAAAATAATGCCAGAGTCCAGAAGCTAATTTTATTCAATGCAAGTGAATCGTTTTCTGAGTGCTTAGATGGAGACAGGATTGAGAAGAGGGATGATAAAAAAGTACAATGCTAAGTTAAATAATTGTTGATTGATGTTTAAAAGCTAAGAAACATTATCTCTATTAGTTTGCCTGTGCACTCAAATTTTATTCAGAAGTTTAATTTTCTCCTCATATTATTGTATGTGGGACTCTGAGTGATGTGTGTGTGTTTGGAGTCACCAGAGTAGAGGGTGAGCTTCTCGCGCAGGAAGTTGGAGGTCTGCTTGGAGCCCTGTTGGGCCGAGCGGTGTTTGGCTCTGTTCTGGTCCAGGAGGCTGCGGATCTTCTCCACCTTCTTCAGGAGGTCGTGGTCATACTTCTCCATCAAGCCCTGGATCCTGCAGCCTGACGGACACTTGGGACCCTGGGACAAAGGTAAACCAGTTCAATATGGGGTGGGCAAGTTTCGTTTCCTGTTTTATTTTTATTTATTGACACTTGAATTAAAAGACAAAATAAAACATTCAAAATCAGAATCATTTTTATTGCCACGTAAGTAAAAAAAAATCACCACTGTGAAATGGCTTTGGCAAAGCATGCCACGGCGCCATCTTGAAACTGTTGTCTACACATTTGAAAATGAATAAAAAACAATGCAGTTTATGTTTCCAGATTTACAGTAGATTATCCAATCAGAGAGCAGAATAAGGTTCTCATTTGTGTTACCAGATTGCTTGGTAACATTTAGCTGATTCTGATTATTAAAATTCTCAAAAAGAAATTGCACCGCATATATTTAAATGAAGCCGATGCAAATAGGTAATGATAGAGATTTTACACTTGTTATTGATGCTAGAGTTAGAGATTTTGTTTTATTTTAATTAGTATAGTTATTGTTCACTTATCTTGTTTGCTCCTCTTTCCTACTGTTCTATAACTTGTGATGCAACACTGAAATTTCCCCACTGTGGGCCAAATAAAGGATCTCTTAATCTTAATAAGTATCTTATGTATTATAGAGTTTGTACTGGTTCCAGCTACACCCCAGCAGGTGGTTTGCATCAGTAACCAGTGCTTAGGAGCTACATATGTCATGGTTGTAGTTGTAGTGACTATAGAGGATCAAAACAAACATCAAACTTATTCGAATGATTTTGTAACAAGTTGTGACCCATTTGACTCCAACCTAGCCTGGCCTTACCATCCGTACTCTCCGCTCAATTATAGTTTCCCTGCATGTACGAAATGTAATTTGTACTATGGTGTTTTTATCAATAAAGTACAACCTTGCTGTCTGGATTAATATGTCATGTAATAAGTTTTTATTGGCCTATTGTATAAAACATTTAATTAAATAAAAACGGCTGTTTGACCTAAAAGCCATGTCATAAACAGTTCCAATAATATTTGACGATTTGAAATGCAATCATGTGTTTAGTTTGTTGAGTAACTCATAAGCATATCATATAAGTCGTGTCTGAGCTTGATGTTCTCTGCTCTAGTTCCTGAACATTTCAAAATAAATATATTCCCATTTTGATTCACTTTATTTATTTATTTGTTTCCTAGCGAGAAATGCAGTAAAAGTGAAACACTAGATTTAGCAGATTTAAAAAACAGATTTAACATCTCACCCATTCATCGTCGGTGCAGAAGGGCCATTCTTTTTCTGTGGCACATTTCTCAGATCTGGTGTTTGGGATGACGGGCCGCGCACCTCTGGGATCCAACGGCTGAAGAACACAACATCCAAATACAGATTAAGACCAGTTAATATGACATTTTATCATTAGACTTAATCTGGAAGAAAAATGGGAAGAAAATCACAAATGTTCCCAAATGTGGACAAAAACAGTCAAAATGTGACAAAATCTGTACTCATGCAGACAATATACACATATAATAGATTGAAAATTAATTTGATTAATCCCATTTATTTCAGTAGTCCCGCAAAGAATACCAACACATCCAATCAGACACACACAAAACAATGATTCCTAATTTTAAAAAAAGGTGTTAACAAAGTGATGATGTTTGCTAGAGAAAAAAAACCAATCTGAGCTAAAAAAAAAAAAAAGAATAATAATAATTTGGCACTAAAACAAAAATAAATGCGTTCTGGTCTAAAACAAGAACGAGTATTACTCAGGTAGATATTAAAAAATAAACAACATTAAAATTTCAGCTGAAGAAGAATGGTACAGCGGCGTGTTGTTGAAATTCCAGCAATATATATTTAGTGCAAATGGTGTAATTGCTACTTCATATTTTGTATTTCCCTCTCACCTGTGCAGCGGCCAAAGAAACCAGCACCAGCACGAAAGCTTTCATGTTGAGGCGTAACTTGTAAATGATGAGTGAGTTCAAAGTTGGCCTCAATTTGAAGTTTAAACCCGACTTATCGATCGCCGTGACGATTGTTTACCCGGGTTTAAAGTACAAACTGGACTCTCTTTACCGGCAGTGACATAAAAGTATCTGTGCAGCGGGAAGCGGGAAGAAATATGTGAATCACGGTTAATTTAGGGACAAATGTGTGCTGGGGATTTAGTATTAGATGAGGTGGAGTTTGAAACAAGCCAACACATTTTGGCACATTGGCACATAAAGCCATTGGTCCATAAGGGGCAGATGACCAATGACCAAAATGTTGTTGAATGTTGAGTGTCCTGGATCATCACCACTGTGCTTTTATTTAGACCCAGACAATGAACAATGGAAGAAGATTTGAATGAATGTAAATAATCCCAGCTCAAAGAGGCACATAATAGTTTCAATGGTTCAAATGTGAAATATTTAGACAACGTGGAGCTTTTAGAGCATGAGAGACAGTAGTGGCCTGATTTTCTGCTTTTCTTCCAGGAAATAGTGAAATTTGTGAGCTGTGTCACTTTGTTACATATACAAATGTACTGTATACTTAAAGCTGTATAGGAGGATTTTCTACTTCCGGGTGGATCATCAAGATTATTGGTCTGCCCAGTTGTCAATCATTCTGGTGCTCGTCAAATAAGACCAGAGAGTTTTGTTTAAAAACGTGGGGAGGGTGCTTATTTTCTAAAATTTGGGAAAATCCTCCTTTATACCTTTACTATGAAGTGTTTCTTTGTTCTCTTTAAAATGTTTCAACCCAACTCGTTCCATCAGAAGTCAGAGTAATCAGCAATGAATACTATACAGATAAGTAAGTAAGTAAATAAGTAATCTTTATTTATATACCGCCTTTCACAGACCAGAGTCACAAAGCGGTTTACAATTGTTATTGTAAACCGCTTACAGTGGGTGGGAATAAGTGATTGGTGAAACAGATTTCATAAGTACAGAACCCCAGAACATATTTTAAACTGTTAAATATGTTGAGAGTTAAAAGAACTAAACTAAATACACTATATCATTATGTCCATTTAAAACTTGAAATCCATTTTCTGACCCCGTTCACAAAAGGGTTGCTGCATTTTCCACTGCTTTAGGAGCATCTAATAGCACAATTAATATTTAAGAATGAACTTATTTAAAAACAAGGCCATGTTAAAAGATATACAGTAACTTTGGATTGAGATGACCAATGGCTAGGGCTGGGCAATAAATCGAATTTAGGCAATTAATTTGTGAAAAATGTGAAATCGTGAAATCGAATGAAGGATATTGTGAGAGTTCCAGCAGCACATGAATTATACTTGCAATATCAGCACAGTCTGTGCAAGACTTTTATAATACGTACTCGGGGAAATAAATTAAAAATATTTGTGAAACTTGAATATTGAGCGGAAAGATCAAAACATATTTAAGGGCAAGGTCTGTCTTCCGTGACTTTAATGAAAATCGATTTAAAATCGTAATCGTCCAAAGCAGAAAATAAAATCGAGATTTTACTATTTTGCCATATTGCCCAGCCCTACCAATGGCCAATGACCTACATCCAGAGATCAGCGCAATACCAATAGATTTACCGATTTTTTTTTATTTTCTTTCTTTGGAAACATAAAGAAGAGTCTCAGAAAAAAATAATTTAAATGCATTTATTTGCTCTTAAATGTTGACGGACAACAATTTTGTTTCTGAATATACTTTTAAAATGTAGACATGGCTTTAACTCCCAGTCTACATAACGTGTGAATACAGATGAAGACATTTGGTCTAGTGGTAGATCTCAGGTGGGATCTCGTCGTGGATCATTGGGACCCAGTGTTGGATTGGTTTAGAGCAGATGAACGGAAGGGTGTCGTTGCATCCTGCGGCGCCCCATTTGTTCTGATCTGAAATTAGAAAATAAAAAACAACTTTGCAAGGTCTGTTTAAAAAATGGCCACCGTCCTCTTTTTTGTTTGTAAGTCACATTTTCATGACAAAAACAACTGAAGTAGAGGCCAGATACATTATTGTTGAAGGATTATAACATTCAACAATTACATTTGCGTTTGATCCATCCTACTTGAGGACTCCATTTTAATTACTTTCACTAGAATACACAGTAATTTATTTATATTTGCTTCTTTTATGCCAAAGGTAGAGATTTTATACTTCTTTTATTATGCTAAAGTCAGAGTTTTTGTACTCATTATGCTAAAGATAGTGATTTTCTACTTGTTTCTTCTTCATATTTTATTTGATCAAGTATAGAGGCATTGTTCATTAATCTTATGCTGTGTGCTCCTTATTCCTACTGTTCTGTAACTGGTAATGCAACACTGACATTTCTCCACTGTGGGACGAAAAAAATATCTCTTAATCTTAATCTTAATTTGGTTTCTCTTGTGAATCTGATGTGTGTTAAGAACAGATTTACTTGTATTACATCCATAGTTGATCTTGAGGCAGCTGTCCTCGCGAGTTTTGTACATGTCGCTGTACCAGTCTTCATAGTCAAACTTGGAGCCATCACTCCAGAACCAGGAACAGGCCTGAAAAACAACACAACACACCAGGTGGATTAAACATCTTCAAGGCAAGACAAGGCAAGCTTATTTGTATAGCACAAGTCATACACAAGGCAACTAAAAGTGCCTTGTGTATGAACCTACAGCAATTACATGAACAAAACAAGATAAAGACAGTCACATAAGGCTTTAAAACCATAAATAATCACAGTACATTAGAAAGAGTGAAGATAGACATTCTCTGAGAAAAAGCCTGTCTCACATTTTCAAGAGGACGGTTCCAGATTTTAGCTGTACTATCTTAGTTCAGTTTATTTCTTCTTCGGTCACCACATTCAAAATAAGTATTACGTATTGGTATACAGAATAAATACAAATAAATGAATGACCGAATGGGTTTAGGCTGAAGTATAAACTTATTTCGCCTAACCTCTAAATCTAATAAAATAATCCTAATCAAAAGTAGAAGAGACAGATACGTATAAACTAAAATATTGCGGATATAAACCTCATATTATTTGTCTAAACGAGGTCTAACCCAGGCCTGTACCTGGACGGCGTTGTTGGCTCCAACCCAGGTTTCTGGGAAGTCGTGAGTGTCCGCTTTGCTCAGACCCTGCAGGAAGTGGTTGGTTTGGGAGCAGGTGATGGAGGCCAGGTTTGCATCCATATACTGACAGTACAGCTGCAAAAGACAATACTTGTGAATTAGTAGTAGTAGCAGTAGTAGTAGTAGTGGTATAGTAGTTGTAATAGTAGTAGTAGCAGTAGTAGTGATCACTGTAGGCACATCCCCAAGCCCATCTAAATGAGTTTTTTATTAGAGTAGTAGTAGTAAGTTATATAGCTTCTTTCTTTATATATAATAAAACTAAAATCTTCATGACTGTACAAAACATAAACATGATGATAACGAGGATAGATAGTAATGACATATTAATGCATAATTGTTGTTGTTGTTGACATTGTTGTGTTACTGACCAGGCATCCAAAGTGAACGTGTGTGGATGGGAGTTCATAATTCTTACTTTCAGGTCTCTACAGGGGTGAAACGGCAAACGTGTATCTATGTGTGTGTGTGTGTGTTCAAGGTCTGTATTTGAAAAGTCAAACAACTGAAACCTGTAATAAAATAAAATGAAACAGAATCACAAAGCGCTACAATTGTCTGAAAAGGTGTTATGACCACTTCCAACCAGGAGGAAACCAGGGGAAGACCCAGGACACATTTGGCCTGGGAACGCTTCAGGATTCCCCCGGATGAGCTGGAGGAAGTGTGTGCGTGCGTGTGTGTGTGTGTGTGTGTGTGGAGAGGGAAGTCTCTCCGGCAACGGATAAAGCGGAAGAAAATGAGTGGATGATCCCTGACCTCGGCCTTGACCCAGCATTTGGGGGAGTCGATGAAGATGTAGCAGTGGTCGTAAAACGGGGTCCAGCCTTCATGGCAGCTCGACTTCTTATCTGCACCAAAAAAAAATACAACAGTAGAGTTTTAGTTGCCCTTCCAGATGTTAAAACCCATCATTACAAAACATTTGAACAAGATAGAAATAAACAGTTGGTGCTGGAGAGAGATTTTAGACTTTTAGACTTTTGCATTCTTGTTAGAAATAGCCCTGTGACTCACTACTCATTACTATGTATCTTCCTTCTGTAAATCGCAAAATATTCTTTTCCCCCTTTTTTTTAAAAATGCTTTTCAGAATCCAGAATTATTGTACAGTAATCGTTTTATCAAGAAAAGGACTATGCCGTCATTTTACCATAAACATTGAACCCTGAATAAAATAAGCAATAATTCAAAGTAAAGTTTATCAAACCTAATCCAAGCAGCTGAAATCATTTTGTTCATAGAAATATAAAGACATATATTAATCAAAGTCATATTCAATAAAAGTGATTATTTAGTCAAAACACCTCCATGATAATTAAACGTATCAGAGAGAACAATTTCCACAAACACTTAATTCTTGTCTTTAATTTCCTGTTTTTGTCTCCGTTCGACAAGGCCAAATGTTTACTCTCTCGTCTGTCAATGTTGAAGAATGAGAAGATGGCACCGTTTGAAATGCAGCGATATGTTATTTTATCATTATATTATTATTATGAATATTTATCCAGGAGCTGAACTGTGCAAAGTAGAAAAGCATGAGCAGAGATTTGTCTGCATGTGCTTATTCGTTTGCTCCAAAGACACACAGACAAACACGTGTGCAAAAATAAATACTCTTTAATGCGGCCCAGCTTTCCCCAGACTCAACCTCATGCGGACCCTTGATCTATACTGAAGGGTGTTTGTGTTTGTGCTAGAAAGGCAGGTACAGTAAGTTTCAGACTAACTCGGAACAATGTTTGGACTCATTGACTGCCATTGACATATTTGTATTAGACCCTCTATTCGACTGGGGATTACAGGAAAAAAAAAATAGCTAAAAACAAACTTATTTTTGCTGATCAAAGCAGACAATCCAGTCTTTCAGAATCTGTTTTCACATTTCACATAGTCTTAGGAAATAATGTTCTGTGGGTCTTGAGAATCAGTGAAATCTTCAAAAATGGCTGGCAGTTAACATGGTTTGTGTTCGATTATACTCTTGAGTGTGTTTTACCAGGCTCAGGCATCGGCTCAGGCATAGGCTCGTACTCGTGCTTGTACTCGTGCTTGTACTCGTGCTCGACCTCGTGATCGTCCTTGTGATAGTGATCGTCATCGTGCTCGTGATCGTCCTCGTGCTCGTGATCGTCCTTGTGATAGTGATCGTCATCGTGGTCGTCCCCGTGCTCCTCCTCCCGTCTGGTGTGGACAGTGCAGTCTGGACGCTCTCCATGGACTTTGGTTCCGGACACTTCACATCCGGTCTTGGGGTCCACGCACCAGCACACCTCGATGGCTTTCCAGCACTGCATCACGCTGAAGTTTCCATCTGCGTCGCACGAGGGAAGATACTGGGTCGGGTTTGGTGGGTGAGAGATCATGCTCAAGACCCAATAGCACGGCCCATCATACATGCTCGTTGGTGGTGGTGGTGCAGCCTCGCCCTGAGCCAGGAGCGCAGCCAGAAGGAATGCCAAAGTCTTCATGGTGCAGAGAAATCAGGTCTAGATGAGGAAGAACAGACAAGGTTTTGGTAATGAGTTTAGTTGGTATCAGTTCTGTTTTGTATTGTTTTTTCCAATAGAAGCGTCTCACAAAGTTGCTCGCTTTAAAGCTGTGCCTGAAGAGACCCAATTTATTAGAAAGAGTAAATGATTCTAATCCAATATGTACAGGTATTTATGTGGTCTCAGGGCAAATAATGATTTAGGTCACAATGAAGTTATTGCCTTTGTAGGTAAAATGTGGGAGACACCAGAATCTGTGCTGTATTTAGATAGATAGATAGATAGATAGATAAATACTTTATTGATCCCCCATAGGAGAAATGTAGGTGTCCAGCAGCAGAAGACTCTTTTCTTGTTGTTGTAGTACAGTTAGTCTGGTTTGACAGTCAGTCAGGTTTGTTATACAGTCTGACAGCCGAAGGAACAAAGGATCTTTTGAAACGTTCCGTTCGGCAGCGTAGTGATAGGAGCCTGTTGCTGCGATTACTCCTCTGAGTGGCCATGGTGTCATGCAGAGGGTGTCTGGAGTTACCCAGGATGCCCTGCATTAGAGCCCTCATCCTTCTCTCCAACACAGCTCCCACAGAGTCCACACTTCTTCCCATCACAGAGACACATTTCTTGATCAGCCTGTCAATCCGGTTACTGTCTCTCGAGGTCAGACTGCCCCCAACACGCAACCCCAAAGAACACAGCACTAGCTACCACAGACTGGTTAAAGATGTGCAACATTTGACACATCAAAGGACCTCAGTCTACTCAGAAGGCTTTACGCTAAAATATTGTTAGTCCATGTCTGTGCAGTACATGGTCTGAAGCCATGTGACCTCTTGCTTCAGTGTCATATAAGTTGGGCACTTTTCAATTTAGCATTACGGCATTCGTTTATAATTTATTTGAAAAATGGCGAGCACAAAGATGAATCGTTAGGAGATATTTTTTATCTAACCCTATTTAAAAAAAAGCCTTGATAAGATGTTGCAAATTTTAAAGTTATCGAAAAACTCCAAACTCAATAGATAAGTGAAAAAGAATATACACACAACATTTGACCAACACCTATGACAACTGTACAACATGAACAATACTGACATATTTTAACTATTAATGTAACATATATAAACAGTACTAATATTCTGTTCATATTAATAAACCATTTTGGTTTTTTTTGTTATTCGGAATGGGAATAACATCAAGTATAAGATAAGCATCCGTTAATTTATATTTTCTAAACAAGTCAAAACAAATCAACAATGTCATATTAGATGTATGTATCGTGCTCTCACCTGTTCAGACTGCTGCTGAGGACCTTGCAGGTGTTCAGCTCCTCAGTCCTTAAATCTGCTGCTCGCCGTATCTCTAGAGGCATCAGAGCCGACCCTCCGTCCCACAGACACTCTATACACTATTATATTTACAGGAGAGACAGGAGCAGGACAAAGATGTGAAAGATCAAAGATTGTATCATGTGGTTTCAAATCTCAAACAAGTTCACACTGGGGCTCAATGACAAACAATCTTTCCAACAGCAGCGGGGTCAGGGGTCGGGGGTCAAACTCATTGTAGTCGAGGGATAAAGAAACATTGTTCAAAGGCTGTAAGTTTAAAAATGGTTTTCAAAAGTTTGTTTGAAGCTCATCTTATCTTTGAGGGCGGCACGGTGGCTGAGTGGATAGCACTCTCGCCTCTCAGCAAGAAGGTCCTGGGTTTGAATCCCTGTCGGAACAGGGTCTTTCTGAGTGGAGTTTGCATGTTGCATGCACCGGAGTACCTGGAGGAAACCTACACAGGCACCCCCCGTGCCTGTGTAGGTTTCCCCTTCGATTTCCCCTACCTAGTCCCTAGTCCTGACCAAGCCAAGCATCAACATCTGGAGATGGTTTCCCGGGCGCTGTTACTATGGCGACCACTGCTCCTGACGTAAGCCTTCGCGGCATCAGGACGGGTCAAATGCAGAGGATTGAATTGCCCTACGGGGACTGATAAAGTGCACCTTTACCATCTGTGGATATTATTTTGCATTTATTCTCTTGCAGTATTCTCTTGCAGTATTCTCTTGCAGTATTCTCTTGCAGTGTGGAGGTATTTGGAGTATTATCAACATGAGTTTGGATATCATTTTCCTGGGAGATTTTCCTGAACAAATGTAGTTTAATTATTCAGTTACTTTTTGTTTGGATTGAGGCAAAATCTATCTGAAAGTAAAGGATGTCTGTCATGCTGTGACTGATGCGTCACAATCATGGGTGGTATTTCCTACACCCTTCACCCGGATGTAGATGCACTGGGAAGTAAAAGCGTTTATCTAAATCTTGGTGCCGTATCGATTCCAAAGTTGTAGTAACCAACATCTATGAACCTCACTGTATATATTTAAAGTTCCATCTATCCATCCATCCATATCATTCCCACCATTTCTGGCTCAGGGAATTCACAATATTTAAAGTTTAAGTTTTAAATCACCTTTTGCCGATTTCGATTCTCAAAATAAAGTGGACAAACAAAACAAAACAAGGCTCATCCTACAACGCACAATTCTGATTCTTCTTTTGTTTTATTCCCTTGCTTTTGTGTCCAATAGGTCACAATTCCCTGAAGACACAAAATAGAGGAAATTTATACCCCTTTTGTCCTTTTAACAATAGTCTGTAAAAGATAATATGGAGTCTCAGTTTACTAATTCTTTATTTTTCTTGTGACAAAAAGGGAAAAGAAAAGAGTTCCATGGAGCGGAGGCGTTTTCCAGTTTGTTTTGTCATTTGAAAACTTTGATCAAACTGATATACGTCGTAAACACACATCACGATGACTTTGCAATTTTTAAATTAAATTGTATTATTTTTGGTTGATTATAACATTAAGATTAAGATTAAGAGATCCTTTATTTGTCCCACAGTGGGGAAATTTCACAGGTTATAGGACAGTAGGAAAGAGGAGCACACAGCACACGTTAAGTGAAAAATAGCTATACTAAACAAAATAAAAAATAATCTAACTCTAGCATCAATAATAAGTATAAAATCTCTATCTTGAAAATATAATAGATGTAAACATTCAAAATTGACAAGATAAGAGGCAAGTATAAAGTACTGTGTAATCTAGTGCAAGTAAAGTGTAGTTATATGTTAGCATCTGTACATTAGCAGCAGTATGTTAGCATCTGTACATTAGCAGCAGTATGTTTACATCTGTACATTAGCAGTAGTATGTTAGCATCTGTATATTGGAAGCTGTGTATTGCACATTCTGGTATAAGGTAAGGATATTGCAACGATGCGAGAATGACACTGGAATCAAGTTGGCAGTGTTCATTAATCCTTATTGGTCCTTATTGTTTATTGTACAGTCTGACAGCAGCAGGAAGGAAAGACCTGTCATGGTCCAGCATAGATGTTAGTTTGTCCAGGACCCTCCTGTCCCCCACCTGCTGCACTGTGTCCAGGGAACAGCCCAGGACTGATCTGGACTTCCTGATGACCTTGTCCAGCTTCTTTCTGTCCCTCTCTGTGATGCCACCACAGAGTCATAGAAGGCCTTCAGGAGTGGCCCCTGCACTCAAAGCCTGAGCCTCCTCAGCAGGTAGAGGCGGCTCTGGCCCTTCTTGAAGAGGGCGTCTGTGTTATGAGTCCAGTCCAGTTTGTGGTTCAGATGAACACCCAGGTACTTGTAAGAGTCCACTCTCTCGATGTCCTTTCCCTGGATGTTCACTGGGGCTGGAGCGGCAGAGTGACGTCTACGGAAATCCACCACCATCTCCTTGGTCTTCCCCGCGTTGATGAGGAGGTGGTTCTGCTGACACCAGTCCACAAAGAATCTTTTTGCTGAACTTGGTTTTTCTTAAAGGTGATATCTCCAACTTCAATTGTATTTCATCTTTTGGATCACATGACCCTGTAGTATCATTGTATTTAAATATGTTTTCAAAAATTATATAAAAACCAGTCCATCCTCGAGGAAAAGCCACCACCAGTATGATTATTTAGGCCATTACAGGGTTAAGTTTTTTTTTTCTAATGTATTTTTCAAATTGTATTATTATTTATTTGAATATAGGACAGTAATCAAGTAATCAATGTGTCAGCAAACAGCGTCAACAGAAGTTTGATGGAATTTGCACAACAGCTAAATTGCATCCATTGTCCTCAGGCAGGTTGAAACATACAAACACACAATAACTCAACAAGCAGAGAAAGTCCAAGTAGAACTTCATCCATGGGAGCAGGACTGGTTTGATCTCAACCCATTTTTCAGGACTCATTTAAATGTTAGGTAAGTTACGTATGTGTGTATTTATTATAGTCCTGTATGTTGCATGTACTGTATGTATAGCCTTATTTATGTACTTGTACACACTGGGGACTGGGGTTTTACTGCAAATCTGACACAGTGCTTTGAAACACATCTCTCAAATCTAGTTCTGGTAAAGAGGAAGAGCAGAGGGGAAATAATAAAGATCCTGATGCTTTCACTTTCACTCCCAGAATGTTTATTTACTGCGCAATCTGACCACATCCATCTTCACTCTTAGCAGAGGAAAATAAAATACACAGATTAAGAGTGTGACAATATATCGATATGGTAATGTATCGTGATACTTTATCACCCAATCAATTATCGATATAGTTGCTGAGTATCGAATTATTATTATTATTATTTTCATTTGATTTTATTTTAAGCTTTATTTGTAAAAAAAAAAAAAAAAAAAAAAGTATTGATACTTAATATATGGCTACAGTACGCATTCTAGAATTTCTGTAGAATGTTCATATTTATATTACTGGATTTTACTCTAATGTGCAGGTTAAAAGCATTTTTGCTTGTTCACTTTAATGTTACACATGACACTTTATCCATTTATCTTGAAATAAAATGTATAATTTCACTTAATTTATTCCATAAATATAAGAAAAATATTATCAGAGGTATACAGTATTTTTGACTGATATATTGATAATCGCTGCATCGTCATATCGTGAGATAACCGTTATCGTGACCTTTGTATCGCACATCGTACCGTATCAGGGTACCTCACACCCTGAGGTTCCCACCCCTAGTGCAGAGCAGGGGTCTCCCATAGCTCAGGAACCGACAGTAGCTCCCCACCCCCTTCCAGGTAGCTCGCCAAAGGATTTAGAAATGAACAAATAAAATATTATACTTACTATTTCAGATTACATTAATCATTATATTATTGTAAATGCACTATAGTAACAATTATGCAATGATAAATAATGACTGTACCCAATATTAGACTTGCTCACATTTTTCCCAGGGTCGCTTATAGGAGTAGCTCTCTGCCTATATCGTCCCGTGAAAGTCATATCCCCATTGTTCCAACTGAAAGTGTTGTAAATCTATAATTTTGAGACCAAACCAGACCAGATTTTGTCTTTATCCTGTTTGAAAACATAGCCTTGTCAGTCACTATTTAAGGGCTTTGAGCTAAGAGCTGATTGGCTGAGTGAGGGTGGTTCTCTTGTTTTCCCTTTTCTGTCTAAACACACTGATCTAAAGAGGAGATGTCTGAGGCCAAAAATACATGCACTTGAAAACTAGTGACAGAAACATTCTATTTCCAAAGAGATTAATTTTATTATTATATTATATATTGTTATTTTATTCCAGAGAGGTTTTTATTGTATAGTTGTTTTTGTGTTTGGTACCCCAGCTTTAAATTTTGACAAATTCCCCTACTGGATTATAAAGTGTCATTTTAGCAAATAATTAGGACTTCCCCTTTTCACTTCCTCAAAATCCAACAGACACAGAACAACATTCTCTTGCGGATGCTCCGGCTTTGTTCATAAACAGATTTGAAGGTAACCGTTTTGATTTGTTGTATAGATTCTCTGCATCTTCATTTAAAATTGTGTTGCTTTATATGGGTTCAAAGGGTTTTAAGTATTTTAGAAATTATTCTTCACACCAGGACTAAATCACGACTGAAAACCACTCTACACCAGATCTAAACCAAGACTAAAACCAGGTCTACACCAGAACAATTTCAGGTTTGCAGTCCCTTTTACCAAAAGGACTGCAAACCCTTTTTACTGTAAATAGTGAGACACACAGCTGTAATAATTACTTTAAACAACTATTTGCTCGAAGAACCCGCAAACAAATGTGCGTTTCATTGTCTGGTGTGAAAAAATGCCCACACCAACCTGCTTTTTCAATACACCACAGAGCATAGGGGTCAACATAAATACACATGTCCTCATACAGTATGTGAGCAGGGGTGGAGGGCGTGTCAGAGGCAAGACACCTCTGCAGTTTGTTGGTGTAGTGGTATAATAATTAATAATTATTATCATAATTAATGGAAAGTTGATATTATCTGATTTGAGCTATTCTTGTATTTTTGGTGCCGGTCTAATGTGTAATTGATGTAAACAAGGATTAGGTAGGAGTTTATAAGATATTTGTATTTATACTTTTTCTTTATCCTTCTGTTCTTATTTTTATGGAATGTACACTCACCGGCCACTTTGTCAGGTACACCGATCCAACTCCACTTTAATGCAAATTCCTAATCAGCCCATAACATGACTGCAACTCAATGTATTTAGGCTGTAGACATGGTCAAGACGATCTGCTGCAGGTCAAACCGAGCATCAGAATGGGGAAGAAAGGGGATTTTAGTGACTTTGAACGTGGCATGGTTGTTGGAGTATTCCAGAAACATCTGATCTACGGAGATTTTCAGACACAACCATCTCTATGGTTTACATAGAATGGTGCCATCCATCCATCCATTTTCTACCCTTTAATCCATTTCTGGGTCAGGGGGTGGCAATCAGAGATGCCACCCAAGTCTCATAGCACCAGCCCCTCACTGACCCTCTGCAGGTGGTGAGTCCACAGGAGGACGGCTGCTCTCTGAGTGTGAGCATAGCCTTGATCTTTCAGTGGGGGCTTTGGGCAAAGTGGGGTTAAGTGTCTTGCCCAAGGACACAACGACAGCAGTCATCAGTGGGAGTCGGTGGAGAAGGTGCAGAGGTGGGAATTGAACCCACGACCTTCTGGCCTTAAGGCCAATGCTCTACCAACTGAGCTACTGTCGCCATAGAATGGTGCGAAAAAGAGAAAATATTTGTGAGTGGCAGTTCGGTGGGCGAAAATGCCTTGTTGATGCCAGAGGTCAGAGGAGAATGGCCAGACTGGTTTGAGCTGATAGAAAGGCAACAGTAACTCAAATAACCACTTGTTACAACCAAGGTATTCAAGAGAGCCTCTCTGAACACAGAGCACGCCAAACCTTGAGGCAGATGGGCTGCAACAGCAGAAGACCACACCGGGTGCCACTCCTGTCAAAACAGGAACCTGAGGCTACAAAAATGATTTGGTCTAAACCAGGATTAAATCAGGACTAAACCAGGTCTAACCCAAGACTAAACCAGAGCTAACCCCCTCTCCCTCCCTTGCTCCAGAATGCCCTGTGTGCCTGTCCTCGCTCTCCTCCTGGTCATGCACTGGTCCCACATTCTGGCCTGGGACAGTTTGTCTCCGTCGTGTCGCTGTGATGAGAGGATGAAGTGCGTCTGCTCTGGTCTCAGTGCGGTTCCTTCAGTCCCAGACCAAACCAAGACCCTGGACCTGGACTTCAATAACATCACAAAGATCCACAGAGCAGACCTCAGACCACTGCGCAGACTGGAAGTTCTCAAAATACACGGTAACGACTGACAGGGTTTTGCTGTATCTGCAAAATACTATTACTGTATCTGCTCATGGAAAGGAATCATTCAATACATTTCAACACTTTTACATTTGTTAAAAGAGGTAGACTTCGCACATCTCTTCTATGACAGGTGCGTAGGAGTGGGCGCGCACAACAAGATATTTTGCCTGAGGAAGGCCTGTGGCCGAAACGTTGCTAATAAACCACTGGTGTTTGCAAGTTAGACAGTGTGCGGGTGTCATCCTTTCTTTCAACACTTTTACATTTAAAATCCCAAATACATTTTTTTAAAACTATACTATACTATATTTCGATTCAGTTTGGTCCTGATTTATAATATCATTTTTCATTTGACTGGAAATAAGAGGGACATATCTCTTTATTTTGATTCACATTTCAAGTATGTGTTTTGTATTTCATCAAAGGCAAATGAGTGAAATGCAGAGGGCCTGAGCGATTTCATGGTATTTTAATTTAAAAATAAACTTTTATCTACCCTCAGTATATTTGAAACATCTTTGAATTGATAGAGTCAGTCAATCAGTATTTTTTATAGTTAATAAAATAAGTTTAGTTTGAATGTGCATTGTTTGTCTCTTTGGCTTCTGTCACCAGCGAACAGAGTGTGTGCGATGGACCCACAGGCCTTCTCCTCCCTGTGGAGTCTGAGAGAGCTGGACCTGTCCCAGAACCTCCTGACCTCACTGGACCACCGCTGGTTCAACAAGCTGGGGGCGCTAGAGAGTCTCAAGATACACGGAAACCCATACAAGTGAGACAAGTCTTGGGCTGTATCCACACTCAATGATCTAATCGGAGCAATTCTTGTTCCCTTTGGGCAAAAAGTCTTTATTTATGGATTTAAAGCCATCAACCAAGTGAGCATGTGCCTACTGACCACTTAAGCCAGTTTACATATATATGAAACAGATCTGTGACGCATTTCCCCCAAATCAACCAATTCAATTCTCTTTATTTACAAAACTTCACAGTCATACACGTCATGCACATTCTATTTGTAAAGTTTGTAGAAGTGAACTCCTGGGAAGCTACAATAGCTTATAGGTGGGGCTCCGAAAACAACACATGTGAAACAAATGCAAAAATGTTTACCTTTATACAATCCTAAACCCATTTCTAAACATTTTACCCGTTTACACATCCTTATAGTTTCAATCAACCAGACTTGGTCCAGTTAAAGTGAACTAAACTGACAATGGTTTATTCCCCCAGAGTCCATGTATAATCCTGGTTTAGTCATAATTTAAACCAGATTTTGTCCTGTTTTAAGCCTGGGTACGACTTTAGATAGGTCAACAGACTGAAAGCAGAAGAGCCGGTTTATTCGACTTAAGGCCTAGGAGCCAAATCACCCCGGGTTTCCAAGATGGCCGCCCTTTCAACCAGAGTAACATGTGGGTGTTCAGCTTCAAACCAACCCTACAATTGATTTTATTGAATTGCATTTTCACTCCACAATGATCCTAACCTGCAGGAGAGGAGTTTGTCAGATATGTGCATAAAATTGTATAATGTGTTTTTGGATTAAATGCAATGGAGAAAACATGTAGCAAACATGTAGCATATGTGTGTGTTTCTCCTCTGCCAGAAGCTTGGGCTCTCCTCCGCTTTTCCAGACCTTGTTCCGACTGCGGAGCCTGAGTTTTGGAGGGGAGTCCTTGGAGGAGATCCACACGTCTGACTTGAAGGGGCTGGGAGGCCTGGAGCAGCTCCGTGTGGACGCCAACAACCTCAAGAGGTGACTATAAACCAGTGGAATAATCTTTGTGAGGTCAGTGTTAGTAAGACACATCTTCAAAGAGATATTTCTGTACAGCTGGTCTTGAAGACGATTCATTGTTTTGGCCATTCAGAGATGACGTGTATTTTTTGGTCAAATAAACAATGGGTTAGATAACATCATTGAGCTGCTCTGGGGAGATCTCAAACATAAAGCATGCCTGGCTGCCCCTCAGCGCTGTGGCCTCTGTATGGCTTTTGACAGCTGCAGCAGCGCTCAGACCAACAACGGACAGGTCTGAAATCTCCGCTATCGCACTGAAGCAGTCGTGAGTTCCGGTGGTTAGAAAAGTACATGAACTGTGTGGTGAGCCTAAAAACATGAAGCTGCTACTTTGCAGAATTTCACTTGGTAGTTATGTGATTTTTTTTATTTTTTTATTTAATGTAAGAGACCAATTTACTTCCATTGCCTCAAAAAACGCGCAACTTCCTGATGGCGTTGGCTGGAAATGGGAACGTAGTCTATGGGTTTTTGACTACGGTCCCATGACTCATTTTACCACACTTCAGGCTGTGGTAAAATGAGGTGAAAACTGAATGTGTGGCGGTTGCAGGTACGATCCCGGGGCTCTGTCTCAAATCTGGCCCTTGGATCACGTGACCCTCAGCCTTCGATCTTTGTTTCTGATGGACCAAACTCTGGTCTCAGCGTTGATCCGTGACGTCTCCCATCCAGAGACTGAGGTGACTCTGGAGAACATTTATCTGAAGGACAACCGCTCCGCCCTGCCCTTGAGAGAGCTGGCGCAGGGGAGAGTCAGGTCTGCGTCTCTCTGCACCTCTCCATCATGTGACAACCAGAAACAAAAATATGTAGAAAATATCTGCAACCTTTAAGTAGCTATATGTAATGTTTCATGTCAAGTCATCATTAAATGGCCCTAATCTGTCAAAAGGCCTTAATGAACCATGCTCTTTTCAAATACTTCTTTAACTTATCACGGTAGTTCAGCCAAGATATTTGAATTTCAAAATTAGTTTTACAGCCACAAAATCTTGTTATTATTTCCATTTCGATGTCCCGCTCTCCACCGTTTTACCAATCAGAAAGTCTGTGATCCGGGTTTCCAGAACTCATCGCGTCGAGCTAATCTCACTGGTAAAGAACTAAAATGGGTCTCGTAACAATTCACAAATCATTAATGACAAACAAGGACTAAAACGAGGATTTCTATCGAGGCCTTTGTGAGAAAGGTGTTGGTTATGTCTATTCAGATATTATGGTTCCAGCTAGATTCGTCTGCATATCTGGCAACCTGAGTCAGGGAGAGTGGGAGAGGTTGCAGTACCACTTTTGGCCGGATATTTACATACTGCTCCTTTAAGTAGAAGGTGGAGAGCTTTAGGCATAATCAACCCAGTCGCAAAAACTTAAAGATATGTAGATAAAAATACAAATGATATCGAATATACATTTATTTTTTTTCAATTTCAGTTTGGCCATATCTAATTATACATTTGACATCCTGCTTGTGATTGACCAGAGGGATGTTGCAGAGATAACTGGGCCAAAATTCCAAATCTAAACCGGAATAATTTACTTTTGTGGAATTTTGTGGAATTAATCATTTTAAGAGAGTGTGTAGTAAATAAAGCACAACTTAATTTTAAACTTAAAATTAAACGTAAAACTAATATTTATATTTGACACCAGAGTCATTCCACCAAACAAAAATCTATTTTGTATATTATTCCACCAAACGCAGAAAGGACGTCCATCAACAAGTTATTTTCTTCCATAATTGACATGTCACTCACTTACCCTCAAAATGGGATTTCATGATTCTCTTAATAATTGTTTGTATTTTTCCAGACATGTTGCCTTCAATAATTTTTTTTTAACGGATGAGACGATGGTGAAATTATTGGAAGTGACCGACGGAGCACCGATTGACACATTTACTCTGAACAACGTCACTCTGAGCGGAGTCGGAAGGTGAAACCAGGACTAAAGCAGGTCTTAGTTCAGACCCGGGGAAGACCATCTGAACCACATCTAAATCAGTACTGAACCAGATCTAAACCAGGTCTAAACAGAACAGAACCAAATTTGAAATAGATCTGGAATGAACCAAGACGGAATTAGGTATAAACTTGTACTGTAGATACATTTCCCAAATAATCCCCTGTGCGTTGACTTTTTCAATAATTTTGTGTCATTTTCTGCCTGCAAGCACAAAAAGCAAAATTTAGATTTAATTAGTGTGGAATCTTCCATGATGTCTTAGCCCGAAGAATTCTCACACTCTGCTTAAGATATATAGAAAAGATATATTCTGAATTTCTCCATCTGTGTGAGATAATAAAGGATTGATTGATTGATATGTAAGACGGAGAAAAGTAAAAAAATACAGCCATAAAAGCTGGGCTTGCAAAAACAATGATGAGATAGCAAAATCCAGGCACAAAGGGATCCTCATTTTCCAAATAATACCAAAACTGCTGCAGTCCATGTACAGTAAATATATACAGTACATTAATCAGATACAAGGGACTATAGTAGACACAACATTAGCACACATTTTAAGCTTGTTCTTTGCTCGTGTGTGTAGATGGGAAAAGGCGAAGTGGACCGATCACAAAAGCCTCAACGAGTTCTTCATAAGAGACGCGCAGATCTTAAACAATTTTGATTTCACGTCATTTCTGCCTCTGCGTTTCCTGCTGACTTATCCACGAAAGATCTCTGTCATCAACACAAAGGTACATCCTGCCCTCAGCTTCTTTGATAAATCTGAGGGTGTCGAACAAATAACAAAACCACAGCAAAGTGGCAGACAACTGTGAAGTGAATGTAAAATGAGACTTTATTTAGTTATGATAAAGTTATGCAAAGAAAAATTAGCAAAATAACATGACTTTAAATATGCAAAGCTTATGGAGATATTCCCCAAAATTTAATTCAATTCAGTTTATTCTTGTATAGCCCTAAATCATAACAGTAGTTTATCTCGGAGGACTTTGCACAACCGTTTAATTCCCCAACACAGATCAGAGAATCAAAAAAACAAAGCCAAGAACATTGTTCAAGCGAAAGGGACTTCCACATTGTATATGAAAAATACTTTTTCTCACTTCACATTTTTCTTCCATTTCGAGTTCACACAATGCTTCCAAATTTGCATGAATTAGCCTCCACATTTTCACTCAAACAGCCTGTTCGAGCTAACTCTAAGTGAGATCCTGGAAACTCTGAGATTCCTACTTAATCTTTCCAATTCCAAAAATCAGCAGGTGACGCTGATGACCCACATGTGCAGCAGTGACAACAAAAATATGAACATGCTTTATAAATTAGTTTTACCACCAATAATTTGTGGTAAAAGAGCCTTTTCTCAGTTTTAACCTTGAGAGAACTACAGCACCAAATGCACTGGTTAAATGATGACACACCCCCCTCTGCTGGAGGGATAAAGAATGATCCATGTTGGTCATAATGCCACAGCCACACTGCTGTTTCCCTCTTTGTACTCCTAAGCAATAAATACAACTTTAAAAAATATATATTTCTATACATTATCACAATCTACAATCTAAAATCTATAAAAAATGGGACATTAATTTAATATTCTTGGCTCTATCCTTCACGACACAGATTGGAATTAAAACCGATATGGTCCAACATTCTCCTCTTTGTTCTGCAGGTGTTCGTGATGCCGTGTTTAACTTCTATGATTTTTAAAAACCTTGAGTACTTGGACATGAGTGAGAACCTGCTCACAGACCCGACGCTGAGGCAGACGCTGTGTGAGGGCATGTGTGTGTTGAGCAACCTGCGTGTGCTCAACATCAGCGCCAACACCATCAAGGTACAAGAGCTTCTCGTCCAGGTCAAAGCTAAACCAAAAACAAAACAAATCACCAGCAGTTGTCTCAAATTTGTATCATATAATTGTTTGTCTAGTATTTGATATTACAATTGGCTGTGGCATAAAGTGCTAAGCATGTTGTTTCCTTAGGCAGCTCACTTCACCCATGTTGCTGATCTGAGTATGATGTGTGCTTTAATGATTGGTGATGGTCAGAGGGACGTCAAATCAAATCAACTTTTTTTTTTCACATCATTCAATCACAACAGTCTCATACATTGTTTGCCAACAAATTGGACATTACAACCAAAATAAAAAACAAAACACATTTGCTTAGACAGTATTTGAGAAAATGGAAATCCCAGTGGGAAAAAAGTAGAATATGAAGTATTTAAGTAGAATATGAAGTATTTAAGTTTTTTTTTTTTCCTGGAAGTAAGAGTTAAGTTGGAATGCAGTGTAGTAGCCAAACTTTAAACAAGAACATTAAACATGGTTCAAACTTTCCACGACAGTAGCACAACTGTGAACACCCCAAATGGACAAAAAGATCAGACACATCATATAAATACATTAATACATAATATTTTACAGAGCAGTTTGCAAACAGCAAATAGTATTTTTATATTATAGATTTGTTCACGCTCTGTCTCTATCTTCAGTCTCTGTCTCTGGTCAGCCGGCTGGTTTCTAGTCTGTCCAAATTGTCTCACCTGGACGTCAGCAGGAACAGCTTCGGCCTGATGCCTCCGACCTGTCCTTGGCCCCAGTCTTTGCGCTTCTTGAACATCTCCAGGACTAAACTGACCAGCGCCACCACCTGTCTGCCACTGACACTACAGGTAAAGAAACATGCACCTGGCTCTTAGAGAAAGCCGTATTTTAGGATGTGGATTGACACTAAAATAACTACCATGGGAACTGTACCAGCTCTAAAACCAAAACAAAATAATTAGATAAGAACAGAAAATAGGAATAAACAAAATTCAAAGATAGAATAAAACTTTTCTTGTACTTCTCCACCAAAAAAGGACGACAAAACAGAAATTGGGACACTTCAGATATGGCCTGGTGAATACTTTTTCTTTTGCAGGTTTTAGATCTGAGCTACAACAACCTCGATCAACTATATTTGGTGCTCCCTGCCCTGAGGGAACTTCACCTGACTGGGAACAAGCTCCTGACACTGCCCCCTGGATGGCTCTTCCCCAACCTCCAGACCTTCACCTTACAGGTACAACTCAACAATGTCAAATACGCATTACTGCTACTGAACGACTATATATTGAAACGCCATTGCTCTGAACCCGTCCATTAAGTCCACCCATACACGCAATTTACCCACCGTTCTTTCACTTACCTGTTACTTCATTCTTTCTTACGTAGGTCATTTCACAGCAACTCACAGTATTGTTGGCTCAAATCCATTTTCCTCTCCCACAGTTGAACACATTGAACATCTTCAGCCCTTCAGATCTCCAGTCTTTCCCCCGGCTCCAAAACTTCCAAGCCGGCCGCAACAAATTCATCTGCTCGTGCCACTTCGTTCCATTTTTCCACTCTTTAGCCAACGACGAGACCAACGTTACTCTGTCTGATGGCATCGACAACTACTTCTGCGATTCTCCCCTTCACCTGCAGGGGAAGCTTCTATCGTCGGTGCATCGATCTTTCACGGAATGCCATCACGTAATGTTTGTTTCCATCTGCTGTGGACTCATCCTGATTTTTGTGACCTTTCTTGGAGTCATATTGTGGAGGGTTCATGCATTCTGGTACCTGAAGATGACGTTTGTTTGGCTGAAAGCGAAGAAGCGGCGGAAGTGGAGGAAGGAGCGGGAGAATGGAGACACGGAGGGACTTTTGGTCTCGTTTGATGCTTTTGTGTCGTACAGCGAGAGAGACAGCGCCTGGGTGGACAACTACCTGCTGCCAGAGCTCGAGCAAACAGGGTAATGTTAATGTTATTGGTACTGCAGCAAAACAAAATCTGTAGGGCCGAGAAACATGTTGCTTTTGTTCTGATGACTGGTAATCCAAATGTTTCTAAAAAGTATTTTATGGCCATTTCTGTCTTATTTGTAATCATCGTCTTGTTTCTAGTTGTAAAGAAAGTAGTTAATTAACGTTTTCATTCACACAGGTCCTCTGCTGAGTCCAATACAGCGTCTGTTCTAGATTCGAGTCCCGAGTCCGAACCAGAGTTGAGGGCAGAAGCCAGATCCGGTCCTGGTCTGGAGCCGCTGAGGCTGTGTCTGCACAGAAGGGACTTTCTTCCTGGCCGTTTCATCATGGACAACATCGTCACGGCGATCGAGTCGAGCCGAAGGACTCTGTTTATTCTCTCTCAAAACTTTGTCAAGTACATCACTTAGTTTGTTTTTATGGATTAAGAATAACAGCAAATGATCTTGTGTTAAAGTCAAAACTTCCACTTCGGCTTTGAAATCCCCCGTGGAACTCACTTTCAAATTGATCTACATATGAGCAAATTATATTTTGTATCTTTTTAAGACAGTAAGAGAGTTTTATTTTACTTGAATAACCCCGTCCTCTTTCACAGATCAGACTGGTGTAAGTACGAGCTGGATTTCACACACTTCCAACTGTTGGAGGGAAACTGCAGAGAAGACGCCGCCATCTTGGTTTTGCTGGAGCCGCTGAGTCACGACGAGATCCCAAAACGCTTCTGTCGCCTCCAAAGTCTCCTGAGCTCCACCACGTACCTACAGTGGCCCCAGGACCCCGACCAGAGGGAGCAGAGGGACCACTTCTGGACCAGTCTAAGGCAGGCCCTGAGCCCAGATCGAGACCTGGACTAAACATGAATTTAGGACACTTAAGACACTTTTATTTTTCTAAATGGTTTGAAGACATTTGTTACTACACTTCAGCTTGACTTTTGGCAATTTACTACTACTACTACTACTACCCATAAGGCTTTGTGCCTTGGGGCATATCCCTTATAGAAACTGTATGTACTTAAGATGACAGTCTGTGGTAAAACTACGATGGGAGTCATAGAAGCGTAAGTTCTGATGGGAAGACTCAGACGGAAATGACAAGTTTGAACCCTCAAGAATCATAGTAATGCATATTGGTGATGCACTAAACGATAGAAATGGTCGCCATCTGCTGGCTGTTTGCAGAACAGTACACACAATTGTAAGGCTGCAAGGAATATGAGCACTTTCACTTTCCAAACAAACAAGGTACAGATCTGCTTTAGCTATGTTTTTGTTGAATATTAAATTCCATATTTTAAAAGCTTTATGGAAGCCAATATTAGGCTCTTATGACGATTTTTGATTGCGTGCATTTGATCAACACTTTGTGACAGTGATACTTTGAGAAACAAACCATTCTTTATTAAATATGTTTAGTATTTTCACTCTTCTTAGCAAATTAACACTTTTTCTGGATTTGAATAAGAGAAAATAGTGATAGCAGAAAACGCTGTTGTACGTATTCTGTACTACACCATGATCTCCAGTGTCTGCCATCCAATCTCTGATATCAACGTAATTTTAATTTTCTAATTATGACGATGAATCATGTGTGATCTTCCTGTGGTTGTCCTTCCTTTTACGCTTGCCCTGAAACAATAGAAAATAATAGCATCTTAAAAATGCGTCCCAAATAAAAGATGTTGAACGTGCAAAGCAGTTTTACGTAGTTGTCTCGAGCCGACCAGCCGGGGTACAGCTGCAGGTGCAACAGTCTCTCCTTCTGAGCCAGATCAAAGTATTTGGACTGTTCAGCGCGAGAAAGAGCGTTCCACTGCAAATAAAAACAACTCTAAATATTTTCACTCAGATGCTGAATGAGTCATGATTTCACTGTGTTTTAGAACCAGTTATTCTTTTGTGTTATGTATGTTCTCGTTGGTCTTGATTTGGTTGATCTTGTATGTCAACTGTTAGTTATTAAATGAATCTTTCAGACATACTGTATCTAATCAGCAAAATCAGATAGATCGTGTCTGTGAATGTGTCACGGCTTACATAGATAATTATCACCGTGATTTTGAATGCATGGCCGGCATCTTATTGTGTTGTGAGAATGCTGTGAATACATTCTACCAGAGTACTTACAAGCTCTGTAAACAATGTCTGGAATCAAAATCGGCAAGTACTTTTTTCTTTTTTCTTATTTTTTTACTTTTTCTTTGTAATTTATAAAACACATCAACATTAGAGGTTGGGCTATGGCTAGTAAAAATAATAGTAAAATGTTCCCATGTTTTATAATCACAAAGTACTGTCTGGAGTCTCAAAGTGTAGGTCATCCACTCTATAAGTTTAATATTTTATACATTAAGTTTGTGTAAGCCCTCAGTCGTACAGGGATTAGTCAAAGCGAGGAAACAAAGTGAGGAAACAAAAACCTTCTCTTAACAGAGGAGGAGGGTTAAGATTTGTTTTGCCTCGCATCTATGACGACATCCTAAAAACAACGCCCTAACTTGGGACAAGGTCAGTGACATGCTAATGAGTTAGGAGGGGTGAAACCTGCACTCCACTTGAGCATCCCAGCAGACAATAGGTCAGTGACATGCTAATGAGTTAGGGTCGTTAGCCTCAGCAGGGTCGTTAGACCTGCTCCCTTCTACATCAAGCAGACCTTAGATTGTTTATGAGTTAGTATCAGGATTAGGGTGTGGCTAACCACACCCATAGGTTATAAATCTCCAATGTCGGGAAAACTTGCTAAGAAGTACAGATGATGGGTGAGAAACCTTCCTTTGCTTTGATTTTATACATTGACTGTTTTGCCACTGTCTGTTGTTATGATAACACATACACTGGAAAGTTCTCTACCATGGTTCTGCCACACCTCTGCCAAACCTTGGAACGTAGTTTTTTTTTTATCGATAAGTTTTCCTGCCAAACCTATAAAGTAATGTATAAATGTGTAAGTGTAAGTGTTTGGTCCTGGTTTTGTGCCACTTCAGTCCTGATTTGGTAATTCCTGACGTTCCTCAGTCTTCACAGTCCAGCTTTAGAACCTTGTCGTCCTGGTTCTGACCTTTCTTCCTAGAATGCAATTGATGGCGGCACTCTCTCGTTCGTTCACTTCCTGACGAACCGCGGCTCTCATCTCCTTCATGTACAACATAAAAGCGTTCAGAGGCTTCTTCACTGCCCCCATTGGCCTAAAGATGGTACAGCACAAAGGTTTAGTAGAAAGTAAATACATTCCATTGCATTTATTTTAGGCCCACAAATTTCAAAGGGACCTGTCATAACGTACTGATGAAGCTCAAGCGGATGTTCAGACTGAAAGACCGAGTGCCTGCCAGCCTCGAGCCTCAGCCAATCACACAGCTCTGCCAGCCTCGAGCCTCAGCCAATCACACAGCCAGGCCAGCCTCCTGCCAACCCTCTCAGAGCAAAGCGGGCAGTTTAAAAGGCAGCCACTTCCTGACAAACAACGCTTCCTGAGGCTCTTAAACACCCACCACCTCCCCAGCACCCCCTCTGGCTCTTGGCTCCCGCTCTGGCTCCCGCTCTGGCTCCCGCTCTAGGCTCCCACTTCGGCTCCTGCTCCGCCTACGCCCCATTCACACCATACTCTAGCCACCACCAGTGATTGACCCCGGGGGATCTGAGATCATCTCAGCTGCAATCGATCTCATAGCTGCAAGTGTCACTGCCGGGGTCAATGCGCCAAACAAATAAATCATTTTAATGTATTTATCGTGTCTTTGGTCTCTTCAGATTGAACCAGTATTAAGTAACGGATTACAGATTCCGATTTTTACAATATGTTGTCCAACAATTGCCACATTTTTATCCCATCCATCCATTTTCTACCCTTTAATCCATTTCTGGGTCAGCGGGGTGGCAATCAGAGATGCCACCCAAGTCTCATAGCACCAGCCCCTCACTGACCCTCTGCAGGTGGTGAGTCCACAGGAGGACGGCTGCTCACTGAGTGTGAGCATAGCCTTGATCTTTCACGTTATTATCCCGTATCAGGCAAAAATTGAGATAGATGATTTTTACTTCCTAGGGCTGGTGCTATGAGACTTGGGTGGCATCTCTGATTGCCACCCCCCTGACCCAGAAATGGATTAAAGGGTAGAAAATGGATGGATGGATGGATTTTTACTTCCTGGTTGTGATGGATGAGAACCATCACCACTAAGAAGTCATTGTCTTAAATAATGCTGCTTGTGTCTATATGTAACTTTTATAATATTGTTTTAAGTCACTATTCCTGATGTACTAAATGTATAATATTAAGATATGAGCATAATCAAATCTCACATTAGTAGACAGAAGCATGTTATGACTATCTCCATTATATTTAATTGTCATTCTCACCTGCGCGTACTGTTGCTGTGGATACAAGGTATGCGGGAGTGGGAGTTGGCTTGAGGGTCAGAGTGAGCTCTGATTGGCTGAGGGTCTGAAGTGGGCGGGAAATGTCTGTCGCTGTAGATCAACAGAGGAACCAGAGGATGGACCCCACTCTGCAGTCAGGCAGAAAATAAGTATATTGTTAAAATTCAAGAAATTTTGTACTGTTCTGTTTTTTTAAAAATGTTTATTGCCATGTAAGTAACAGGAAGTCACAGACTAAGAAATTGCTTTGGCCCGGTGCATCAGTCAGAAAAGAGAGGTAAAGAATAGAGAATAGAGCATAGCAGTTATTGAATTTGAGGCCTTCACAACAATCAAAACTCTAGTGGTAGCTAAAGACTAAGTCACATGCGGGATGCATTCTGATTTTTGCCACTCTACTCTCTACGCATACAAAACCTTAATAAATGTACTGTGATTATATATTTTTACTTGTTTCATGTCTGAAAAATGCCTTCTTTAATATCACAGTATGCCACTTTCATATCTACAGGATTAATTTAAAAAATAAGACCAACGCAATATGGCCGCCTTGATAAATGTCCACACGAGCCACTCTAGAATCCGGTAAAAGCAAATCAGACCTGACAAGTGTGAACGCAGCCTCAAGCGGAAATGACTTAAGACCAAAAGACCCCAAGACCCCCCGAGGACGAGCTCTGAACAATCTGAGACCAGAGTCCAGGACAAGACGATAACAGTTACGGACAGAAAATGAACCCGGGGAGTTTCATTATGTGTTTGCTGCTGTAGGGAGAGCTACAATTCAGTCCGAAATGAGGCAAGATTGAGAAACAAACATGGAAAGTTAAGTAATCCAGGACTTAAAGCTGGAGTACATAACTTTAAAATCACAAACTACAATTGAATCCATTTGATTGGTTCATCGCTCTGATAACAGTTTGGTTCTATCACTAATTTTCACATGCATGTATCTTTTGACTTTTCCAGACCTTTTGAATAAGATTAAGACACTATGTAGTATTCTGTTCATTAAATCTCACTGTTATTTATTGTTGGAGCCTAAATAGAAGTTTAGTTGTTTTGATTTTATTTTGATACATTTCTATTTTTGTTTGTATTACTATTTGATTGATATAGATTATTTTTTGTGATTAGATTAGATTTATGATTATTTGGCAATTGATTTAATTTGGTATATTTTGCATCTAATTTAGTTAATTATTTTGTTAATCATTATTGCTAAAGTTAATCATGGATTCATTTTGATTTAATATATATTTTTTATATTTTTTCTCAGTCCTGGCCCAGGCTAGTTAAGGCACAGGTGTGCCAGGAGAAAGGTGTGGAGTGTGGAGTGGAGCCACACAGTTTTTTGACCTCCTCTCTCCCTTCCTTGTCTTTAAGTCATTTTTCTTTTTGTACAGTATGTGTGTTTTGTGTGATTACTCAGTAAAGAGTTTTTTAATTGCATATACTGTTCCATGGATTTATTCACACGCTTTATAGACAATGGATTATGGTTTGAGAGCATCAACTACACGGCTTCACTGTTTGGACCCTACATTTATATTCTTATAATGTCTGCACTTTGATTTGTGTATCAGTTGTGCTATACTTACAAGATCGGGTCCATTGTTATTCAAACTCCAGTGAAACTCTTGAAATTTACCTGTGGGAAAAGACAACATTATTTAAAAAAAAAAAAATTCACCAATGCATTGTATTAGAAATGAACTTACAGGAAGAAGCTTGAGAAACATGTCGCTGCTCGTTTGCGTAAATATTTTCCTACAATAAAAACAAAACCAGGAATTAGGCGCAATTATGTCACAATGCAGTCAAGTTTAATAGGGTTTATTTCATATTGGACTGCAGATTTTTTTTTTAATCTTGTATAAAATCTCTCAATCCACATGAAGCAGAAAACAAACAGAATACAGGGTTTCCGAGTCATCAATTATATAATTCAGTGAAAAATCGTAATCACACTTTTGGCCCTTACCTAATGTCCTGCCAATATTATAAATGCATGTATAGTAATTTTCTATAAAAAAATAAAACACTATCGCATCCAATGTTTTTTGATACAAGGTTTTCTGGGTTTTTTTTATTTACATGCAAGATAATCTTCTAAATTCTTGTATATGGAAAACAAGAATTTAGAAGATTATCATTTGCAGTAAAACCACATTGGACCAGACAGAGAAGATAGTACACACCAGAGCTCTTGCCATATGACAGTTTATAGGAGAAAGTGTCAAGAAATATTATAAAAATGTTATTCCAATACGTCCATATGTCTACCATCAAATGTTACTTACTGCCTGTGATTTAAGACAGAAGACTTTTGCAACTAATAAATAATAAATTCTTGACAACACCATGAATAAGAGCAAATATATAAAACCAATAAATACTCACTGCTCTGTGCTGAAGTCGCTTCATGTTGAGTGTGTGTTGAAGGTTCGGCAGTGAGGATAGAAGTGAGAATGTGGTGTTTTTCTGCTGTTTTTTCTGCTGTGCTGACCTCTGCTCCGCCCACAGGCCCACAGACTCAGGTCAGGTTCACTGGAGCCTAAAGCCTGAAGCCTGACTCTGAGCCCGACTTTGACTTTATTCTGTGGGACGTGAGCCGCACTGCTGTCGAGACGAGGAGCTGAAATGGGCTGAAGGATGGACAGATTTGAACCTTCAGACAGAGAGGGACTAAAGCAAGACTACAGCAGGCCTAAAGCCGGACTAAATTAGGCTTTAGCAGGACAGAAGTAGGATTAAAGTACTAGAGCAGTATGAAGATGTACTTTATTAATCTCACACAGGAGAAATTTACATCTTTTAAAGCAGGACTAAAGCACTAGCGCAGGACTAAAGCAGTGCAAATTGGTTTCACGCTCTTTCTAGGGTCCCTGTCTCAAACGTTTGGGAACCCCCTATTCTATGACGTACACAAGATGTTCCACTTCTGGCTGAACACAGTCTTTCTCTTCCACAATGAAGAGCAGTAGAGCCACATTCCACAACCAACCTGATGGGCATAATATGATATGCAAATCGCACAAGGAAACTAGTAAGGGTTGGTTTCCTTTGCTAAATAATATAGGTCAATAAACAGTCCAAATTATTCTGTCTTCATCTTATCAGAAAATATGATTTTTTTTGCTTATATTTGTAAGAAACAGGCCTGTGAGTTATTTTATGATCATTTTGGACTGAAAGATGATTGGCTGAGTGACTGTGGTCCTTTTCTTACTTGCCAAAACACACACACACACACACATACACACATATACACACATTACATAACACAAGCAAATGAGCAGTGCAAACCTGCGAAGTGACAGAGCCGTTCTCCTCTTCCACAGAGGTATTTGTGGTTGGCCGCAGAGAAGCACTCAGGCCGACACCGCTGGCTCTGAGCCCAGACTACCGCCTTTCCCCGCGGCCTCAGGGATAGACGTTTACAGGACGATTCCTTGGAAGACGAGCACAATGAAGGTGACAGTTGTGGCGTCTCTGACATTTTGCTTTCTCTCCACCCTGTACTTACCATAGACTGTAAATGTATTCACGCAGATGGCATGTGAGTTTGGATAGAGACAGACAGAGCAAACGGAAACATCTGCAGTTTGATCCTGGTCAAAGACGGTTTTTTTTGACTCCCCGCGGATGGATTTTTGTGATGATGAACAAGTGACACAATGAAAGAATGTAAGGACAATTTATATTGATTTATTTCACTTTGTCAAGTTTACAGCAATAAGATCCTTAAAGGGACAAATAGCCAGCAATGCATTATTTGTGTTGATATACTGTAGGCCCTTAAACAAATGTCTTTTTTAAAATGTGTTGTCATTTATAATACATGTATACCACTCTAATCACTATATTTAGATTAGTATTCCCAAGTAAAAGGCATATTCATTTAACATAATTTACAGAAACATTAATAGATGTGGCGCAAAATGTTGAGGCTGACATTTTGAGTCGGCTGGTATTTAGCATGTTTTGGATAATGTTATTGGTTGGTGAAACAGACAATGAACATAAGCAAGAAACAACAGGTCAAAATCAAACTGGTTTCTGACAACAAGCAAACCACAATTGTAAAACTAGTTTACATCCAACTACAAGAAGTCATGCCAGCATTTAGCAGCATTGTGATAAAGTGAACATGCTCTGTTTATCAAGTGTAGCTATTAACTTAATTGAGCCGTAGTGGAAGGTAATTATAGAAATATGTTCTTGACATGGTTTAGAAATAACAGACAGCAATTGGGGAAGTTGTTTTAGCCTAATCGTAGCAGAGTTCTGGGATGTGTCATTTGCAAAAACATCATTCAACAAGCATGTATTATATGGCACAGTGGTTAGCGCTTGTGCTTCACAGCAAGAAGGTCCTGGGTTCAGCACAGCATCTAGAAACAAATCAAGATACAAACCATTTGCAGTAAAACCACATTGGAAACACTTTGCAAGACTACCCCAGTGTGCACCAGATGGTACACACCAGCGCTCCTGCCACAATAAATAAATCATATTTATTAAAAGATAAATGTGTTTGTGTGTGGGAATAATTATTCCCAGATTGCTCAGCCCCATGTCTGACAGAACAGTGAAAGGAGGAGTACACATTTAAATGCATCTATCTTGATCACTTCGACACACAAATATTATTAAAATTCATGAATGTTTGGCCGACAGCGCAAGCAGCTTTTCCACATTGATGACGCATACTCCCACCACAGCACATCAATTTATTAATATCAAATAAACCTGGGAGGAATTTTGATTAGGCTTTGAATGTATATGTTTTTAAAGGTTGATAACGAGACCAATCACAATTCCGCTAAATAGTCGTCAAGGGGCAATAACAGAGCAGATATTCACTGTAAAAGTTAAACTATTGGTGTCACAATGTTGGTAATACAAAAACATTTATCTTAAATGCGGGAAGCTTATGTTCAAAACACAATCAAAATACAGAAAACAGCTCCCATTGTGTCCTGGATTTTATCAAAATTTAAGGGTTTTAAGTTCAAATTGACAGAAATAATTTATCCAAAAGGCAACAAGGCAACAAATATTACACAATGGATTGATCTCTAATTTGAATGACAACCTTTTGCTTCTCAGTGGTCACAAATGCGTCCGTGGCAGTGAACCTGTCGATATGTTTCCATGGAGACGACAAGTTCAAGTACTTTGCCTACACCTTGACCTACTCGATGCTGTTCCCTGTGGCCTTTCTGTCCAACCTGTGCGCGCTGATCGTCTTCACTCTACAGAGGAAAGAGAGGTGAAACTGGGACTAAACGTGGACTGAATCAAAACTGGAGTAGGACTAAACCGAGATTATCACAGATTTCAGATACGTTGGATTTGTATGCATACCTGACACTGTAAAAACGGTCCCCTAGAAATGTCTGGTGGTCAGAATGAAAGGGCAGTTAGACACTTTTGACCAAACTAGCATCCTTGGTAACGCAGGAATTAGCCATCAGCAGCCAGCACCAAAACCTGAAAATGTCTTCTTGCTATTTATGATGATTGTGATTTTCACATCACACCATCAGCATTTTTTTTGGGCAAAATAAATTTAAGCTAGATCTTTTTATTCTCACTTAATGCAAAGCAAAACAAAACAAAATAATCATTCTGATTATAGCTTCCACGCCTCTCCCTTTCCATCACTGGATTTAAATTGTACTCAATCCCGTACATTATTCTCGCTGCTCCTCTCAACGCAGGTCGACCTTTACAGCTGTTCTTCAATTTGCATTAAAAAACAAAACATAACCAAATTGTGTTCTAATTTTACACATGGGACAGCTTCAATTTGTTTAGTCAAAAAGGCCAAACCAGTTCATCAGGAAATGACTAAGAGTTGTTCTAACACATTCTAACACATGTACAAGGTGTCCAAGTGCGGGCGTGGACAACACATATTATACGACCTCATAAGACTAGGTGTGACCAATTCGGACCAAATATTTTAATTTATTAATAAGCTAATGAACAGAGTCTCTAATCACGCGCTAATGAGCAGCTTCCAGCATCGTACATTTAGAATGTGTGTGCTCTTTTCTACTTGCACAAAACCTATATTTTACCATTTACCTTTTCCATGTAAACCAAGAAGGACAGGCTCCCAATCTGGATCATTTTTCCCTTTTGACTTCCTCCTGTCATACATGAATTCATACAAGACAATGTGTTTGGCCAAGGTACAAAGCTATGTTTTGGCTTCACAGCATAGCTATCCTTCAAAGTGTTACAACCTCCTGTCAAACTGCTCTCAAAGAAAGTGCCAACTCTCGTCCACAGACCATTTTTCTTCATACAGTTTGAGTCCAGCAGTATGAGAGTTGAACATACTTTGAATGTGTGTGTGTGTGTGTGTGTGTGTACGTGTGCGCGCAGACCATCTTCGTCGTCAATGGTGATGGTGAACATGGCGCTGTCAGACCTCAGCTTCTCTCTGACGCTACCCCTCAGACTGGTCTACTATTCCAGGCAGGGCATCTGGAACTTTCCCGACTGGCTCTGCCGCCTCTGTGTCTATGGCTTCTACGTCAACCTCTACACCAGGTACACTTGACTAAACCACAATGAATACCTTTTTATCCATTTAAAATGGAACAAATCAGAACTACAACTAGTATCAAAGCTGGTCTGATCCCTGTGGTTCTATTGGACTAAAAGTCTCTTTTGCTGTGACAGCATCCTGTTTCTGACTCTTCTGAGCATGCTTCGATGGCACGCTGTGGTACAACCACTACATCATTCCAGACTGGCCACTCCCAATCGCGTTCTGTTGGTCTGCCTGGGCATCTGGTTGTTTGTGGGCGGGTCTTCCTCCTTCTTCCTGGCTCAGGGTGTGGTCTACAGGTGAGTACACCCCATGGATCTATCAAAACATCTGAATTGGAAAGGGTTCTGCTAGTTTACCAGATTAATAAAGTATTTACAATTACAAGGATTGAATGATTATTATAATGTTGACTCTGATGTGCTTAAGCTTTAGGGCTGTACCATACATTAAAGGGTAATTATATTGTGGTCTTGCCTGCGATCTCAATAATAGATAACTATAGTTCTACTTTATTTGAGCATATAAGTGAGTATTTGTAACATGTGTCCTTGTCGGGTCTGTTCCAGAGGAGGCATCCCCCGCTGTTTTGAGGTGCAAAGACCCTCCTCTTGGCAGAAGGTCCTGGCGCTGAATTACTTGGCGGTAATCCTGGGGTTTGCTTTGCCGTTCGTCATCATCATCTGCAGCTACAGCTTTCTTCTGAATCACCTGACCTCTCGCCCAGCCTCCCTGCGTCTCAAGAAAGGAAACCGGGAACCCAGTGTGGCCAGTGTGGCCAGGCGGAAGAGATCTCTGTCGCTGGTGACGGCCGTCTGCGTCACCTTCCTGCTGTGTTTCTTCCCGTACCACACCGTTCGCACAGTGCACTTACACTCTGTGTGCGGAGGATGGAGCTGTGCCGCTGTGGTCACGCTGCAGCGGCTTGCGGTGGTCACGCTCTGTCTCGCCGCTTCTAACAGTGCAGTGAACCCTTTACTTTATTACTACTGCACTCAGAACTTCAGGGAAAAACTAAAACGGGCCAGCACCAAGATTACAAACAGTAGGAGATTATCGCGGCCTGAGCTCTGACAGTTTCAAGGAGAAAGTAAACAGACTCTTTAAAGCATTTGACATTGATTCAACTGTAGTTGCAGAAAACTGTATTTCATTTGACATTCTAGAGAAACCCAGACCGTGGAAAGAGCGTTGACATCCAAAAGGAGCCAAACAAAACTCACATACACAGCCTCCATCTGATCTGGAGCTAATTTCTTGGATAAAAACTATCTGGCAACCCAAGAGTGTGACACCAACTGTTGCAGCGTAAAAGGCCTTTACTTTTGAGTGTATATGTGTATTTACTATATCACATCAATACACTCAAGTTGGTTCATCGAATGCCACTCTAGGTGTTTTCACACTCAGTTTACGTGTGTTTTTGAATGTTTTCAATGCTGAATGAGTGACTGATAGATCTTTGAGGAGTGAGGGCTGTGCGCACCTCGTCTCTTTGAATAGGAAATACAGAATCATCAACATTTTGATCAAATGATCAAAACTGGTTGTAACCTCTCTGAAAATACATTAAAAACACAAAGGGAAAAAAAATAATAATAATTATACAATGAAAAAAAATATTTTTTTGTAGGACTGGCACTACCTGAACCGTTGGATTAGACAGTAAAGGCCATTTTTACTGATTCACATTCTTTATCCAGGGTTTTCCCTCTCGATACAGAAAAAGCAGTGGTAAAACCATTCCGCTCGGCAGTGAAAACCATGGCGCTGTCGCCCTTAGTACACACCGATCCACCTGTGCAGAGCGCGATATCGTCAGCAAGTATTGTATGGTAAATACAACAAATCGCATCAGCAGCGCCCCCATGATCACCAGCATGGTAATGAAGGCTAATCGCTTTGATTGGTCAACCTTCCACTTGTCCTTGCTGTTTTTTCCTGGCTTTGGACCAATCAAAACGCGCAAAACCGAGACGCTGCAAAACACAACGACCACCAAACCGCTAAAAGAAAAGATGTTAGCCATAATGGCGTAATATAACATAGATTGCACCTCTGCTCGGATTAGAGCTTGTCCCACCACACACAACCTGGTGAGAACGATGCTAATGTTTCTGATGGTGACTCCGCCTCCTTTCTTCAAGCGCATGTACGTGATTGGATGAACCGCAGCTACATAGCGCTCCACGCAGGTGAGACAGTGAAAAATCAGCTGCCCATAGGACGTTACATTGATCAATATAGTCCCTATGTCTTTCCCATATGTGTTTCCACTATACACCGAGTGATAGCACATAAACGTGCCGATGAAGCTCTTGACTTCCAGCGCCGTGAGGTGGAAAGTGAAGGCATCGGAGTGGCTCATGCATCGTGTTTTAGCCATTTTTTTAGGCCGACAACAGCGACTGAGAGTAAAAGTGGCAGACACAGGATGTAAACCACACAGCCAGTGGAGAGAATCATTTTGGCCGTGAATATGTCACACGTGGCGTTCTTCTGACTGGAGTTATCCATCTGAAAAAACGAAAAAGAGGACATTATGGTATATTTTGACAAAGGGATATTTATTTTCTGTATTTGGTCCATCTTGGTCACCACAGGGCTCAACCGGGGGCCCATCTTCATATTTTACTGATGGTGAATGTTATTGGGCAGTGGGGTTTAAGTTTATATAGCACAATTCATACGCAAGGCAACTCAAAGTGCATTACAATCATTAATAATCACAGAAAGTTCAAAATATACAATCCCTCAGTTATATGCACAGCTATACAGAATTGTTTTGAACCTGAATTTAAACATTGTCAGAGAAGAAGCCTGTCTCACATATTCAGGAAGATTGTTCCAGATTTTAGCAGCATGAATCTGAAATGCAGCCTCCCCAGGTTTAGTTCTGATTCTGGCACCATGAGGAGGCCAGTCCCTGTGCTCCTCAGAGTCCGAGTTGGTTCATATGGCACTGACAGGGAAAAAACTCAGAACGCAGAAACGCTGGCATGGGACTGAACCGCAACTGTTCTGCTTTGAATAAGGACTAAGGTGGAAAGAAGAACGCAAATTTTTACTAAAATGAAGTCATGTTATGTATGATACAATGTTGCCTGTCGAAGTCAAATGTAAACAAATTATAACAAAGCATTTCTTTTGTTCACTCAACTAAATAAACATATATTTTTGGTTGGTTATACGCACTTTAAATAACATATGTTGCATCATTAGTGCTTTGTTTGATGATCTTGATTATCGTGCATCCCATGTTTTGAAAGTGATTGAATCGAAAATAAACAGCATCATCTAGTGGTAGTAAAGGAAACTGCATTCTGTGTCAAAATGCATGAAGTGACAGTGACAGAACAATAGCACCAGTTTATTAAACATACGACTGCATTTAACTTTGATGCATAAGAAGGAAAAAATACCCCATTTTTATGCCACCTTTGAAAAATATATATTATATATCTTAATATTGGCTATTCCGCACATTTTGAGAATGTTTCATATGGTATTTCATACATTTTTTAAAGTATGTTTTTAGTTGAGTCAAAACCTTCACAGCAAGATGTGCCTGGGCTTGATTCCTAAGAGGGCGTTTCTGTGTGCAGTTTGCATGTTCTCCCTGTGTCTTCCGGTTACGAATATAGACGACCGAGTGTGTGTTTGTGACTGTGGAGCAAAGGATGCAAATGAACCCAAGGCTGCAATAAAGGGGTCCCAACCAAATAAACAAAATAATGGAAAATAACAGATTTGGATACGTGAACATCCCCATCTACTGGTAGAAGCGGGACACTACGTTGTATTACACGTCCAACATGACACAATGCAATTGAAAGCAACTAATTTGGGCTCAATACTTTGTTCAGAACCGCAGAAAACAGCTCTGTCCTAATGATCCAAAAGTGAGGATCAATCGCAAGAGCTTGAAAAAAGGGGGATTTGGCCACATTCAGACATTCAATTCATTTTCAGACCAACTCTCAGTGCAATTCACAAAAAAAGTCTCTGTAAATAATCAGAATTTACAATACAACTTCAAAATACACCTTTCTACATGAGTAGAGCAATGATGTCCTGATTTTAGCCTGGATCATGCTAAAAACTACTCCAGGTCTGTAAGTGATGATGTTCTAACATATAGGTTTAGGGGCGGCACAGTGGCTGAGTGGTAAGCGCTCTCTCGTCTCACCAAGAAGGTCCTGAGTTTCAATCACAGCTGGAACAGTGCCTTTCTGTGTAGAGTTTGTATGTTCTCCCTGTGTCTGCAAAAGTTTCCTTCCGCTGTTTCCCCTGCCACTATAAACATGTATAATAAATCTGCTCCTGACAAAGGCCCCAGCAGCTCTGGAAGGATGGGTCAAATGCAGAGGACAAATTTCCTTACGTGAAAAATAGGGGTTTGAATAAATTAAAGCTTAAAAAGGCCCCAGAAATATGTTTTAAAAGGATAGTGTTTCAGACCTAAAGATAAGCAAATACTGGGGATGTTATGAAAGAAAAAGAAGATTATGTTACCTTTGGAGCTGACATCTGTGGAGTTTCATTAACCAAATCCTATCTTCATTTCTTTATTCCAGGCCTCATTAACGACTCGTCAGCATATTTACCAAATTCAGATGTGCTCAGTGTGGAGAGATACATGTCCCATCTTTGCATTTTCAGTCTGATGGCTCAGCAAATCACAAAAGTAGACAAATGTTGGTGTGATCTTCAGCCTTAATGACCTGGTTATCGTGTCTGATGCTGATTGACAATGAAGGACAAAATATGTACTCTATTTATTTTATACACTCCAGTGATTCTTTGTTGGAAGTTTGACTATTCATTAATTGTGTATCTTTATTCTTCTGAAGATCATTTAACCAAATAATTAAAAAAATATCGAATGTGACTGAATAGTATATTTGGATGATTATCTAAACAAAATGAGATGCTTAAAGTGGCACTGTGGCTGAGTGGTTGGATTCGATTCCACATTTCCGACAGGGTCTTTGCATGTTCTTGCATGTAGGTTTCCTCCAGGTGCTCCAGTTCCCCTTACCACTAAAAACATTCACAAAAGCTCACCTTTCTCTGGGGCCAGAACTCCCCTGAAACAGAGATTCTGAAATCTCATTGGACTTTCCAGGTTAAATAAAGGTCAATGAATCAAAACATTTTGATCTTAACTGGACCACATTTTTTACATATTTTTTCTACACATTCTTCTTGCTGTGAAACAACCCTGATGTCAACAAACAAATATAATAGGCCTAAAGTTTTTTGGGACAGAAACATTAGATTCAAATGAAAATGTTATATATCAAACAGATCTTAGATGAACCCACGTGACCTTAAGCACGTTACACCCAAATAACACGCGCTCTGATTGGCTGAAAACAGTCCACTCCTGCTCCCTATGAGCATGCGCAAAGAAGTTTCTTGATGGAGTTTGCACTGTTAAGTTTGTGGCTTTAGGAGAGCACAAAGTAGCGGTGTAGACAGCGGAGCTCATCCCGTGGGCAGAGCGTGTCGGGCGGCATGAAGCTGGAGTTCGCCCCGCTGAACATCCCCCTGCGGAGGAGGCTGCAGACCGCCGCGGTGCTGCAGTGGGTCTTCTCCTTCATAGCGCTGGGTGAGCTGGGGGACCACCGGGACCACCGGGACCACAGAGCCCCTCAGACATCTACTTTTACCTCCACTTAGACAATCTCTGACAGGGTGTAGTTTTCATGCTCATTAACGTTGTCTTTTATTCATCACAGCTCCACTTGAGCGACCTAAAGAATGACATCACAATGATTAATAATAACATAAATTAATAATATGTATAATTGTATGATTTCTATGTGTTTTGGGGGTAACCAGAGATGGGTACAGATCCAGTCGTAGATTCACAGTTGGAAGAAATCATAAACCAGGGGTCTCCAGGGGTCTCCAGCCTCACTGTGGGAGAGCTACCTCTTTACAGAGTGCCTATCTTTGTAACAGCAAAAATAATGACATTTAATCCATGCAACTAGGACCTAACTGTGCTCTTTCGTCTATAATCATTTCTTATTATGTAATGATAACATCTTTTCTCATAAGATAAAAGTTACATGTTGTGGTCACAAAAAGTTACAAAATTTCATTGCGTCAGCCTCAAGCTTATAAGAAAATCTGTGTCAATACATAATGCTCATAAGTAGGTTATCTATATAATACAAACGTTTGCATTTCATTGAAATCGTGAAATTTTGAATATTCAGTAAATTGTAATTTCTAAATTCTGTGAAGAGCTACTTTGAAGAAGGGGATTTAGTCGATATAGAAATAGTAGTCACAGCCTTGTATTCAACTTCATTGTGTATTGATCATAATAGACTGTGCAGCCGGCCGTGTCCAAAAGACCTTTGAAAACAAATAGATTCAGTCACTGGTTAAAGGTCGCAGGTCAATAATATGAGACTTGAGACTAGACCTGAATTATTCAGTCAACAATAATGTTGATTCAACAGAAAATAATTATAAATATGAATTATTTTATATATCTATTGACTCTGGAATTGTTCTTTAGTTCTTTGGGACATGTTGTCCATCATAAATCAGTTTGTGCCAATGTTATTGTGCTAATCACTGATTACCTTGATAAATATACCTCAAAGTTGCCAAACATAAACTTTAAAGTAGGTTTTATAAATGTTGGAGACAAGGGTGAATTTGAGGACACTCCACTTTTGGATGTTTTTTGTTCACATAAAGTAAACACTGACGACTGAAATTACGAGTACAGCCCTTTACAAACAAGACAAGTCTCTGTCCTGGTCCTCTGCTGCACTGTGCCTTTTACACAAGACAGGAAGTCTGTGGTAATTCTGCAATTATTTTATATTTCACTACAAATATACGGTTTCTCATTTCTCAGGGTTCAATATGTGCATTGAAATGTACCGAGCATGACCAGTCCTGCATTAGTCCTTTTTATTCCCTACGGTGCTTGAGTTACTCTTTAATCCTGGCTTATTTTCAGTCTTATCCAAATGTTGTCTTCTGGCCCTGGGGAGATCCTGAAGAATTCTCAGTTCAGTTCTGGTGCAGGCTTAATTTGTTATTGTCTGAGTTTAGTCTCAATAAATTCCATACATGGTGCACTTATGGCATCTCCCCAGAGACAATCATGGGCACTAGACTATTGCTAGTCACATCTATAGAGAGACATTGTTCACAAATATATGTTTATAATCATATACCGCTCTTATCAGTGTAGGGGTTAACTGGTATGTTTTTGAAGAGCCTATAACCAAAATTTGTTGACAAGGAAGTTGATAACCAATATTAAAAGCCAATAATCATTTGCCTGAGATCCAGGGGAATATGGATCACATGAGCTGAGATACCTCTCTGGATCCCAGACAAGATATTCATTGACAGTAAAAGTGAATATCTTTGTGTCAACATTTTATTACCGGGGCCTGTTTTTAAAAAAGCAAGCTTCAGGTAAAACAAATATAGAAAGAGCATTACGCCTTTTGTAGACTGAACATAATGTGACGTGAGACTTTATGGGGTGGACCGCTCTTCCAGGCAACAAATCTACATGGAGTGTACTGTTGTGTTGACATTGACTGAAATAAACTAAACTAACCACAACCCATACAGTGACTAAGTAACGTGGTGTTGTGCAGTAGAGTTGTAAAAGCTTGTTTTTAGTTAAGTTATCAACTATTGTCAATTTTCATCAATTCATGATTTATAAATTTGTTTTGACCAGTAGGCTGGAACAGACATAATTTGACAAGAAAACCAGAATTTTAAGAAACATAAAAGGAAAATCATCGTCATATTCCACTAAATATAATGCATTCAGGGTTCAATGTTTATTTTGTAACATATAGTTTAAACCCTCTTTGTAAACAAGATGATACGTCTCATTCCTCGTAATGAAGAAATCATAAAGAAGCAAATGCGGTCAAACCTTCATACAAAGTCTATAACGCAGGCTTAGAAATGTTCATAACAAAAACAAAAGCATGTATTATTCATAAATTCATACTGTTTGTGGTCGTTTTGTATTTATTGATTTACAAATGAATAAACGGTTTAATAATGACTTGCCAAACGCTTTTACAGACTGTCCCACTTTTACACTTAGTCAGCAGATTCTTATCACACTGTTGCATAAGTCACTCTAGTTTTATGTTGATAGGACTAGTAATTACAGTGATATGAACCATAAACTCATTATTAGGCTGCAGACAATCTAGTGATGTCACATAAACACCACAGTATCAACAAAAATCAATATTTAAACAACAATAACTGCATTGAAATTCATCTGGTCCTTTTTCTCCAGCCCAGTGCTGCTTGGCGGGATTCGTGCTCCTGCTGCTCTCTGATTGGTGGATTGTGGCGGTCCTTTATGCTGGTTGGTTGTTTCTGGACTGGGACACGCCCGTCAGCGGGGGGCGCCGTTGGGAGTGGCTGCGGCGGTGCGGCCTGTGGGGTCTATACAGTGACTACTTTCCCCTCAAGGTGCAATTCAACACACACGGTTAAGCTGCACACACTTTATTAAAGAGAGATTTAATAGGCTTTTGTCTGCTGTATAGTGATGATCTATGGCACCTGTGTCTCATTATTGTACATTTATTACATTTAAAAATCTAAAAATACTTCTTTTATTTGGTTGATCATTCATTTCAAGAGGCTATCATTGAGAATTAAATACATTTACATCTCGCTACCACAAACGATATCACAGCATTGAGCCCTTAAACCTAGTGTGTGAACGAGAAGTGAAAACAATTGAAACATGGTTAAAAAAATGACTTATTTTCTCCTGCAGTTGGTTAAAACTGTGGACTTGGACCTAAAGAAGAACTACATCTTTGGATTCCACCCTCATGGTGAGTTCTGTTTTTGTGTTATGTGTTTTATCTGTCACCTACAGTCTCTCTCCCTAAAACCTTCAAACCAGGTCAGAAATCTAGGGGTAATACTGGACTCAGACTTAAATTTTAATAGCCACATCAAATCAGTAACATCAGCAGCTTTTTACCATCTAAAAAACATTGCCAGGATCAAAAACATAGTGTCTAAAGCAGACCTGGAGATTCTTATCCATGCATTTGTCTCCAGTAGGTTAGACTACTGCAATGGCCTGCTCACAGGTCTGTCCAAACAGGCTGTAAAACAGCTGCAGTACATTCAAAATGCAGCAGCTCGAGTCCTGACTAGAACCAGGAAGTACGACCACATTAGTCCAGTTCTCAAGTCTCTGCACTGGCTTCCTGTGGCTCAGAGAATAGACTTTAAAACAGCTCTGCTTGTGTACAAGTCTCTCCATGTTCTCACACCAAAATATATTAGTGACATGTTAGTTCCATATGAACCAGCCCGGACTCTGAGGAGCACAGGGACTGGACTCCTGTTAGTGCCCAGAGTCAGGACTAAACATGGGGAGGCTGCTTTTCAGATTCATGCTGCTAAAATCTGGAACAGTCTTCCTGAAGATGTGAGACAGGCCTCCTCTCTGACAATGTTTAAAACCAGGTTAAAGACAGTTTAGGGAGGGAAACTGAGGGATTTTATATTTTTATCTTTCTTTTTAATGTTCTGTGATTATTTATGATTTTAATGCTTTCTTATTTTGTTCAGCACTTTGAGTTGCCTTGTGTATGAATTGTGCTATATAAATAAACTTGCCTTCCCTTGCCTTATTAATAGCAGTAGGCTATTGGCGTAATTGTTGTGGCAGTCAAATCTGCAACCTAAATCTCCTTTTTTAATTAATTTTTTTATTTTTATTTGGATTATTATTTATTTCAAACCTGCACAACACACATTTTCACATTTATCGATTAAAACAGATGAATAACATATATACTTGGTGCCATAAGGGATTGGATGAAGCTGGATTTTCCCTCATGCGTGTATTGTAAAGTCTTTCTAACTCTGTCAATACATATGACTTTATTTATTAAGGGTTAACATCTTGATCCTGTTGCCGTATCGCCTCCTCCCCTGTGAAGTGTCTTTAGGATCTTTGTGATTGAGGTCCCCGGTCCATAATCGGGTGAATGACGTGTGTGTTGCAGGAGTGCTTGTGGCCGGAGCGTTTGGAAACTTCTGCACTGAGGCGACGGGCTTCTCTGCTCTGTTCCCTGGACTCACACCTCACCTGCTCATGCTGCCCTTCTGGTTCAGAATCCCACTGTTCAGGGACTACATCATGTGTGGAGGTCTGGAGGAGGACTGGAGGAGGACTGGAGGAGGACTGGAGGAGGACTGGAGGAGGACTGGAGGAGGACTGGAGGAGGACTGGAGGAGGACTGGAGGAGGACTGGCTGGAGGAGGACTGGCTGGAGGAGGACTGGCTGGAGGAGGACTGGAGCAGGACTGGAGCAGGACTGGAGGAGGGCTGGAGGAGGACTGGAGGAGGACTGGAGGAGGACTGGAGGAGGACTGGAGGAGGACTGGAGGAGGACTGGAGGAGGACTGGAGGAGGACTGGAGGAGGACTGGAGGAGGACTGGAGGAGGACTGGAGCAGGACTGGAGCAGGACTGGAGCAGGACTGGAGCAGGACTGGAGCAGGACTGGAGCAGGACTTTCCTGATAAAACCAATGCATAATTGTGTCTATATCTGTGTCTGTCCAGGCCTGGTGTCCAGCTGTAAGTCCAGCCTGTCCTACCTCCTCAGTCGTAATGGAGGGGGGAACGTGGCGGTGATCGCAGTGGGCGGAGCTACAGAGGCTTTGGACGCTCGACCGGGAGCTCTCACTCTGCAGGTCTGTCCTCGTCCACATAAACGAAAGACTTTGCGTAGTAGACTGAATCACTGCTAATGTATACGCTCACATCGGTCAAGCCACAGTCTTTGATGGCGTTGAACAAAATGCCTGGGGATAAAAGAATGAAGCTGAGCCTGTGTGATTACATTTTAAGATAACTAGTGCACAAAGAAAATCAAGATGTTTTTTGTTCATATAGAACTTCTGTGTTTTGTCAGATTTTTTTTTTCATTTTTTAATTATGTTTTTCAGGTGAAGAACAGAAAAGGATTTATCAAAATGGCGCTGAAGCACGGGTCAGTTTTTTTCCATGTATTGACTGAGATCTTAAAGTGATTGTAGCAGTAGTTGCAGTAGTAGTAGTAGTAGAAGTAGAAGTTGCAATCGTGGTAGTACTAGTAGTGCTGACTAAGTCCTGTGTTGCAGAGCTCACCTTGTGCCAGTTTTCTCGTTTGGTGAAAATGAACTTTATGATCAAATGGAGAATCCCAGTGGCTCCACCCTGAGGCATGTGCAGGTGTGTACTCAAATGCATGCAGTACATGATACTGAATGTGTAATGTACTACATGTGGTACAACTGTGGTATTTTCTTGAAAAGACAAATTCTGTTTAACAATTGACCAAGACTTCGACCCCCCAATTTATAGGCAGCATTTTAAGGCCTACTCACTTCTCAACCTGATGTTATGAAACAATGCAAACAGTCATCTATTTTATTTTATTTTTTCAGAACCGTTTGCAAAGCATCATGGGAATAGCGTTGCCGATGTTCCATGCTCGAGGAGTGTTTCAGTATAGCTTTGGCCTGATGCCCTACAGAAAACCTGTACACACCATTGGTCAGTCACTAAACTAAGTCACGAACCAGGACTTGAACCGACCGGGACTTGAACCGACCGGGACTTGAACCGACCGGGACTTGAACCGACCGGGACTTGAACCGACCGGGACTTGAACCGACCGGAATTTGAACCGACCGGAATTTGAACCGACCGGGACTTGAACCGACCGGGACTTGAACCGACCGGGATTTGAACCGACCGGGACTTGAACCGACCGGAATTTGAACCGACCGGGATTTGAACCGACCGGAATTTGAACCGACCAGGTCTTGAACCCAGGACTTGAACCAGGACTTGAACCACACCCAGGAAATATTCAGAGCCTCAATTTGAAGTAAAACTCAATAACAAGGGATTACAGAGAGTAAAAGTTTATTTTTGTTTTGTACATTTTCCCCAGTTGGAAGTCCCATCCCGGTCCAGTCCAAACCCAATCCCTCAAATGAAGACATCGAGTCGTTGCACCAGCTATACCTGCAGAGCCTCACGCAGCTGTTCGAGACGCACAAAAGCCAGTACGGATACAGCCCAGAGCAGCACCTCAACATCACATAGACTCCACTCACCCACGGACTAAACCGGGTCTGAAACCAGGACTCTCAAGATCATAGGACTGACTGGTGTGAACCGGGACTGATGCTTTAAAACACTGCACTACAGGGTCCATTGTAAACATAACCACTAATACTTCTGTCTTCTATGTTGGAAGAGCCAAAACCCGCTGTTAGCAAAATAGAGAACAAAATATAATGAGAAAATTTAAGATGAACAGAGATTGACACTCGTTTAAATCAGGTCTTCTTACTATACATTTTCTTCCGCTTTATCTGTCCGCGTTGCAAAGGCAGCAGTCTGAGCACACACTTCCTCCAGCTCATCTCGAGGAATCTTATTCCCAGGCCATCTGAGAGTCCCTCCAGTTAGGTCTGCGTCCCAGTGCATTTGGAGGTCCTGGTTTGATGAAGCCATGAGAACATCTGCCTCTCTCCAGCCGCTGGCTGCGAGGAGGAATTGTGTCCAAGATGGTTTTGTACGCCTTTTGGAATAATGTGTTTACAATTTTCACAAACACTAATAATAATAATGAAAACATTCAAATGATTGATTCTCATGTTCAGGTCTAGAGTACAGGCATAATTGTATTGATTCAAATCTTGTGTGTAAAGAAGTATTAACTATGACCTAATTAATTCTAAGACAGGTTTACGAAGGTCTGGAGTTGGTTAAAGTAGGAAAAACCCATGCGTTACCGCGGTAACTGTAGGAAATGTATAATCTACGAGGTATTAACTGTTTCCAGTGTTTTCTACAGGTTTTGCCAAAGCTCAATGAATGTTATTTACATTGATACTTTTCATTTCATAAGAATGTGAACAGAAGAAATCTATAAATGCCATTGTACACAATGTGTATATTTGCCTCCTGAGTTAATGAATATGTTGCATGCATACAACATAGGAAGCTCCTCCTGTATTTTCTGTAAAATAAATAAAAATATTTCATTGTTAGATACAAAATAACTTTATTATCCCACTGAATTGTCAAGAACAGTAAGCCAATCATGTTGAATAAAAATTGGTTATTTCACTGATTTGTACATTTTGGAGATGTTTTGGATTTCTTATACGTTTTGCAGCACTTTACTTTTTCAATAAAGTACTATTCTGTACATCTACAGTATATACAGTTCTTGGGGCAGGGCTGCAGATGGAACATACTTTGTGCCAATGCCCACCTATGGGTACACAAGGGTACTACAGGAGGTACTTGAAATGATGTTCAAAAGTCACAAACATTGACAGTCAGAGATTATAATGGGCTACTATGAAACACACATTTATGTCATTACATTTATTTTTTTGTACACATTGACCCCAGGCACCATTTCCCATATCCATGCATTTTGCCCACAGATCATTGTGTTACGTACAGTAGTTCCCACGTGCTCCTTGTCCCAGATCTTATTTTATGGCTGATCTGATTTTTCACCTGCTTTTCACAATGAAAAGTGAAAACCAAAGTCCAGCGTTAAAAGCAGCTTATAGGTCCATGCAGATAAGAGCTGTTTTCTGATTGGATTGTGGCTCACTATGACTTTTACACACAAATACTTCAGTCTATACTGTACTGACCTCTCCTTGATTTGGTCACATGACTGACTGGACTGGACTCTCCCTGTGGTTCCATAGTTTTCTTGGCTGTCAGTGAGCGCAGGTAAGATTTGTAGATCGTTTGGGGTTTTCTCTTGAATATACACTGTGTAACTGCACGGTTCGGTTTAGCAATATTTACAGGAAAAAACGGGAACGGGAAAAGTCAAAAGAGCAGAAGAATAGAATGACAGAATTACAGACACTTATGAGCGCTTACAAAATACTCAGTTTGGTCGGAATAGGTCCAGTTCAAATACAATACTAATTCATTATGTGTACAGGAAAACCATATTTCTTCTGTTTCATCTGTTTATTCGGTCATCCCTCTTCCTACCTACAGCATTCTTAGAATTAATGAAATTAAGTGAAGTATGAAATTGCAGGAGCTCATTCTTCTAATACTTGTAGCTAGGGCTGGATTATAACTATAACTAAGAGAAATACTAAACATTAAGAATACATTTTGCAGTAGACTTCCTTCCGCCCGTATCCCTTGGACAGCCCTGGACAGATTCACATGAGAATAAAATCTGAATCTGTCTCATAAAATCCTGTTTTCCAGATCCAATTTTAATCTACGACTCTGGAAATTAATTATTTGAGAAAATTGGTGACAAAGCTTATTGGATAACCAGGATCGAAGGAATGTATTATTATGCCTCTATTTGTTACGTCAGTCTGCGCCACATTCATGGGGTGTCTTGCCCAAGGACATAACGACAGCATCATCTCCCAGCTAAAGCCACTCCTCTCTCACTGCTTGCTTGTCCAGACATGGTTCAGTGCTTTATGGTTCCTCTGCAGACAGTCCACCGTTCTTGGTGGAAACGTGACACGCAGAAACTTGTTTGGTTTTGTCCAAGTTTAGTTTAGTGGGCGTGACGCACATTTCTCTCTTTCTCTTTTCTTCTTTGCGTCTTTTATTCAGCGGGGGTAAAGTTGTTTTTTGGGTGGCAGTGGCACTTATGAACGCAAACATGAAGGTTCTGGATGAGATTTGTACTGTATGCTGCTCTGTGGAAACGAAGGACTCTGAGGAGTGTAATGTCGTCTTGACATAAATGAAACGCCACCACAAGTACCGAACAAGAGCTGGTGGTTTATTGTACATGCTCGTATATGAGAACAGTCCGCAAGATCCCGCAGTACATCTCGCGTTGGTATATGGTGCCTTCACAGACCACATAGTGTGGGAAATAACAACACCATTCATTACATCTCCCCCTCTTTTGAGAAAGTAATGGCCATATTACTAATAGTCTTTCCACCCAGTCTCTGTAAACGCATAACTCCAGTGCAAACAACAGTTATGAAAATTATACACCATAATGCTTTAACATGTTAATATTCATGACTCAAAGAGCATTGTTTAGTTTGCTTTTCTTACTTTTTTTTTTTTTTTTTTTTTTTTTTTAAAGAGCATTGTTTAGTTTCTCTTTTCTTTTCATTTATCTGAACATAACATGAACATTTCTTCCAAAATACCTATAAGTCTAACTTAGGCGACGACTTACTCACTCGGCCTGAACGAGTGATTGTAACCGTCCCTGTCTTTGGTGGTAATGACTCGACACTCTTACTGCCGACATCGCTGCTCACGGGCAGAGGATCATCCGGTGACCCGCTGGGGTTTGGATTCTTAGAAGCAGCGGGCAGTCGCAATAGGTGACGGCGGTTACGTCTGTAACAACCTCCCTCCGGCGTTACCACAACGTATGACCTAGGGGTAGAACAGTTACCTTGTACCGTTCCTTGTGTAGTCCATTGTTTCTCATTGTCCAACTTCATCAGGACCCCTTCTCCAGGGTCCAGTGGTGGTAAGTGTCGAACACCATTCCTGCGGTTGTAGTAGAATGCTTGTTTCAGCTTAGCCGCAGCATCCGCAGATCGCATCTCCTTCCTATCTGGCCAGCTCGGATCCAGGTTAGCAGACAGGGTGGGCAGCGTGGTTCTGATCTTGCGGCCCATCAGCAGCTCTGCTGGGCTGAAGCCTGTAGAAGTGGTAGGAGTGCTCCTATAAACCAGAAGAGCCAGGAGGGGGTTTTCCTGCTTAAGGATCCCTTTTGCTATCTGCACTGCCCTTTCTGCATGTCCGTTACTTTGAGCGTAATGCGGACTGGAGGTGGTGTGGACGAAATCAAACTCTCTGCTAAACCTTCTGAACTCTTCTGAAGAAAACTGAGGCCCATTATCACTAATAAGCTCCTCTGGAACCCCAAATCTAGCAAAAGTGGCCGCTAGCTTGCCTATAACCTGTGTGGTTGTGGCTGTTGGTAAGTTCAGAATCTCAAGGTAACGAGAGTACTAATCAGAAGCTACCAAGTAGGTTTGCTTGTTGTACTCGCATAAGTCTACACCCACTTTTTGCCATGGTCTATCTGGCAGCACTGTAGACATGAGTGGCTCTTTAATCTGAGTGTGTCTGTTAGTATTACAAAAATCACACTGCGCAACTTTGGCATTTATGTCTTTTGACATCCCTGGCCACCACACTGACTGTTTGGCTCGCTCTCTGCACTTCACTAAGCCTTGGTGACCATCATGAATTCTCTCTATCATCTCAGATCTCAAGGTGGTGGGAATGACTATACGGCTTCCCCTTACAACCAACCCGTCTACAACTGACAGTTCACTCCGCACTTTGTAAAACCCTCTAACACCCTCCGGGACCCGTCTTTCATACTCTGACCAACCCGTCTGAGTGAGCTGTTTCACTAACTGTAACTCGGGGTCTTGGATAGTGTGGTCTCTTATCTGCTGTAGTTTCCGGGGGGTGGCTGGTAAGTGGCTGAGGACTGCTCCGATGTGCACGGTCACGTCCTCTTCAAGGTGCTCGTCTCCGGTCTGTTCCAGTGGACCCCTGGACAGCGCGTCTGCCACTGCCAAGGTCTTGCCAGGTGCGTACACTGCTTCTGCATTAAAACGCATCAGTCTCATCAGTAGTCTCTGACACCTTAGTGGGACATTGTCCAAGTCCTTGTTGTTCATTAAAGGCACTAAGGGCTTGTGGTCAGTGATCAATGTGAAAGTCTCTAGTCCAATCAGGTATTTCTCAAAGCGCTCACAGGCCCAGACGCTCGCCAGGCATTCCTTCTCTATTTGCGCGTACCTGGTTTCCGGATCACGAAGCCTCCTGGAGCAATATGCGACCGGCTTCCAATCTTCTCCATGTTGCTGTAGGAGAACTCCCCCAAGCCCATAGCTGCTGGCGTCAGCCGACACCTTTGTGGGCTTGTTGGCATCATAGAAGGTAAGTACAGGTGCAGATGCCAGGGCAGATTTCAATCTTCGGAAGGAGGACTCCTGCGCTGGACCCCACTGCCACTCAGATTTGGTTTTGAGCAGTTCATAAAGTGGTTGTCCAACTGTAGACATCTCCGGAACAAACTTGGCTAGGTAATTTACCATACCAATAAAGCGTCTCAGTTCAGCGACATTCTGGGGTTTCGGGAAATTTTCTATCCCCTCTACTTTTGCTGGGTCTGGTTTCACCCCATTCTCATCAATGATGTGCCCCAGAAACCTGATTTGTCTCTGTTTGAATTTACACTTGCCTTCGTTCAGTTTCAGACCAGCTGCCTCAATCACTTTCAGGACCTGCTCCAAACGCTTGTCGTGTTCCTCTTCAGTGTCTCCATGGACCAAGATGTCGTCCATATACACCTCTGTACCTTCCAGCCCCTGCAGTGTCTCTGCCATCTTGCGCTGAAATATCTCCGGGGCGCTCGATATCCCAAATGGCAGTCTGCAAAACGCATATCTCCCAAAGGGAGTAATGAAGGTGGTGAGTTTACGACTGTCTTTATGTAGTGGGATTTGGTAGAACCCACTAGCAGCATCCAGGGACGTGAACACTTTGGATCCTGAGAGTCTTGGCATTATCTCCTCCACTGTAGGTAACACATATTTCTCTCGTGCTACTGCTTTGTTCAGTTTTCTTAAGTCAGCACAGCATCTTACCTCAACTTTATTGGGTTTTAGTACTGGCACCATTGCAGCGCACCATTCAGTGGGCTCGGTTACTTTCTCAACGATGCCCTCTGTCTCTAGCCTTTGTAGCTCCTTTTTAACAAGTGGCATTAGTGGTAGCGGGACTCGTCTAGCCACATGGACCGCATATGGCTGTGCATTGTCTTTAAGCAGTATTTTCGCAGGTTCAGTCTTCAACAAGCCGCTGGTTCCGAACACAGCGCTGACCTCCTCTACTCTCTTAACTAGACCCATCTTCACCGCTTCTATGCGGCTGAGCAGGCAGCTGTTTCCTTTTATCACATATACTGGAAATGTGTAGCTTTCTCCTTTGTATTCTGTGTTAGCTTCAAACATCCCAAAACACTTGAGTGGACCTCCAGGCCCCGAGAAGGGTGTACTAGTAGGGGTCAGTTTGTATTCTTTGTGAGTAGACTGAATGTTTTGTCTCCGATGATACTTGCATCTGCCCCTGTGTCTATTTTGAATGCCAGGGGAACTTGGGCAATATCTAATGTGACAGTCCATTTATCTGGGTTTGCTGGGCCAGTAACTTCACCTAAGAACTGGTACTGGGTGGTTTCCTTTAGTTCATTGACAACTTTCGTACGGCATACACGAGCCCAATGCCCCTTTTTGTTGCACTTTTTGCAAAAACTTTTAGCAGCTGGGCATTTTCTTTTATCATAGTGCTGTGTGCCGCACCTACCGCAGTCTGGGGACTCTCTTTCAGTGTGTGGGGTGTGCTTTTTGTGTAGTACTTTGCGACGTCCTCCTGCAGAAACGCTTGCCACTTGCATCTCCGGCTGGGGACCGCTAGCTTGGAGGCTAATCTGTTTAGCAACCTCTTCTGACTGTCGTACTTGCTGTATAACATGAGCCAGCGTCAGATCTGCTGTGAGCTGCAATTTCAGAGACAATTCTTTGTCTTTAATGCCCACTACGAGTCTATCACGGATGTGTTCATCCCGCTTATCGCTAAAATCACAGTTCTCCGCTAGCTCGTACAGCACCCTTATGTACGCCTCTGCCTTTTCCCCTTGCAGTTGGTTACGTTGGTAGAAACACGCTCTCTCGTGTATTACGTTGCGTCTGGGTATGAAGTACTCATCCAACTTTGAGAGAACCCCTTCGTAATTCTTCTTATCGTCTTCCGTAGCAAACTCGAACGAGGCGAAGATTTTCTCTGCTTCGCTGCCCATCGCGTAGATAAGTGAGCAGACTTGAACCTCGCCATTTTCTTTGTTCAGTTTTGTGGCCAGCCTGTAGCGTGCGAACCTCTGTTTCCACTCCGGCCATTCTCCCGGGCTCGTGAAGTTAAACTCCGACGGAGGATTAAACTTGGACATATCGGCTCGTTAAAGTATTGCACCGCTTCTGACACCATGTAATGTCGTCTTGACATAAATGAAACGCCACCACAAGTACCGAACAAGAGCTGGTGGTTTATTGTACATGCTCGTATATGAGAACAGTCCGCAAGATCCCGCAGTACATCTCGCGTTAGTATATGGTGCCTTCACAGACCACATAGTGTGGGAAATAACAACACCATTCATTACAAGGAGAAAGAGGAGCAACACATCTGGAATTATGAAACATGTGAGAAGCGATTTATGTGCAATATGGAGACTGTTTCTGTCTACAGCATGTGACAGCCAGGGTAGTAGTAGTAGTAGAAGTAGTATTAGTAGGTAGTAGTAGTAGTAGAAGTAGTAGTAGTAGTAGTAGTAGAAGTAGTAGTAGTAGTAGTAGAAGTAGTAGTAGTAGTAGTAGTAGTAGTAGTAGTAGTAGTAGTAGTAGTAGTAGTAGTAGTAGTAGTAGTAGTAGTAGTAGTAGTAGTAGTAGTTGTAATTGTAGCAGCAGCAACAACATTTTTACCCCCCTTTCCTTTTTCTGTCAATTGCGCATGAGAGGATAGTATATTAGTAGGTAGTAGTTAGTAGTAGTAGTAGAAGTAGTTGGTAGTTGTTGTAGTAGTTAGTAGCAGTAGTAGTAGTTAGAATTAGTAGTGGTAGTAGTTAGTAGTAGTAGTAGTAGTAGGGGCAGTAGTAGTTTGTAGTAGTAGTAGTAGTAGTAGTAGTAGTAGTTAGTAGTAGTTGTAGTAGTAGTTGTTGTAGTTAGTAGTAGTTAGTAGCTAGTAGTAGCTAGTAGTAGAAGTAGTTAGTAGTTGTAGTAGTTAGTAGTTAGTAGTTAGTAGTAGTAGTTGTAGTAGTTGTAGTAGTTAGTAGTTAGTAGTAGTAGTAGTTGTAGTAGTTAGTAGTAGTAGTAGTAGTAGTTAGTAGTTAGTAGTAGTAGTAGTTGTAGTAGTTAGTAGTAGTAGTAGTAGCAGTAGTAGTAGTTAGTAGTAGTAGTAGTCGTATGTAGTAGTAGTTAGTAGTAGTAGTAGTAGTAGTAGTAGTAGTAGTAGTAGTTAGTAGTAGTAGTAGTAGTAGTAGTTGTAGGTAGTAGTATAGTAGTAGTAGCAGTAGTAGTAGGTAGTAGTAGTAGTAGTAGTAGTAGTAGTAGTAGTAGTAGTAGTAGTAGTAGCTGCACAACAACATATTTTGTTCTCCCTGGGATTACTCGGGGCTTGGATCAAAAGAAGAAGCAGTAAACATAAACAGTGCTGTCAGTTTGAAGTAACTAACATATTACATGTGGAACAATACTAACAGTAATTTGTTTTAATGTATGAATCCATAAAAAATAGAATATACAATATTTATTTATTTATAATTGCACAAATAGTTTGCCCAGGTACATTTTACTTATATAGCGCTTTTTGACATTCAGAGACGCTTTACAAAGGTACAGGTTGATAAGAAACAAAAATAGCAGTTTTGAACAGGTGGGTTTTGAAGTTCTGAAGTGACTCCTAGTTAATGTGTTGTCGGAGAGAATTTCAGAGAGTGGGAGCAGAGGCTCGGTCCCCCAGTGTTCGGCCCTTCCTCCTGGGTGATGAGGAGGACCTTATATTGTATGCGGTATGGGTATGGTACAAGGAGCCAGGGGAGTTGTTTGAAGATGGGGGCACTGTATACTGCATGAAAGTGTAAACAAGTAGTCTTCAGTTTACTCTTAAACCAGCTTACTTTCCATTGTTAAATGAAATGACTCAATCAAGAGCACTGCTAGTATGCCAATTATATGAAGTATTAGATACTTGTACTTAATTATATGTATATAATGTATATAATTATAATGAAAAGTCCTGTGGTTTGATTCATTTCTGTTTTGTCCACAGTGTAAGATGCGGTCCCTGCTGCTGTCCTCGGTCTCAGTCCCGGGCCTGATTCTGGTCTTGGCTGTGGTCTTGGTGGCTCCGGTGTCGGGGGGGAAATTACTGGTTTTCCCGGGAGATTTTAGTCACTATTTGAACATGAAGAGTCTGATTGAGGAGCTCCACCGAAGAAACCACTCCATCCACGTCATAGCGCCAACGTCAAGTCCTTCTGTGAAGTACAACGACACCGAGCTGCAGAAGAAATTCAACTTCATCGTCTATGAGGTCAGGACTAAACCAGGACTGGGTAAAAGATGGACAGTGCTCACCTGCTAAGTTGTTAAAGCTACACTCATGTTGCCCCATTCACTTCATGGGGTGGCACGGTGGCGCAGTGGATATATCTCTTGTGCTTCATAAGAAGACCTTTCTGTGGAGTTTGCATGTTGCATGCTCTTTTAAAAAATAATAGATTTTAGTTATGAAGACCAAAGATGTAAGCTTAACCCTGCCAAAACTAAAAACCGTTAAGTTGACTGCTCTGAGAGTTCTGGTAATACAGATCTGACCAGTAATAACCAACCAAACAGGTGCCTCCTCATGGCCTCTTTGATAGATGTAAGATTCTTGCCCATAGCAAACACTATGGGTGACGTTAGCAGACAATCTGTCCTCTCCTTTTTATGGTCTTTATGGGCCTGAATCAAAACTCTATGTTGCAGAGATGTTTTTGCCTCAAATTATTTTCCAGAACAAGGGTTAGGTTACAGCTCCCGCCTTGCAGAAAGAAGGTGCAGGGTTTGACTTCTGGGCGGCGCAGTTTGCATGCACTTGCTGCATTACATAGGTTTCCTCCAGGTGCGGTGGTGTCAACTACTACTTTAAAACATGTATGTATTTTCTGAGTGAGTGAGTGAATGGTGGTTGTGGGTCCAGTGCCAGTTATGTTATCCCCTGGTGTGAAGTGAATGCAAAATACACCAAACTGTAAAGTGTGTAAATGCATTATAAATAAAGAGAACGTACTTACTGGTTATTACTTACACAGGTGTTATTTCATGTTGTACAAAGGCTCAAGATCACAAATAAGGGTAAAAATGAAGACAAATAAGTCTTTCTGTTCCTATTCTTTCAGGTTCCCTTCACTGTTGATGACTACAAGAACTTCCTGAAGGACTTCATCTACTTCTCCATGTACGAGTCCCACAGGACGTCTATCCTGGGTAAAGTGCGCCTGATTTATGACTGGATGGACAAATCGCAGGTCATGGTGATGCAGACCTGTGAAAGCATAGTCCAAAACGCTGCACTGATGTCACAACTACGCAAGGCCAAGTTCGACCTGGTTCTGTGGGACCCAATGAGTCCATGTGGAGACCTGGTGGCCCGGCTGCTCGACCTGCCCCTGGTGGCTTCTATAAGGTTGGACATTTGTGAAACATTCTTATTTTTATTTTTTTTTTAAGATTATTGGCACAAGTGTTGAAGCAAACATGTGGATTTCTATCAAAGTGGTACAACCCTGAAGCAGTGGATCAAAGTAAAGAGCAGCACAAGAAATATTAAAATTGTATTCAAATGTTGTTTATAGTCAATCTCTTATAGATTATGTTCTATCTTGATACACTAACTTTAAAAAAAAATCAATATAAGTTTATAAGGCGTAATTTACATCACTTTGTTATTAATACAGGTACAAGGTATTTGTCAAGACAAACCAGTCCAATTGTTAAGAAGCTGCAATGATTACATTTGTCCACCAGATGTCAGCGTTTCTTGTCAAACTGTACAGACTCCTCGTATCAGTAGATTTTCAGTCTGATACTAAACAGAAAAAGAGACAGAACGGAATAGAAAAATAAATGCAATATACAGTATGAAAGGACAGTGCAGCGATGACTCATGCTTTGTCCGTAGGTTCTCCTTTGGCGCGGTGATGGAGCGTCACTGTGGTCAGGCTCCTCTTCCTCCGAGCTACGTCCCATCGGCTCCTCTGCCCTACGACGACAAAATGACCTTCAGTGAGAGAACCACCAGTTTGCTGACCAACGTCCTCACCTCCACAGTGTCCATTATCTTCTGGAAACTCACACTGGACGGGTTCTACTCAGAAATACTAGGTAGAGAAAATCAATCACTGCAGACTGGTGTTGTTTAAACCCATGTTGGACCCATTTCTTTCACCACAGAGAAGACAGGAAGCCCAAACTTGTTTAACCTATTTTTTCTTTTTTTAAATACCAAATTAATTTTTCCCTTTCTTATAAATGTAAATAGTAGCACCAACGTTGATGAAAAAGTCCTTCACTACTTCTCTACAAACCCACATGTAAGAAACGGGCTTTAAAGAAAACATATTATGCGTTCTTTTTAACCATAAAAAGGATCATGACACTATTTACTTTGTCATTTCATGTTTTAGAATGTGAAATAACTAAAGACAACTTATTTGCTAAAAATGAACACAAGACATTAAACAGCGGGCCAAGCAGAGCTCAGAGAGAGGGGACATTTTTCTCTTTTTTATGCTCACATCAGATCCTAATCCAGCTTTATCTGTGCAGGACAGTCGACGTCTGTGTGTGAAACTCTTGGTCGAGCAGACATGTGGCTCATCAGGACCTACTGGGACATCGAGAGTCCCAGGCCCCTTCCTCCAAACTTTCGCTATGTGGGCGGGCTCCACTGCAAACCGGCCAATCCGCTGCCAGAGGTGAGCTGTCAATCACATTCTACTGACCTGCACAGTCGTCTTCTGAGCTTCAATTTATGTCACCACATTTTTCCCTCATCAAAAACAGAGCTGAAGTCATTTTTTGCTCCATCCATGCATGAGAATCAGGAACATTTCCCCGCACCCCCATCTGTCCAAATGCTCCTTTTTAAAATTATGTATGTTTTGATGATTATTACAATAACTATTAAATACAATTTCCCCGTCCAATTCAGTTCTTTACGCCTTATTAAATCAAATTTAGAGTTAGAAATAAATATAACAATATACAATCCCGCTTGTACCGGATATGGAAATATAGAACTTTCCAGACATCTCTAACTGCATCTTTAACTTTCTACTTCTAAAATATACACATGAACTATTTTACAGTACAAAACATGTAACACAAGCAGATATTCTAAAAAAAAAAAAAAAAAAAATGGTTAACTTTTGGCAGAATGTTCTCCAATAAAGCATTATATTTGTTCTTTTAACCAGCTGGAGGACTGAGTCTCGGTAAAACCTTTCGTTCTCTAGGATCTGGAGGAGTTTGTGAACTCGGCAGACGCTGGGGTGGTGGTCGTCACGTTCGGCTCCATGATAAGCAAACTGGAGACGGACCGTGCTGAGGTCATCGCTACAGCACTGGCCCAGATCCCACAGAAGGTTTGAACCAGGACTAAACCAGGAGTTAACCATGATTAAACCAGCACTAGACCAGGACAGATACAGGGCTAATACCAAAGTACAATCAGGAATAAACCAGGACTTATACAGGACTCAACCAAGACTAAAAAAGAACTAAACCATGACTTAACCATGTCTAAACCAAGACTGATACAGGACTACAATCAGGACTAGTATCAGGATTTAAAAAAGACAAACATGACAAAATAAGAGGAACATATGTCTGGAGCAAGACTATAACTTTACTTAAACTGTCAACCAAGTATTATTGACCCCAAAACATCACATAACCATGACAGAATTAGTCCTTCCCAGAACATTTTTAATTTAACTCGAACTAAATTGAATCCAATCAGAACAGAACTGGGACAAGACCATTCTAAACCAGGTCTGAAGCAGGACTAAGGGAGTCTGTGTGCAGGTGATCTGGAAGTACAGTGGACCTACTCCTCTCTCTCTGGGTCCCAACACCAGAGTTCTGGCCTGGATCCCTCAGAACGACCTCCTTGGTACATTTATGTCTCTCTCTGTTCTTTTCAGAGCCGTATGCGCTTTATATATTGTGCTTTTGACAAGCATAATTTATTGTGTTATTTTGAGGTGGTTAGCGATACCCTAACCCACCCATAACAAAGCTACCACTCTGTTGAAAAATGAAAAATGAAAAAGGGGCGACAGTAGCTCAGTTGGTAGAGCATTGGCCTTTGAGCCTGAAGGTCCTCGGTTCAAGCCCACCATAAGACCTACTTCACGACTCCCACTGATGACTGCTGTCGTTGTGTCCTTGGGCAAGACACTTAACCCCACTTTGCCCGAAGCCCCCACTGAAAGTTCTCAGCTCCTGTGGACTCACCACCTGCAGGAGGATCAGTGAGGGGCTGGTGCTCTGTGACTGGGTGTAGCTCTGACTGCCACCCCCCCGACCCAGAAATGGATTAAGGGGAAGAAATTGGATGGATGGATAGATGAAAAATGTCTGTATGGAGTTTTGATAATGGGTAACTTTGTAGTGCAGCATAGCCACAGTGGGTGAAGTCTCTTTACTAAAAATCCAACATCATGTGATATTATCAGTAAAACGTAACATAAGCAAAAGGGACAAAGCATGTACAAAATCAGCACCACCTTTGAGCAGTTTTAAGGAAGTAAATGTTACCATAAATGACACTATTGCTAATGTACAGTATGTGCAATCCTGCCTTTTATTAATTTGTATGCATCTTTTTTGAATTTTAGATTAATATTCATAATATTTGCAAATTATCTACAGAGGCCATAAATTATAACAATGTAGCAGACAATGACACAAAAAACTAGCCATATTCCTTTTTTTTTCTAAGTTCGCATTTCTTTAGTTAAATCAATGCCATGTGTGATATCGCCCCCCTCAGGCCACCCTCAGACTCGTGCTTTTGTGGCTCACGGCGGCACTAACGGTCTGTACGAGGCCATGTTTCACGGGGTCCCGGTGGTGGGAGTACCTCTGTTTGGGGACCAGTCCGATAACTTGGCACGACTGAGCCGACGCGGAGGAGCCGTCGTGCTCAACTTCAACACCATGACATCACAGGAAATGACATCAGCCATCAACGAGGTCATCAACACGCCCAGGTGAGTAAAACGTCTACCTTTTAGTTACTCTGTTTTTACATTTTATTTTACTCCAAAACATTGAGGGATAAGTGAAATTTCAGCAGTTTGGAGAATAAGTATAGGGAGGTTATTATTTGTGTGTGTCGGAGTAATTTTTTCATTTTAAATAATAACTATCACACTTCAAATACCTATATAGCCAATATAGCTCCTGAGTTTACTATCTTATTATTTTATTGTCTTAAAATATTAGTTCCTTTTTTATGTTTACATAATCTGCTCTTATGGGACAAAATAAAGGTTTCTTTTCAACTTATCTTATCTCCATTTCCCATGATCCTCAGCTTCAAAGAGAGCATGGTCCAGGCGTCGCGGGTGCACAGGGACCGCCCGCTCTCCGCGCTGCAGGAGGCTTCGTTCTGGGTGGAGTTTGTCCTGAGAAATGGAGCCTCTCACTTGCGCCTGGCCTCCCACGACCTCAACTGGTTCCAGTACTACAGTCTGGACGTCGCCGCCTTCCTGCTGACCATCGCTGCTACAGGCCTCTTGGTCACAGCAAAGGTCTTCAGAAAGATGCTCAGAGGGGTGCGAGGGTCTAAGCAGCACACGGACTGAACCAGGACTTAAACAGGAACAAACCAGGAGTCAAATAAAAGAACTGAACTGAACTGAAGCAGGGGTGTCAAACCGGTTCCAAAAAGTGCCTAACTGACCAGGAGCACACCAGACTTCACCCATTTCCTCGAATCTTCAGGTTAAAACTGGACTCACCTAAAGCAATGATAGATGTGGAATTTCCCAGTGCTAATTTTTGAATCCAATGTCCATTATTTAAAGACTGATACTTGAAGACACATGTATTGCATTTACAACGTCCTATCCCTATCCCTGCCTCACACTGGATCCGCACAGATCCAGTCCCGAGGCCAGGCCACTCACAACACATTGGTCAGCTCTGGGGCCATACACAGAAATTACAGCCTCTCTGTTAACCCTTATTGTGTGTCGCTGTCATTTGTCATTTGACTACATTCAATGAGAGAGGTGAGATACAGTGTGAGCAGGATTATTTCATTCTGAAAAACACTGTGAGCTCTTTTATTGTGAGAGACTTCCTGTTGGGCTCGTAACCTTCCCTGGTTTGATCCGTCCCTCTCTGACGTCCGCCAAGAATAGACTTCTTTTGGATTTTTCCAAAATTCCGTCCACTCTCTGTAACCGGAGCCAGACAACATGGATTCACGAGAGCTGTACATGTTGGTTTAATTAAGTAACGGATAAAGTGAAAGTTCAGCGGGAGACCAACACCAAGTCTAGTTCACTTTAACTGGACCAAGTCTGATTCACTTTAACTGGACCAACTTTTCTCTTTATTACTGACATGAAAAAGTCAACTTACCAAGATTAGGAGTGTGACGATATATCAATTTTCTATTTTATGTATGCCATATATTAGCATATGGTACATTGCTGACCAATATAGCGATAATCGTCATATCGTGATATAATCGTTATCGTGATATAATCGTTATTGTGAGCTTTGTATCGCGTATCGTATCGTGAGGTACCCTCAGGTTCCCACCCCTAACCAAGAAACAAGCATAGGAACAAAACTCATTCAGTTTACAACCAAGGATTTGAAGCACTGCTGTTGCAGTTGTACATTTATTTTATTACTTTTGAAATAAAATAATTGACATGTATTGTGCGTGGTATGACTGCTTCTACAGATTTAATCTATTTACAGTCTATTCAAATCCAAACAGTGTGCTCTTATTAGTGAAATAATTACACATTTAAAATAATCCCCAATTATCTCATTAAGAATTCACACTGGTGGTTAACTGGTACATCCCCTTTTTAACTTGAACGTTGATTTTTGATTTCGCATTTAGCTCAAGATGTTCCACTTGATCATAGGTCCATGAATAAACAAAGTCTTAACTTCAATCATATTTTGGACCATGGGACAACTAAATATTGTATTAATATTAAATAATTCTAGGTAACAAAGAAATAATATCTATATGTAGAAACTATTCTACTTCTATGTTCACTTATTTAAGTATTTAACGATGGCTTATTCTTGTTCAGGAGTATTATTACAGTACGCAATGGTTAATATTCACCTGCCTTTGTATACTACTCTCTATTGTATTTTGAGTAAAACCATGAATCTGCTTGAAATGTGAAATTACTATTATTATTATTTCCAGTCAAACGTCCTCCTCTTCTCTAATTGGCTCTTCGGGATTGTTCCATTCGGGTCTCGGGAGCGCGCACGCAGTACGTCCCTGTACAGCAGGAGCGCGCACGCACACATCATCTCCCGTCAGCTCGTCGGTGCGTCCCCGGCTCCTCTCTCCGGTCTCCCCGCGGATCCGCTTCTCTTCCCCCGGTGAAACCCCCCACTCCTCGCGCCCGGACCTCCCCCTAATCACCCCCCGACTATTAGAACCAGCCCGGGACGCTTTTCACCCCCCAAATCCCACGCAGGAAGCCGGGGGAAACTTTTGGCACGCACCGCCCTAGTCCCACAGCTGACGCCAAACTTCCCCACTGTCCACCTCACTCGGGGTCTTTCTCTAATTTGACTTTTGGACACTTTTTTGGACACTTTAATCATCGTGCCAAACTTTTCCTTCCCCTGCGCCTGACAGGAAGTGGGTCTCTGGCACGCGCTGTGATTGGGTCAAGCAGTGAGTTCATTTGGGGAGTTTTCCATCGTCCCTTTAAAGTCACATTTCGACTACTTTGGGGCTTAAATTTATTTTAAATTGGGGTCTGGGTATGTTTAACGCACGAGCCATGGAACGGACGCAGTGAAGGGGGCGCGCACGCACGAGTCTCTCCCGGTGTGAGGTGAGTGGGACTTACGTAAGGAACCTTCACTTTGTTGTGTCCAAACTTTAGCCTCTTCCACACGCGACTGTCTGTGTGGATTTACAGACTTTAAATGCTTTTAACAGCAGTAATTCAGCTTCCCTGTCGTCTCTAAATGTGGAACCGTTATCCATGAAAAAACAGGTAATGATGACTTCACTTGATAAACGTCTTCGTGACAACTGTGGGTTTGTTGGCAGTACATGCTGCAAACATGTACAGTAGATTCATCACTGACTGTTTGAACCCTCAGAACTAACTACTACATTTATAAAAGTTATTTCTTTGTTTCTTTTCTCTTATTAGAAGACGCTTCTCAGCCTTGACTCATTACCTAACTATTCTTGCACATTCTATTGTATTTTTTTAGTATACAAGTATAGAGTTGTGCTATACTTAATATTGACTTATCTTTACTTGGGTGCTCCTCATTCCGTACTGTAACTTGTAATGCAACACTGAAATTTCCCTACTGTGGGATGAATAAAGGATCTCTTAATCTTTATCCTAATTTCCCGTTTTTTAAACTGACAACATGATCTATTTTTTAGCAACAATTGTGGCAATGATCTTTTACATATTACTGTACTGTTGCAATGACTGTTAGTGTTGGACAAAAGACTCAAAGCGCCACTATCCTGCTTAATGATTACTTATCTACTCAAATAATAAATACAAACTACAGATTGCCCTATACAAGGAGATCATTCACTCATTGCCAGATGATGGTGGCCTTTGACCACAACTGAACCTCAGCCACTCGGTCTGAATAAGCCCCACAGATCTTAAATTTTTGTTTTTAATGTTTATAATATATGTATACAATGTATGTGTGTGTGTGTGTAATATATATGTATATAATTTTACTTACATATTTGTACATACATCAGACTATGTAATAGTCTATTGTAGCACTCTTCACTATGGTCTATTGTTCTACTCCCTCACTTTTATTTCACATTTATAGACGAGGCGTGTGGTGTGTCCGGCTCAAGACAAGACTATTACATAATTATGTTTCAACCTTAAAATGTGTGTTTTATTTTTCATTTTTTTCTGAATCACTGTGCAATGCAGCCTAATTACTATAAACAACGGTTTCTAAAAGAAGTTCTGAATTGAATCTGAATCTTGTTAAAGTACATTTTGTCCACATTAAATACAAAAAACAACAGAATGAGTTGGCAGATGATGTAAGGGTGATTGAATCATGTTGTGCTTGTCTGAAGCGTGCATTAGCCTGAGCTCGGTGTGATAAGATTACAGCTATAACATTGTACAGTGAAAACATGGTTCCTGTTGTGGTGGTCGTGTGAATTGCTGCAGCGCTCGGGCTAAAGTTAGCCGTGGTGGTCGCTCGGTGTGGAATCCCAGCCATGTGCAGCGTGCAGGGGGTATTTTTAACATGTTTGGCCCTGTGTACTGGACAGCGCTGAGGTCCAGTCCAAACCTACGGACACAACAGTCCCTCAGTCCACAGTATTTTGGAATAAATGATCAGGAACAAACAATGTCTGAAATAAATGCATTTCAAGTTTTCAGTCATTACGTGGTCCCGATTGCCCTGAAGTAGATGGATGAATGTGTGGCCACCAGTCTGTGTTAGGAACAAGCTCGAAACCATGTTGTTGTAGAGCGTTACGTTTTTAGAAAGGTTTGCTGAATGTAAAACTATCAATAGGTAAAATCAGTCCAGGACTGGTTCAGTTCAAGTTTAGACCTCATCTATAGAAGGATCTTTGTTTACAGCTGCGTGCGCATGCGCCCCTCGCTGGGTGGCAGAAAGACAGACATACTGAACATGGATGCAACGAGTACTTTTAAACGACTCAGTGGGCGAATAGCACTGTTTATAAGCATTTTAACGCAAGAAGATCAGAGGAGATATAAAGACAAGCAAAAAGTATGAGACCGAACTGAACAAATTCAAAGCCCAGATGAGACCTGGGATGACGAGAAAAAACATTGGTCAGACTCGCCTCTGTCTTGGCACCGATCTGCTGGGACTGGGACTCGGAGACATTTATTCTTACTTCATACTGTAGAAAACCCGGGACCCTTCACTCAAGAAGGGTCCGTGGTGGAATTTGCGTTTTTCACCGCGGTAAAGTGGCCCAACATTTCGCCACACATTAAAAGCGGGTTGCTCCTTTTTGCTGTTACTTATGGTAAAGGTGGAACAGGAAGCCGCGGGAATGAGCAACCAAAATGCAATGTTTAAAATTAATATCATTCATGAATGAACGAATGAGTGAACAAGTGCACAGTGAAAGTAGTTGCAAAACTTAAATTTGTTTATGAATTTTTATCCCCTCATCCCCCCGGCTTCCCTTTCTACGTTTACCCTAGGCAACAGCATAAAAGGGCAACCACTTTACCGCGGCCGTTTTTTGCTGTTCTTTTATGAAAAAATTAGAAAAAACACGTAATCTGTCCCCAGCGGGCCGTACAACCGACCACACAACAAGAATGGACCATTTGATTTAGTAAAACCTCTCTACAAACGTCTAAAAAATAGCTAACTCTCTAGCATCCAGGTAGCTTTCTATGCTATAGTGCCACACAGTCACGTGACCGGCGCGGAAAAACTATAAACCATAACGTCCCTATAGGTCCTCCACATGTAGGAGGACCTATAGTCTAAACTATAGTCTAAACTTGGACTGAACCAGGTCTGAACTGATGTTTGTCTCAACAGTGATGTGTTTGGACAGGGAAGAGTATGGAGTCATTCATTAGCACATTCCTTTCCAGTTGAGTTTACATTGAACCATGTCATAATCATGTATAAAGCAGGTCCTGGTTTAGTCTCTGATTAGTCCTAACACGTTGATTAACATTAGATGAGATTTTTGTGTTAATTGCAGATCATTAGTCAATTTCCCATTGTGGAATTGCAGTTAAAGGTGATTAGTTTTGACCTGCTTGGGTGGACATTCTTCCAGGTTTAGTCCCGTTATCTGTTTTTATACCTGGATCCTGCCATCAGAAGCATTCCTCTCATTGTGGACTTCAACAGCTGTCGTGTTGGACACAGGCCATTTTTAAGTCTAGACCAGGAACTAGACTTGTCAGTCCGGTTAGACCAGGGTTTGTGCCTACAGTCCTCGGGTTCTAAGAATCCTCCGGAGCTCTCCATGTGTGGACATTTAGGAACACTTCACATGTGCACGTTGTGTCTGTTTCTTGCCAGGTGTTCCTGGTTTACCAGATGCACTTGGGATTTTCATGTCTCCTCTTTCATGTATAACCAAAAAGACTGAAATATATAGGGACATTAAAATGCACCTATTTAAATCAAAAGGTTGGACTTGGTAATGTTGTGTAGTTGGTGCATTAAAGGTTTAGTAGCTGAAATCACTTGGGCTGGGCATCTGTCAGAGTCGATACCTTTTGCCACATGTCAAGACCTCTTCACTGCACATGTGTTTTGTGGGGACATTTAAAACCTCTTCACCTGCACATATGAGTCAGTGTTGGTGGAATGCTTCTCACAGTATCGGTGACAATGAGTTGGAGTTCTGTCTCTGTTAGACTTGTAAACAAAGCCTCTGTCTGGGTGAAGGACGAGCTCAAAGCAAGAGTCTATAGACACAGCTGTGGAGAGAATTAACTTTTGAAAATGTCAAATGCTAATCAGTGTGTAACTTGTCTTGAATGTTATTGGCTAGTCGATTTATTGATGCTGTACATTTCACAAACAATGTTTTGTCTAATAATAACACACTTTCTTTTTGGTTGTTGTTTAATACACATCTCTCTGCCTGGACACAATAAAAGGTCATTGAATAAAAGTCTCAAGATTAAAGCTGCACTAACTCACTTTGTGAACATTTCGAATGTGAGCGCTGGCCTTACTCTTCTGCTCCCCCTCCCTGCACTCAAGAAGCTATCGCCCCCCTCTACCCCCCTCCCACTCAGTCTAGTGCTCATGTCCTAATTGTATGGGGAGCTCACGTCTCACAATATGGATCGCACGTTTGAACGTGGATGGCGTGACCATAGAATGATAGAACCAGGAAACGTGGAGGAACGAGACTTTCTTTTGGATGGATGTTTCGCTGTGAAAGCAGTAACCTGTAACGAAGACACGGCAAGTTTCAGGTTAGCCTCCGCCGCTTGTTTACCTCAGCTGTCTGCTAATGAGAGACCTGTGGCTTTTCTCAAGAAAGTGGAGGCCAGTGGTCCGCTGTGATTGGTCACTATCTGGTCCTGAATAAATTCTCTTCCTTGTTTTACAAAAACTCGATCTAAAATAAAATGACATGCCAGCACAAATCTGCGCTACTTTTTCTTCAATGCATTGCATGGATATGGATTGAATTTTTTTTAAATACAAAAATAAAGTGAGGTAATGCAGCTTGAACAGTTGCAACATTTTATCAGGACTTTTTTTTTTTTCAACTTTTTAACATATTCCCAGTTAGTTTTGGCAAAAATCGTTATGTTGTTCTGCCCCCTCTGTTCACATATTCAAGTTTCAAACTTAGAAAAGATGAATTATTTCAGTATGATCAAAGCCATTTTGTGTTTTTGAAAACTAATTTGTTTTGTGACGGTAATTTTGACTGGATAACTTCCTTCAGTTACATTGTGCCATGACATTGTGCCACTTACTGAGGTCTTTCTTTAATCTGGATTCTTTCTTCATCAATTTGTACATGTTTCAATGTATTTTCTTCCTACATTATTTAGCACTAGTAAAACATTAGATGTGCATAAATATATAAGACGGTAAATATTCTCCAGTCTATTTCTAGTTTAGTCACAGAAGGAAACCTGCACAGAGAAAATGGGCAAACTTCATGCATTTAGAATATTGCTTATTGTGTTCATTTTACAGTGAGATAATGAGAAGAGACACGTACTGTAAAAGCCGGAATGCATGGAATGTGTTAAATAAGAGGCGACAGAGACAACGGTCACATACGATCAGGACAGAGCGGCACAGGCTGCACAGCTTTAGGTGACGTCCTGGAGGAGAACTGAAAACCCTGTTCACCTTTTTATGTAAAACCTGTTCTGGAATACACACGCTTCTATATCAAGTTTGCAGTTCTTCAAGTCGGTTATTGGCTGTTGTTATCAAGGAGTTATTTTCTTGGTTATAATGTCAGATGAGCATAAAGGTGGGCAATGAATCAAATATTAGTCATTTTGAATATAAACAAAACAAAAATGCTGAAAGAACAAATTCGATTATTTCAGTTTGTTTTGTCCCTTAAATATGATCTTGAGTATATTCTGATTAAAAAAATGTATGCACAAAAAGCAATACTTAAACACAAATACGTTATAGGTTCAGAAATTGTTTGCCACAATTCTGTTTACAAGTGCCACACGATACTCAACATTTTGATGTAAATTAATATGAATAATGTTGACTTAACTAGGGCCCTATCAATCAGTTTCAACAAAATATAGATGACTATAATAGGCAATAGCTGCAGGCCTTTTATGGTCCTTCACTCAGTTTGAGCAGCAGCAGAGTGGTGGTTGTTGGATGTGTGTGGGTTTGATGGACGGAAAGTGCGCGAAAAGTGGTGTGGAAATTCAGCCTGTTATAAAACCGGGAGGAGCCTTGGAAAAATGCAAAGGGAACACTGGCATACATGTGTGAACTATGAAGACTGCATGCAAATGTTCGGTCCTGGTTCAGTCCTGGTTCAGACTTGTCCTTGCTCAGTCTTTGCTCCGTTTGGCATCGGTTTAGACTTGATTGTGTTCTGTTGGGCTTCAAGATTAAAAGTTTCAATTTGGAAATAGCACAGACTCATTCCAATGTCACACACAAAGAAAAAACCTGGACTTGAATTAGGCCGTATTTACTGATGGTATGTGTCGCCATGGTAACATTTGCTTGGTCTACTTTTTTCTGTGCAAATACAGTAGTTATGTTATAGTCTTCCGTGTATCTACAGTGTAATATTGTTTTTGTTTAAAGTTCATGTTTCAGCCTTCTCTCAAATGCTATTGGACTTATTTTCTATCTCCACATTTTTTATTGTTTATTGCACAACCAATACCATTTTTGACAACTTTATATAGCCCTGTTCTGGGTCAGTACTGACTCGGTCTTGCTTCCATCCTGATCACGTTCTGAACTGTTTTAGTCCTATCCATGCGGTTCTTCAATCTCTACCTTCAATTTTGTTATTAAAAAAAACCAAAACAATATCTCTTACTTTATCTGTATTCACCGTCTTCACAACCCCTAGGACCAACCGGCCTCCAACCTATTTTGTCAAACCAATCGGGCAATAATTCAGCAGAGCAAGATATAAATGAAAATTGTTATCGCCTTGGGTAGAAAAAAAAGTTCCATAAACTCATAAGAAATATTTTATTTCATGCCGATATCATGAATTTTGAACTCTTGTCCATAATCTTTCACAATTAGTTCTGTATTTTATCTGTCATCAAAGAATTTTGCGTGAGTTTTTAAGTTACAAAAATGAGTTCCTAAACATGTCTTAATAACTGCTTTCTTACGTTAACTTGTTTGGACGTGTTATTTGCATTTGGGGTTAAAATAGCCCCTTTTGAACCATAAACACATATTTTCACATTCTAAATCATGAAAAGGAACAATAAATACATGTAATGAGGGATTTTTGTTTAACAGCTCTCTCTTATTGGACGTTTGCAGGTGGAGTGGGCGGGGCAGCGATGGCGGGGTCCTCGGTGAAGGTGGCCGTGAGAGTGCGTCCGTTCAACACCCGAGAAATCACACGAAACGCCAAATGTGTCATTCAGATGCAAGGGAACTCTACGTGTAAGTAAAACCATGAAGAATCAATACTACCAATAACAATTCTGAAACGTGTGAGGGCTTGGCTCAGAAGAAAATGACAGTCATATATAACTCTCTAACATAGAATTTTATGCTGTGATGAGTTTTGTCCATCCAACAGAACAAGGTGGCAGAGTGGTTAGAACAGCAAGAAGGTCCTGAGTTTGATTCCACCGCCATACATGACCTTTCTGTGTGGCCTTTGCATGTTCTCCCCATGTCTGCGTAGGTTTTCTTGTGGAGTGAGAGCACAAATGCCCATAGCAATTGTAAAACGCGTTGTGACTCTGGTCTCTGAAAGGCGCTATATACATAAAGATTACTTGCATACTTGCTTAGAACAGGTTTAGGCTTGTGTTTTTCATCCATAAAGTACAGTACTGACTGACAGCTCGAATCCCCGCCTCCTGACGTACAAACCCTTACAATCACTCCTATGTTCTGTCTTGGAAAAATGCTAACACTACTGCTTTACAAGGACCTTATCTGGATGTCCTTTGGCGTACTCTGATTTGTTTCAATGAGATGTAAAGCCGGCCACAACAACCACTTCAAGCTTATTTACTAACAAATAGTTTTGTTGTTAAAGGCCCTTTAGTCATCTTTTTATGGTTTTATTTGCATTAAGAACATTATTTGCAGTTGTCCTTGATTATTGATCACTCGGCTTGATAATTGTACAATTTGACCATACAGGTGGAACTCTGTAAATTAGAATATTGTTCAAAAGGTCATTTCTGTATTGGAATTTAACATTTGAAACCAATATATGATGTATTACATGCAAAGTGACATATGCCAAGCCTTTGTTTTTTTTTTTTAATTTGAGGCTATTTCTGGCTAACAGTCTATCATTAAACCATTCTAATTTTTGGTTACTTGGAGTTTTTACAGGCTGTGAGCCAATGATCAACATTATTAAAAATATATCTGATAGATTACTTTTGGGTAATGAGTCAGTCATATACAAGTTTCTCGTTGTACAGACTTCAGAAGTAAATGTACTTTTTTCCCTATATTCTAATTTTGAGTTTCACCCGTATACTACCAAGAACTAGTTGAGTCACTTTTTGTTTCGCTAACAATAAAATATTATGTATTTCGATGCCAAACGACAATGACATCGAGCTGTTTGTATCTGCATAAGTTTTGCTCAAACATGAAACGAAATTGACACCGGCTCTTTAATACACGCGAGTAGTGATACAGCTCAATACGGACAGACAAAAGGCGCTGAGCGGATGTGACACAGTTGAGTAGTTGTCGTCCACGCCCTGGCGAAGTGACACGATGAGTCCTGGAAAAGGGATGAACAGAGAAGAGATGAAATGTCAATTCCCCTGTGGTCCAAACCCTGGTGGTGAGGCCAATGAAGAGAATGAGGCGGCTGGGGAGGAGGGCCAGTAATATGAGGACCTGAGATGTAAATGTGTCAGGTTTGACTGCTGCAGTGCAAGTCTACTATGGAGAAGTGGCGTGATGAGCTAACTTTTTTCCTTTACACATTGAGTCTCCCAACCCTTTGTGCTGTTACTAACCGATTGGCTTCTTTCAATTAAATCTTGCCTCGATAATCAAGAACAACCAAATTTTAGATTGCACAGGCCTCTTCCAGTGAACTGAGCTGATGAGACTCAATAGGATTCTTCCAGTCTGATCTTTTTGCTACCGTTCCATTGCTCCATCCTTTTTGCACAATCTGTTTTCCTCTGCGTGTGGATACATTTCACACACAGCCGTTTATGATGAAACTCTCCGGACTACAATCCCAGCATGCCTCAGTGATCATATGACCGGGTTATTTCTGTCCAAAACATTCACTCCAGCAACGGCCCACGCATCACTGTTCGACGTGTTAATTAACTTCTATTGACCAGCTGTGTGCTTGTGTATTTAAAGACAAAAAATGACACAGAGAAAAATAATGTGGAATAAACTACATTTTTCCCACATCACCCCCAATTTATATATACAGTATTTAGATCTTTTTCTGGACGTTAACTTGGATCATGTCCAATAATTGTATTCGATTATTATATTATTTATCATTGTATGCATTTATTGATGCACTGTTGATGCCACACACTGTAACAGTACCTTTCTACTTCTGTATTCTTTCTTCTACCCTCATAGCCCCAGTGTTTTTAAATGCCTGTGCTAAAGTCAACCCGACCATTCTACAAAACCAACGCAGTACGATCCCAGCCGGCCTCAGTGACTCTGGGAATGCCTCGGTTTTCAGGCCATAATGACAGACTTGTGATGCGCTGGAATTCTGAGCCTAATTTTGAATTACAGTGGCGAAAATAATTCATGACCTGCTGATTTTTAATTTACAGCTCCGTACGAATATAACAGCTGCACTCCTGTTTCACACCACGGTCCTCTCCATAGAACAGATTTACACTTTAAAGAGGACGTATATAATGGAAAATGGCCTGTGTTCATTTGTTTAGTCTTGTTTATTCCTGCATTTGAGGCTTCAGCAATCAAAAAACCAACTATCCCTGCCAAACTTGTGATTTTTGAAAAGCTCCAGGTCAAAGATGTTGGGTTGAAAATGTAACTGAGGCTTATCCGATTTTTCCATTGTTTCATTTTGACAAGAAACTCGATTAACGGCGCTATTATTTTGTTATTCGAATCACTATTCATTTTGGTTTTGAAATGAATTGAGGTTGCATGTATTAAGGTTAATACATGCATGTAGTAAGGATAATACATGCTTCCAATTCTGTGAAAAAAGTCCTAGTAATATCAACACTTTTCTTTTCTTGAATTGACATAAGACGCAACGTTGACTTTCCAAACCTTTGACCATGTTATACTTTAAATAGATATTCAGTCATTCAATTGGTATTCCTCACCACTTGTTCCTCAGATCACCCCAACATGCCCAGTTTGCCCACTGTTTTCACTTTGTTCTTTTCTTAATCTATTCAAAGGAAAAAATATCAGTGAAAGATTATTATTACACTTTTGGTACACTGTACCAAAAGTGTACTAATAATCCATGGGTGTCATAGACTGCTTTATAGAAAGAAGCATGTAATGTTGCAAAGTGTTTACACACTTTTCCTAATCGTTTAATTCATGCTTGCTTAATGCAAGATTGTGATTGTGCCAGAGTTTCCATTACACTCTGTGGGAGGTTGGATAGAAGAACTGCTCCCAAAGGCTCTCCAATCCCAGTGTCCAACCATCAAAAGAACCCATTTCCAAACACGGAATAAAACATTGATCCATGTGGGCATAGAGCACCCAACAAGTCCAGCACTGGATCGCTCTCCTTCCTATTTGCTACAAAACTACTAAACAAAATTCCAAGACTGTGGGACTGCCCTACTCTGGACTCTTTTAAAAATAAACTATGGGACTTTGAGGAAAGGCATATCTTTGACATTACGTTTTTTACACAAAAATTGTAATAAAAAAATTAAATAAATAAAAAACAGTTGTGGTAAACAATTATCAAACTCAATTATTTCTACACTTGTGAATTCCTATCATACCTCTGTGCTTCCATTTCAACACAGTTTTTATTAGTTGGTGCATAATGCTATAGGAAGCATTCATGAAATGAGAGGTGGTGACTTTTGGTTCTTCTGTTTGGTGGTAGAGTGGTTAGCGCTTGTGCAAGTAGGTCGGAGCTTCAATTCCAGCCCCATTCTGTGTGCAGTTTGCATGTTCTCCCCATGCTTCCCTCCAGGTGCTCCTGTGTCCCCTACCACTAAAAACATGTACAGTAGTTCAGGGTGAATAAGTGTGTTCGTAAATGTAACTGTTCTGTCGAGGACAAAAGAACCAAACATTAGATTATTACCAGTTCAATTAGAGTTACTACACCTAATTATGACTAATCATTGTTACTGCTGCAATTGCTGCTTCTACACACTCTGAATCTCATTAGCCTGGTTAAAGAAATGTATTGGGTTTGGTTTTTGTTTCATTACTTCTAGCGACATTGAATACGGTTACTATACTTTTATTTCTAATACTAAATACATTGTTTCTTTTTTAAGCTAGTGAAGATAGATTTCATTTTTATTTTTGAGGTGTAGTCAGACCTGGGCAGGTGAATGAGGAGGAGCACACAACACTTATCTTGTGTTGTGTGCTCCTCACTCCTACTGATCTGTAACTTGTGATGCAACATTGAACCTTCACCACTGTGGGAATGAATAAAGGATCTCCATCTCACACCAGTATTACCATTACTATTATTACTGTCTGACATTAACCACGGTCGACATGGTTTTAGCTCGTAGTTGTTCTGTTGTTACTTGCAGAAAAGTCACTGCAAACATACTGTATAAAAAAGTTATGTTTATCCTCAACTACTCCTGCTGCTTTTACTACTACCCCAGCTACTACATCTCATCTATTACCCCAAACTCAGGCCCGTGAGCCATATTGTCTGGCCCTCTGTCTTGCAAACCCAAAGTACCATATTGAGATCATAAACGTAAATTTAGTTTCATCCAGCCAGCTTCAGCTCCACCATTGGAAAGCTCACAACCTGGAATCAAGTCTACTATTTATAAATATTAACATGTGTTTTTCTCGTGTCACATCATTCTGTCTGAGGCTCTAATGCGGCTGGTGAGATGGTAAACATTTGTAATTCAGCCAACTTCAGCTCCTATTTCAGACCTCATTTTAAAGCTTAGAACAGCCTGACTTCAGACAACAGTTTTACAATCCGTGTTATCGGCCCCTGGACATTTCTGCTGCACTAAAGTGGCGTCCTCACTAATAGTTTGGACACCCTTGCCTTAAGTTATTGTCTGTAAGTTTATACTCTTGAGAAAAAGAGTGAGTGGCTGTGTCAGTGCCTATTGCTTTTACTCCACTCTGTCACGGGATTGACCAAACAAAGGTTGCATTCTTATCTTAAACTTGTATAATAAAAGATAATTACATTTTGTTTTGTTTTCCATCTCATGACCGAGAACAAAATGTCTAACGATAATAAAGTTAACATTTAAAGGTGCATTCCACAACGCTGGGACGATCCACTTTTTGGTTGACCTAAATGTTGTTTTTCCTGGAATCTTCCATAATATGGGATTTAATACGCCATCCATATTGGAAAGATGCGAGTGATTTCATAAGACTGAGTTGATGTTGATGAGTAGCATCGACCCATTATTCAGCCTTTTAAGCAGCAAAAATGGGCAAATAACATCTCTATGACAACAAGCAGTATACATGTACCGGACGCATCATAAAAGTTGTGTTCCATTCAAGGTTTTATTAGGACAATAGTAAATAGTACAATTACACAACTCAACATATGCACTACAAAGTCCCTTTTTGCTAAAGAAAATAGTCTTTTATTGTTTTCATATAAACATAATCTTAGAATTAAAGACAAGAACAACAAACGAAAGACGAAACAAAACATGATAAAACAAAATACAGTGGCTACATCAATCAATCAAAGTTTATTTGTAGAGCGCCTTTCATACACAGGGCAACACAAAGCGCTTCACAGTCCACATCACCCAAGGCACAAATCATCACATAAAACACCAGAATCACAATTAAAACATTAAAATCACACAAGAAATTAAAACCATTAAAACTTTAAAAACTTTAAAAACCAATTAAAATCAAAAAATAAATAAATAACCACAGTGCACCTCCGTCATCACGGTGTGTGGAATGTTTGGAACAATATCTAAACTCTGAACATTGTAAAGCGCTTTGGGTGACCTTGGTCTGTAACATGCGCTATATAAATAAACATTACTTACTTACTTACGGTGCATTAAAAATGGAGATAAAATCTTTCAGTTGTAGCACAGGCAAACAGAACAGTCTTTAACCTGGATTTGAACATTGTCAGAGTAGACGCCTCTCTCACATTTTCAGGGAGACTGTTCCAGATTTCAGCTGCATAAATCTGAAATGCAGCCTCCCCATGTTTAGTTCTCAGATATGCACAGTACATCAGATATTTAGTTGAAATCAGATCTGTGTGGAGCACAATGTTTCCCAATGTTTATCACATTTTTCCAGTTTGGGTATCATTAAATATTTGAGCTTTTCCATTCTGTAAATTGTACGAATGACATTGAACCAAGCAATGCACCTTTTTAAAACTCTTTCTTGTTTTCTTGTCTTCTTGTTCTGTCTGAGTATATCCACAAGACTCACAGTAGCATGATTATAAACATGATTACCTTTTGGCCTTGTTTGTGTTGCAGGCATCACTAACCCCAAACAGAACAAAGATGGAGCCAAGACTTTTACTTTCGACTATTCCTACTGGTCCCACACAACGGTACGTATCGCCTCAGTTTATAGCTTGATTTTCAATGTATTCACAATTCTTACATGGTCTGTCAAATGTACAAGCACTAATTCTATCCACATCATATCTACAAATGCGCTGGATTATAAATGTGTTGACCTGTTTCTTTATCCACCTATCTGTGTTTCTATCTGTGTTCTTTCTCTGGTTGTGTTTTGGGTACAAGCAAGTTTTTGATCAAGATAGCATTGCAATGACGATTCTGTTTTTACAGTAGAATAATGGTGCATAATGGTGGAGGGAAAACTGAAAAGGAAAACAAACATTGTAGTAGATGTATGTAAGCTTTATTCATCTTGATTTGACCGTGTTTTCACTTTTAAAATGATACGTCATTTCTCTTATTTTAAGTTTCATAAGATTTGGGCTCTTCCATTAGCAGATCTAATTTTAAAACTGTCTAATGCACTCAAATGAAGATAAATATGGCTTAAATCAAGCTCTTATCTACATGTGAGTTGTAAGAGCTCTCTTATTACAGCTCAACATGTGATTAATCTTGCAGCTTCACTAAATAAATAGAATTGACTGTTGTTCTGTTTTTGACAAAATATCATTAAAGGCTGTGCATAAAACCATGTAACATTCACATTTAACTCTCAGTTCTACGTGGCTTTCTTCATACATCTGACGGCTGTTATGTATATAATCCAGATGTGGAATAATAAAGAGACTGGTGGTGTAATACTAGGTGGACATTTTTTAGATTCTTAATTTTTTTGGCACTGATTGTCCGTCTGTGTAGTTTTACTCAGGAATTGGTTGGATAATTATTTTTCTTGTACCTCCATAAACATTAAATACTAAATTGCCAAAAATTTCACTCCTGTAAAATGTGATCAGTTTACAAAGCAACATGGAAATATACAAACAAATGGTGCTCTGTGTACTGAGTGCAGCTCTGACTGCCGCCCCCCGACCCAGAAATGGATTAAGCGGAAGAAAATTAATGGATGGATGGATGGATGTATCCTCAATATAGTCATTATTGTGAAAGCACACAGCATAATGAACAAGTGATTTACACGTGCAGTTGATCCGGGTCACAGTCCGGACGCAGGAAAAGGAAAATTTGAGCATTATAAAGGCAGATAGTTTCACCACGTGTTTTATAATCATAACCTTATGCACGTCGTGCTTAAAACTAAACGAATCACACGCTGGTCTCACAGGCAGCTCTAACCCGAGTATCTGCAGCTTTAAGGTTTGATCCGTGCCTCTTGGTGGAGGTCTGTGCTCTACAAGTGATTTTCTAGTTCTTCATGAAAATGCTCTGCTCTGGGATGGAGCGTTCATTTACTGTATGTTTAGTTTTTAAGATGTGGCCAAAATTACAAGTCTTGAAATACTGGTAGAATTAACACTGTGTTCATTTCTGTCCTTTTTTTCTTCTGAGCAAACATCCTTCTAACAGATAATGTTTCTATTTTTAGGACGAGGACCCCGCCTTCTCCACACAGAAAAAAGTGTACCAAGATATTGGAGAGGAAATGCTGCTTCACGCGTTTGAAGGTAGATTTCACACCAGCTCGATATGAAGTGATTAACGCCGTAATCTACAATAATACATAAACGTGTGAATTCTCTTCCAGGATACAATGTGTGCATTTTTGCGTACGGCCAGACAGGGGCAGGAAAGAGTTACACCATGATGGGCAAGCAGGAGGCGGGGCAGGAGGGCATCATTCCTCAGGTGAGTCAGAGTTGAACCCAAGTTCTCTGTAGGACCTAAAACGTTTTGAACTGTGTCAACGTGAAAAGTGTTCCTGAAATTGTTTTTTTTCTCCGTCCATGTGGATTTCACAAATAATTTTTTCAAACGTCAAACTATGACTAATCCTCAGACTGTGACATCCAGGTCACTTTCTTAAAACTTAAGAATAAGTTTTATCTCAAAATTTTCATTTTCTTAAATGTTACGCCTAAATAATCTCACTCTCCTAACACTGGGTGGGGATGTTTCATAAATTCAGATATTTTCTGAATTCATCATACAACGGCTGCACACTTTAATTTTCTTTATATTTTTCTGCCGAATGAAGTCAATATCATAAATGAACATGTTCCACTAAACATTGTCTTTTGTCCTCAGCTGTGTGAAGAACTGTTCCAGAAAACTGGAGAAAATCAAGATCCAGATCTGCAATATTCTGTTGAGGTACATAACCAGTCCTGTTCAGGTCCTGGTCCGATCCCAGTGAGGTCCTGGTACGGTCCTGGTCCAGTCCTGGTCCAGTCCTGGTCCAGGATAAACATCCGCTGCTTTGTCTTTCTGAAGTTGTTTTGGCCTCACATTCATGCACATAGACTGAGATAACGTGTTCAAGGCCTTTGCTCAATAAGAAAGTGTTATATCTTCATAGTTTACTTTCCTGATTATTAATACTCCACATGAATATTGAGTAAATGGAACACCTGAAAGTGTTTTATAACACCATTTAAGCACATAATTAATATTCCCATCTACTAAATATATAATAGCACAGGTGTCAAAGATTAGCGCTAGCATTAGCAGAGGCAATCTCTTTACGAGTTTTTTTTCCAATTATAAGAAACTTACTAACTCAATCTCATCCCATCTGACTACAAAACTTGTCAATTCTGCTGTGGTCATATATAAACCATTATATGTTATTCCTCACCAGTGTTGGGCACGTTACTTTGAAAAAGTAATTAGTTATAGTTACTAGTTACTTCTCCCAAAAAGTAACTGAGTTACTAACAGAGTTACTCCACTATAAAAGTAACTAGTTACCAGTAAAAGTAACTATTGCGTTACTTTTTCGTTTTGTTCTGGAACATAATGTGCACTCGAGGTGCGCATTTTTACCTTTAACCTTTAACCTTTAACCTCAGTGAGTCTGAAATAGTGCCAATATTTCCATCTAGAAAAGGCTGTTTTGCTGAAGTCCTGTTCACTCTTCATCTCTCTCTGTGCTGTAAGCACTAAACACCAACACCCGCCACTGTGAATGTGGAAACACCAGTGAAGCACTGACTTCAGACCAATCAGATGAACATATTTATCATATAAATCAAGTGGACAATTTGTTTGGCTACAGCAAAATATGTTTCATGGCCGCATTGTTTGTTCAAACAAAACGCAAAACTATGAGTTATGGGTCTTACCTTATAAATGACCTGCACAGACCACTTCAGTTCAGACCAGTTCTGTGTTTAAGTCCAGATAATAGTTTGAGCGTAGATATGTAATCCTCCGTTTGGAAATGAGTTTTAAAAAGTAAAACAAAACGCGTGTGTCCTCCGTAAACTACTGTTTTGCTGCAGCCGGCTGCATCCAATTTCTAAAATCAACCGTCTTACACTTCACCTCTTTCTTATCATTCCTATAGTAATTGAAAAATGACCGTAAGTACATTTTAAATTATCTTAAAATGTGTTATATGTATGTTAGCCAAACTTGTTGCAGCCCTTAGCAGATAAACCAGGAAGAGAAAGGAGCTTTCTGATGGAATTGTATGCAGCCGACTTCGGCGCTCACATGAGCTCCTCTGTGGCTGACCTCACGGTGATACAAGCCGTGGTTGAGCGCGACTAAGACCCATATTGGTTTCAAAAACACAATTTATGACCATCCTCTCAACTGTAGACATGTGGATTGTAAAGGAAATATGTTTTACATCAACCAATAATTGCTGAGAGGTTTTCTCATCCTCCCTTCTCTCATGACAACACGCGCACGAGTCCTATCACGAAGTAAAAAGAGAAGTTCATTGTGCGTCTTTAGTAACGCGCAGTAACGGGATGTCGGAAATGATAACGGCGTTATAGTTACAGTCAAAGCAATTAGTTAGATTACTCGTTACTGAAAAAAGTAACGGCGTTAGTAACGCCGTTACTAGTAACGCCGTTATTCCCATCACTGTTCCTCACCCAGGCACCGGAGTTGGTGGATCTGCTCACTCTTGTGTCGTCTCGCAGGTGTCGTACATGGAGATCTACTGTGAGCGTGTGAGGGACCTGTTGAACCCCATGTCTCAGGGGACGCTGAAGGTCCGGGAGCACCCCATCCTGGGCCCATACGTCCAGGACCTGTCCAAACTGGCCGTGACCGGATTTTCGGACATCCAAGACCTCATGGATGCTGGGAACAAAGCCAGGTCTGATCATGAAGCCCCACCTGGATTTAGATCAAAATAGTGTTCTAAAGCAGACATTGCAGTTTTTTGTTGTGTTTTTCTCCATCCTCTCTACTCTCTCTCTCACCTTCATACCTTTAATTCAATTTTCAATGTTGGATCTAGATTAGCTGAGTAGAATATTATGTATTATATCTACCCTAGTGATAGATATAATACATAATATTCTACTCAGGAGTGATTCATATTTGAATAATCTTTATTCATTTGTCATGTTCAATTATTAATTTTTTTGTAGCCATAAATTACAACCACAGTCATCTCGACGGACTTTACAACATTTTTAATTTACCAACAACAGATCAGAGAATCAAACATCAAACAAATAGAAGCCATTGGGCCATAGGAAGCGGGAGGACAAATGTCCATAAATTAAGTTAATAAATGTCCATAATTGTTCCAGATAATCACCACTGTCCTTAGACCATCATCTGCAAGGAACAGTTTATAGATCTAGTACTCAATGGGGTAAAAGAGTACCACAGTTTAAATACAATGAATAATTTTGTCACTAGGTTAACCGCCCTTCCATTAATATTACCTTTTATGATCAGATTGTTTCATTATTTCTGTATCTTGCTGTGAGCTCTTTGTTTTAGCCACAGCCCATGGACACAGCAGACTGCAAACCTTTGAGGACAAATAAACGTACCCTTAGGACGCATGAAAAGTGTGTTTAAAAGACTGGGACCAGGACCAAACCAGGACTAAACCAGACCTCATGTCTCCACAGAACGGTAGCTGCCACCAACATGAACGAAACCTCGTCCCGATCACACGCCGTTTTCACCATCGTCTTCACACAGAAACGCAGAGACCAGCTGACCGGCCTGGACACGGAGAAGGTACCCACTGAACCCGTAACCCACAATAACTGTTTCTGTTTTCTGAATGCACTTTTGGAACGAACAAGTATTGATAATTGAAATTTAATATAATATTGCATTTAGAATCCTTTATTCACATGAATAAATGTGTATACGTTCTCTTAGGGTCAAATTTGATTTATGCCCTAACCCTAACCCGTAAAACTGGGGTACCAAGCTTTTTTTTTAAATAATACACGTCTGTCCCAACAGAAAGTAAAATGTTGTGCTCAAAGCCGCAATCTTCTGTCTTATAAGAAAATGTGTCACAGCAGTAAGAAAGGGCCCTAAGAGACACTGTTGGATGCTTTAGGCTCAGAGCTGATTGGCTGAGGATGGTTCTCTCTTTTTCACTTTTAAGATGTGGCGGAGGCTAAAATATGCATGCATGTGTTATCTGGTGACAGAAGCAAACATGTTTTAATACCACAGTCTGCTAAAGTGGGCTGCTTACTAAAAAGTTGGTCCTTGGTTTAGACCCGATTCAGAGTTTAATTGTTGCTTAAATGTAGTATCTTTATGTTCTCTACTCATGCGTAGAATAGTTCAGTAGTTTATTTATTATTCATTTGCATTTCTTTGATTTGCAGGTGAGTAAGATCAGCCTGGTGGACTTGGCCGGAAGTGAGCGAGCTGATTCGTCTGGAGCAAAAGGAACACGACTAAAAGTAAGATGGGAGTAAATTGAACTTGCCTGGATTGTAGCTTTTTACCTTTATTTTGAATACAGTTAAATATTGAAAGTACTTTTTGTCGTCAGGAAGGAGCCAATATCAACAAGTCCCTCACGACGCTTGGCAAAGTCATATCCGCTTTGGCTGAAATGGTTAGACCAGTTTGACTAATTATATATAATTGAATATCATTACAAATGGATAATTGAATGTTTAATGTGTTTTATTTATTTAGCAAGGAACAAAGAAAAGGAAAAGCGACTTCATTCCCTACAGAGACTCTGTCCTGACCTGGCTCCTCAAGGAAAACTTGGGTGAGTCCTGGTTTAGACCTGGTTCAGTCCTGGTTCAGTCCTGGTTCAGGAGTTCAGTCCTGGTTCAAATTTTTGACTGAAACAGGAAAGAGATTAACATTTTGAGCACTGACCTCAAATCTTCAGATCTGCCCTCAGCCCAAAGAGTTAAATAGTGACTCAAACGGTTCTTTCTTAAAATCTTTCAAAAGATAGACCTACAGATGAAGACTGCCTGTTTACTTTTGGGCCCTGTTAATAATCCAATATTATCCTTTGTTATTTTCTGAAAGGGAAAGTTGTCATAATGGCCGGTCTTCTGAGTTTATCTCTCTCCACTATGACGGGGAAACGCTCTGTGACCCAGTTTCCTCATCTCCTCATTTGAGTGACAGAGGCAGAGTTTGCGTCGTGCTGGTCCTCGATATCTCACAGTGCATTAAAACAATCTTCAGTGAGGAAGTCGTCTTTCCTGTTTGGAGCGATCTGAACTCTGTAGGTTGATCTGATGCATGCGGGTTAGTTTGAGAAGGACTGATTTAGACCAATATGTTTGTTCAATTGCATTCCAGCTTCTAGCTTTGTTTTCAAAGTTCCTAGAGGTAGAGCAGAGTTGCTTTGTTTGTATGGGTGTAACATGTTTATGGGAATGTGCTTCTTAATGAGAAAATTCTACAATATGCATATTATTGGACAAAGGAGAATTCCACAGATTTTATTCCTCATTTTAATGGATTTTTAGGTGGCGCCATCAAAGGTGGCTTTCATTTATCTGACCCTGACTTTACCATTGTCAAAAGATACACTTGCTCACACTTATAAAGATAGCACTTTAAATTGTTATTAAGATGTAAAGAAAATGGTTTTGTTCATCTAAATTGTATCACTCGTCTAATCGAATTGTGAGATTTGGTTATAACCTTGGTTTAGTTCTGGTTTAATCTAGGTTACAGTCTGTTGTAAATACTTTATTCTAATGTTGTATTTCATGTTCAGGAGGAAATTCTCGGACAGCGATGATCGCTGCGCTGAGTCCCGCCGATATAAACTACGAAGAGACCCTCAGCACACTCAGGTCTGAGATGAGATCCTGTCTCTCTTCTGACAGCTCATGGTTTAAAAACATGTTTCCAAGGGTAGTATAACTGTCTGTTCTGTTGTAGATATGCGGACAGAGCCAAGCAGATCCGCTGTAACGCCATCATCAATGAAGACCCCAACGCCAAACTGATCCGAGACCTGAAGAGTGAAGTGGAGCGACTGAGGAGCCTGCTGTGCTCCCAGGGCCTGCACCAACTACTGCACAATCAAGGTACTACCACCTGCTACTGCTACTACTACTACTGCTACTGCTACCGCTACCACTACTGCCACTTTCAAACACAATTATTACTTCAAATAATAAAGGCAATAGTAACACAACTGAAAATGTTTTGCTGTCAGTTGACCTGCACTATTACTACATCTAATCTTTTGAATTAATTGAAGTATTTTTTTGGACAACTTTTGCCTCTGTAATAGAATAAAATGTTTTTGGTACTACTACAGTAAATAACTTTCTTCTTAAGGAAAGAACGAGAGCTTGACTTGCGCTGAAGAACAAGAACTCCCGACCAATGGCATCGAGATTGAAGAAACTCAAAGTCCCGCCTCCCCAGGTGAATATATTTCTCAAAAACTATAAAACGGATAAAAATAGATAATAGATAAATATTATTTTATTAACAGGGGGCAACTCATCGAGTGGCAACGCGTCTCTGAACTCTGACATCCTATTGGACGGTGATGCAGAGGGGGAGGAACCAGAAGCAGCAGAGCCAATCAGCAAAGAGGAAGCAGCGGAGAGACTTATGGTGCAAAACGCGAATCAAGACATTTGAATCTACCAAGAGTGGGACTTATGTGGGTTTGTTTGGACGTTTGCAGGAGACTGAGAAGATAATCGCTGAGCTGAACGAGACGTGGGAAGAGAAGCTGAGGAAAACTGAGTCCATCCGATTAGAGAGGTCTGTGTTACTGCTATTCCTTTGGTTTCAGTTTGAGAGACGGTAAATCCGGGCTGTTCTTGATGATGCTTATGCCGCTTTTCCACAGTCCTAGTACGGTACGTTTTGACTCTACACGGCGCGCCATGGCCCAGTTCGCGTGCTTTTCCATCAAAAATAGTACCCCCTAGTATGTCCTCAGCGTTGTCAGACCACGTCATTTAAGTGTGACGCGCAACTAGTACTGGTGCGGTGCATGGATTTATTATAATATCAGAGCAAGTGTTTAATAGAAAAATCAGCACAGCACGAGTAGTTTTTGAAAAAGCTTATGTCTTAAAAGAATGACTCAGAAACTGTGAAGTCAATGGTGCTGACTGCTCTGTACAATCTGAATGGGACCTGTAGCAACAGCAGCCTGTGTAGCAGAGGAGGAGGGCTGCATGGCCGAGGATACTGCTAGGCTATAGCTAATGCTAGCGCTAGCTCGAGACTTAGCTCACTCACTGACCCTGGATTCCAAAGCTACTACTATACTATCACTACCCTCAGAGGAGGATCCGGGGTTTAAACTCGTCATATGGCAACTCGAGCAGTAAAGGACCGAGGGAGAGACAGCGGCAGCCATAGGGGTAGCGAGTTAGTGGCTAGGCTAGGCTAAGCTAGGCTAGGCTTGTCTGGACTCAGGTCCAGACTAAAGCAGACTCCGAATCGATACCCAAACCTCAGCTACAATAATAATAAATGAATGAAACACAGTCTTGGGATACAATCACAGATTTATTGAAAACAAAAGTAAAGTGCAAAACCAACAGTTTACAAAGTCAAAAGTACGTATGTCTGAGACCAGATGAGAATACTCCGGTCACTCATTGCTCGTTGGTAATCTCCACACTTATGGGCAGGGATTCTCATACAAATATACACACGACAACTTAAATACAACCACAAAACAGAATGACAACACGTGAATACTGCAGATAATACGAGATAAAGCACAGTAGCACAGGGAGGACGTTAGCTTAGCTGCTATTGATAGCTAAATGAAGCTAATTGTAGCTAGCTCACTGTGTACAACAGACAATCGAGCATTTACACAGTAAATACATTTCAGTGAGAGCTTTAGGGGGTTCGTATCTAACCAGTTATTTCCAGGATTACCACAGACTAGTCACAAATCCAGAGCTGGTGATCCTGAAAACTGTGTTGAGCCTCGAGCTGCCTTTGAATTCTTTCTTTGGTCTGAAGAGAGGAACGTGTGGACCTCGTCCACCGACCAGGACCAGGACTTTTGGGGCTTTCTGTGCAATTCCATTTCTCTGGAGTGAGGAGGACGTAATGTAGCCGAAGCAGAGCCGAGCAGAGCAGCCGGTTTTAAAGATGGCGGTTGAATTGTTTTTCCCAAAGGGTCAGAGGTCGCTTCCAGTGACGACACTCGTTGACCAATCAGTGTGAGGCAGTGGGCCGACGTGACGTCATGGCACGGGTACTATGGGGATGGAACCACGGCTGAGGCAGTACGGAAAAGTACTCAAATCTCCCATACCATCCACTAGTGGAAACGCAAAATAACCGTGCTGAAGCGTACTGTACTGTACCGTACTGATTTTTTTTTTATTTCACCTTTATTTAACCAGGAAAGTCCCATTGAGATTAAGAACCTCTTTTTCAAGGGAGTCCTGGACAAAAGTTACATACAGTCACATACATACAGATTATAAAACACATATCATATACTGTGATACTGTGGAAAAGCGGCATTAGTACACACCAGCGCACCTGTCACTCTATCTTCTCTGTCTGGTGCACACTGGGGTAGTCTTGCAAAGTTTTTCCAACGAGGTTTTACTGTAAAAGCGCAAATATATTCTTGAATCTTGAATACTCGTTAAATTCTGGGTAGTAAAGTCTTGGTGATAAATCGGGTCGGTCTTAGTCTAGTCCTAGTTTAATGCTGGTTCAGAAATTGGTTTGATGAGCTTTTTGAACTATTCCTGTTTTCTCTCTACATCAATGTAGGAGAGACAGTCTAAAGTAAGCACTCAAACAGAGCTAGTGTTTGGGGTAATCTGTGACACCAAACCGTGAAAGGTGCTGCTGAAATGTGAGCTTGTTTGACCCAGAGACCATTTCCCTCTGAACAAATGTTTCTCTAAGTACAGCAATCTCTGCACTAATGTGTACATGGCGCTAGAAAGATGGTGCCGTGCTAATAGCTCTGATGTGTACTATCTGGTGCACACTGGGTCTTTTCACAGTTTTCCCCAATGTGGTTTTACTGCAAATGGCCAATAAATCTTGTGTCTTATGTTTGTGCCACAGGGAGACGCTGCTGGCCGAGATGGGTGTGTCCATAAAAGAAGACGGAGGAACTCTGGGCGTCTTCTCCCCTAAAGGGGTGAGTGATAGAGTTGACCTCTGTGACAGAAACGAGAACCACACCAATCAGCTCTCAGCAGAAGCGTAAAATAATAACTCGCAGGGAGACACTTGCGAAAGACATTTTTTTATCTTTAAAATGTTTTTAATAAGATGAAGACAAAACAATGTGGTCGGATTTGTTGGAAATAGGTTTTGTTTACAAAATATCTTCTTTTGGGTCAAACAAAATGCATTATTTAAGAATAAAACTTTTAAAATATTGATTTAAAATTATGTATATAATTCAAGAGAAAGTCTTGAACAAATTGGTCTTTAGTTTAAAGTGCCTCTACTATTATGTAATGTCACTACTGGTAGTGTGCTATACAAATATTTTTCTTCTCATGAATTAAAGAACATGCTCCTGTATTAAATATATATACACGTGGTCACATCAGACTCCATTGGAGAGATCATGTTGGTGAACAGCAGCTTATTCTGTTTTCGCTGCACAGTCATCCTTGTCAATCACAGATTAAGATAGTTCTTACTCTTTATGACACGGTTACCCATTCTATCCTGAAAATAAAACTTAAAAACATTGTGTTCCTCCGCTTAAACAATTTATGAATACATTCTCACAGACTCCTCACTTGGTCAACCTGAACGAAGACCCATTGATGTCTGAATGTTTGATCTACTACATCAAAGAGGGAGTGACCAGGTAAACGTCAAGACTATTCCTGTGCGTGTGTGTGCCTGCCTGCGTGTGTGTGTGCGTGTGTGTGCCTGCCTGCGTGTGTGTGTGCGTGTGTGTGCCTGCCTGCGTGTGTGTGTGCGTGTGTGTGCCTGCGTGTGTGTGTGCGTGTGTGTGTGTGCGTGTGTGTGCCTGCGTGTGTGTGCCTGCGTGTGTCTGTGTGTGTGTGTGTGTGTGCGTGCCTGCGTGTGTGTGGACATTCAGACATGTTTTCCATTATTCCTCCAGAGTGGGACAGCAGGACGTAGACATCAAACTATCGGGACACTTCATCAAAGAAATCCATTGTGTCTTTGTGAGTGAGACAAACGACAGCGGAGAAGGTAACTACAGCAGCGCTTCATATGTGTTTGCACTGAAGCGCCCCCTGGTGGTCACACTGTTGTACATCTCTTTATAAAGCTGCCTTTGGATTCAAACAGGTAGTGCTTTGTGCATTTGATATTACTCACATTTCATTGTGATTATATTTTTTTGTTGATCATTGTTTCCTTATATTTTTTTAATACAGTCAATGTCAATTTACTTCTGTAATTCAGCTTACAATGTGAAACTAATCATGATAGACTCAGTAACACAAAGTTGTTGATAATTGGCTCACAGTAAGAAACTAAAATACAACTCCTCAGAAAAGGATATTTTCAGGATATCTCACTTTGTGTGTTATGAGTCTAAATCTTATATTGATTTCACACTTTGGTTCCACTCTGCTGAATTACAGTAATAAACTATTGAACAATTACGAGTGAAGTGCATGCATAATAGAATATGGTCAATACAAATGGAACCAAGTTCAACCTCTTCTGTCGTCATAAATGAACCAACGTGAAATTACCTTTGCACAATAGCTTCAGAGAGCTGTGCCATTACTCAACACCAAAGGAAAGATGGTTGTCGGTGAGAAAGATTTCAGGAGCAAATGGATAACAAATAAATGGTTTAGATTCAAATGACTGTTATTTCCTCAAAGGTTTGCTTAATGTGTATTATATATGTGTTTGGTGCAGTGGTGGTGACTCTGGAGCCGCTGGTCGGAGCTGAGACCTATGTGAACGGAAAGCTCATTACTGAAGGAGTGGAGCTCAAACAGGGTAAGACAGAAGTGATCCTGCTTTGACTATAGACTCATACTATGAACTATAATGCACCAAGTATCTTCTAATTTACTCTATTTTGTATATATTTTTATAGTTATGAACCTTGTTTTTTTTTCAGGGCTGTCCACATTATCGCGTTAACGCACGTTTATTAATTTTTTTCATTAATCCCGTAAAAAAAATTAACACTTTTAGCACATGTGCCAAATGACTAGCATCCCGCACGCGTGGCCGCGGGGCAATTGCTGTGAATGGGAGTCCGCAACGTTCTGGGGCAGCTGCGGCCGCTTTGGACAGCGGTTCCCGCATCCAGCGGCTGTGACCGGCTTTCAACAGCACGGGAGCGCGCAGCCGTAACGTGGCCATGTACACAATGCCATTTATACATGGACCATACTCTGCTTGTTGTGCACACAATAAAAACAGCGCTGCAAGAAACAGTCCGTCCCCCCGTGTCTTCTCCCGAAGCGAAAAAAAAAGACGCTAAATTAAAGCTGGGGTACCTAACTTTTCCTTTGCACTACTATTTCATGTTCGTTGTGCCCAAAAGTGAAATGTTGTGAGCAAATGTCAGCCATTGGCATTTCAGACTTTTTTCAAATGTCCCATTCTCATCCTTGTAACAAACTATAGTTTGTAGAGGCACATTAATGAAGAGGATCCACAGCCTTTATGAGTCAGAGAGGCTTTAGCTGAGGAGGCTGCTAAAGAGGAGGCTTTAGCAGATGCGGAATATGTCGTGCTGAAAAAATAGTGTCTACTACAGAAAGACAGAATGTTAATAATGTTAATGCCATTTTATGTGGATTTATTGTTATAATAAACAAATACAGTACATATGTACACTATGTTGTCATTTATCTTTCCATTCAAAAAACCATTTACAGAAAAATATGGCATCTTGCCGATATGTCAAAATGTGATTAATTACGACTAATTATTTTTTAAGCTGTAATGAACTCGAAAACGATAAAAAAAAATTATCATTTGACAGCCCTAGTTTCTTAATTTCTTACTATTATTGTGCAGTGACTTAGGATGGGAGTTTTCTTATTTAACCTGGTATCTCACTCTGCAGGGAACCGCGTGGTGATGGGGAAGAACCACGTGTTTCGCTTCAACCACCCGGAGCAGGCGCGTCTGGACCGCGAGCGCCGCAGTACTGTGCTGCAGCAGAAGGAGGCGCTGGAGGGGCAGAGAGGAGGCAGTCCGGACCCACAGATGGAGCCCGAGGACTGGACCTACGCTCAGAAGGAGCTGTTGGAGAAGCAAGGGGTGGACCTCAAACAGGACATGGAGAAGAGGTCGGTGCCACATTTTTTCACAGAAGACTATTTGACATTTAGGCCGTTATGTCACAATGCTGCAAAAAAATAATAATAAATACTATTTGCCATAAAAGGTCAGGAATTTAAACTGTATTTGTAGAATTTTAAAAAACGTATGTAAACAAATGTAGACTGTTCTTTTGTGAACTTATTTCTCTCTGTAGTTCCTTCAGTTTGAATGGAGAGAAAGCTAAAACCAAACCATCAACAATATTATCTTAACATGGCAGAATGATGAAAAGTCCGGCCTAATTGGTACATGGATTAATAATGTAGACTTTAAACTGTATTTAGCCACAATTACATTTATTTGGGAACTGAAATACTAGCTTTAAGCCACATTTTTAATTTTCTTACTCATTCAAAACTCGTCAATATTGACATTTCCTGACCAGCTTTTATTTGCAGTGTTGCATCAGATGCGTTTGAGAGAAGTTTATAGTTTATATTTTGGTGTCTTATTGCAGACTGCAGGACATGGAAAGTCAGTATCGAAAAGAGAAAGAAGAGGCTGATCTCCTGTTAGAGCAGCACCGACTGGTGAGTCCTTGAACTGCAACAGAATGCACCCCCTACATACACACACACAATAGATCAAAACTAAGGTGTTTGCTGTACAGTACGCAGACAGTGACAGCGGCGACGACTCGGACAAACGCTCGTGTGAAGAAAGCTGGCGGCTCATATCGTCTTTGAGAGAGAAACTTCCAGCCAACAAGGTACAGGGATTTTAATGATGCTCTAAATAACTTTCTATTAGAGGTAGGTCTGACCTGCAAATCTGTAAGAGACACTCTTCTTTTTTGAACAACGTTTTTACCTCATCAAAAACAGGCCTGGTGTTGTTTTTAGCTTTTTTTTTTAGCTCCACTCGGGATAATACTTTCAACTCCTACTCTGGCTGTATACAGTATTTTGAAGTATTGGTCCTTGCGGGGCTGTCTCCTCTCCCGCTTTCTTTTGAAATTGGTGTTTCGAGACAACACAATTGGGCACACATCCCACTCTGCAAGCTAAGGCTCGGGGGAGGAGTGTTATTGCAGGAGTTGCCTCAAAATGGCTTGTTTTTTATTTGTTTGCTTCAAAGCAGCTAAACTGTGGCTAAAGTAAAAAGGAAATGTGGATTTTCTAAGCCGGTGTGTATATTTGTATTTGCGTTCAGGTGCAGACAATAGTGAAGCGCTGTGGACTCCCCAGCAGTGGTAAACGCCGCGAGCCTCTCAGAGTTTATCAGATTCCCCAAAGACGGAGGATCGGAAAGGACCCCAAACGCCTCACTGTGGACGACCTTCGCATGCAGGCGGTCAAGGAGATCTGCTACGAGGTAAGACCAGGTCTGAACCAGGTCTGAACCAGGTCTGAACCAGGTCTGAACCAGGTCTGAACCAGGTCTGAACCAGGTCTGAACCAGGTCTGAACCAGGTCTGAACCAGGTCTGAACCAGGTCTGTGCCATGCCTAACTTGGTTCAGCAATTTTATTAGTACCGCTTTAGTCCATTGTTCACATTCAGGTAGTGCTGCACAATTAGATATATGATATACTTTTGAGTGCGGGAGCGTTGAAACATAACCTAAACAAAATATCAAAACATATTTGCAAAGTACTAAAGCCCAGGTGTCAACCATGTATGACCATTTTTTCATTTACCAACATTCCAGCAGGGGGCAATTACAGAACATTACGCCCTGCTGGAAGTAATTTCCCGGTAATGGTCCTACAGTTTCACTTTGTTGTACAGATTATATACATATTTATTTTGCTGTAAGTTATTGCCCTGGACCTGTGTGTTTGTTACAATAAAAATAATAAAAATGTATAATAAAAATATACTTTTACTTCCCTGTGTCCAGGTGGCACTGGGCGACTTCCGTCACTCGCGGCAAGAGATTGAGGCTCTGTCCATAGTGAAGATGAAGGAGCTGTTCCGGATGTACAACAAGAAGGACCAGGCAGAGGGGCAGAGCTGGCGCGTAGTGGCCCAGGACGTGTGCGATACCGTGGGCATCGGGGAGGAGCGCGCCCCCTCGACTGAAGAGAGCCCCGGAGCAACTGGAGAAGCAGAGGAACCGGCCAATCCCAGCGGACTGCAGGGCCTCAAGGCACACATAGATAAACTCACAGACATACTGGAGGTGAGCGTTTGTTCTGTTTAGTCAGTGTGGCACACATGCATTTGAAATATCTGAGTTAATATTCAATGTATTTTCTTGTATTCCCTTTATTCACAACCACAGTCTGCCGGAGGACTTTACAAAGTGATTTATTCTCCAACATCGGACCAGAGAACCAAACCATTTGATCAAGAGAAATGCAATAATAACAGACACATAGGAGCCGTTGGTCCATAGACTATGTATGTGTTTTATATTTAGTCACATGGTCCAATCAGAGTACTTTAAATCATCCTGTAACGAATCAAAGTCCTTTTTGTTCAGATGTACCGTTTATCAAGTTGAGTTCGTTAGTTCCTTGTAATATCATGTTAAAAATGTGTTTTTCAGGAGGTCAAGCTTCAGAACAACGTGAAGGATGAACAGATCAAAGCGCTCAGAGACAGAATGGTCAAAATGGAGTCCATCATCCCTGTGCAGGTGAGCGTTAACGTCCTCAGAGGTGTGACGTTGGTGATCTCTAATACACAGGCGTCCACACTACAAACACACTTTTAACACTGCACTGAGTGTGTCAGTCTGTAGTCGAGTTTGCGTAAAACTACTGGAGGAATTGAGCTTTAAATTTGTAGATTGAGATGTGATTTACATTTGGAGATGTTGGCAGGTTAGGCACTCAAGTGCACAAGACTGTTATCATATGTTACAATATTGACTGTTATCAATGATGAGATAACTCTTTAATTACCTTATTTCTTTTTACGAGTTACAGAATATTGTCATTGTTCTGACTTAATGATCCTAAAGGATGAGTCTAATGCAAAGGACACATTTCCATATGGGGATACCTTATAATTTATTTTTATGAGTTACTCTCAACACTTCAAATAGTGAATATATTAACATTATTTGAATTTTAAGGATGAAGAAATGAATGGGGAAGAAGGAGAACCCAGTCAGGCTGAGGATGGGGAGGAATCCACCAGTGCCGTGCCGGAGGTCAGAGTGCAGCGTTTAATGGATGAAGACCCTGCCTTCAGGAGAGGGCGCCTCCGCTGGCTCAAACAGGAACAGCAACGGATTCAGAACCTACAGCAGCAAAACGTCACCAAGAAACTGAGAGGCCAACCCCAAAGCCAAGGTACGGGACACCACAAAAAAACAGCTGAAATTAACACGTCTTGATATGCATTGTTTAGATTATGTCATGCTTCTAAAATGTGATTTTATTATGGAAAAAACATTAACATATGAATTAGAAACTAGAAAAGCGCTCATATTGCCAATTTTGAGGAAAAAAAATTAAGATTGAGATGGATCACCTTCAAAATCATTTAATTTGCCTTTTTCCAGCGTCACTGGATATTTTGTAAAAATTGTTTAGATCGCACAAGCTAACAAACAAACCCTGGTGATTGCATTACCCCCTGACAGAAGTTGAAAAGAATCCCAACTTTCTCTCATCATTTGTTGTCTTTTCCAGCTCCTCTTTGCCCCACAGTCCCAATCCACCTCCCAGGCACAGGCCGCTTCATCCCACCTCAGGAATGCAAACTAAAATTCCCCTTTAAGAGCAACCCTGCCCACCGTTTATCCTGGGGTCCCGCCACCGCCGCTCTGCAAGCTCTGGGCCTCGCCGACATCAGCATCGAGCCGCTAAACGACGAGACAAAATCGCAACTGAACCCGGAAGTTCCTCCTTTCACCAGCATGGCCACGGCTTCGACCAATCCGGCGCCTGGTTTGCTGCCACTTCCTTTCCACGTCCCGCCTCAGAACCCTCCGAGGATGCGATCGCCGAGTCCCCACCGCAACTGGCAACCGCGAAATCCACAACAGCAGGGGGGCTACCAGCAAAACTACAACAACAATCAGAAGAGGTACAGGCGAAATTCTTTGGATAGTCCGCGAAATTACGAAAACGGTGAGCAGCAACAAAATGGTGGACAGTATCAAGGAAGACCAAGAAGGGGCGTGTCTCCGACTCCAGGGCCCAGAGGCGGCGGAGGGGGGAACATAAACAACGACGACCGGCGCGACTTTCAGTACAACCAAAACAGATATCACCAGCATTACCCCCACCCGTACTACAACCCCCACAATGCACCATTCCAGCAGCCCTTTCCAAACTACAACAGCTTGCCGCGCAACGGAGGTCACAATCAAAATGGCGGCGGAGGTGGCGGGTGGGGCTTTCAGACTCCTCCACGAATGAGGCGCCAGTTCAGCGTCCCGGATCTGCAGAAAGAGACGGCGAACAAAGAGGCGAGCGTGTGACCGTGACATGGGGACGAGTTCTGACCGGTTTGAGAAAAAGAGCTTTGTGGGTTTCAGTGTTTTTGTTGTTGTTGTTTTTCCGGTTAGACGGCGTCCGTAAACCTCAGTCCTGCTGTTGGCGACAGTCTTTGTGATTCAAATCTGATAATGATCATTATTAAATGACAGATATGGCAACAAAATATCTTCAAACTAACTCAAAAATGCTCAAATTTAGTTAAGTTTGATATGACTTGAAATGCGATATAGCGTTGAATTTTCTCTGCTTTTGTCCAGGTGCTTGGAGTAAAAAATCCATTATTCCACAACATTTAAAGGTGTATATAAGAGGATTTTCTTCTTCTGGGTGGATCATCAAGACGATTGGTCCTCCTAACTGTCAATCATTCTGGTAATATGTGACGAGAGGCCGTTGTACGTTTTAGTTTCCTGTTGAGAGGGCGGTTCTCTCCTAAAATTTGGGCAAATTCTTCTAATATATAGTACCTTAATATTTGCTTTTACTAAAGTTTCCCTGAGCTGGACAACTTGGTGGATTTCTTGATCTTGTTATCCTTCCATCAATGTGAGCCTGCCAATACTAAAACCAAATGCCTGAACTGGCAACCCCCCACATAAGTGCAGTTTTATTTCCATGAGCAAAGTAATTCAAATCAGGATGAATATTCAGATCTGAAGTCTTGTGGTCTAATAATGAAAAATGAAGAAAGATGGATTTCCTCAAGTCAATGTTTGACCTCTTTTAGCTGCAACAAACGTGGATAGTGCTTTTGTGGCTCACTGTTATGTCGGGAGCGTGTGTGCAGGCCTGATCACCCTCCAAACCAAACTTAGCCACTGTTCGTGATGTCTCTACAGCTGTTTTAAATGATTTGTAAGTGTTTTTAGAGCTGACTGATGGGCGCTTTCAGCCACGGCATTATCATTAGCTTACCATGCTAGATTTGAAATGACTTTTCTTTTTTTTACTGTGTTTAGTATCATTTATATTCTGTTCTGATGGTTATTTGAAGTTGTTAGCCGGCAATGCTAACTCGCTAGGAAGCGTCATTTGGGTGTTCGTTTGGTTGGTTATTTGAAGTGAAGTATAGGTCTATGTTAGCGTGCAATGCTAACTAGCTAAGAAGTGCTATTTTTGAAAAAGTTGAACAATGGAACGAAACAAAGAAAATGTTACTGAAGAATTCAAACACTGCGATATTTAACATCTTGTAACACTTAACATTTCTTCAAGATGAGATAAAATTATCCTAGATTTAGCTATTTTGGAGGATTAATTTGCTTTTGTGAGCAGTTTGGAAAACATTTCTGACTTAAAGGACAACTCACCCTCAAATCCACTTTTTTTTTGCTGATAAACGGTATAAATGAGTGTCCAATAGTGTTGTCTACATATCCTGGTCATAATCTTGTCACTTTGGTGCAAATTAGTTGAAAGTTAAACTTTCTGCCTAAAACCGTCTGTGAGGCGCCATCTGCTGGCGACCTGTATTACTACATTTGAATTTTGAATCTGGCGCCAACACTGGCACAGAAGTTGGACCTGACGTCTGCAAGTTGGACCTGACGTCAGCAGCCCCCCGCCCAGAGCAATGTAAACGGCCCAGTCTCGTTCACGCCCCTTTAGTCCTCCAGGCTACGCCCATTTAGAGGAAGATTTGAACAGGAAATGTGAGTGACGTAAGCTCCGAGGAGCGGGGGTGAGAACCACTTTAAACATAGCTTGAAGACAACGAGAAATCTTCACATTCTCGCTGAAAATTATCAGAAAAATTTTGAAACAAATAAGATCTCTAGGTTCATGAAGTACAGAAAAGGAATTTGTCAAAAAACTACTGAAAGTAAGGAAAATAATTTGTGAAGCCATTTTAGATAATAGTTACTTTAATTTTGTAAGTCTGATTTTGTTGACTAATCTATGCAAAAGTGTGTGTTTTAAACGACTGTGGCAGAGTGGTTGTAAAGAAGGTTGTAAGGCTTGGACTCGGACTGTAAATAGAGATGGACAGTGCAAACCCACTCGCTTGATGAAGCCTGATGGGGGTCTGCTCATGGACCCATTCACTTTTATTGAAAAGTAAACTGTTACTTAACCACTCGTGTCACACTCACCATTTTCATCTGCGAAATCTGTGCTTTTTGCCTCTGTATGATTCTGGTGTTTATATGTTGATCATGTCTTTGTTAACCCAAATGTGAGGCCTTCTATCCCCAAAACAGCCCGGACAGGAACAGACCAGCCTCACTCATGGTTGTCTTTTTGGTTGCTAGGGAGTTTCTATCCCCTGGAGCTAGTTTGAGGAAGCTCTGATCAGCTTTTACCAGGAAAAGCAAAATCACATGGATGACATCAGCCTCGGTTTGTCCACTCTTTTCTACGGCCGTTGGTTAGACTCTAGTTCTGAAAGCTGAAACTTTGAACTTGAATGCTACAAAACCAAAGACGCTGCTGTAAAAAAGACAAAAGCGGGGATCTGTAAACATTATTACCGCGTTGTGTGTATATTTGAAGTGTATTTTACATTATTGTATGATGTTTTGGAACGTTTACGGCAAATGCATTGAAGGAAAATAAGATGCAGATGAATGGATTTAGAGGAAAATAATAGGGCTGTGTTTGCAAAGGATTTTGGGTAATGTAGTTAGACGGATAAGTGAAGGTGGATGGCTTAGTCGTACAGTCAATGACCCCTGAAGTAGGGCTACGGGATTTGTAGTTTCTTAAAAAGGACAAACTACCAAATCAAATGGATGAAATGGTCTAGTCATGTGACATTGATGTAAATGCATGAGAAATAAAGTTGACACTATGAAAGAATATAAAGTACTGTGCAAGCTGCGACGCTAGCTCAACGGGATTGTTGGGTTTGTGGTTTTTAAGAGGTAAAAACTGCAAAATAATGACTTACAGCATGAGGTGGAATAATACAGTGCGTCTATTTTACACCGAGAATCAGTTATTCAGTGTGAAATTATTATTAATCCTTGGGAGACGAAAAAGTTACTGAATTTAATAAAATGTAATGTTTTTGTAGAGACAAAACAAGTTAGCGTAATGAAGTTATGGTGGATGAAAAGCACCTCGTGTTAAACCTTTTATGATTATTACATTTCACTACTTTTGTTCAGCCACACTAAGAAATGTACATTGTACCCGATCTGTTACACTACAGGGATACATATGGATGGGAACTGACAGATAAGGAGGAAATGGTTTCATACAAATCAAATGTTTAGATTGTTTTTGATGACAAAAGTTATTGCTTAACTCTTTTGGGACGATGTGATTGGCCGTCTGCAACGGCTTTCAACCAATGGGACAATCTGAACAAAACCCTGCCCCTTTTTGTAACGTCTTTTTTTAACATCTGTTTACTTTTATGTATTGTCATTTATTGTGTGTGTTTTTGTTTGTTTTTTACTTCCAGCGTCTCGGATTCATTTAAAGGCTTTGTGGGCGAAACTTTGGCTTCAGCGTTAACCACATTTTTTGCTGTAATAGTTGCCTTGAAATTGAGCAACGCACCACTACTTTTACCCTTCATAATATCTTATTTGTTTTTTCCTGCTGCTAAACGTATGTTTTTTGTTGATCCCATTATCCTCTTCTTTTCTTTTTATTACTTTAATGTGATTAGTTTTACAGTGGTGTGAAAGGTGAATTTGTGACTTGGATGTTGGTGTTTTGTGGATTGAGAAAGTGTCAGAATGCAATAAATTCTGTGAAAACAAAGATTTCTGTCTGCATTTTAACGTTGCTTATGCAAACTTTATGGAAATGAAGATATGTAAGATTTAAATTAATAATGTGATTAAAAATTTAAAAGGCACTAGAATAAATGGCCAAAAGACGTTTTGGGCCATCGTTTTTCAGCCTTCACCTGTGACAAGTGTGGAAACAGGTGCTTGGCACTTTGCTTCCCACCAGAAGTCAGACACAGGAAAAGCCATGCCAGCGTAACCAGTGGGAGAGTACGTTTTTCTAAGCAAGAAATCTCAAAACTCAAGTCTACAATGTTGAGAAGCAGCTTGAAAGTGACCAGCCCGCTCACTCTGGTTTCATGTATGAAGGATACTGTACGAGTGAACTGTGGAAAAGCTTTCTCTAGAGCAGAACGCTTCTAAACTCATCCAGAGTTCACACTGGAGATATTTGTCTGAACTAACGACGTCTTTAGTGAGTTAAATGTTCACATGAGGATCCACACTGGACAAAGGCTGTACAGATTTCATTTCATTTTTATCTATTCCTTTAATGAAAATGCTGTTGCACTTATAAGCTTCAAAACATACATTATACATTTGCAGGATACATTTCCATGGTTGGAAAGGAACAGAGAGGAAGAAAAAAATCTTATGTTAATCAGATCAGATTTGACCAGTGTGGGAAGGAGTTAGCCCACGGTATCTCCTATGACATTAATAACTGCAGTGACACATTCAGATCTTTGTCAAACTTCTTGCGGCTCTGTCCAAGTCACACTAGAATCATGTGAATGGCCACAGGATTCAAGCAGTTTGTCTGTGAGACTTGTGGGAATACATTGTGGAATCTGACGACATGAAGAGAGCAGCAGCAGCTCGGACAAGAGCAGGAGGGTTTTCAGAAAAACTGCTCATCTGAAGCTGCTGTCGTCGAACCCAAAGTCAGACTCTAAAAGCTGCAGATGGGGCGCAAGATTGAGGCAGAAGAAACATAACGGAGAACAATGCCATAGGAACCCTTAAAGGAGTCCTCTGGTGCATACATGTATCTCGGGCCCTTGTGTCTAAAAGCTCCTGTCTCAGTCCTGTAATAGTATAACATCATTGTACCATCACATCACAGAAAAACATTACATCGTTTTTTGTGGTTTTGTTGATGGTACATTAATGTAGAAAAAATGCAGAAAACAGCTCAGTCCATGATGTTCAGGTGTGGGGATTTTTCATAGTGTGACAGTTTTAAAAAGTGGTATTTAGACCACTGGTGTCGAACCGGTTTCACAAAGGTCCGGTGTGTCTGCGTGTTTCCTTTTCCTCAGGTCTTCAGGTTAAGACTGGACTCACTTGAGGAAAAGGGGTGGAGTCTGGTACTTTTGGTTGGTTAGAAGTAAGAACTGCAGCATTTCTGAAACCAGTTTAACAATCCTTATTCATAGAGAAGGGCCGTTGGTTTCCTGACCTGCGGATGCAAACGGCTTCAGGTCTGCCTTGAGGGAACAAAGCTGTAACATGGTGAAAAACACAAAAATCAGGTTGTGCATATTGTCTTTTTAAGCATTTGATCTCTCCGTGAAGTTTAGTCCTTTTTCATATCGTCCTTTGCTCTGGAGAGTTTCTGGTCTCGTGATCTGTGTCAGGGCAGCAGCAGGAGTCCGTGTCGCTCCAGGATCTCTTGCGTCCGCTCATGCACTCTGGTCATTGCGCGGATGATGGTGCGCAGCGCAGGCACGGCCTCTGATTGGCTGTTCACACACACCAGCTGCAGAAAGTGCTTCCTGTCCGGGAGCGCCACAAAAACCAGCTCCGCCGCGTGACGAAGGAACCAGGAGTGATGGGGCGCCAGGGCCACAGCGTACGCCTCTCTGCAAACAAGACATAGACCAACTGATGGGGAAGAGGAGGAGTGGCTCTACTCTGAGCTCCTAACTCAATCCCGGTCTTACACAGATGGTGCGGTGCAGTGCAGTGTCTCCCAAAGTGGGGTCCGCGGCCCCCTAGGGTATTGCAGGGGGACCGCGAGAGGTCATCAATTTTTTCGTTTTTTATCTTATATAATTATTGGTAAATTGATCATATTTTGTTTGTAATATTAAAATATTTGTGTTCATTAATTGACTTGAATAATCAAATTGTAATCATTTTTGTATTACAAACTGGGGTTTGTCATTTACATGTTTGTAGCAGAGGCTATTTCTCCCAAATAAAATAACGAGAAGAGCCTATTTTTAACGTTGTCTTCTTGGTTATTATTTTGGGGGGCTGCGCTGACCTGTCAGATTTTTAAGGGGGCCGCGGTGTTACTGACTTTGGACCAGAGGGACTTGAGGGCGTCAGAGCAGGGCAAGACTGGATTTCATAAGAAAAAAGTGTGGGATAACAAAGAAGTCTAAAATCCACACAGCATCTGACCTGCTGTAAGTTCCCTGTCTGCTGAGGATGATCCTTTTTCGTTAACATTACGGCATAAAAGTCTTGTTCAGCAGAATTTAGGCTGCAGTACCGCACATGCGTACCTTCATACTGGAAACGGGCTTAAGCTTGCTATGCTCTATCCATAATATAATAATACACTAAAACCCAGTGGGAGAAAGCTCCGCCCGCAGCAAGGGTGGTGCACTTTCATGGACATTGTTCAGTCTTCTGTCTCTTTGTGCTTTAGTAAAGATAATGATGCTATAGGGGCCTTTACCTGCCGATCTCTCCTGGGCTCTTGTAGACCCCGTATTGGTCTGGCTCCTCGGTCAGACCCTCTAAAACCAGTTTGACCCAGAGCAGTGAGCGGTGAAGCCTGAGCACCGTCCTGCAGCCAGACTCAGTCCTGGCGGAGAATCCCACCAGTCCCCGAGCGAGCTCCACCTGCACCATGGAGCGCACCGAGCGGAACACCTGAAGAGACAGTTGCACTTCAAAGTTTTCTCACCTAGGTAGAGACTTTGGGGTGAAAATACCACATTTTTAATCATTGTTTGTGGTTGTGTGAAGCCAATTAATTACAAACAAGTTTTTCTATTTTCAGGTTTTAATTTCTATTGTCCATTTGTGAATAGCCTGTATTTACTATTTAGCATCTGTTGTGGTGGTTGTGGATGAGGTTCTGAGTCCTCTCCGATGGTAAAGCTAGGGTGTGTAAACTTTCTAGCATCTGTATTTAGGGTTCTTAGTGTAAGATATGGTACATTTTTCTCTTTTCCTCCTTTAGCCTGTATGTGGAGGGAAGGATAAGTCCAAACCGCTAATCCACTACTTTGTTCTTTATTTAAACACCCTTTAAAACTACATCTGTAGCGCTAAACAATAAATAATGTTAAATTTGTCTCAATACTTCAATTTCTTTATAGGATATCAACTCTTTCTGACTTGAACCATATTTCGAACCTGACTTGTTCAGTTTTTCAGGGTAAGACGTGCTGCTGTTACCCCGTATTTGGGTCCATGTGCCTCCGGATTTGGGTGGCGTTTCCCATGATGCTCTGCTGCAGACAGTTTGATTGACAGACGTCGGACCAGAGCCACTTTTTCCTTGACTTTGTGCGAGAAGAAACCGACCATCGTCCCCAGAGACTCCATGAAGCTGCGGCGAAAAGGTCCGTGAGAATAAAGCAGGATCGAAAGAAAATCAAGACTGTTTTAATGTTAGATCTGCTAAAAGAAAAGTCCGTCCAGTCTGATTTATTTAGTTTTAAGTAAATAAATCAATTCCTTTTCAAATTATGTAATTATCTGTGTCTGTCATGTTGTACTGGGAAATTATTGTTTTCAGTTTACTTACTATTATTATTAGAGCAGCATCAAGAACCTTGTGCACCCGTCTCATACTCATGTTACAAAACAAGCTTCCATAACATATTTCAAAGACTGAAATAGTCCTGGTCTGGTCCTGGTTCAGTCCTGGTCCAGACTCACTGGATGAGTTGGTCCCAGCTCTGTAGATACGGCTCCATCAGAACGTCCTGCTCCTCGCTCAGACACGCCTCCAAGTGACGCATCAGCACAGAGCTCTGAAACAATTGGCCGGGACACTCCCTGAAGGCGGGGTTTAGACCGGACTCCTCTGGTTCAGGCTGAGTAGACATGAACATACAATATAAATACTTAAATTGTCACAGCCACAGAGTGTATCACTTATAACATGTTAAATGAACAGAATACATTTGAACATTTCACACATTGAATTGAACTCTTATTATTTACCTTGTGGCATGGATGCGACTCTGAACCGCAGGCTGGTCCTGTGCCCTGAGCTGAGAGTGGAGGAGAACCATCATGAACAGATAAAACTACAACAATAGTTTACAGCACATAAAGTATGAACAGACAACATACGTGATAATATACAGTATGATGATGGTTAAATAAGCAGCATCTCACGCCAACACAAAAAGCAATTTGATAATGATTTATAATATTTAGGGCTTGTTTGTTTGTCTGGCATCAAAGGAGATATATAGGACTGTGTAACATTTGATAAAACTCTATTTCCTTTTTCATGTCCTGGTCTAATTTTGGTTTGTTTCTTAGTATTCTGTATTGCTGAGGTGCCCACAAACTAAGATTGAAATGTAGCAAAGTATTGAACTTGAGAATCACATCAATGTCATTGTTTGTTTATTTGAATGATGTGTTGTGTTATAAAACCTAATTTACAGTACAATGTTGTAATTTTAGAATAATGTTATAAACGCACGGTAAAATGAGAATTCAGTGCTTAAAAGAGTATGGTTTGACAAACGACTCTATTTCAGGTCAACCTCTTTGTCACTTTTCTGTCTTAAAAAGTGTATCTAATAATATTAAAGCCAAGAATATATACATGTAAAAACTAGCAACAGAACCAAACTGTTTTGAGAGGGAGGAACTAGTTCATTGATTATAGTTCTTTTTGTTTTGAGTTGAGTGCTATAGTTTAATAGTAAACAACAACCAAAAAAGTTGATATTATGTCTCCTTTAAAACTCTCTTTAGACTCACGCAACCAGAAGGAGCTGATGAAGAGCATTAGAGCCAAGATGGCGGCGGTGGCCATGACTCGGAGTCGGGTCCTCCTCATGATTCCTTCTGTTTTTAGACCCTCCGCGGTCCGCACAAACTCGAGTCATTATCCCAGAGTGTGTGTGGATTCTTCTGGCCAAAGTTCGCTCCATCAGGACCTTTGCTCCAGCTGTAAAACAGACACGTCACCGTAGGATAACGTGAGAGCGCCATCTGCGGGGAGAAGCCGGTATTGCACATAGTCTAAATCTTAGAACATGGGAAATAACTAAACTCAAACTAATCACTCTAACAACCTCTCAATAATGGTTACTATTTATAATTAACTTGAATGTGCTTTACAAAACAAGAAAGAATACATCGTTTTGTGAACTCACAAATCACTAAAAACATATTTCCTAAAGTATGGAATGGAAGGGGATAAATACAGTGCACCTTTACCTTTAAAGAAGGCAAGGCAAGTTTATTTGTATAGCACAATTCATACACAAGGCAATTCAAAGTGCTGAACAAAACAAGAGAGCATTAAAATAAAAAATAATCACAGTACATTAAAAATAAAGATAAAAATATAAAATCCCTCAGTTGTATGCACAGCTAAACAGAACTGTCTTTAACCTGGTTTTAAACATTGTCAGAGAGGAGGCCTGTCTCACATCTTCAGGAAGACTGTTCCAGATTTTAGCAGCATGAATCTGAAAAGCAGCCTCCCCATGTTTAGTTCTGACTCTGGGCACAAACAGGAGTCCAGTCCCTGTGCTCCTCAGAGTCCGGGCTGGTTCATATGGCACTAACATGTCACTAATATAAAGAAAAATGCTGATAACTTTAACTTAAACATTGTCATAGTAGAAGCCTGTCTCACATGTTCTGTAATAACGTTCCAGATTATAGTGTCCCGACTATGGGTACTAGCAGGAGGTGTTCCAACCTAAAGAGTCTTGTGAAAATAAAATGTTGCTGTCATTAGACCATTGCTGTCATTGATTACCAGAAAACATGTTATCTTTTCCATATTGTTAGAAAGATTCTTTTGAACCAGCTAACTTTTATGTCGAAAAAAGCTGTTTATTTTTCCAATTACAGCCAGGTGTTTTGTTACTCTTAAAATCCCATAAAATTCCATTGAATAACAATTCTACTCAAAAACGTTGATATTTCACTTTATTCAAATACACAGGGACGTACATGTAAACAGTGCATTTGGAATTGTACTCACAACACGGCAGATTTCAACACAATTTATGGCTTTTACTGGAAACTCTCAGAAATAACTGCTACATTATTTTTTATATAAAATCAGTAATCATTTCAAAGGGGAAAACAAGGAGCTTTTATCAAATAGTAAAAATAGGATTTATTGCCGTAAAAATGGTCAGAGAAAAGGTAAAAAACAGATAACTAAAAAGGCATTTAGTGACATGCATAGATCACTTATAGTTTGGTGATAAAGAAAGTCAGGCAGTTTCCCATTGAAGGAAAGTCATTATTCTCACTAATATGTAAATAATTATGTATTTTTCCACACCCTTTTCAACACACACGCTTTTTAAAGGTCGCACTGTGAGTGATTGAAAGCTGGATTTAACCAGTCGTTCTCCATTGGGGCAACTACTGAACAGTTGTGTGACGTGTGTGTGACATCACCTCTGATATGTGGGTGTGTCTCACTGTGGGTTCTGACAACACCATGTAGCAGAAGGCCTGGGTTAGGGTGTCTGTGCACATGGTTTATTATCTATCGTCTCTGTGTATCTTGTAACAAAGCAAAGGAAGGTTTCTCACCCATCATCTGTACTTCTTAGCAAGTTTTCCCGACGTTTCGTCCTCAAACTAGCGGACTTCTTCAGGGAATGAATTCTCGGACCGCGCGTTGGAGATTTATAACCTATGGGTGTGGTTAGCCACACCCTAATCCTGATACTAACTCATAAACAATCTAAGGTCTGCTTGATGTAGAAGGGAGCAGGTCTAACGACCCTGCTGAGGCTAACGACCCTAACTCATTAGCATGTGACAGACCTATTGTCTGCTGGGATGCTCAAGTGGAGTGCAGGTCTCACCCCTCCTAACTCATTAGCATGTCACTGACCTTGTCCCAAGTTAGGGCGTTGTTTTTTAGGATGTCATCTCCACCTCAAGGCCTCCAACCACACGGTGGATGACACTGAGGTTAAAATTCTGGCTCGGGAGAAGAATTGGTTTGAGAGAGGAGTGAAAGAAGCCATTTTTGTGAGGAAACAAAAACCTTCTCTTAACAGAGGAGGAGGGTTAAGATTTGTTTTGCCTCGCATCTATGACGACATCCTAAAAACAACGCCCTAACTTGGGACAAGGTCAGTGACATGCTAATGAGTTAGGGTCGTTAGCCTCAGCAGGGTCGTTAGACCTGCTCCCTTCTACATCAAGCAGACCTTAGATTGTTTATGAGTTAGTATCAGGATTAGTGTGTGGCTAACCACACCCATAGGTTATAAATCTCCAACGCGCGGTCCGAGAATTCATTCCCTGAAGAAGTCCGCTAGTTTGAGGACGAAACGTCGGGAAAACTTGCTAAGAAGTACAGATGATGGGTGAGAAACCTTCCTTTGCTTTGACTAATCCCTGTACGACTGAGGGCTTACACAAACTTATCTTATAACTATTTATAAATGTTATGCCTAATGTATTAAGCAACAACTAGATTTTCATTTTAACTGCAGTGAAGTCTGAACACTCCTACCCCGGCTTCAGCTACATCTCAAAAGGCAAAAACCGCCAATAACTGCATTAAAAAAAAAAAAAAATCAAAGTTTTTGTTTATATCATCTATGTAAACGATTTAAAGAGACATGTATTATTTTGCTACTGTAAAAGGCTTTGAGCTCCAGTGATATTTATATTTTCTCATGAAGAAATGGTTCAATTCAATTTTGAACAAAAATTATGAAAAAAAAACTAAATTCTGCATTTTCAATCTATGGAGACATTGTGGTTCGGTGTGCTAGTAGCAGCAGTGTTACTTCTATTATGACAGCAGTGGGTCAACAACAATAATACAAAACAGCAGCACATCACAGTAGCAAGGTTTTCTTTTTCATATGTGCCAAAATGCCTGAGTGATGCTCCCAAAGATAAAAAAAAAAAAAGCAGATGCGAAAACAGGGATGAAATAACGGTGGCTGAATGTGGAAGGATCAAGATTACTTGAGTCACTTGTGTGGGTAAAAAGAGCAACACGGTCACAAACAGTTTAAAATCATCCGTGCCAAGAAGTAATGTTCCTAAACACCCATTGAAATATGGGAAGACAGCTGAAATATTTGTAGGAAATATAAATGGTTTGGCACAGTTCAGGTCAAGACTATTGGAAACAGTCATCGGAAAATCAACATTGTGACGTAATATTGGAAAACATTTGGCGTACGGAAGCTACAACAGGAAGTCCCTTGCTACAATAGGAAGGATAACGCTGATTATCTAAAGCAGGGGCTGTCAAACTGGTTCTGGAAAGAGCTGGTGTGGCTGCGGGGCTTCATTCCAACCAAGCAGGAGCACACAAGACTCCACCCATTTCCTCAAGTCTTCAGATTGACTGGACTCACTTGTTGTCTCTGTGTGTGTATTGTAACATTTTACTGTCATTACATTTCCTCATTTATATCTATTTAGTTTAAGCCTATTATAAAAAGAAACCACTAGATTTTTGTTCTAAAAGCAGTGAAAGATGCGAAAGAAAGTGGAAAGATGCACTGGGAAACGGTTGCAGGTCCTGAGTAGCTCTGAAACAGTTGTTTTGTGCTTTACAATGTTTTTTTTTTATGGGGTTTTTTTGCCTGAGATGTTGCTGCAGTACAGTGTTCAAGGGATCAATAAAGTATCTATCTATCTATCTGAAGTATGAACACTCCGACTCCAGCTACATCTCAAAGGCAAAAAACGCCAATAAGGCATAATAAAATTCCATAGTTTTTGGGGATTTTGTAGTAACTGTAAATGTTTTGTCACAAGCAATGGTTTGGCGTCTGGTGTGCTCCTGCTTGGTTTGGGATAAAGACCTGCAGCCACACCGGCCCTTTGAGGACTGGTTTGACACCCCTGGTCTAAAGGCTCTGGCAGACCTGCTCTAGCCCTGATATTGTCTTGGTCTGGCCCTGTAGTTTAGGCTCATAGTGCATTTACGTGTGTCGTCATGTGCTTGTTTCGTCTCTTTTTAGTCCTGATCGTAGGTTGTATAATAGGAACAGCTATAACCCTCTAGCTAACAAAAGGTTCATCAAAAAGTATTACCTTTTCACTCATGAATTGCTTGTGTCAGACTCACCAATCTGGGTTTGAAATATTGGTAAAGATATGTGCAGTAATAATCTATCCCTGAATCTGAAAAACAAATGTTCAGAGTGGGAACAGCTCCTGATTGGCTCTTTGGTTGCTATGAGGTTGTCGAGTCTCCAAAATGACTGCCCATAGTCAGAGCAGCCAGCAGACATCACAGCTACACCACTCCAGGTCTATGCAGTCTATGGTCGTATTGGTCCAGTCTGAGTTTAGTTCTAAACCTAGACTTTGTGTTCTGGTCTTGTTTTGATTTGATGAAAGAGCAAATGAAAAAGCACCTGGTTGAGTCCTGGTTGAGTCCTGGTTGAGTCCTGGTTGAGTCCTGGTTGAGTCCTGGTTGAGTCCTGGTTGAGTCCTGGTTGAGTCCTGGTTGAGTCCTGGTTGCGTCCTGGTTGAGTCCTGGTTGAGTCCAGGTTGAGTCCTGGTTGAGTCCTGGTTGAGTCCTGGTTGAGTCCTGGTTGTGTCCTGGTTGAGTCCTGGTTGAGTCCTGGTTGCGTTCTGGTTGAGTCCTGGTTGAGTCTTGGTTGAGTCCTGGTTGCGTTCTGGTTGAGTCTTGGTTGAGTCCTGGTTGCGTCCTGGTACTGTTTGAGAGATTGGCTTTGGTCTCGTCAGCACATGCTCTCCTCTCCTCCTCGCTCTTCCTCCTCTTCATCCTCGGTGCTGTCACGTCTGGCAGATTTACTCCAGGTCTGACCCCATCCTCCCTCTACGAACCTGAAACACACAATATTTGTACATTGTTAAAGGTTATACCAGTAACTTCAATAAGCATTTCATGTTCAAAAGTGAATATTATTTATAATCATAGTCTACCATCATGTCGTTTATTGTTCAAAATAATAAATGCAATAGAGGTTCCTCTCTTGGTATAATCACCAGGAAGATTTGAGGGATTTTGGAACTTTTGAATTAAAAGTCAGAAAACAGGTCTGTCCTGAGGATTTCTCACAGCACATGTTTGAAACAGGAGACTGTGAACAGAAGGGGCGGGGAGTTTGTACTTGGAGTTCTTTGCATAATGTATGTCCTTTAAGTGAGTCAAGGAGAGGTTCAACGTATTCAGTTTATACGCTCCACTAAATCAAACATGTGGCCTGCCGGGCAGCACTAGATCCAGGATCCAGGATTTATTTAAATCCAGGAATTATTTCTTTTTTGGATGAAATCGTGGTGCTAATTAGCCATTTCCATTTACTGTCAGAAGCCTGAAGGTTTTACTACCAATTTATTCTGACAGAGCAAAAGCATACAGAGGTCTTATATGACATTGTTTGTCATTTCAAAATTGCCAATCCTTGACAATAATGATTAATTGATTGTGCGACAGTTACCTGGATTTATCCAGCGGTAAATCTTCATCTGCTGAACCTAAAGAGAGAGTCCGAGACGGGCCACGATCCCAGCTGCTGCAGCCGCCATAAAGCAGGGGAAAAGAATAGACTTAGTTTAGTTCAACCATGTAGTTCAAATGAAAACTAGAGCTAAATGTTTCTACTGTGTATTTGAATAAGCCTCCTCTCCTGATCTACTGTCTTTACCACACCAACAAAGTATTGATCATCACCTGATCGGCTGAAGTCCAAGTCCATATGAATCAGAAAGACTCAAGCTTCTCTATATCAAATCACAAAGCAAATAAGAATATAATGAAAAAGAACCGTTTTCCCAAAATGTATCAAACTAAAGGAAACAAACCCGGTTCCCAATGGACTCCTGGAGACGACTGGTGATGATCTCATCCAAACTTCCCCTGAGAAAGACAAAGAAAAATCCATATGTGAATTGTTATCAAATGAGAAATGTCCTCAGAGCCTCCTGTAATAAAGAAAAACATTAAATATTCTTCATGTTGGCCTGATTTATCTTGTAACATTTCAATTAAAATGACATCATAAACACATCTATGAATCCTTGAAGTGGTAAAAGTGGAATGCTGGCAGTGAGACCTGTGTGGACTGGGTTTGTGTGAAGTGATCAGCAGCAGATGCCTCTCAGCGCGGTCTGCTCGCTCCAACAAAGACTCGATGAAAACCTGCGAGGAACACAACAGAGATAAAATTACACTTTCATGTTTCAAAGTACTCCATCTTTCCAGACTTGTTTTACAAGTAGTCATAGAATCTAAGTGTACTGCTGTAGTTAGGGTTAGGAGACCTGGAGTTTGACTTTAGCTTCAGCTTCTCGTTGGGCCAAACTGTTGAGAAAACACTCGATCTCCACCATCTCCCTGAAAAAAACAAAACCAGAGTAAAAGTTTGTAAAGCTGAGTTTAAAGCAGAAATAGTCAGAATCAGAGTAGTCAGAATACACTCCCGTTTTACTTTCTGTTACGACCCGGCTCTTGGAACCGCAACAAAAGAGGGAGGACACAACAACCAGAGCGATTTAAGCCCTCGATGGGGCATTTATTGTAAAAAATCAGTAATCAGTGTAAGTGAATTGTGTGCTGTGGGGGTGCAGGGTGCTGCGTATGAAAGACAGCAAGACAACCTTGTGTAGTGCAAATGTTGTGTTGTAGTGCGTGTAAATGAACAAAAACAGACTGGCGTGGCGTTGTGGCTGGTGAGACAGGACCCAAGCTGGTAGCGGCAGTCCGGGCACGCCAGAAGCCAGGTGAGAGAGTGAGAGTGGGAGGAAGGCGCTTTTTGAAGCATCCGGGAGCCTCACGTGATCTCCCGGTCACCTCCCATCGTCTCTCCTCAGCAGAATACAGTTCAAAAACCCGCCATCCCAGGGCCAGCAGAGGGGGCCGTCACACACAACCGGCACAAAGCAAGACCAATGTATTTATAAATATTCTCACTGCTGTTTGTAGTTCAGCTCGGTCTCTTTGGCCTCCAGTTCCTGCAGCAGTTTGCTCATGAGCTCCTCTGCAGCCGACACCTGACAACGAAGGAATACAACCATCAACCTCCACATGTAAAAACACACTCATCCATTCTTTTTCTTCTGATTCATCTGGGGCCGGTGTGACTGAGGCAGCACTGTGCAAAGACTTCCCTCTCTACTGATATCTTTCTTCAGCTCATTCAGGGAAATCGCAAAGTGTTCAGGCCAGAGGAGAGAAGACGTGCTGACGTAGAGGAGCTGCAGATCTACTCCGAGCTTCTCCCTTGTGGCTGAACTCATCTCATCTCTAAGGGAGAACCCTGCATCAGTGATCTTGTCTATGTCTCTGTCTCGTGAGGCTGGGAACTGATTGGTAAATTGAGAGGTTTCAGATTAAGATGAAGAGATCCTTTCTTTGTCCCACAGTGGGGGATATTTCAGTGTTGCATCACAATTTACAGAACAGCTGGAATGAGGAGCACAGAGCTAAAGATAAGTCTAAATTATCCAACTTTAGCATAATAAAGAAGCCAGAATTAAGTATAAAATCTCTGGCTTTGGTCTCAGCTCCACCGTCGCTACAACAAGACCCAACACCTGAGATACCTGAACGCCTCCACCTCATTTCAACCATATCTAACCTCCTCTCCAACAGGGTTCAAGCATCATGAAGCACTGAAGCCGCTGTGTCGGTACCTGTCCGGTGAGATGGGCCAGGTGTTCGTTCAGCTCCTGTTTCTGTGTCCTCAGGGTCTCCTCCACGATCCTCTGCCTCTGGAGCTCCTCGTCTTTCTGCTGCAGTCTGGATTTGAGGCGCTCCACTTTGCGGTTCACCCTCTGCTCCACCTCCTCCAGGGTTCGGGCAATCCTGGGGCCCAGACCCACGCCCAGACCCAGCCTCTCCTCCAGCCCGATGTCCACCCGCAAGAAGGTCTACGAGACAAACACCTCATTTAGAGCTGGTTTAGAACTTTGGTTTGACCCCTATAGCTCTCAAAGTTGTCATCACAGCTTCACGTTTGGATGAAGGAGTAGAATTCTCCTCCAGGTAACGCTCGAAGCACACATAGCATAGGTTGATCCACCGACATTATTGTTTGTTCTCGGCTACTGTGCATACGGTGAGGTCATGGCATGTAGAGAATTCACACCTTTTTATTCTTATTGCTGTGAAACAACCCCCTGCAACGCTGCGTATCTGTTTTGTTTCACCATGGAGGCTGTTTTCTCAAGGCTTGCATTTTCACCCCCCCAAAACAGCGTCCTATACCCAACCATGGGTTTACTGTCGCAGCGTCCTTGTGTACTTGGCACATAAGTAATTAAAGAAAAAGCTTTTCTATAGACCCAATGCAAGGCTGCAGATCTGCGGCATCAGTCTCTCCTATACCTCCTTCACCATATTCGTATCGAGGCTTAGTCCTGGTCGATACCCACCTCTGTGAGCTTCCCTCTGGGCAGGACCATTGACTGCAGCAGCTGGACTGAGGAGGTGGATGAGGCCAGGTCCAGACTTTCCAGAGGGAGGGGAATTTGCTGGAGCTCTGTCCCGGACATTGAACACTCAATCTGGGCTAACATCGGCCCGGCAAGTGGAAGCAGAGAGCGGGGTCTGGAGGTCCGCACACGGGCCTGGAACAAAAGATCTACAGATTAGTCTTTGCTTGAGTTAAATCCTGGTTTAATCTCAGTTCTGGTAAACTCTTTGTTTTAAATTTCATACTTGTGACAACAGCAGCAGCGTCTCATAAGTGTGTCGTGTGATGAGGTGAACTCTGAGATCAGCGATTGTGCTGAATTTAAAGGCATCACCACAGCGAGGACAGATGAGGAGTCCTGACATGGTCCAGACCTGCTTCGGACCTGGTTCAGGGAAGATCAAACTGTCATGTGGTAAAATCAAGGAAGGACCCAAAATGAAGGCAGTTCAGAGATTGGAAAAACCCCAGGTCAGAGGCAAGGTCCCAGCAGATAGGGGCAAGAGCTCAAGCCCATGGTGACCTTCCAGCAGCTAACCGACTCACCCCGGACCGAGACATATGCCAAGCAGGGACTCAGACGAGAACAGAACCACCCCAGAGGGAGAACAAATTTTGGTAGTGGCTACAGGTGAAGGGAAGGAGGGGTCATCCTTAAAAAGTCAGGCCAAGGCCAAGCGGTGGCACAGAGACGGGCACAGGTGACAACCACCCTAGACGGAGGTCAATGTCTGGCGGTGGTTCCAGGAAACGGGTGAGAGGTCAGAAGTTAAGCAAAAGAACATGACAAAAAAGAATCAAAACCTGATGAGTGGTGATGAACTGGGAGCAGGTGTGGGGGGAAAAGCATTCAGCTGAGTCCTTTTGGTGGCTGGTCTATTCTGTCACGAGGTGAAATTAAGGAAGAAACAAGAATATAGGAATGTAAAAAAATAGATGATAGTAAATTAAAATCCATGGGAAAAACAAACTCAGGAACACAGGCAAAGATAATGACACAATGAAAATGAACCAGCAACAAGGGGAGAGGAGCACAGGTACAAATACACACATTAGGGCGGGGCAGACAATCAACGCAGGGGTCTGACTTCAATGTGGCTCCGAAAAATTTACTTCTCATATCCTTGTGTACTCCATGGCCTCACACCAAAGTACATATCTTGTGACACAGGGACTGGCATCATGCTGGGACTCTGAGGAACACAGGGACAAGCCTCCTGCTGGGACTCATGAGGAGCACAGGGATTAGCCTCCTGCTGGAACTCATGAGGAGCACAGGGACAAGCCTCCTGCTGGGACTCATGAGGAACACAGGGACAAGCCTCCTGCTGGAACTCATGAGGAGCACAGGGACAAGCCTCCTGCTGGGACTCATGAGGAGCACAGGGATTAGCCTCCTGCTGGGACTCTGAGGAACACAGGGACAAGCCTCCTGCTGGAACTCATGAGGAACACAGGGACAAGCCTCCTGCTGGAACTCATGAGGAGATCTGAGACTGGCCTGCTGCTGGTTCCCAAGTCAAGAAACATGGGAAGGCAGCTGAAATCCAGAACAGTCTTTCAGAAAATTTGAGACAAGATTCAGCTCTAAATTTCTGAATGGTTTTCGAATGCTCGAATGCTTTCGAATGAGTGTAGAGAAATAAATAATATCTTTCCTCTTAAGTCACATCATTTCACGCACGCCACGCCTCGACTCTCTGTTCTTGCTCATTGGGGCGCACTGATTCCTTCTCTCTGAGCTGTCAACTCAAATCACAGCAAAACAGCAAGGCTTGAGGGATGTCCAGTTAATATTCATTTAAGATGGACTGCCACAACGCCGCTCAATGTAATAAAATGCAATTCAATTCAAAGACAAGCTAAAAATACAGAGAATTTGTGTTATATATAAAATAAATGTCGTTATATAAGCAACATGTAGCGAATTATCTGTTGAATTACACTAATGCAATTTGCTAAACGAGGACAAGTCTGGTCTGAACTCGTCCGAGAGTAAAGAATGATAATAACTGTATCGCATCTGACCTAATTTAGTTGTTGACAGGGAGATGCGCGCTCCCGTGGCTGCTCACCTGCGCGTCAGGAGGGGGTGCGCGCATGCATGGGAGCTCCAGACACCGGGGATGGGTGTGGGGGCGACGCGGAGATGTTACCCGGGATGGGGGCTCGATCTGCGGGGTTCCTCGGCATGTACAGGCTCCGCGTCCTCCCCGGCTTCTCACGCATCTGTCAGAGCAGGAGTGGAGCTACGTCTTTACGTCGGAGAGGGTGATTGGATGGTTAGACTACTGGGAAACTGGGGGGGGGGGGGGGGGGGGGGGCCAAATCTATTGGCCACAATAGATTTGTGGCCAATCTATTGTATTTTCATGCTGAAAAAAATCCCATAACATCAACATTGAAGGTATCTAGAGAATGTTCTACTTCCGGGTGGATCATCAAGACTATTGGTCAGATACGTGCTCCTCAGACGTGGAGAGGGCGGTTCTTTTCTAAAATTTGGGCCTATGATGAGCGATAGTCATTTATTGACATTTATAAACATTGCTCATCCCGCTCCCAATGTGTCTCTGATTATTGTAAGGCCAAAGTCCAAACGGTTTTATTCTCTGATCTGTATAGTTGGCAAATCAAGTTTGTAAAGTCCTCCAAAGGCGACTGCTGCTGTGAAAAAGGCTACACAAATAAATTGAACTGAATCGAATTGGACATGATGTTCACAAGGGATGACAAAATAACAAAAAAGAGCAAAAGTTACGCAACACAAAACATAATCAATGGTGGAATGCATTTAAAAAGGTCACAGAATATACCTTTTATGCCAAGATAGACTGTTTTGCTGGATTTTTTTTGTATTGTCTTAATAGGAACATGTTTTCTTTGAGGACTGTGTCAAGACTTCATCTCCTTTACTCCATGATCATGTGGAGGACATCGACCATTACTTTTTTCAGACACACAAATCTGTACGTATTAGAGGTTAAATAGTTATTATTCCGCTCAAAATTGTGTAGTTTAGAATATATAATAATATAACAGTAGAATGGAGTTTTTGGGCCAATGGGTTTATCAGCTTGTTTTAGACAGTCACGATTTTAACATATTTGTGTGTCAGACCGATGAATCAAACATTCATTTGAAGAAAAAAGGTCCTTTTGGAAAAAGTAGTTCAAATGCTTGACTTTGGCTGCATTTTTATGCAGTGGTGAAAACTAACCTTTAGAGGGCGCTATTGGCCTTAGTAAAAATAGAACATAATATGTTAGTCGGTTTATCATCACACATCTATGAGGGAAAAGTGTGTCCAACTTTCTTATTTGCATTATATTACAACAAGATTCATGTTCAATATTATAGTGTGAGTATTATTTCAATTTAGGGAATACTTAGTGCACTTTTCCATCCATCTTCTTCCCCTATTGGTGTCCAAACCGGTCCAGAAAGGGCCGCTGTGGCTGGAAGTTTTCTATCAGACCCAGCAGGACCAGAGCAGACTCCTCCCATTTCCTCAAATCTTCAGGTCAAGACTGAACTCACTTGAGGAAATGGGTGGAGTCTTCTCTGCTTCTGTTGGGTCTGATAGAAAACCTGCAGCCACAGCGGCCCTTTCTGGACCGGTTTGGACACCCAATCAATTTCTGGGTCGGGGGTGCAGTCAGAGCTGCACCCAGTACACAGAGCACCAGCCCCTCACTGATCCTCCTGCAGGTGGTGAGTCCACGGGAGCCTTGATCTTTCAGTGGGGGCTTCAGGAAAAGTGGGGTTAAATGTCTTCAAGGACACAACAGCAGCAGACATCAGTGGGAGTCTTGAAGCAGGTCTTGTGGAGGGCTCAAACCAACAACTTACTGGCTCCAAGGCCAATGCTCTACCAACTGAGCCGCTCTCCTAAATTATTTTTGTTGTACTTATTGTGTAAGTTTTTTTTAAAACATGATTCTTATCTGTAGAAACAAATGCTTTTGCCAGTTTGACTTTGAACTATATAACAACAAATCTATATCTGTCTGTCACCCAGAGCAACATGAGACTGTCACCGTTAAAGCAGATGGCGAGTCACACAAAGAGAAGGACAGGTTTGTTTGTTGGTTGTTGTTGTTTATTGACAGCAGCTCATGCACCGAACAGTAACACGCACAACACGTGCGCTGCTCTCCCATCAGGCACTCTGAGCACTCCAGAGGTGCACAGGTCTGAATGACGTCACCCAGCTGCTCACTGCGTCATTTGTACAGTACAAAAATAGAGATGTGTTCAAATATGATACAAATATAGAACTGTTTAGACAAAATAGATTCACAGGTCATGCAGCGGCGGCACAAACATCTGCCACAAAAATATCACCAACTTTAAGACAAAAGTGATTCAGTTCAGTTCATACTGTCCAATGAGAACCCTGCTGTGCTGAAGCCCGTCCCGAAGTCTCCTCTGATTGGTCCACAACATTGATAGTCTGCCACACTATGACGTCACGCTGTAACAGCAAAAACACAAACAAAGAATACACGACTCCCGTGATCTCCTTTAACTGCTCCTGCTCAGTCCAGTCTCAACCCTAACCCAAGTCCAGACCGAGTCCATACCAAGTCCATACCACAGACTGGTCAGACCTCAAGGCCACGCACCAGGTGCTGCGGACTGTCAGCCGTTACGCACTCTTCGTGCCGCGGCTCAAACATTAAACTGCCACAATCTCAGTGACTTGATCAAAGCTCCACATGAGACGCACTTTACACTCCGGGCGCGTTCACGGCCAGTGCGTACGCCGCCATCATCTGTGCACGGAGCTGCTGTTTGATGTGCACGCGCCCGTGCCGCTTCCTCTCGTCGCTGCGCGCAAACTTCTTCCCACAGACGTCGCAAGAGAACGGCTTCTCCCCCGTGTGCGTGCGCGTGTGTGTGGTCAGGTGGTCGCTGCGGCTGAAGGCGCGCGCACAGACCGTGCATTGAAAAGGCTTCTGTCCTGTGTGGATGCGCACGTGGCGGTTCAGTTCATCCGAGCGCGAAAAGCGCCGGTCACATCCCTGCACTGCGCACGGGAACGGTTTGGTTTTGACGCTTTTCTGCCGCCTCCCTCGCGCTGCCGCCTTGGGAGCGGGGACGCGCACGCCCTGCAGCAGGGTGGAGAGCACGTGCGCGTCCACAACTGGATTCCCACTGATGACGTAGGTGGCGGGATCCCCCTCTGCTCCCGTGAGCCCGGAGCAGAGCCAGTCCCGCGGCTCCTGCTTCAGCTCCAGACCGTAGCTCAGTGCGTCTGGCGGCAGCAGCGCGTCCAGGAGCTGCGTCACATCCAGAGCGTCCAGCTCCACGGGCAGTGGCGCGCACTCTGCAGAGGCTCCGGGGGAGCTGAGGCAGTGGCCGCTGCAACTGGGGGCGTTCTCAGTCTTCACGGTTCCTGGCTCCTGCTTCACTATCCCCGCAGGAAGCGGTGTTGGGCTTGAAGCGGGAGCCGCGGGCTGTGGCTGCACGTCGCTGCAGATTCCCACGATCTCCGTGATCATCGTGAGAATTGCGTCCGCCGCGCTGCTGAGCCCCGGGGAGCGGGACTCGGAATCACTGAAGTCACTGAAGAAGTCCGAGTCTGAGGCGTCTGTCCCGGGGGAGAACACTGAGGAGAGAGACACACGCAGAGTTAGACCTGTGTCCTCACGTGCACCTGTGGCACGTACGCGCACACACGCACGCGCTCATGTTTTCATATTGAACATATTTGCATCACACACAGAACAGTGCCTTCCACTGGTTTACATGCGTTACGCACACGCACCTTGGCAGAACGGGGAGCCCACGTCCGAGTCTTCACTGAGGCTGGAGCCCACACTGTCCACCCATGCGGTGCACGCGTCCTCAAACTCCGACATGAAGCTGTCCTCGCGCTCAAGAAGCATGTTCCGTTATGTCCGTTAAAGCTCGTTAGTCCTGTGAATCGTTAGTCCCGTGAATAGTCCTCCTAGAGCCACGAGTCTGTGCGCCCTGATGCTGAAGTGATGCTGCTTCTTCTCTCCTCGCGGCTTTTATATCCTCCGTCTCCTCAGCTCCATCCTCGCGCCATGATTGGCTGCTCCGGAGCCAGGGATTCCCCCCTCCGCGAGCGTGTCGTAGCTGCCCAAACATGTCCCGTTTCCGGTGTCGACGCTCGGCGGTATCCCCGAACCATAAAAGGCGCGAGGGTTTCCTCCAGCACTGCGGCACTTACACAACAACAGCGGGAGGACCTTCTGCAGCGGCTCTGCGGCGACGCGTGCAACAGCAAACATGCAAAACTTATCAACGCATTATTCTGGCATGTTTGCGCGTATATAAAGTGGAGCATTCTTGATGCACTTAAACATGGAGCTTTAAGGAATGCACGGAGACAAATGCATGAGGAGGAGAGACTGATGAGGACAGGTGCAGACGAAACGCTTCACTGTGTTTTTCCCCAACACAGAATGCAAACCTAACAGACCTGGACCTGAAGGCTCTAAGTCAAGGCGGTGAAAAACTATCTGTATGCGTGCATGTGTATCAGGGACAGAATGAGGAGGGAGCAGGTGGAGAAGAGGCTGAGGCTGAAAGTCATGGTTATAGAACAGACAAACAGGTGCCATGTTGTCAATGAGCATGCTCTAAAATGCAACAGGACTAAACAGAACTAAACACATTGACATTTCTCCAAATCCTGAAGGTCTCGATGCAGAATTTGAATGTTTCACTCTGCAGCTCGATGGATTTCCCTCCTTTAGTCTCATCAATCTTAGAAAATGTGCCTCAGTATTACAATACACAACTGCATGTGACTAATACACCCTGTGAGCATGCTTTGTATTTTGCATTTAGTCCCTTATGAAGCTCATACAACCTGTTTGTTGTTTTGTTTTTTGTATGAGCTTGGTCTAAACCAATACAGATCAAACACTGATTCATGGATCTTCAAGTCAAACCAGGACTAATCAAAAATGGAACAGGTCTTAATCAAGACCATAAATGTTTATTGGACCAATCATTGATGTCAAAGGTGTAAAGCAGGACCAAACAGGAGAATATCAGGACTAGACCAGGTCTTAGGCACTAACCATGGCCCAAATTAGACTGGGTCTGGCCTGGTTTTTGGGCTGTGACCATCCACATTATATAAAGCACTATTAAAAACAAGCATCTAAACGGGTCTCAATCCAGTCACGTGACCCTCCCACAGCACCATGTGATGATTTGCTGCTGTCTCCATGGAGACGGCCGACATTCCCACACTCCTTATGTAAAGTCCAGCTGCTGATGCTCAGAGATTATATAGTCTTGCTTTACTTCGAGTAATCCTGGTTTAGTCCTGGTTTGGTCTGGTCCTGCTTTGCTCTATAGGCCGGTAATTAGATGTTTAGATGTTTGTTGTTCTTACAAAGCATACTTGTCAAACCCCTGATCTCTGCCTTTTTAGTCCTGATGGGAGATCACAGTGAGGCGCTGTGGCTCTACTGCAAACCAGCAGTGTTGAGTGTAGCAGTTACAAATAATGTTTTAAAAATGTAATGAGTCACTAATTAACACAACATCACTTAGAAAATACTTAGATTAAATAGTTACATGCAACAACAATGATAAGTCAATTCATATCTTTTGAAATGGATCTGTTTGTCCAGTTAAAATGAATTCTAGTTCCCTTGGGACTAATTGTGAATGCACAAGATATAGATACAGTATTTATGTTGCATAATTAATAAATTAATATATCTAAGAAAGCAATTAGTAATATTTTACTAATGACACTTCATGAATGTGTGTGATAGATTCTGCTGGAGCTTACTGCTGCCATGCTTTCACCCGTCTGCCCCAAGGCTTAAACGAGAATGTAAAAAGTGACTTTGTGACCATGTGAAAAGTGATACGTAAAAAAAGTAAGTACGTAACTATAAAATGTTTTGTAAAACGTCTTTATTGTTTTATTAATTTAACGGATCTTTAAGTGGAAATAGAACAGTATTTTAATAATTGACAAAAATATCAGAAATAAAAGCTATCCAATATTTGCAGATTTAATGTGCAGATCATGCATTTGAATCTCCTAAAAACACACAAAAAAACAATACTGAGAATATTCCTCTTTGTTAACATGTTCTGATTATCACACAATAAAAACACTATAAAAACATTTACCCAAAAAAGGTCATTAGTGTCATATGTATATCACTTAATAATGAGTAATAATATGATAATATTGTTGTAGCATTGTTTTAGGATCAATAGTCACAGTCAGTCCTGCTTCTCCACGGCCCCCCAGCCGGGCCGCGGCGTGACCTGCAGCCGATAGGGCAGTGGCTGGAGCACCACGCCCAGACGACCTCGCAGGTCCGGTACGGGCTCCGCGGGGGGCACGCTGAAGCTGACCCGCTGCAGCAGCGACGACACGAACAGGAACAGCTCCAAACGAGCCAACGATTCACCCACGCACACCCGAGGCCCCGCCCCGAAGGGCATGAACCCGGGGGGAGAGAACCGCTCGCCGTGCTCGTCTAGAAAACGCTCTGGGAAGAAGACAAAAAACAGTTGTAATGTTTAGTGAGTTTTTATATATGCCCATTTTATTGCATGTTTTCAGTGTTTTAACCAACTGTATACAGGAGCTGAAAGTTCATATTCAGAAAATGTCTATCATTTCAAATTATAAAAGACCAATAAGGCATCACATTTTTCTGTAAAGAGGCAATAAATGTGCTCTGATTAAGGCTGAGTTTGGTCTTTCTTGAGACGTGAGGGTTGATACTTGTTTATTTTGGTCAAGTTCCAGTAATGGTTCAGTCCAAGTTCAGTACCTGGTCTGAACAGGTCCGGTTGTTTCCAGATTTGTGGATTGTGGTGAATGGCCCACATGTTGACCAGGACCCGCGTGCCAGTTTTTACCGGGTGTCCTCCCAAACTGTGAGAACAATCACTTAAATGAATGCATGAAAATGTGGAAGGTTCCACAATATGGCATTAAACATATCTGCTCTATTCTAGGCAGAGAAACATGCATTCTTTCCTGAATCGTTCTTGAATAAAAATAAACATTGTTAAAAGACTATTTACAGAATGTGACGGGGTGGGGCTCTGACCTGGTTGGCTGCATGGCGGAGTGCGGGAGCAGGATTGGACTCACGGGTCGGATCCTCAGTCCTTCCTGGATAACAGCCTCCACAAAAGGCAGCCGGGTCCGGTCCGACATTCGAACCGGTCTCTGGCCCAACTGCTCTTCCAGTTCCTTCTGGGCCCGGGTCTGGATCTGAACAAGATGCATTGACAGTAATGATGTATTCATTCTAAACAGACCACATGTGGTTTATGATACAATATTAATTTACTCTCCTCACTGTTGTGGCATACTAAAATTGTAGCCACATCTGCCCTGGTGAAAAACTGGCTTGGCTGCCAATCTGCAGCATGGACTCACTGACCATAAATCCTTCATAGAGTTTTTTATAAGGGTGGGAAATCGGCCATCTTAAAGTGATTTCCCTTCTCTGTAGAAGTCAAAACATTCTTTTTCCCTTTCGAGCAACAAATTCTTGCACAACACTTCCGAATCGACCACATATCACCGGTCGGGGAAAAGAGAATCGACAAACAGAGTAAGAACAAGCTGTGGTCAGAGGAGCCAGTAGGGAGCAATCTTTTACTGTCTTCAGAAAAATAGGAGTTAATAAAAAACATATGAATTGCTTTAAAATGTGTGTGTGAAAATGACAAAGGTAAGTGATTACATGGTCAAAATCAGAGAAACGTCTTTTAGCCACTTAGCTTGGCTTGTAAGCTTTATTGTAGAAGAATAAGCTATTTAAGCGAGAATCTGGAGCCAAATGTAAGAAATTCATATGTTACAATGACCAAACAACAGAAGTCGCCCGGTTGGTCAGATATGAGGGCTCACATCTGGATTTACGATAACATCAGAGCTGTAAACACGGATTTTTAAGTACAGAATGGTTAGTGTGGCACAAACGGTTCAAGAGTAGTCAAAGTGAGTTGGAGCAAAAACTAGCCTCATGAGCATTTCCCTGCAGGCTTCATCATGCTAGCAGTCTATTCCTACATACAGTCTATGGTGCTGGTCAGTCCTGGCTCAGACCTCTGGATGGTGCAGCAGATAGGCGATGATCCACAGAATAGCGGTGGACGTGGTTTCCACTCCGGCTCCGAACGCTTCGGCCGCCGTCATCAGAACATGATCGTCCGATATGACCTCGGACTTTGCATCGCTCTGACCACGGAGAAGAGCGTCCAGGAGGTCACAAGGATCACCGGAGTCTGAGTCGCTCACCGAGACCTGAGACAAAAGAAACTGTAAAGAACAACACCAGCAGCAAGAGCAGGAAGCTGGACAGGTCATTATCGTAGATTGGACAAAGATAACGACAACACATGGAGATGATTTTACACACTGTTTGCCTCACACTCTCCTCCTGTTCCAGAGTTTATACCATGCACTGAGAAATACATATTCACACCACCCATGATGACGTGAATACTGAAATATTGCCACCCAAGTCTCATAGCACCAGCCCCTCACTGACCCTCTGCAGGTGGTGAGTCCACAGGAGGACGGCTGCTCTCTGAGTATGAGCATAGCCTTGATCTTTCAGTGGGGGCTTTGGGCAAAGTGGGGTTAAGTGTCTTGCCCAAGGACACAACGACAGCAGTCATCAGTGGGAGTCGGTGGAGAAGGTGCAGAGGTTGTTAATACTGAAATATTAACAACAGGAAATGCCACTATAGTTCTCACTCATTTGAAGTATGGTTTTTGTACCTTGTGTTGGTCAAATTTCCGCTGCAGCAGCTTGTCTCTCACTCTGATGCACTGCTTCAGTTTTCTTAGAGTGCTGTTTGGAAAATACTGGCAAATACACAAGAAAAAGAAAATAAATTACACAAGAAAAACATGTTACGAGTCACGATATTCAACTGCATGACATTAAATGTGTACACACTTAACCAAATTATTGAGGAACATGAAACTTTACATCACAAATCTATTAGCCATCTCTTGGTATTTACTGGCAGCAGAGGCCGGTCTGTTTTAGATTATTTTTGGTGTTGCAACTTAAAGCTGGGTGACCTAACAACCCCAGTAGGAAAACGTGTAAGAACAGCCACAACTGCCCTGGGGCACACTGACAGAAGCAAGGCAACCAGAATGTGCCATCGGCCCCACTAACCACCACTAGCCATTCTCGCACACACCAGACTCATTCTAGGGAATGTGAGTGAAGAGTCTTGCCTAAAGACACAACAAAAGTTTGGCACTTTACAGCTGCAGCTGGCCCACTGTGGCACCAGGTGTTCCCAGAGGTCTCCCATCACATCACTAACCAGACCCTGCCCTGAACAGCTTCAGAGGGCTGACGGGATATGGCTTTTGGATGCAAGTATGGCCAACCCAATTATGAATGTGTGGCTCATAAAATAATAATGTATTATATTTAAAATGTGGTAGAACATGTCTATGTTGAGTTAAGTTTTACTAAATGAGTTGGTGAGCAGGGCCTGTAACCTCTCCCTCCAAAAATCTGTAAAATCTTGAATCCGATTAATCAATAGTTCCCATCTTACTGCAACAAATTACTCACTACCCACCACTGAGACCGTACCTTGAGCCAGGGGTAGATGTCGACCAAGGCTCCGGTGGCGAGGGTCTGCACGATGCCGTTGGTGTACTGAATGACCTGCTGCAGCTCGGGGTCGTGGGGCCTGTAGGTGGCGCTGAACACCAGAGTGCACACAACGTTTGTGACAGCGCGAGTGATGGCGGAGAAAGGGTCCAACGCTCGCCCTGCGCCGCACAGCTCCTGCAGCAAGTCGTCCACCGAGGACAGCACTGCACAGAGGGGAATGTGAGAGTGCGGGGAGGGAAGTTTGTTTATGTTCTGGTTTGGCACTTTAAATTCAATCAAAATATCTGTAGTTTTTAATAACATATAAGAGTGTGAAACAGATGGATGAAGCTGGACAAAGGGGCCGAGGGCGTAGGCATTTACAGAATATGGAATAGCCGCTTTCAGATGCATTTGGTTGTATTTACGGTTTTCCGTCTCTCAGAGTTCCATTATATTGCTCTGCTAATGACTTGAACAACGTTTTTTAAATCCTGTCCCAACATAACGTCCACATCTTTTGTTTCTCGTCTCGCAAGAAAGTCTTTCAGTCTCTGGTCCTCATAAATCCCTTTTGGAATGTGAAAATATTGTCCCTTTATTATTGTGTCAGAATCAGCAGTTTCTAACAGAATAGTACGATTGGGTTTAATTGTGACACGATTGGAGAAAAACTCAATCTTACTTACTTTATCTGGGTTTGTTTTTGTTTATTTTTGTTTACCCTTAGTCAACAACAAAATATTTTCATACAGCTAAGAAAAATTAAATAGAAGCAGACTATTATACAGAGAGAGAAAGGTTCTGACCGATGTCCTGCAGGCGGCCACTGCCCTCTCCGAACAGCGTGAAGGCGCTGTGCACGAGGCGGCGGTGGGACTTCCACAGAGGAGAGTAATCACAGAACGCAATGTCCTTCCCCCCACGGGTCAGGAGGTCTGTGGTCACCTGCATCAAAGGAAGCACTTTCAAACACTGTTAAAGACGACATCATGTTCTCTCGTCTGCTACGGAGCTGCATGTTTGTGGAGTGAAGGTGAAATCATTACAGATCATCACAAAACACATGGCTGCGTTTGCAGCCAGTAAATTTCAAAATTCCAAAAAACTAATTCAACTCCTCCCTCTGGTGGCAGCATAGGGAGAAAAACCATAGACTGTATATATTAACGGACGTAGTCACGCCTATCTCTGCCGTTCTAACTAATGGGCCAAAAATTGGGCTTTCATGGAGTGATTCAAAATGGCCGCGGGGGCTGGAAAATGTGAAAAAACACATCTGCTCATGCATCAGCTTGAGCCCCATTCAAGAGTGCCTTCAAAAATTCACAACAAGTAAACTAGACTGGTCCAAAAAAATCCACTTCCCTGAGCATTGACACACATGTGGAACGGAGATTTGAGCCAAAGCCAACTTTTGGACCATCCTGTAAAGGTGTTTTCGAGAGGTAAGAAGATGCTATATGTTAGCATTGGCTAACATAACTTTTGAGCCGGGACCCGCCCCCACTGAGAAAAACCTGGAAAGCATTTGTAACCTTTTTGTCATATATTTTCTATTGAAAATGTTGTTTCACATTCTAAAACAGGAAATGGAACATGGAAAAATAAGTTATTATTATTATTTTTAATGGCCAAAAGGTAATGCCTTTCTTCTTTAAGAGTTTGAATATTACTGTTGATCTTGTGGTCATTACTCAACAGGTAACTGATCAGCCCTAAACATACATTGTAAAAAATTGTCTTAAACAGTGGATCGGCAGTAAAAAATGGCCCAATGTTTTCTGTTATTGATTATACGAGACAAGTTTCCCATTTAATATATAATTATATCAGTCCATTGATATGAGACTGCCTCAGTAGCTCACAACAAAGTGTAGAAAGAGCAGCAGATCATATTTCTTTTATTTACATGAAAATACAGAATAATCTGCGCAGTTTGGGTATTTTTGTGAAAAGGGGGATTGGAGCAATAATCTGCATCACTCAAACATACTCGCCTCGAAATAATGCATCATGGGTAAATGCAGGGGTTTGCCTGGGGACGCAAGATTAATTCCATACAATCTATAGCTTTTCACTGTATGCCTATTTCTCTATTTATTTATTTCCAGAAAGCACAATGTTTTGTGTAAAATAAGATACATTATGTCAAGTATAACAATAAATAGCTCAAACAATCAAGACGTTAAATTTAGCATGTATAGTTTTGACACTAAAATTGTTATTGATTTAGATTGTATTCAGCAGTGTGGGCCATGAGACGATCTCACACATGGATATGGCTTGTTCCTCTGTTGAAGACGTCATTTGACTTTTCAGTAAAGACATTATAACAACGGTGACTTGGTCTGACCATAAATGGGCGTCCAGCGAAGTCCTTTCCTCTGGTCTGGAGAACCTCTCGAGCCAAATCATAACTGTTCACCACCAGAGTGTACTGTGACCCTAAGTGCAGCGCAAACAGGGGCCCGAGTCTGAAGAAGAAACATAGAAATCACACCACAGGAGAGAAAGAGAGATTAATTTGATTGATTTGTTTACAACATTAAACTTTCTTTAGGGACAAACAAAAGCTTTTGTTTAACCCTAGCTTTAAATACTTTCCTCCTAAACTGTTAGCATTCTTCCAAAATAACTGTACATAATTCAATCAATAAAGAGAATTTGCTTTTTTATACAATCATGCCAGTGATTTTCCACTTCAAGAAAGGTATACAAACACTAATCTTTCTTTCTTTTAATCCCAGTTATGACAATTAACATAATTAAAATAACATAAAACACAATATTATGCAATTATTAAAAAAAAATTCCTCAATGTATCATTTATCTATGTTACTATATTTTTCCCTCATCAAAAACACCTGTAGAGTTGTCCCCCCGCCCCTCACAAATACAAATGCATCATATTTTTCCATTAAACCGTTATCATTTTCTATTTTCCATTGTTCATAATTCATACCTTTTGGAGATCCGCGTGAAGAGAAGATGAGGGGGCAGACCACTGGCCGCCACCCAAGGAAGGCTGCCCAAAAGGGGGACGCGGGGCAGGGACGGCACCCCCCCGGCTCTGGACGTCTTGCGGAACAATGCAGCCCAAAGAACCAGCGCCGCAAAAGAGGCACACAGGAGCAGAGCCGAGGAGGAGCAGAGCATCTGTGGGAACATGGTGGAACTGGAAGAAGTCAGAATGGGTGTATGTTTTGTACCAGAGGAGAGGTCAGGGCCAGGGGGAGGTGCACTGTAAACATGTGGCATTTTTAGGCAGTCAAACATCACACACCTCACTAAACATATTTCTAGATTACATTGAATGACTTAAAACAGGATTGTGTTGAGTTGGTATAGATTTTCACACACACAGAAAATTACAAAGAGAAGCATTCATTTGGGCAGATTTGACTTATAATGTGAATGTAATCATGTAAAATGGGTTTTTAAATTGTGTTAAAAGCCCTTTTAGGGACGGACATTGCTAAATATTGTAGTGTTTCACATGTTGATTGTGTACACTTGTCCATATCAAATTAATCTACACATGGGACAAATGAAGTTTTAAACAAAAACATTTGCACAACAGTATACAATCTGATATTGCTTGAAATAATATCTCACATCTCACTTCAATAAAAAAGGTGACTATTCAAGTGAGTAGTTTTGTTCTCTCTCCCACAACCATCAACATATCATTTCTCATAAGAATTCACATTTCCTGTTCAAAATGGCTGAATTAAAAAAGCAGCTGCAAATGTAAATGTATCTGTTTTAAATATGTGCTTTCCTTCATCTGTCAGAGTCCGTGTTGCTGCGGCCTTCGTGTTATCGCAGAGACAAAACGGCCTCAGCACAAGGACAAAACGACCAAATTATCAGCAAAGTTTAGTCCTGGGTCAGACCTTGTTTTTTACGATATATGTTATTCAACTACTTTTATTTGTGAAGAGGCCTAAATCACTACAGCAGTCGTTAGGAAGTTGCTGATTCACCAACAACAGATCAGAGAATCAAACACAGGAAATGCAGTAGTGACAAACACATGGGAGCCGTTGGTGCATGTGGGACCAGTGTCAAACGTGTGCAACAATAAACAGAGGGACTAGTTTACTCGAGCCTCAGAGGAACGATGTCACTTTTGACGTCATATCCATGGAAGATTTGAATGGATTCCAGCAGGTCTCATATAATACTTTGAGGAGTTGCAACTTCACCCACAGGACACATATACAGTCTCCCAATGGGAAGAGCTCAATCTAAAATTATCTCAATCTAAAAACAACTAAAACCAGTTTGAATGTAGTGCTCCAAGGAAATCTAGTACTGCTCGGTTACGTTTCTTTACATTTTTTGTTTAATTAATAGAACCTACTAAGCCTTAAACATAAAAAAAACAAAATTAACTTTTTAAATGTATTGTAGTGCTATGTTTTCATGTACTGGGTTGTTTAACCACTAAGCCATTTTATTCGCAAACAGACTTGATTTTAAACAGTGGTCTACTACTGGGGGAAAAAAATAAGTGAAAATAAGTGAGATCGTGAGTCAAATTGTTTTTTGTTTTCCCAGTTTATTTGTATATTGTCACACGTTACAACAGGCTGGTAGAGTATCACACACACTCATTTAGACCAGACAGATCCAGGGGCCTGTCCGCATCATAAGTACTATTATTATGAACCGCATTTTACACAATAAATTCAAAACGATTGAGTTTAGTCATTCACAAATTGAGAAAATACTCGTACACGGCAAAAGTAACTCCATTAGGCCCACAATATAATCAAGTTTGACCACTTACGGGGCTTTGTACACAGGAGCGGGGTAGCTCACTGTTACCGCTGTGCTAGCTACTTGTTAGCTTGACTTTAGTTTGACTAAAAGTTGGGACTGAAGGTTTTGTGTTGTTTTTTTTAAAAAGACACCAGGCTATAGTTTAGCCTTCGAGCAAGAAAACAAACAATTTTATCTGATGAGCTCAGATAAAACTGAAAACCAGGAAATAATAATTTCAGCACATCTCAAACAAGATTTCCTAAGAACAGTATGGACGCAACACGTCTCAGAGCTAATGCACAGGCTCATTTCAAATCACAATAAATAATGACACAAACTGAAGAAATCATTTATGACTAATTGAGTAGTCAAAAATACAGTAATGACTTCTATTTATTCATTTACAACTGCTCAATTATGTATAAATAGCTAATAGCTAACCTGCTCCAGTGCACAGAGCCCAACAAAAAATGTTTCCTTCTTGAAGTACATCAAGATTTTACAAAAATATGTAGTCTTCTTGATTCAACTCTTAAATGGCCCAAATCCCTTTTAATATTTACTTTTTGCAGTGTAGATTTCTCAATTCTTTTACAGTGCTTTGTCTATAGTTTAGGTAAACACAAGCTCAATAATTAATTAGTGGCTTTTAAAATACAAACCAGCGCTAATCTAAAGTGCACCTCAAATCAACAGAATCCAGATTTCAGGAGAAATTCCACAGATTTTTACAGTATATCGGTAAAAAATAAAAGAAAATCACACAAACGTTTTAAATGGGACATTCGTAGATGGACATTATGTTGGTGTCATCCGCCCATTGAAAATGATTTCTGTCAAAAATATAAATAACAGCAAAGACCAACAAATTTAACAGCTCTCCCCCAGCGTTAAAAAATACAGTTTTCTTTTAAATTATTTACAATTTAGCTGGAAAATACTTTTTTTCTTGTATGATTTGAGAATAATCTCAAATCATACAATGTAGTGTGTTTCTTCTTAAGCTTGTTCTAATTTTGGAAAACCTCATTATAAGACAATCAAAATATTCTAAAAGCATATTTTGACAGATAATATCTTCATTAAATTTTAGCTGACTTAATGGACAGATACGCTCATCAAATTTTTCCTATTATGAAAGTTCCTTATAACCTAATGCCTTGGAAGTTCTGCCATTAAGCAAAACAAAACTATTGCTTCAGAATGAGTTGTAGTAATCGCTCCAGTCAAATTACATTATTTACAACTGTATGCCTTTATCGAGACCACGCTATGTTGGATAAAGTAGCATGGAATTACCTACTTCTCTGTTCATCCAGAAATGTCTTCTATTTTAATACAAATTTGAAATGTTTCCACATTCTAAAACACTAAACTCTTAAGACTACTTATTACTTACTTAAGATCATAATGTAAAGTCAAAAATTAACATAAAAATTGGTCAGAATTGTTCATTATAAACCAATCAATTATTATTATTTGTATTAATTTCATGCCAAAGTCCAGAACTGTTAAACTTGTAGAATCTTAAAGCTATTATTTGCACACATTTCACCATTCACTCATTTGAAACATCACTCAAATCTACTAACACTAAAAGAGTTTAACAGTATCGCGTAAAAATGGCACGTAATATCATCAAAACCACGACAAGAGAAGCACAACACCGACTGCCCAGTTTGCTCAAATCTACCAAAATCCAGATTACGTTTAAGTACGATATTTGAGCTTCAATTCTCCATTAGTTCTGATCAAAACTTAAACTTATTACAAAAAAATCCACTTCCTTGTTGGTTGAACCCACTGAATTCAACGCAAAATCCCATTGGAAATTTGCAAGTTTTCGTACATTTTTCAGTTTGTTTTTATTCGGTCGAAAGCCTTCAAAAAGAATGAGTTGTAGTTGTATTAATGCAGCATGAAACCAGGGTTTAAAATTGCAGACATAAAGTTCTTTTAAATTCAGTAAATAATAAAAAAACATACAGTGCCGTAAACTAATATTGGAATAATTGATGAGTTATTGTTGTGATTTTTTAATAAGTGTGATCTTAATTCCCTCTTCTCAACTCACTCATTGATCTGATGGGGTTCGCTACCCACTTGTTGCCTTGGAGATGGTAAATATTTGCTTAGAATGCATATACTTATTACTATTATTGAATTGAATGCTTTTACAGCTCAAAATGTTCTGCTTATATGATTACTATGATGTAGAAAATACCAGGAAAAACAACCTTTAGACTAATTCAAGCAACAAGAGACTACTAGTAAAAGTCTCGTGGGATTTGCCGATCAACCATGCATAATATTACAAAGACAAATAATCCCTCACATAAAAATATATATATTATCGTTATTTTAGCCTTTGTCATCAATGGTCTCCAAAGTAGTTGAGGGCACTGCATGTTCTTTTCAATGTCACTCCACAAGAACCATCGTCATATTTACATACTTGCTGATGAAAAATATTGCTCTAGAGACGTTCAAATTTTCCTGAAATACATCACAAAATATATAATTTGTCATAAAATATCCACGGAAACTCTATTTCAATCACTTTTCGACGACATTTCTAGTAGCTGAATTTGAGATAATGGGAGAGATATAGGAGCCCAAATGTCAAAAACTTTCCAAAAAAATCTGAAATTATGAAACAAATAGTATCCATTTCACCTTTGTTATTTTGTGCTGAGAGATTTTTAACTTTGTGCCAGTTTTTATTCCATGTGGATTGACCCATATGATAGATAAAATAAAATAAAAATCAACTACAAGATATAAAAGGCCTTGACGTCACATAAATGCAACCTTTTATACAAAAAGGAAAGTTTGAAAATGAGAGGAAATTGCTTTAACACTGCCTTTTTGTCCATGTAATGTGTCATAATTTCTTTCTTTAAAAGTTTCCTTATGAGAATAATAACACGTCTGGTGGCTCCTACACGCTTGTCATTTCACAAAAGCATGCGGTTATTGGCTGATTCAGTGCGTCACAAACTCAGGAGGTTCTCAAGCTGCGGTAACCTTAAAGAAGACATAACATGCTTCTCAATATTGATCTAAAACGATGCAATAAAAGAAACAATTCTGAACACGTCTGCTTTGCCTGGACCATAGACTGTAGATATGTGGACAATGCTAACCCGCTAGCTCAATGAAATCCAAAAAGGAAGTGGCTCTCATTCACTTACATTGAAAAGTTAACTCCTCTAACTCTTTAACTGTACCACTTAGGGCTTAAATATCTGTGGTTAAGAACTCGCTACGATCCTTGTCTTTATATTGTAATATTGTCTTTGTAAATCCACATATGAGTCATAAGAATTTACCAATCAGATGATTTTATTCACTGGGGACTAACCTGTCAGAACAAATGCCCATATAAGGAAATTGGCTCCAGCTAGCTTATGTTCAAAACGGCTTCTTCTGCATTTGGCAAACTCTGTGGGTGACATTAGCACTCGGTTAGCCAACTCCTACTATATCGTGTACAGTCTGGATAACATTTTCAAGTTAGCCATTTGCTTTACTTGTATAAAAAACAGATTCATGGATGATAAAACCCGTGGGGCTTTGCCTGCATGTGTTGGGAGCGGTAAAAAAACATTGCCTGTGTCGCTGGATCTCAAGAGGATATAGAATAGTCAAAAAGGGTTACAAAATTGCTCCAAAAACAAGTTTTAGTGAGTTGGAACAGGAGAACTATGATTAAAAGCTGATTTGGTATGTTATGTATTCAATTTACAACCACAGCCATTTAAGCTTTAGTAGATTAACAAAAGTGATACTTGTAATTTTACCGTAAACGTGTTTAAATTGGTTATAATGTTTTCTGATAAAGACTTATTTGTGTTTAAAACTAATGCTTTAACAAAAAGGCAATTTTAAGTAATTATTCTAATATAGGTCAGCAATGGTGTGAGACAAGGGAGTTTGTTGTCTCCAATTTTATTTAATTTTTATATGAATGACCTTTCTAAAGAATTAAACTGGTGTAGAACAGGGTGTGTCGCTGGGGATAACATCGTCAACCACTTGATGTACGCTGATGACCTGGTGATTTTCAGTCCGAGTTCAGCTGGTCTCCAGCAGCTGCTTGATGTGTGTTCGGCGTACGGTGAACAAAACAATATTAAATATAATGAAAGGAAAAGTGTCATAATGACCTGTCGAACCAAAGAGGACCAAGCCCTGGTGTTTCCTGACTTTAAGCTCTCTGGAAACATCCTAAAAACTGAAAGCACGGTGAAATATCTTGGTCATATCCTGACAGATCGTCTGTCAGACGACGAGGATATGTATCGACAGTGCCGTATGCTGTACGCCCAGGCTAATATTTTGTTGCGTAAATTTGGGCACTGTTCTAAGGCAGTAAAAGTGGCTTTGTTTCGGGCATACTGCACCCCGCTTTACACCGCTCATCTGTGGGTGAACTATAAAAAGTCCAGCCTACAGAGACTGAAAGCGGCCTACAACGATGCCTTCAGACTGTTGCTAAAAAGGCCCAGATGGAGCAGCGCTTCTGAACTTTTTGTGTCCTGTCAAGTGAACTCACTGCAGGCCAACTTGAGGAACCTAATGTACAAGTTTATGTGTCGCCTGGACAATAGTGCAAATATGATGATTTTAGTGTTGACGAGTAGAGCATACAGTGATGTTCGTTATACCTCTGCACTGTGGAAACACTGGTATAGATGCCTCCTCTAAAGAGATTTGGGGACTTTTAATTGTTTTATGTTGTCTGTTTTCTAGTGTGTTGTGTTTTGTCTATTATTTGTGTTTTGGACTACGAGTCTGTAATAAAGCTATCTATCTATCTATACTATCTATGAGGCTGGTAGAGTTGGATTTCAAAACGTAATATCAAACCAAAAGAGCTTAATCAACAAATCTGAGGGCTGATTTCCTGATATGAACTGCAGCACTGATAAGGTTTCCCTTTTCTACTTTCTATGAAATTGATCTTGAATTTTTAATCTTTTTTGTCGAACCAGAAAACCGGAATACAAAAAAATACAGCTTCCATTATGTTGATTGAGATTAAAGTCAATATGACGAGGAGACATAAACATTTTTCTTGACATTGATTATTGAATTACTGGAAAAAAAACTATATCAAATCGTTTGAACTAAATTTTTGACTTGAATAATAACTTATATTGTTGCTCTATGGATGAAAATGGGTGGTTTTGGGTCATTACTTGTCATTATAAACAGTAGATTTAGAACAGCACAATGAATCTCAAGTATCAGAAAAAATATGTAAACGGTAAAAAAAAGGATATTTCTTATGTTTGCAGTGAAGTGATTTCTATGACAAGTCAAAACCCTTCCAATACATGATTCATTCTATACCAATCCAATTTATTGAATATTGCCGCTTTTATGATAAGCCAATAATAACGTTTTCGCTTTCGATTTACATCACCGTCTGTTTTCCAGATTACACAGTTTCAACTGGAATCGCCGCTTTCTCGTCCGAACCTTTCATTTCGGTGTTACACAAATCCACGTCCTCCGCTGCGCTCTTTTGGCTCCGCACAGGACAATCCAAGCTGTCGTGAAGCTCCGAACTGCCTACGTACAATTTCTTTTCGCTGCCATCTTTGCCGATATCGGGTTTTAGATCCTCTTTGTCATCATCCTCCTCGTCTTCATCCTCAATTCTACATCGGCAAACCTCAATCCCAGAATCGCCCGTTAGCCTCCTGTGTTTGTACTGGCTTTCATCCGCAGCTACGTCGCTATCTTCGCAATACTCTTCGTCCCCTTGTTCCTCGGATTCCTCGTCGTCCCAGTTGGCGTTGACGGGCTCAAAAATATCCACGCAGGGCGAAAAGAGGGTCTGCTTTGGTGGCGATTGAGTGTTACGCGGAGAAGGGGAAAGGGAAGAGGCATGACCCGAAGACACAGCGCTTTTTTCGGACGGTTGGAGAGCGGAAAGTGGGTCTAGAAGCAACATAGAAACCGGAGGAGATGGAAGAGAAGGTGAAGGGATTGAGCAAGGCGATGTTGGCGAAGTGGTGTACAAAGGCAGGTCAGTTTGGATCGTAATAGCGGGGAAAAAAGGACAAGCAAATGAAGAGGTTGGATTTTCGGCGGGCGAATTCGCGAAAGATTGTTCCAAGTTAAGGCTATGCGAATGGGGCACACTGAAACTAGACGGGTATTCAGTTGGGAGTGATTTTGACAGTGTCTTTTCATCTGCGGGGAACTTTGCGATTTCAAAGGATGATGGTAAGTCTTTTGAGTTGCAACTTGGGTCTTCTGTGTAAAAACGTGACGCAATGTCTTCTTGGCAACTTGTTTCATTTGAGGCAACTTCTTGGGGCAATAGTAAAACCGGGCAGTCCGATATGGAATGGTCTGGGAAAGATATTGAAACACATCCATTTGTGTTTTCTGGGAAAGTTGTGGCAATTTCACAAATTTGGCTAACTGTTGGAGAGTGTATTTTCGAATCTACAACTGGCGACCTTGGCTTTAGAGTTAAAGTCTTCATTTCTATTATAGGCAGGGGATTTGTAGTTTGTGTTACAATTTCTAACTTTTGGGCACAATCAAGTTTGTCTGGTGTCTCTGGGCAAGAAGAAATAAATTCAAGAAATGTGTTGGGTGCTTGCAAAAGACCTGAATTCTTTAAAGTGCTTGTATCTACGTTTTCGCTTTTTTGGTCAACGTTCATAGCTACCATTTCTGTCAATTTCACAAGTTCTGCAGCTTGTATGCAAGACTCAGAAATGTCTTCATGGTTTTCTACAGCTTCTTTTGAAGGTGTAGGGGTTTCCCTTTCATGTTGTGAAGTGATATTAGTTTCTGTTGCATTCGATTCTGAAGATTCATCAGCTGGTTGGGTAGAAAAATGGGAAGTTCCTTGGCTTGGTGGTGATGGGATCGGTGAGTGGTGAGAATTTGTTGCAACCTCATCGTTGCAAATTGTTAATTTGTCAGGAGTGGTTAGTGTGTCTAGTAAATGCAAAGTTCTTGTTGGAGAAGTGTTGGGTGTTGTTTCTGAGGTCAATTTAGGGTTTTTTGAATCTGATATTGAGCTGCAAGTCTCATTGGATAAAATTGGCAAGGTTGGATTTTGTGGAGAGATTGAAATTGGGACGAGACTTGGGTTTTTGTCTGTGTTCCCACCGATAGAGTCTAGTATTAGGTTAAGAGTCCTTGGCTGTTCTTGGCTGGTGGTGCTATCAAAAGTTCTGAGCAGATTCAAACTAGCTGGAGGGCTAGTTGTTGGCGAGCTGGATTTAGAATTTTCTGTGCTCTCAGAACAAGATGTTGGATTGGTTGTGTTTGGTTGTATATCAAGTTGTTGCTTTATCGGCAAGGTAATCCCAACCGGAAACGTAGAATCAGAAACGGGCGAGGCTATTGTTTCCAAAGGGGTTGTGGAACAAGTAGCAGCAGGAGCAGGAGCGCAGGCTGCAGCCGCTAAAGGCTTTTCATCGATTAAAATGGCGACCAGTGCAGAGCTGTCCCCCTTGTCAAGGCGCGTGGCGGCCGCGGTGATAGTCTCTATGGTGACGGAGTCTAGCGTGAGGGGTGTGGCCTCGCTTGGCGTTGAGGTGTGGCTTGTGTCCGTCTCGTAGGTAACCGGTGCAGAGAGGGAGGAGCTACAGGGAGATGATGGACAGCAGGAGTCGCAGGAGCAGCTGGAGCTGAAGGAAGAAGAAAAAAAACAATCGCAGAATTAAAAGAATAAATAGTTTATAACATATCTAAAGATACAGCTCTTTAACATTATTATTAGTAGTATATGGTTTTGAATAACATTTTAGCTATTGTATTTGTAGATCTCTTTTGTTAAAATACATTTGTGTTACTTCTCAGACCAACGTGGTTAAAAAAAATACTTAACTCGGGAAATATATTGTGTTATTTATTCTTACAACTCGTCGGAAATAACTTCTAGGTCACAAAATCAAATATTAATCTTATTTTTTGTGTTTGGTCTGCAGTAAAAATTCCAGTTAGTAACTTCTTTACAATTAACAGTGATTCTGGCTGTAAGCGTTATTTAGTCTATGAATCAATGCAAAACAAACAAATACAGAACAGTGATGGATTCTGTGATCCATCAAAAACAATAGTGAGACCTCATCACTTATGATCATCAGAGAATATAGTGAATAAACTCCACACTGAGGATCACTCTGGTGGTCTGACCTGTTGTCGGAGCTGAGCGAGGAGGGCCCATCGCTTAGTGGTTGCAGGGGCCGGTGGAGCAGGGTCCCTGGATGCTGCTGTGTGAGTAGGTGGGGGTCCATGGTGCGGGGAGGCTGAGGGTATTGTGGAGCCGTGAACACAGAGCTGTAGGGAGGCGGAGGAGTGGAGGGCTGCGCAGCCACCTCCTCGTACGACGGCAACTTCAGCGATGCCAAGAAACCTGAGGAGAACACAGAAAGAGGTTTTTAGTAGGGCTGTTGGAAAAAAATATAAATCGCAATAAATAATTTCAAAATAAAAAAAACCTAAAAACAAATTTTCAATATCTTACTTGTCCTGCACTCACACTCCTGTTTGCCAGTAAGTAAGTAAGTAAGTGGTCCAGTCCTAGTCCTGTTCTAGTCCTGGTCTGGTCCTGGTCAGGCTCTGGTCCAGTCGTGGTCCTTACTCAGGTCCAGCATGGATGAGGGGAAGGATGATGCTCCCTGATAGGCCAGCAGGCTGATGTCTCTCTGCCTCTGCTGTTGTTGGACTCGGAGTTTGGCGCGCCGGTGTCTGTAGGCGCAACAGCAGCTGAACAAGATAAGGACGGTCCACAGCAGCCAGAACCCTGAGAAAGGAGAAACCGACATGAGAACATTTCTATAGGGAACTTCAGACAAAAACGTTGGGGACTAAGTTGAAAGTATGTTTGTTGTGTCAATCTTGGAGTCCGCATCATGCTATCAAAAGTGTTATTGTGGCTTACACCAGAGCTCGTAGTAGTATGTGCAGCAGCCGCTCTCCCCGCAGCAGTGCCCGGTCTCACACAGGTAGCCCCCATTGGCGTTGGCTCCGGGGCAGTAGCGCGGTCTCCCCAGCAGGGGCAGGCTACCACTAGAGTGGTACTCCATGGCACCCCTGCGTCTTCTTCTGCTGCTCCTACGCCACGACTCCGGCTGCTCTCGCCTCCGCTAGCGGCTAACGGCCCGTTTACGGCCCGAAGCCAAAGCTTATGGCTTAAAGCTAATAAAGCCGCTTCAGGCCCTAAGCTAATGGATTGGCTAACAACCCCTAGCAGGATTTGTTAAATCTTAAGGAATTAACGAATCCTAACTTTTAATACAGATTTGTTGTATTATTGTGAGCGAAAATGTTGAAGAGGCAACAGGTCTGAGTTGGGTCCAAATCCAAGACCAAACCAGATCTAAATGTGCCGCTTCTTTGTCGGCTGGATGACGTCTGCAGCTGGTGGTGAAAACCAGGACGTAGGCCAACTAGAAAAAAGAAAAAAAAGAGAAGACAAAGCTTTATTGATAAAAGTGGAGCACAATGATGGTTTTCAGCACAGGCCTGATTGAGATTCAGGTCCAAAGAGCAAAGGAGTGCAGAAACACAAAGAATGCACATTTATAGACAAAAAGACAAACCTAATACAAAACAAAACTAGCATTTGGACTGAAGTGTGGGTTTGGTGATATTATAGTTTTCACATGCATGTACTTTTCTCACAACTTTTTCTTTTTTTTTAAAGAGAGGGAACAGCTGCCAGCGAATCTGCTCAAAGAGTCCAATAATGACTCTTGGCTCCTTCTTACATTATCCTATCTTGTTTGTAGTGTGCCCTCTGTCTGCTTTATTGTACTGTATCTTATAATATGATTATTTTTCTTGTAAAATCATATTCTGAGCATGCAACACTTTGTAAGCATTGTTGAGAGGTGTTTTACAAATAATTAGTAACAATAATAATATCTACGGTATGTGTTACAGATTTAATACAGTTGAAATCAGACAGAAACCAATCAGATGTTTCAATCAAAAGCCCAAAACAACTATTGCATTATTATTTTGAGTGGAATGTTTCATTTGACATTTCACTTAAAACTAGCTCCATGGAAACAACAAGTGACATCACACCTAAAACACATGGTTTATACAGCATCATGGTACCATCTACATTAATTTTGCTTGTGTAATACACGTGCATTTAACAGAAAAGTGTGAATTACTTCAGGCAATACAATATCTCCATGGAACAATCAGCAGAGACTGAAGCAGACACTGTAGCAGAAAAGTTGCATACACTACATCTATGCATCATTTCATGAAGCCAAAATGAAGACAACACCATCTAAAACATGTCAGAGAAAAAAAGCCCATGCAAATATAATAATGATAGTAATGATAGTAGTAGTAGTAGTAGTAGCCTATATGGGAAGAATGTGTTGAATGCGACACTGTTTTGGGCCATTTTTTAGTGGCGCGAATTTTGCCGCTGCGCAACGAGAGAAAAGTCTGAACATGACACTGACTCCTGCAAGACGACAGCTGCGACCCAAAGCAAGACCAGGTCTGAAGCCAGGTCTGGACCCGGTCAATAACAGGTCTAAAACAAGTCCCAACAGGTCCAACCCAGGTCAAAAACAGGTCAAAACTAAGTCTGAGTAAGATCTAAATTAGGTCTAAACCAGTCAGGTGTAAAACAGGTCTTGGCCACCAGGTTTAGGACCTAGGTCCTGGGTAAGACCTAGTCCAAACCAGGTCCAAATATGTATACCCAGGTTCAAACAGGTCTGATCAAGAAAAAAAAAACCTTCTGAACCAAGTTTAAACCGTGAATAAATTGGATCTGACTCTGAACCATGCAGGTAATTAAATCCAGGTCTAAACCAGCCAGGTTTATAACGGGTCTATACCAGGTTGAACCAGGATTGGGGTAAATCAGACTTGGTGCGCACTTCGGTACAACGAATGCGTGGAGCCACTTAAAAAAAAAAAAAAAATCTATTTAAAATGAATGTAAATGAAACATCTGGACTAAACCAGTGTTAAACGTAGACTAAAGCAACTATAGGCACCATTTTGAGTGCGCATGCATGAGACCCGTGCGCGCGGTCCCGTGCCGTCTGCAGGGCTGTGGGCGCAGTGTCTCACCTCCACGGGGGGCCTCTGAGCCGTGCGGGCGCTGGGGCTCCGGGTGGCGGCCTGGTGGAGAGGCTGCGGTCGGTCTGTGTGAGTGCGGGCCCTGCTCTGGAGCGTGTGCCCTCCTCCCTGCGCTCCCTCCGCCGCCATGCACCAGCAGCAGCAGGGCCAGAGCAAGCAGCGTGCACCGAGCTGGGCTGCTTCCTCCACCGGGCGCGAGGATTTCACAATAAAAGCGGCTCCCGTGTTTATTATAATAGATCCATGGTTCCATAGATCCAGGAGAGCAGAAAAAAACATTAGGAGCTTTGCATAGTTACATGTAGTCCTAAAGCTAAAAGCAGTTATGATAAAACACACAGGCAGATCGAAAGTGGGGGTATGTTTAATTGGTTAATAAATGATCCATGTAGTTTAGACAGCGGCTTTTATAGGATTTGTCTGTATTCAATTCATCAGCATAGGGAGTCCACACTATGTTTGCTGTGATGTGGTTTTAGTTAGACCAACACATCATTTAGTGCGTTTCCACAGTAACTTGTTCTGCTTGTATTTGCAACCGTGACAACTTTTGGAAATTCTTGTTTTAGATAAGGCCTGAAATGTCTTGCTGAACCGCTTTAAAAACAGCACACAGAGAATAAACAGTATTCTTTGGCTCTGTTGACAAAGATGCAGTAACGTCAGTATTTACGTTAGACGCTCCAAGTCCACAGGGCACGTTTTAAACAAGACATACTGGCTCCTGAAAAATAGAATAGCAAAGTAAAAGTAGAAAATTGCGTGTGGTTGAAGCCCTGACAAATCGGCCTGATGACTACGTTGTTTAAATTGTTTAAAGTTGTTTAAAACAATAATTAAAAAAAGAGAGAAGAAGAAGAGAGAATTGTAAAAGAAATATGCTGTGAACAAAACAGACATACACTATAATATGACTCTTTGGGCTGAAAGCTGATTGGCTGAGTGAGAGTGGTCCTCTTTTTATCTTTTCTGACTGAAAAGGAGCCTGGATTCTGTCTATAGTTACATGGATTTTTTGACATATTTCTTGTTGTGGTCAGAGAGTGAACCACATCTTTGATTCACAATGTGGGGGGAAAGTAACAAAACATGCATTCAGAGTATTTTAGAACTTTATTTTGGGATAAAATATTTACTCTGACTCTGATATCATTGTTACATATTCGAGCGTGCTATTCTTTGCTCAACTTCTTCCAGACTTTATTGTGTGACTGCTTCTAAACTTTTCCCCCCAAACCGGAAATAGAGCGGGTTGCATGTTGTACAACTTGACCCTTTCGCCATTTCAGAGCCTGCACATCCCTCCGCTGCTCAAACCCCGCATAAAAAACCCGCCTAAACGCAAACAACCGCTATGTGCACACACTCTGCGCACTTACACTGACGCCCCATCAGTCTGCAAAACTCACAATGAAAGCGCGAGTAAAGTGTGAAATGTGCTGTGAAGCGAGATGGTGGTCGCTTGTAGTAAAGTCGGAGAGACGCGCAAAACATTATGGATTCGTATGGCGCACGCACTGGACGCTGATTGGTTGAAACGGCGCAGGGGAGACACGCGCAGCCCCAGCAACAAGGGACAGATTTCTGTATTTGTCACAGATCAGTTTCCAGAAGAATATTTAACTCAGTGTTCGTTCTGAAGTTTCTGTGACTAAATTGATCATATAGATAAAGTCAATAGGTGATCGTGTTAAGATGTAGAAATCCTTAATTAATCCCACGGTGGGGGATAAAGCCACAGTTTGGATGTGTTCAAATGGGCTTCATCGGGTGAAAAAAAATACGGAATGGGAGACAAATGTGCATCGCAATTCAGCAGCACTATTGATGGAACCGTAAACATTCTGTAGTGCACAAGTTCTCCACCAGATGACGCCATATATTTCGCGCGCACACACACACACACACACTTTTGCGATGGTCACAGCTTGCCATTGAGCTGGAGAGTACTTGGGGCCAAACATAAACAACTCCCCCCCGTCAAAGAGGACCACCGCACACGTCACAGAGTCTCCTCCTGCTGACAGAAAGCACATTGGCTGCACAGTCTCATGTTAAAGATCTGCAGTGTTTCTCAAAGTGGGGCTGGTACTGAGACCTCCAGCTTTCCCGCAGAGAAGAACCCAGGGGTATATGGACTGAGACACCGGTCAAGTTCCTTTTTCCCAACTCCCAACTGGCATCTCTGGAAGGACACGGCTGTTGAAGGACCTGAGGCTTCCATGCATGTCCTGTGCATCGTCAACAGCTTGCACAGACACCGGGGTCCGTGAATCCAAAGAGCCTCCCTGAACCATGGGATCCCAAGCTGCACTTATGTCAGCAGTAGTGAATACTCCTGAGTCAACTGGGCTTAAATATTCCAATTTCATTCAGCTTCAAGTTTCACATACTGTAGATTGCTCAAGCCAGCTGTCAGAATGTCTATTTGCAGAGACATCTCCTGCAGATAAAAACAGCCCCACAACATGACACTGCCCCCCCCATGCTATGTTCTGCGGCTTACAAGCTTCCCCGTTCAAATCCATATGCAACTGTCAATATGGCCACATCACTTCAGTCCCACCTGACCACCACTTTGATTTAGTAGAAACCCCACTCATAATGTTATATATACAGTACATATTTGTTCTCCTTTACTGTTCACTTCTCTGTTTTTCTATAATTTCTTGTTTCTGATCACTTTACCCATGATCCAGGACTTTATTAACTATTTGAATGCATCAAAATGTCCTTGTTTGCTTTCGCTCATTTTGGGAAACGTTGGACAAACAGACAGAGACAGACTTTGGACCAAAAAAAAATCCAAAGGCCCTCAGAGTTGCAAATCCAGATCGGGAGACTGACCTGAGACTCAAACCCGGAATTGAATTTAGGGGAAAAATGTCCAGACAATTTCACGACGAGCCTGAAGATGAAAATGACAGCAACAACTTCTGGAACAAAGGTTTGGAAAGAACAGTACGGACTTTTCTTCAATTGTGCTATTTTACTTCCATTTCTACGACAGCAATCTGTGAAAACGTGGAGGAACAAACAGACAAGACGTTCCTGGATTTCAAATAAACTGTTAGAGCTTTGATGGAGAATTTGTGTTAATACTAGATACTGTATTTACCACAGAGTTTGTCAGACCAGTGAAGGTATGTAAAGATTCTAAGCTGAATGGAGTGAATAGGTCACATTATAAACTGAATAATAGTCACTGTGATCATTTGAAGAAAACACATTTTCAGTTATTCTCTGGTTCTCCAAGTTCCTGTGAGATTGTTGAAGGTGTATTCTTGTAGTTGTGTGTATACTGTATGAAAATGTATATGTATCTATATATATATACACATAGATCAAGTTCAAGGACCTATGAACTTAGAAGAGGAATTTCCACATGTTAAGAGAAATAAAATAAAATAATATTGTGAGTATTTGTTAAATCACAGAGTTTATTCTCATAATTATAACAAAACATTTTGAATTGTGACATCCGTGTAAAGTATCAAGGATAACCATCAAAAGTAGAGCCTATACGGCTGACTAGAGGCTCTAATACTAATTTAGTATTTATTATGTATCGTTTTATTTTTATTTATTTTTTACATAAAACACTATCAGGTTGTGGCACCCCTTAATTAGAAGAATTTGAAGATGTATTTCTCAAATGTGTTGTGGTCTACAGACCCAGGTCCAGTCCGGCACTCAGTCCTGTTCAGGTTTCGCCAATGGCTGGTCCCAGTTTTAGTCTCAACCTTCGTCCTCATCCTCATCATCGCCTTCGGAGTCAGCAGTGAGTCAAATGAAGCATGAGCAGATCGTTTTTTTGTGTGAACATTCTATTTGGTTGATTTGTTTTTTTGATTAATGGACTTCTCAAGGCAAAAACTCAAAAATAAAGTATATTTTAAAAAGCACTAAAGCAGTTGTGCTGTGTGCAGACGGGGGACTGGCCTATCGTCTGGGTTTGATGGAGGAAACAGTTTCGAACTTAAGTCTCTCGTTGACTGAGGCACAGAAAGAAAACAAAGGTATTTTCTGCCACAAATATATGATATAAAGATTCAAAGAGTGATATATTTCAAAATAAAAGCATGTAATATTATGTGATTTTTTTTTGAAAGTTGTTTATTCTGTGCAGGTGCAGCTAAAGACGTGCAGAGGCTGAAGTTCTCTGTGGAGAACAACAAGGACCAGCTCAGCTCAGGTCTGACCAACTGTTTAGACAATTACTGTGCACATTTCTGTCTGAGTGATTCTATCTTTGCCAAATGGGACAAGTACATTTCTCTGGTGTGAGATCAGTGAAGTGTTTCTTATCTTATCTTATAATCATGACAATCACAAGGAAATATTCTTTATCTTATTGTAATGATGTTATTTAGTTTCACAAAGAGTTAATAATAATAATAATAATATAAAAAGAATGCAAAACAATAATGGATGATGTATCGGTTTTATATAACGCTTTTTTGGACACTCAAAGAGGCGTCACTTGTCATTATTCATTCACTCCATACATATTGGTGATAAACTACTACTGTAGCCACAGCTGCCCTGGGGCACACTGGCAGGAGCGAGGCAACCAGTATGTGCCACCGGCCCCTCCGACCACCACCAACCATTCACACACACACCAGACTCATTCTAGGCAATGGGGGTGAAGTGTCTTGCCTAAGGGCACAACGGCAGTTTGGCACTTTACAGCTGCAGCCGCCCACTGTGGCATCAGGTGTTCCCAGAGGCTAAGTGTCTTGCCAAGGACACAACAACAGCAGATTTCCGTGGGAGTCGGTGGAGAAAGTCTTGTGGTGGGCTCGAACCCACGACCTTCAGGCTCAAAGGCCAATGCTCTACCAACTGTCGCCCTAAAACTTAAATGTTCGAATAATATTGTGTTATCCTGACATCATTGTACTTGAGCTCAAAGCACTTTTAAACAGTCTCGGTCTGTTTTGGATTTTTCTGCCACATTTTTACAGTAAGAAAAGTCTCAGTCCTTTTATCCTCACAGACTGTGCACTTAACTGCTTTTATATTTTTAACAAGTGCACATCTAATCTTCTACAAGTGCCTCCAGCTCAAGGCCAATAAGAATAAAAATAAAGATTGTCATTTTCAATCATTGGAATTAAACTCTATTGACATTGATCATTGACTAAAGATAATACTGTGAATTCCTTGGAGTCTTGTTTGAATCTCGCTGATATGTTCCAGTGGCAGAGTCGCTGAAGCAGCTCGCGCAGTTGAAAACTCTGACCAAAACTGTGGCATCGCTGAAATGTAGCATGGAGAAAATCCTACACAACCGTGAGTCCCTCCTGTACAACATGTGTGTGTGTGTGTGTGTGTGTGTGTGTGTGTGTGTGTATGTATGTATGTGTGTGTGTATGTGTATGTGTATGTGTGTGTGTGTGTGTGTGTGTGTGTGTGTGTGTGTGTGTGTGTGTGTGTGTGTGTGTGTGTGTGTGTGTGTGTGTGTGTGTGTGTATCGGGTTGAATGAGTGAGAGGGGCTGGAGCCAAGTAAGAGTCTCCTTTGTCCAACCTCTTTTTCAAATGGTTTATTTTGTGTCTTGGTTTTACTTTGTATCTTGTTTGTTGTATGTAGTTTGATTTGAAATAAATTCATACTACTACTACTTCATATGGGCCGACATGCAAACTGTCTTCTGCTGTTTATGCTCAGCTTGGACATCAGTCAATCTAAAAGCTTTTCACCAAAACATTATAACTCTGTCTCATCCATCCTCATATGCACTCACACTCTCTCTCTCACACACGCGCGCACACACACACACACACACACACAAAACATGAGGCTGAGGTGCAGGTACAGGTTAAATGAATGAGCGGCTGCACACATTGAGAAGCCAAAGTCTCTAAAAGCAGTGTAACCATAATAAGAAGAAAAAGAATATTGTACACTACTCCTCTAAACGTACATTATTGCAAAATCTGGTTCTCGTCAACATCTCTTGTTTTATACATGGTACAGATGCATATTTTTGAAACAATAATAATTTCACACTGATCCACCAGGTGCTTACAGTCTGAGCGCCTGAGGACCCTTGGTTTGGTTTAGCTCTGATCTGACTCCCGGCTTTGGTTCTGTGCTCTCTTTAACCCTCTGTTGTAGGCACCGCAGGCTGCTGTCCGCTGGAGTGGGACAGTTTTGAGTCGTCCTGTTTCTTCTTCAGTAAAATGTCCCTCTCCTGGTATGATGCCCGTGACTGGTGCCACGCCCACCAGAGCCAGCTGCTCATCCTCACAGCAGACAAGGACTGGGTAAGCACCAAACTACAGTCTAAACTACAGTCCAAACTACAGTCCATTCATCATTTCATTTCATTTTATCAACAACAAAACAACATCATGTTCAATGCTCAATACTGTAAGTGTATTCTTTTGCCTAATCCTTAATAAATTATATCAATTATGTCTGTCCCTCTGTCAGTTTTTCTTACTTTGATGTTTGTGTGATCTCTGATGGCACAGGACTATGTGAAGAGCCACAGTATGGGGACGTTCTACTGGGTCGGACTGACAGACGAGCATGGGAAGTGGGAATGGGTCAACGGCACTCCCTACACCATCGACCGCAGGTCTTCATCCAAACACAAACATATCATGATAACACTCAAACCACACTTGAATTCATAAATAAAGTAGTTCAGCAGTTTGGTTGGCTCATCTTCAGATAATCTTCCTTAGTAAAAAGTGAGTTTAGCTTTCAGAATGAATAAGAAAAGACAGCATGTTGTGGTTTGATTTGTTCACAAAAGGTTAAATATTTCTTTGTTGAGACAATTATGAAACACCTTAGGTACTACAGCTTTAAGACAGGATAAAAGACCAATATTATTAATAGTTCTGACAATCTAACTTAAAAATATCATTTAGATGTTTTTAAAGATCTTGAGATGAAAAGAATAGAGGTAGTTAATTCTTTGTGCTGCCTTGAAAGTGACCGCTGGGCTCTCACCCTCAGGCGGTGGAGGCCCGGTCAGCCCGATAACTGGACAGAGCACGGACTGGGGCCGGAGGCCGAGGACTGCGCTCACCTGCACATGGACGGACGCCTGAACGACATGCACTGCTCCGTACGCTTGCCCTTCATCTGCCAGGCACACAGCACACAGACGTAGTTTTCAAGTCAGTGCAGCACAGAGAATATTCATGGCAAATAATTGAAAATAATATTGCTGTTGTTCAATAAATGGTGGAATGAACTTTTTTTGATCTTTAATAAAAAATGATCGAAAAGTTCTGGCTTATTACTGATGGTTTCAGGACCATGGAGTTATGCAGGAGACTGACAACTTGATGTTTTAAATCATTTAGGTCATACTAAAATGTTTTTTTTCTAAAGAGAGATTATGTGTGTATTACGTAAATGATGCTTAGATAAAAAATTACTATGAAAATGTGTGTTTAATGTCCATTTATTACAAGCATTTTTTTCATCTTAACGTGCAAATACAAAAGATCAAAACTGTCAAACTACATTTGAAATAGTAAAGGCTTGAAGATGAAACGTAGGTGGAAACTTAAGGCACACATTAAATATAAAAAAAACAATACTGTGCAAACAACAAACATTAAAACAATGTTGGTTAAATCCTTTCTAAATGATAAAATGATAAGGCAAGTGTAACATTTTTGGCCCACTATAAAACATGGTTGCCATGGGTAACAGCCCTCGCTCAACACCATTACTTTACAAATGCTAATCAAAAAGGGGACATGGAGTGATTTTGTTTTTAACTTTTGTCATTACTACACACTGAATATATCTGTAGCTTCTATATTTTGTCTCAACATTTGAAAATAAAGATTTCAACAAAAAAGGGAATGTGGAAAAAAATGTTAATAAATAAATAAATAGTTGAAAATAAATAGTATAATTAAAAGGTACACTGTGTAATTTTTTGTGCAACATTAAAACGCAACAATGTCAATATTTTTTGTGAAAAGTATAGTGCAACCCATGGGAGAACGTTTGAGAACATGTTAAGGACAATAAACAACAAAGTTCTCCCACCTGTCGAAAACGTCACATGAACTTCTGGAGCCGTATCACAGAAACATAAAAATATCTGCTTTTAGTTCAAGACAAAACCTCGGGTCAGAACCAGCTCCAGCGAGGCCCCGCCCAGATGACATGCCTCCAGCACGCACAGCAGCCTCTGATTAGACAGCTGTGTCGCCGTGGCGATGAGATCGACAGGTGCGGGGGGCGGGCAGTGGGGGGAGAAGGCGCCGTGAGACAAAATGGCCGCCCACGAGTTTGAGTGACGCGCTGGAGACGGCGAGAGGGACGGGAGGAAGACGACGTCCAGAGTGGAGCCGGAGAGCACTGGAGAGGGCAGAGACAGCGGCAGTGACTCAACATGTGGTCCACGTCCAAATACAAGGCAATTGTGTTTCAAATCTCTACAAGTTTTCCATAAGTCTGAGCTTGGTTTCAATGTTGATAAAAACATTTAAAAAGAATCTCTGAACATTTTTTTCCGGCTCAGAGACCAGGGCACTTGGAAAAATGACTTTACAATTACACTGATCGAGATAGTTGAAAAATACTCTCCACAAGTTTTAAGTCACTTGAATAATGTTCTACGAAATTCTATAAAATCTCATAGTTTGGTTCACATGAGTTGCAAAATGAACAGGAAATGATGAGGACATTGAGGATCGTTGATGTTTACTGAAAGTTTAATATAGCTTCTCTAATCAGCATCTAAGTTTTCATCAGCAATGCTACCATCAAGGATTTTCTTATCATCAATATACCTTTTGACAGAAGCTAGAACATGACCAAAGTATTCTCAACAGTATTTGTAATTTATGTAGTGCATCAAATAAATGTTTTTTGACCAACCAAAATAGCCCTCATGAAAAGGACTTTATAAAACGGTTATGCAAAACTACTGTGAACCGTAAAGCTGGTCTGCAAATGGATTTACACATATTAGGTTCAGTAGTAGTAGTAGTAGTAGTAGTACTTGTACACTGAAGCCCGAGGGAGTAGTAATCCTCAAAGTCGAACTGGAAGTTGTGTTCGCTGCTGGCCATATTTCCATCCATCGCCGTGACAACAGCCAGTTCTTGTTTGTGGGCGGGGTCGAAGCGAACTGGCAGCGTCTCCACAGCGATGGGGGCTAGGGGCGGAATCGTGGTAATGTAAGAGGAAGGGGCGGAGTCTTCTACTGGGTCCTCAGAGTCCTGCAGAAACTCCAGAGATGCGTCGAAAAGAACCACTACAACGTAAACACATGAAAATAATCACACCGCTTGTTTCCCAGTGACGCGGTTTTGATGCAACCTTTGACAGAATTGATCTTCGGGCAGAGGTTTGAGAATTGGGTGGACATCTTCTGAATTGCCCGGCCTGGAAAATGGGAAGTACTTTGGGGACAGTCTCTCTGACCAATCATCCGCAGCGTACCCCAGGGATCCATCCTGGTCCCCCTTCAGTTCACTATGGAATTGACAGAGACTATAGAAAGAGTCCTAAAGGTTCCACACTTTTAGTCATTTTGGAAGCCACTATACTATTCTGAACCGAACCATATTTAAAATAACAGAATTCTATACTTTACGAATGCCCTGTAGCTACACAATTGTCAAAGTGTATAAGAAACAACTGTGAAAGAGTGCACACAATGAAGATGCACACACTTGATCTTAACGACACTGAGCAAAGCTGAGATTGATCAGTGAGTTGTACCTGAGTCATGACTGGGCTCCGGTCGAAGTGCGGCAAACGGAGACCTGCAGCAGAGATGTTCAGACGTGAAACAGAAGCAAAGACTGTGACGAGCGAGAAAGAGGAAGAACTGACCGCTTGTTTGGAGTTTGGGCGTGGAATAACCTCCTCTTCACTGACCGGCTAAAAAAACAAAAGAAGAGATGTTTTGTCTAAGGACACAAATGTGCAAAATTATTTTTGTTTGGAGCTTTTAATGATGTGACAACATTGTTCCCTCATCAAAAACAGACCCCTCCCGGAAGGTGCTGTGTTGAATCAGTCCAATATGTTACATGATAAACAGTTTATTTCCTTCTAAAAACGATTAATGTTATTTGTTTATTTTATTCTGCATTGAGAGGTCAATGATAGTGCATATGATATGTATATCATTCATGTATATTTCTAGAATAATGAAGACGTCATTTTTTGTGTAGGTATAGCAGCTCTGACCTGGTGGTGTGGTCCAAGGGGCGGGCCCTGGGCTGATTGACAGGTGATGAAGAAATGGTGGAGGGACTTCTGATGGAGCGAGGGGATTGGTCAGATCGGGGAGTGGACATGGGCGTGGCGAAAGGAGTGGGCGGAGATAGAGACCAGGACAAACACGGATCCATCTGAAAATAGAGATGATAGTGTGAGTGTGTGTGGAGACGAGACATTATGACATGAAAAAAAAATCTGCAGATTTATACACACATTTCTTGCAATGGAGGATGCAGTATTTTATTTTTTACTTCTTATTAGGCTAAAGATAGAGATTTTATTTTCTTTATTTTTTTTATGTATAGAGGGGTGCACTGAAATTTCCCCACTGTTGGGTAAAATGTCAACAATCGTGTGGCTCATTGAGCCATTATAATCCCAGGATAGGATTTTGCTAGATTAAGCCCCTCTCCAGTACATGGTTAAAGGCCACCTTCTCATGGGCTGCTCAAACACCTTTCCAATAGACCGAAATGTTAACTGTGAAGCTTTAACAAAAGATTGGATTTTGATCTTCATCATTAACTTCTTTATCGCTTTCCTATACACTCTGAAGGTCCTACCTCCACATCAGGGTAGGACCTCCATGGTGTCTCGAGGACCAGAACGAGCCTAAGCGCTTGTCTGACCAACAGTGAGCATGAGCCAAGTTGATGAATGGGCTGCCGAAGGAGACCCAAGGATAGTGCTACAACTCCAGGGGCCTCAGTCATAAAGCGTTATATTTGTTATTTTCCTGATGGGAATTAATACTTTTTGCTTTGTAAGTGTGAAATGACTTTGAAGAGGAAACAATGTTGTAACATGGTTGAAAGCTGAGTTTATTTACCTGTCCCCGGCGACAGTGGGTCACTGTACAGATAGTCGCTTGGAAACAGAATCTGCGTCGCTCGCGGTAACAGAGTTGGTCCAGCTCCCGGCGGAGCTCTGCCCCCTCCAGGACGGAAGGTGCAACTGCACTCAAAAACAAAGAGAGCTACAGCGTGTCCTAAAGAAGCAGAACTAAGCAGCACTGGTCTAACCTCTGCGGGACTTAATGAAAGTTTCCATGGTGACTGGAGAGGGCGGGAACACAAAGAAGCCTCCAATCAGAGCGCGACTAAGGACCTGGCTGTCATCCTGTGTCCGCAGCCACTTCAAGAAGCGTCTCACAGCACACAGTCTCCGATAGGACATATGGGAGTGCTGTCCCAGACCTGCACAGAACCAGGACTCAACCAGGACTCAACCAGGACCACACCAGGACTCAACCAGGACTAGGGCCAAAGCAGGACCAGAATAATATGTGATCTTTAATTTAATTTAAGTTGCATGTGAATGTCTGATCCTTAGGCAAAACACATCACCCACATTGCCTAGTATGAGGCTGGCATGTGCCTGAATGATGGGTGGTGGTTGAAGGGACTGATGGCACGTACTGGTTTCCTCGCTTCTGTCAGTCTGCCCTAGGGCAATTATATTTACAGTAATAGTTAATCACCTCTGTGTATGAAGTGAATGAATAATGTGTCCAAAAGAAACAACATGTTGGTCAGATGAATGAAAAGCAGGGTGACTCGCCTGTGCAGTAGACTTGGCTGGAGCTGGTGTTGGTCATGTAAAAGTGGGTCTGGTCCAGAGTCCGGATGAGTTTGAGGCGAGTACAGACCACCACTGACACTGAGGAGAGACAATGTGGATTTGACTGAAGACAAGCATTCAAAACTTGAATTGTGAGGTGAATGCAAAATCATTTGAATGAAATCCTAAAAGATGGAACTACTGGATGTGTACAGACTTCAAAAACAAAAATGAGCATTTCTAAGTGTATAGAGCCATGTTAGTACTCATGTTATTGGTTGACATGAAACCACCAAATACTTAATCTTACTTGGATGCAGGTGTCTGTGGACTTCTGGCTGTGATGTGGCAAATAGCTTCACTGTGATTGGTTGATTGCAGCTCCCATCCTCCAATCGTAGCCAGCGGTATTCCAAGAACAGCTCCGCCCCTTGAGAATCTGGCCAAGAAAAAATAAAAAAGTGGTGATGAGTTAGACACAGATAAAGAATTTTGACCAGTCTTTCTTCCAGTCTACAACATATGAAAGATATAGAACTCTGCCATTAATCCGGCTTTGGTCTTTTGTAATGACACTGACCTTTGGAACGGATTCGTTCACTTCGTCCTGAAAAGGTCACCAAACCGATGATGTCACACACTTCACCGTGAGGCCTGTCGCGCAGCTCCGCACTGACGACACCAAAGAAGAGAACATTTATTATTATTATTTATTCCACAGGGAAACACGTGACAACTATCACCATCACTGAGAGCATAAATGGTTTCAAAGAGGAACGGGAAGGAGCAGATTCACTCGTTTCAATCACCTCTGTGTAAGAAATGACTAATAATTTGACAAGTTTTGAGTGTTGTTTGGTTTATCACTCAAATTATTATCACATATGTGCTTAGGGTGGACTGTGAAACATGAAGAAAAGTGCAATATGGGACCTTTAACCTCAAATCAGACTTCAACAGGTTCAACTAATGAGAACAAAAATATATGTTATCTTTTGCGTACTTGGGGCCTGTGAGTCACTTTTTGAAGCTTTGCGCTGAGAGCTGATTGTATGACAGTGGTCCTATTTTTTCACTTTTTTTGTCTGAAAAACCTGATTAAATAATGTGACAAAAGCCAAAAGTCCATTCATGTGAAAACTAGTCAGCTGGATTTGATTATTTATTCATTCTATAAACTTCTGATGTTCATGAATTAGAATGAAAATACAGAATTGTTGGATCTCACCTGGAGCAGAAGGAGTATGTGGGCTCTGGGGGCAGGTGCTGCGGAGACACCGAGGATTCTGGGAGTTTTCTGATCTGAGACGCTGGGTTCCTGCTGTTCACACTGATCTCTGACAACACACAAAGAAACATTGCAGCTTTGGACTTGTTTATGCAATAATAATAATAATAATGATGATGATACGTTGTATAAATACAGCACACACTTGACTCAGGCTAGTAAATGTGGGCAAAGTGTCTTGCCTATGGACACAACAACAGTTTAAAGATGATCTTGAGAATATGATCTTGGGGATTTCCCCTTTATGAATGTGAAATAGATGAGTAAGAAATGAGCAGAACACCCCCATCTAGTGTTCAAAATGTAACATGAAAGTGATTTGTAAACATTATTTTATTGCCCAGAAATTTTGGGAATAATCATTTGTTTTAGAAGGCAGATGCATGTTGCTATATTTGTTATCTGTTGCTAGTTTCCAATGCGAATGAAGGCATTTGATTGGTCAATCCTTCAAATCAATATCAACAAAAAATACAAAGTTCACTTTTCAATGTAAGTCAATTGGAGCCAGAGTGAGATGGAGCAAAACTTTGTCCATGAGCGCTTCCCTTTTGGGCTTTTTTTATTTAGGGGGTAAGCGCTGTCTGTCTATACAGTCTATGATCGTAACCCATCATATTGTGACAAATGACAGGTCTTATTGGAAACTTCTTATAGTGTGACAAACATAAATAAATACAAAAAAGTAAAACAAAGTAGATCAAATCTAAATACTGCTTTGATGCTTTAAATTATCGACTTCACCCAAAATATTGTATTATGTATCAAATACTAGGTAAAAAAAAGTGTTGATTATTGATTTAAGCAAGAGTAACAATGTTCCAATGAGGTTGTACTGGAAATGGCAAATAAACTGAATCTGAGAAAAATATCTTCAAATCATCTTCAGGTCCTGCACCGCACTTTGAGAACCACTGGACCAGAACATTAACACCCCTCATCTAAAGTCGTACCGATGTCGTCTTGGCGCAGTCCCTGGAACAGTGGCTTGACCCGGAAGCGTCGCAGACTGATGATGTCACCGGGTGTGAGACAGAGATACCAGTCCAGACAAACGCTGTTCCACAACACCACAGTAACGCTTCCGGATCGGTCGCACACCTCCAGAACAGCCTGCAGACAGAGACAGCGGCGTAAATTCACTAAAGTTACCTTCAAAAACAGGCTGTTGATACCTTAAATGGACAAGGGCAGTTCTTCTCCGGCCGGCCGTAGTAAGTCAGCGCAGATTTGTGAAGGATTCGAGCGATCAGCTGCTTGTGAAACGTTCCACGAGAGAAACTCAAGAAACTGCGTTTCAGATCCGCCACAGAAACAGACGGGACCAGAGCTGAGGAGGGGAGTTCAGTTTGGAACAGTTTAGTCCTGAGGCTTTGGCCACTAACAATATTAAATGAATACAATATAAAGTGAATTATGTTTCTTAATGTTATGTTAGAAGGTTCTTAATAAGACTAACAAAAGTTCAGTAGGTAACTAAGCGGTACAAGCTTCTTTACACTTTTGTCGTAATAAAAGCTGCATCTAAGCTGATAACAACATTAGCAAGACTGGATTTAATGGATGAATTGAGTGGAGTAAGATGTCAAGAACGTCTTGTCCCTGTGTCATGGACAGAACTGTTGTCTGTCTTTCTAAACAAGATCATACTTAATAATCCCAATTTCCAACCCGACAGGATCTTCGGCTCTGGGCACATTGTACGTAGTAAAGATAATAATAATAATGCATCAGTTTTATATAGCGCTTTTTTGGACACTCAAAGATGCTTTACATGTCATTATTCATTCACTCCAAACACGGTGGTGATAAACTGTAGCCACAGCTGCCCTGGGGCACACTGACAGAAGCGAGGCAACCAGTATGTGCCATCGGCCCCTCCGACCACCACCAACTTAAGGACACAACGGCAGTTTGGCACTTTACAGCCGCAGCCGCCCCACTGTGGCATCAGGTGTTCCCAGAGGTTAAGTGTCTTGCCAAGGACACAACAACAGCAGGAGTCGATGGTGAAAGTCGGGCTCGAACCCACGACCAACTGAGCTACTGTCGCCCTGATAAACTAACAGTAGAAACACTGGGACCCACCTTCCTCCTCTTCCTCTTCTGACTCTCTCTCTTCGTCAGTGGGAGGGGCTTGTCTCCAGCCGTTGCCATGGGGATCTGTGTTGTTCCATAGCGGCAGAAACACGCTGCGTTTGGCTCTGAGTGGCAAAACTCCAACTTCCCCAACTTCAAAAAACAAGAATTGATTGAAAACATAAAAAAATGTGCCACATTTTTTCACCTTTAAAACTACATTCACAATGATCATCCAGTCAGTGATGAGAGATTAGAATGTTTCAGTTACAACATATGTAATAAACATAATACTATTTACCATGAGGATCAGAGGTAGGACTAGACCCAAACCAGGACCATGGACCGGGATCCAGGTCCTGCTGACGACCACAGACTTTGAGAGAGACCAGGCTGAAACTAGAGTAACATATCAGTGAAAAAATACTTATTCAATGCATTTATGGGCCACAAATAAAAAGTAGTAACATGGATAATTTTCACCTGTCTGAATGGAAGGCGTGGTCCTCAGCAGTGGAGGATTCTGGGAGTTGTAGTGCCAGACTGGTCCTGAATGTAGCGCCTCTTACAACAGCTCCGCGGAAAAGTTGGCGTTTTTCTACTAAATGATTGAGACTTGGATCCAATGAGACGCGGAGAAGACAGTCGCCATCGAAAAGCGTCAAGTCGTAAAGATCTGGACCTGGAAAATAAATGTGATTTTTACTAAATTGTCCTTTTTCATTTACAAAAAACATCAAATAAAGTCATGGATTCCTTTCAAGCTAATATGCTGAAATACATATATCATTTGCCACAAGTAGATTAGACTATTGTAACGCCATTTCCTTAGGTCTTTCTCTTAAATCAATGCAGATTTTCTCCCATTACGCTAATTGCCTGCAACATTGAGAGCATTCACGAGTTAAACTAAAGAATCACTTGTTTGGAGTTTATTTTTGTTAAAAGATTTGTTTAGTTGCGTTGTCTTTGGCACATTCTACTACTCACTGTGGAACACATTTTGGGGGAAGCACAGAGTTGAACTCTGGTCTCTGGTGTAACGTTCAACATCCCAAACCACCAGCTGTTCCCGGCACACGACAGGAGCCTGACGGAGAAACAGGGGGAAAAGTGAGAGTACGGATGATACCAGGACAAAAAATCTCAGTAATAAATCATAAAAAAACGTTGCTTGTGTCTTATCCTTAATTTTCTTAATCTTGATTATATGACAGGATAACTTTGGGCAGGTGAATTGTAACTAATCTACTATTTTAGTAAAAAGAGATTCAACTATGTTCAAGAAAAAGAAGCAAGAAAATAGGATTAGGGAGGCGTGTTTTACATTCGGGTAAAAACCATCCTTGTCAAAAAACAAGATAATAGACATTTTACTTTAAATTACTTCCCCACCCAATTCATATGACATTGAAGCATGGAAAAATACTATATTATGGAGTAGGAGTATTTTGTTATTAGCAGTATTATTATGTTATAGTGGAAATGATGAACCCCAGCATGTATGAAGACTATCAAAATTGCGACTACCACAGTTTTATAATTATAATTATTTTATCTTTATTTAAAACATTTTAAAGACTTTTTCCATTTGCATTGCAATGACTAAACTAAACTTGACTAGACATGCAGAATACCAATTGGGGTTCGAAAGAACACAATTTAATTCAAAATATTCCCAAAGTTTAAACCCTTTTGGCAAATCCAAAGGTTTTAATGAGGGGAATGTGTTGCCATCAAAGGCAATACCTTTCTAATGACTACTTCTTTATTATAGCCAATTACAACGTAATAAAGAAATACTAATCAGAAAAGTATTGCATTCTCCTTTTGTCGACAAAGACAAGATGAACCTTCATAAGCCATTTACTATCGTCAACCTGCTGGGAGCATTTGCATTCTCCCTGAATGTGCCTGAATATGGATTAAAGAACTGAGAATTTAATTATTTATGAAATGTATTAACTAACATACTTATTACTCATTCTGTGTTAGATTATGAATGCATTTTGAACAACTAAATCATACAGTGTTCATACAAGATACATTTACTTATTACACGCTAAAGTTCACGCTAATTTTATTTATTAATGTTATTTAATCTTATTGAATTGAACCAACACGTGAAAACCATGAATTGTAAAGCGTTTATACAACAATCGTACGACTGTTGGATGAAACCAGACTAATGCCATTTTTAGGCTCAAATGTGTCAAGATAACAGCACGCGTGACATATTTTATTTTGACGTAATACATAAAACATCATTCACAAAATTAAAACTGAAATACAAGTATAACGTTGTGGAATCTTTATAAAAAAGAGTTGATAATGTGAAGTTATTATTTTTATTGAAGACACACAATAAAATGGTAACAATAGGATGAGGTCCGTTGACGTGTGACTGACATTACAGAAGGAGTTTGTCGATTCAGTTCTGACCTGGTTTGGACTCGACTCTGGTCTGGTCTCCGCCCTGGACTCAGTTCTGGTCTGGGGTCGGACCAGGGTTCTGTAGAAGACGGAGCCTGCCGCCATGCCGCCATGACAGCTACTGTCAACACCGCGCTGCACTCTGGGAAAGAGCGGGCTCGAAACAGGAATTCGCTAGCAAATTCATATTTACTCTCATTTTCTTATTTGACCACCTTTATTCCTAAATTGATTGTAGGCCATAATAGGAGATATGCCTGCCAAATAGTGACCGTTTTGACACCTGATCCTGGGTTTGAATCACGGTCAGAACTGGGCCTTTCTGAATAGAGTTTGCATGTTCTCCCTGTGTCTGCGTAAATTTCTTCCGGGTGCTCTAAATTCCCCTACCAATAAAAATATGTACAATAGATATGGTATGCCTCCTGTATGGTGATACCAGTCCCATCTGTGTGGCACTATTGTACATCATTTAAAGCCTATTTAAAATCTCAATATTGATCTAAAATAATTCAATAAAAGAGACTTTACAGAGACTTTACGATCAGAATTTTCTTTAAGCAAATGTCACGTGAAACAAAGATGGTTTGGTAGCAGTGTGTAAATAACAAAGAAAACCATTGTAGCGTGAGTAAAAACAGACAAGTCAACTCTGCATGAAAAAAATTGAAGCAAGACAATAGAAGTCCTCCCACATGTTTATTGTGACGAGACCGATGTAGAACGTGTTCACATTGGACAAAAGCCACTCTCCCTTTCTCGCAACAGTTCATTCACCCAAAAGCAAGACAAATGGAGGGAATGTTACAATAAAAAGAATTTAAAAAAGGGTTTTAGAAAAAAGCTTAAAAAAATCTAGGTCGTCAGGAGCGTCCAGGTCTCTGTACTCGATGATACTGCGACGGGTCTCCTCTCATCCCCCTGAAACAGAAAAATAGTAGTAATTGTGTGAGCGCAAAGGTTTCACAGAAAATTGTTAATTGCTTAAATCAGTTGTCTGTATAGAGGAGGGAAAAATATTCTTACTATCTAATCTAATAAAGAGAATGGTGATCCAGAGCAAGTGTGAGATTTCATAACACTTTGAAGCAACTTTTGTTAAAGTTAAACTCATCATTCTATCAATGTGCAGAAGCCAGTACTTTTCCCTTGTTTTGTCTATCTGAAGGCCAAGCTACATGGCACCGTGGCAGCTGCTGATTGGAGGACTCCATGCCTCCGCTCTGTATAATACACTTGCATTCTGTTGTATTTGTTGTTCGTTGCTGTCTCTACCATCGACAATAAAACATGTCTTCTGTCTGAATTAAAGACGCAATCCCAGACTTTGTCATCTTCTTCACAAGATTCAAAAGTAGTAATCTGGACCAAGTTCTGCATTTCCCTCAGGGGTCGGTGTTTGTCCCTATTCAAATAAACGGTCAGAATTTCGCTCTTAACTGCTTAAATGTCAGAACATTTGTATTTTTTTTCATTATTTTTTTGATTGGATACAATCAAAACAAAAATGAAATACAAAAACATGAATTTGGCTGGACTTTCAAGAGCATAGAACCCTTAGATGAGTAGAATGTTCACCTGGAGCCTCTGGGTTTATTCTGAAAACTAGGATTTCCTCTGAACGAGTCGTAGTTTCTCTCTCCTGCTCCAAACTGAGACAGGATACGGAGCAGAGCCTACAACAAGGAAGAATGAGGCAAAGCTTTAAACACAATTCAATATGAATCTGTCTACACATAAGATTGTCAATATTTATTATCAAGCAACTATAGGACAAAAATGAATATAGTTTTTATGATAAAAATTCATAACAAATAGGGGAATACAGTCGTAAGATTGACAGTCGGCACGGTGGCTGAGTGGATAGCACTCTCGCCTCTCAGCAAGAAGGTCCTGGGTTCGAATCCCGGTCGGACCAGGGCCTTTCTGAGTGGAGTTTGCATGTTCTCCCCGTGTCTGCGTAGGTTTCCTCCGGGTGCTCCGGTTTCCCCTACCACTAAAAATATGTCCAATAGTTCTGGCATGCGCCTCCTGTACTGGCCCCGCTCCCATCTCTGTGTGGAGTGAGAGACAAATGCCCAAAATTAACAATTGTAAAACCGCTTTGAGACTCAGATCTGCAGTGAAAAGGCGGTATATAAATAAAAACTTACTTACTTACTAACTTACTATTACAGGAAAAGGCGATTTAAAGTTGGTCTACCCAATTCTCAAAACATTACCAACGCAATAAAGTCCATCTAACTACCGTAGTTCTTCACCCTCGAACGGTTTTGTCATTTCACATTCATTCTCACATGCATGAATCTGAAATATCAGCTTTTCAGACCGATAAGTGAAAGAGGACAACACTACCAGCCAATCACCTCAGAGCCCTGGGAGTCACTATATGACACTTTGGGCTAAAACAAATGCTTGTTTTCTAATAAGATAACAGCATAATGTTGTCTGATGTGTTCATAACATTTTTACTTTTACAAGGCCGTTTGGTTTTTAATTAAACAAAAGTGATGTATCCCCCCCACTTTTAGTACTACTCTAACAGGTTAAGAACCTTAAACTTGGTTCCACTCTCAAGCGCAGTACAATATAGACATGCCTGGCAGGACTTTATTATGAAGACATAAAACGAAGGTTACATATGTAACCACTGTTCTATGAATCCAGGAGGACCACCAGAGGGCGGTGCATAGCACTGAATGTTCACAGCGCATGCCTGAAGGGAACATTCAGTGCTATGCACCACCCTCTGGTGGTCAGGAGGGATGCAATAGAACAGTCCTGTCAGTCGTGAAGATCTTTGTATGAGGAACTTTACCTGGGAACGCGGGCATCGGCGGCCGGACTCCAGAGGGTATCCCAGAAGGCTCTGTTGTTGTGCTGTTGCTGCTGCTGCTGTTGCGGGACTATGCCCTGGGACGGCTGCATCGCTGCAGGAGGAGCTACAGAAACACAAAACATATCTCTTAGGAAATACTTTTACAAGAGGTTACTTCAGCAGTGAACACGTTATGTTCAGATGAGATCAAAAACATGCACATATACATCCAATTAAAACTGATCCTCCATTTTTATTTTTTGTTGTTGTAATTGAGCTTTTACATAATCAGCTTCAGCCAAAACAGTGACCCAAACAGCTGATTAAAAGGCGGATTGTTTTTGCATTAAACAGTGAGTGTGTCTTTGCTGATTTTTTGTGATCTTATTGAGAGAATTACTTTGTGTGAGACTGATTGAACCGAACCAGGCTGTGATATCAAAAGTGAGAATGATTTGAAGAAGCATTTGTAAAGAAATTATTTGTTAACTTGACGTTTATATTATTTACGAAGGAATTTGATGACTCTGCATGTATAACAGATGCATATAGGACATACCTAGGCCTCCGATACTTATCACTACATAGATGTATTTAAATCATATATTCATCAGTTAATGTATTTGTAGTTTTGTAGATTCTGTATCCCGTAGTGGTCATTTTCTTGACAAGAGGCCAGGATCCAGGATCCAATAGCATGACCATTCAGATCAGACAGATTTACCTGGAGGGGGGAGTGGCTTAGTTCTCGGGGAGGGTGGGTCTCTTGGGGTCCAGTAGGAAGTTGTTGAAGAACTGCACTTCTTGTCTGACAGCATCGACTTTATCCCCGTGTTTGTTCAGGATGTGCTTACGGACGAACTCTGGCGTCCCTGAGACAAAACAGATAGGGTCTTAAAGAGGACTGGTGTGAGATATATATAGTATTCATAAGGACAAATCCACCATTTAAGTCTAATTATCCAGCGGTAGGGAGGGTAGAATCCCTGTTGGGACTGGCGTTGAAGGCCAAGGCCATTCAGCGTCCATGCCAGATGTTGTTTTGAGTTTAAGTTTTCATGTCCCTGGTCTAAAGTCCTGGTCCAGACCTTGAATTTCTTTCCGCTGAGAGGACAGAGCCACTTGTCTTTGCTGAGCTCCTGAGTGTTCGCGTCAGAACTTCTCCACCTGAAACACACAAGAATAGACTGGTGACGACTAAACATTGATTCCTTATTTAGCACATGTTTAGTTCTGGGTTCTTGTCCAAAATATGAGGCATTTTAGTTTTATGTATCATCCCTTTAACGAGAGGGGTTTCCTCAATGTAGGCCTGATATGTTCCGAAACAATTTGAGATCTGATCCCATCCTGAGCCCAAATAGGTGGCACCGATATTGTGTCATTATAGTTCACTAAATGGACTTGACATGGAAAACTGATATCAGAGTAAATAACTTAAAATGAAATCTGATACAGGAAAATCTGAAAAATGCAAGTCTAAGGGGCCAAATGATTTTGTTGTCACCAATACAAAAGACTGTGTGGTATTGGAGCTTTTGCAGACACCAGTATGAATAAAACATATCTAATCATCAACCAATGCGTTTATCATCCCAAGAAATTAATCATTTGGACCAAATTCAGACGCCTTACTGTACCTCTTGTTCTGGGTCCTTCTTGCCCAATCTGACCGCCTCCTCTTCGCTCACGTTCTCGGACAGACAGAGAGCCATTTACTATCGTCAACCTGCTGGGAGCATTTGCATTCTCCCTGAATGTGCCTGAATATGGATTAAAGAACTGAGAATTTAATTATTTATGAAATGTATTAACTAACATACTTATTACTCATTCTGTGTTAGATTATGAATGCATTTTGAACAACTAAATCATACAGTGTTCATACAAGATACATTTACTTATTACACGCTAAAGTTCACGCTAATTTTATTTATTAATGTTATTTAATCTTATTGAATTGAACCAACACGTGAAAACCATGAATTGTAAAGCGTTTATACAACAATCGTACGACTGTTGGATGAAACCAGACTAATGCCATTTTTAGGCTCAAATGTGTCAAGATAACAGCACGCGTGACATATTTTATTTTGACGTAATACATAAAACATCATTCACAAAATTAAAACTGAAATTACAAGTATAACGTTGTGGAATCTTTATAAAAAAGAGTTGATAATGTGAAGTTATTATTTTTATTGAAGACACACAATAAAATGGTAACAATAGGATGAGGTCCGTTGACGTGTGACTGACATTACAGAAGGAGTTTGTCGATTCAGTTCTGACCTGGTTTGGACTCGACTCTGGTCTGGTCTCCGCCCTGGACTCAGTTCTGGTCTGGGGTCGGACCAGGGTTCTGTAGAAGACGGAGCCTGCCGCCATGACAGCTACATGTCAACACCGCGCTGCACTCTGGGAAAGAGCGGGCTCGAAACAGGAATTCGCTAGCTTTATTTATTTGATTAGGATAACCAATTATTTACTCCCAAATCACTGGCAATGGTTCTATCAAGAGACACACAAGTAGAAACATTAGCCATGGGGGGGAAAAAAAACACTTTTATGTAAACAAGGAAGATATGTCTATGTCTTTTACATTATGGCATTTTGTGGACATTGATTCCCACGCCAATGTTTTTTTTTTTTCTGGGGTCTGTAATGTGTGTGTTCATGTGGAAACTAGAAATAGAGGCAAATTCATGTTATTACATACATAGCTTCACTCTCATTTTCTTATTTGACACCTGTACATGGGAAATACATATTTGACCCAAAATAGTGACTATTCCTAAATTGTGTGCCCTATATTTAACTAAAGCCACAACAATGGATGTATCTTACAAGCCAACAACTTATAGGAGATATGCCTGCCAAATAGTGACCGTTTTGACACCTGATCCTGGGTTTGAATCACGGTCAGAACTGGGCCTTTCTGAATAGAGTTTGCATGTTCTCCCTGTGTCTGCGTAAATTTCTTCCGGGTGCTCCAAATTCCCCTACCAATAAAAATATGTACAATAGATATGGTATGCCTCCTGTATGGTGATACCAGTCCCATCTGTGTGGCACTATTGTACATCATTTAAAGCCTATTTAAATCTCAATATTGATCTAAAATAATTCAATAAAAGAGACTTTACAGAGACTTTACGATCAGAATTTTCTTTAAGCAAATGTCACGTGAAACAAAGATGGTTTGGTAGCAGTGTGTAAATAACAAAGAAAACCATTGTAGCGTGAGTAAAAACAGACAAGTCAACTCTGCATGAAAAAAATTGAAGCAAGACAATAGAAGTCCTCCACATGTTTATTGTGACGAGACCGATGTAGACGTGTTCACATTGGACAAAAGCCACTCTCCCTTTCTCGCAACAGTTCATTCACCCAAAAGCAAGACAAATGGAGGGAATGTTACAATAAAAAGAATTTAAAAAAGGGTTTTAGAAAAAAGCTTAAAAAAAATCTAGGTCGTCAGGAGCGTCCAGGTCTCTGTACTCGATGATACTGCGCGGGTCTCCTCTCATCCCCCTGAAACAGACAAAATAGTAGTAATTGTGTGAGCGCAAAGGTTTCACAGAAAATTGTTAATTGCTTAAATCAGTTGTCTGTATAGAGGAGGGAAAAATATTCTTAACTATCTAATCTAATAAAGAGAATGGTGATCCAGAGCAAGTGTGAGATTTCATAACACTTTGAAGCAACTTTTGTTAAAGTTAAACTCATCATTCTATCAATGTGCAGAAGCCAGTACTTTTCCCTTGTTTTGTCTATCTGAAGGCCAAGCTACATGGCACCGTGGCAGCTGCTGATTGGAGGACTCCATGCCTCCGCTCTGTATAATACACTTGCATTCTGTTGTATTTGTTGTTCGTGCTGTCTCTACCATCGACAATAAAACATGTCTTCTGTCTGAATTAAAGACGCAATCCCAGACTTTGTCATCTTCTTCACAAGATTCAAAAGTAGTAATCTGGACCAAGTTCTGCATTTCCCTCAGGGGTCGGTGTTTGTCCCTATTCAAATAAACGGGCAGAATTTAGCTCTTAACTGCTTAAATGTCCAGAACATTTGTATTTTTTTCATTATTTTTTTGATTGGATACAACTCAAAACAAAAATGAAATACAAAAACATGAATTTGGCTGGACTTTCAAGAGCATAGAACCCTTAGATAAGTAGAATGTTCACCTGGAGCCTCTGGGTTTATTCTGAAAACTAGGATTTCCTCTGAACGAGTCGTAGTTTCCTCGTCCTGCTCCAAACTGAGCAGGATACGGAGCAGAGCCTACAACAAGGAAGAATGAGGCAAAGCTTTAAACACAATTCAATATGAATCTGTCTACACATAAGATTGTCAATATTTATTATCAAGCAACTATAGGACAAAAATGAATATAGTTTTTATGATAAAATTCATAACAAATAGGGGAATACAGTCGTAAGATTGATATTACAGGAAAAGGCGATTTAAAGTTGGTCTACCCAATTCTCAAAACATTACCAACGCAATAAAGTCCATCTAACTACCGTAGTTCTTCACCCTCGAACCGGTTTTGTCATTTCACATTCATTCTCACATGCATGAATCTGAAATATCAGCTTTTCAGACCGATAAGTGAAAGAGGACAACACTACCAGCCAATCACCTCAGAGCCCTGGGAGTCACTATATGACACTTTGGGCTAAAACAAATGCTTGTTTTCTAATAAGATAACAGCATAATGTTGTCTGATGTGTTCATAACATTTTACTTTTACAAGGCCGTTGGTTTTTAATTAAACAAAAGTGATGTATCCCCCCCACTTTTAGCTACTCTACAGGTTAAGACCTTAAACTTGGTTCCACTCTCAAGCGCAGTACAATATAGACATGCCTGGCAGGACTTTATTATGAAGACATAAAACGAAGGTTACATATGTAACCACTGTTCTATGAATCCAGGAGGACCACCAGAGGGCGGTGCATAGCACTGAATGTTCACAGCGCATGCCTGAAGGGAACATTCAGTGCTATGCACCACCCTCTGGTGGTCAGGAGGGATGCAATAGAACAGTCCTGTCAGTCGTGAAGATCTTTGTATGAGGAACTTTACCTGGGAACGCGGGCATCGGCGGCCGGACTCCAGGAGGGTATCCCAGAAGGCTCTGTTGTTGCTGCTGTTGCTGCTGCTGCTGTTGCGGGGACTGCCCTGGGAACGGCTGCATCGCTGCAGGAGGAGCTACAGAAACACAAGAACATATCTCTTAGGAAATACTTTTACAAGAGGTTACTTCAGCAGTGAACACGTTATGTTCAGATGAGATCAAAAACATGCACATATACATCCAACTCAAACTGATCCTCCATTTTTATTTTTTGTAGTTGTAATTGAGCTTTTACATAATCAGCTTCAGCCAAAACAGTGACCCAAACAGCTGATTAAAAGGCGGATTGTTTTTGCATTAAACAGTGAGTGTGTCTTTGCTGATTTTTTGTGATCTTATTGAGAGAATTACTTTGTGTGAGACTGATTGAACCGAACCAGGAAGGAACGAAGGAATTTGATGACTCTGCATGTATAACAGATGCATATAGGACATACCTAGGCCTCCGATACTTATCACTACATAGATGTATTTAAATCATATATTCATCAGTTAATGTATTTGTAGTTTTGTAGATTCTGTATCCCGTAGTGGTCATTTTCTTGACAAGAGGCCAGGATCCAGGATCCAATAGCATGACCATTCAGATCAGACAGATTTACCTGGAGGGGGGAGTGGCTTGTTCTCGGGGAGGGTGGGTCTCTTGGGGTCCAGTAGGAAGTTGTTGAAGAACTGCACTTCTTGTCTGACAGCATCGACTTTATCCCCGTGTTTGTTCAGGATGTGCTTACGGACGAACTCTGGCGCCTGGAGACAAAACACATAGGGTCTTAAAGAGGACTGGTGTGAGATATATATAGTATTCATAAGGACAAATCCACCATTTAAGTCTAATTATCCAGCGGTAGGGAGGTAGAATCCCTGTTGGGACTGGCGTTGAAGGCCAAGGCCATTCACGTCCATGCCAGATGTTGTTTTGAGTTTAAGTTTTCATGTCCCTGGTCTAAAGTCCTGGTCCAGACCTTGAATTTCTTTCCGCTGAGAGGACAGAGCCACTTGTCTTTGCTGAGCTCCTGAGTGTTCGCCGTCAGGAACTTCTCCACCTGAAACACACAAGAATAGACTGGTGACGACTAAACATTGATTCCTTATTTAGCACATGTTTAGTTCTGGGGTTCTTGTCCAAAATATGAGGCATTTTAAGTTTTATGTATCATCCCTTTAACGAGAGGGGTTTCCTCAATGTAGGCCTGATATGTTCCGAAACAATTTGAGATCTGATCCCATCCTGAGCCCAAATAGGTGGCACCGATATTGTGTCATTATAGTTCACTAAATGGACTTGACATGGAAAACTGATATCAGAGTAAATAACTTAAAATGAAATCTGATACAGGAAAATCTGAAAAATGCAAGTCTAAGGGGCCAAATGATTTTGTTGTCACCAATACAAAAGACTGTGTGGTATTGGAGCTTTTGCAGACACCAGTATGAATAAAACATATCTAATCATCAACCAATGCGTTTATCATCCCAAGAAATTAATCATTTGGACCAAATTCAGACGCCTTACTGTACCTCTTGTTCTGGGTCCTTCTTGCCCAATCTGACCGCCTCCTCTTCGCTCACGTTCTCGGACAGACAGAGCAGAGGAGCCATGCGCTGCTCACTCATCTTCACATGTTCTGACACTAATCAAGGCACAAACAACATTATTTTAGTACAGATGCGTTTTTAAGGTTGACTCATAAGAGCAGAGCCACAAAACCAGCATGCTCCGCAGACTGTATAATAGTGATGGACAGAGCAAACCAGCTAAGTTTCTGGAGATACATCAGGAGGTGCTCTTGGCCGGAGTTTTACTCTTACTCGCTTTTGCTTCATTCGCCGTCATTGAAAAGTCAATGGCCTTTACTAAAACTGTCACACTCATTTTGGATGAATGAATGATGAATAATAACTGACCAATAGATTCCTTATATCCCCAAATTTGTCTTTGATCAGTGGATAGTGCAAACAGTAACAGATCCGCCTAATTCCTGAATGATTCTTTGGTGAGCATGAAGTTGAAATGAGAAAATGTTGCTCCAGATTAGGGATGTAAATTGGTGACCGTTTAACCGGTGGTTGACCGTAATAAGGGGAGAGGGGAGGTCTCTTAACAACGCTATTTTAAGCCTTATTTGAACGATGTGACGAGCGGGTCCGCATCTACCTGTGTGCGCCCATTTATCAGTAAACTCCGACTCTCACGCCGCACACACACAGACAAATTCCCCCTTTCCATACGCAACATCCACACGCATCATCTCTCCCCTCTGTTACCCAAAGTTGCACACTGGCGCGGGTCAGAACTACATTGGAGCTTACATTTACACACACACCGGTCTGTCGCGCTCCTCTGTGTTACGGAGCCCAAAGGATCTGCGCAAATACGCGGCTTCAGTCAAACCACATGGAACATGTTTGTGTTTATGGTCCTTAGCATTAGATCAGATCCACACACATCACTTGTACTTAAACTTTAGCGAAGACTTGCGAGACGCGATAAGATAGACTTTATTGATCTCACACTGGATACACTAGGAAGATTAAGGTGAATATTTACAATCTATGACAATGGTATTGTATATTAAATTTTTATTTGGTTCATAGTTGACATTTCACAAGTAAATGAAAATGTAACCTCCAAATAGAACAACTGCGTTACCTTCAGCTGCAGTGATCTTGCCGACAGGCAGGGGGCCCCGCACGTGCATGAGGCCACAGCGATGGGGCATCTCATCCTCCGCAGGATACTCACAGAAGTTATAATAATCGACAGAGTGGACGAGGCGCAGGTAGAGCAGCAGCCGGTCCAGCACCTGACAGACACACAACAGACACACTGCTTTAATGTGTGGAGTTATGATTATCTGAGACCAAGCAGCAAACACGGGAACAATCATAAACACGTTTTTCCAACACAACGAAGAAGGTTCAGAATCTAGGACCAAAACAATAATTCATAATCAAAACTGAATGATTCACTAATATCAATGCTGGTAAGTGATCTAGAAAATCATCCCATAATATTAAAATTAATGATCAAAGTACAAATATCCATCTAATCCATAAATTCACATAATGTCACTATATTTTTGCCTCAGCTTCTAATATGAAATCATGAAAATATACCATTTTAGCCATTTCATTTAAGATGTGATTCTTGCGGATTTTAAATATCATTCTGAGGCCTACGCCACAGATCAGTTTCCCATCAGTGTGAATGACTGCACCTTTAGAAGCGTCTCGTCTGTTTCCAGGGCGACCTCTGAGGGGTCTTTGGCCTCGTTGGCCTCATTGGAGAGACCTGTTAGCTCCTCCTCCTCCGCGCTCACTTCCTCGATCAGGTAATCTGTGATGTTCTTCAAGACCGGGTTTGACTCCATCTGTAATAAACCGACGCTTTAACAAGACGAGACTGAAAGAGTATCTAAAATGTGTTGAAATTTGCCTGGAAAATAAAAACATTTTGTGGATGTCTGTATTGTAAAAAAAAAAAAACCATGAACCAGGCCAGTACCTCAGAGCTCCAGAGTGCCCCCTTGTGGTCCAGTGCATGTATGAGTTTGGCGGAGAGGCGGATGTCGTTCCGGATGACAGGTTTGTGGTGCGTGAGGCCGTTGACGCTACGCACGCGTCTGCACAGGTCTCTGTTCACCACCGGAGCCAAGTCCACCTCCTTCAGCTGCGCGCACACACACACACAGGCACATTGTTACATTGTGGCCAGTTTTATGATAAACTTCTGCCCAGTTTCCATTAAGATACTCCTTTTTGATAACATATTATGTATCACTTTTAATAATTGCCAGGTTAAATTAACACTGAATTAAAATCTTCCCTTCTGAAATTCATGTGATTCACTGTGATTTAGATTTACAGATTTAAATCTTTACCCGGATGTTCTGCAGGTTCCAGCAGGTCTCTTTAATGTTCACATTGCGGCTGAACGTCACCCAACAGCGGCGGTAGAATCTGAAACATTCACTCGGTCACTTCACTGATGAGGAACCATGAGCTCTTTGTATTTGAGGAATATCATGCTGGAAAACTGACCTTCTCTCCGGCTGAGGGTCAGACAGCGCCACACGCAGGAACCCAGAGTACCGGCGACACAACTGTGAAAGCAATATTCATATAGAGTTCAGATATACCTCACTTTGTTCAAGTCAAAGTGCTATTATTACACACGAATGCACTGTGGTATGGTATCAATACACAGCCTTGTTGCTTTTTTATATTAGATAATCATGTGTGCTGCCTGTAGCAAAGCATGCCAGTTGTCATTAGCTTTACCTCAACAGTAAAACACTTGTCTCTCAGAGCTATGAAAAGTGCACATACACTAAAAGCACAGTATATTGGAACGACATTTTGCACCGCTGCATAAAGTTTGAAATCAAATGCTTGTTTTTTATTTTGAAGGCCATAAAAACAGAAATTCAACGTATGATGTATTGTATTAATAGGAAAACTACTATGAAAACATGAGCTTCAACCCATGTGACTTTAGTGTCCTCCTCATTATCAGATATGTTCGTTGGCTCCTGCATGCTCGGTGGGAATGGGCCTAAAATCACATATGAACAGACGTCTGGCTCGTACGTTGCTGAGCTCCTCCTTGGAGACCTCCGGTGGGATGGTCCTGATGAACAGTGATGTAGTTAGGTGAAGGGGGCGTGGCTTAGCTGGCCCCTCCTCCTTCTTACTCCTCTCTTTGCGCTCTTTTCGCCGCTCTGAAAAATAAATAAAAATAACAAGCTGAGAATGAGATTCAAGACGTGGTTGCTCCAATGAGCCCCACGTGCTCTAACCTGCGATACACAAATTCTTTCCTTGCTACAGTGATCTGCTGCCATTTCTGTTGACTTATTTTACATAGTTTTACACAGTTTTACAGTCATTACAACAAACATTTCCCAAACCTAAAAGTTATTTTGTTTTGATAAATCCCTTTCATTGAGATTATCCTCTCACCGCTATCAGGCTCCTCCTCTTCGTCCTCCTCGCGCTCTGATTGGTCCTTGTCAGACGGCTCCTTCTCTGATGGGTCAGAGTCAGATTCAGACGCACTTCCTTCTCCAGAGTCGGCTGAGACGCTGCGTTTCCTCTTCCGACCCTGAAAAGAACCGCAAAATCATACAAAAAGGTGGTCTAGGTGTGTGCAAACTTTAAAAAAGATAATCAAATCTTGTTGAAATCTCAGCAAAAGTTATTATGATTTTGTCTTTCAATTATGTCAAGTTTATTTGACTTTTGCTTTGTTCATGTCAATTGTGAATATTGTAGTTTGAGTTTAAATCAAGGAGAGTATGATACAGCTTGTGATCTGAAAAAACAAACTCACTCGTTTCTTTTTGGCCTTGTTTTTGTCTTTCTGTTCTTCCTTCTCTTCATCCATTTTTTCCTCCTCTCCATTTTGTTTGGGCTCTTCATTCTCCTCCTTTCAAATGAATAAATCAAAATCAAAAATACCACTTTCCCCTAACTGACAAAAGTACTTCAAAGAAGATTAATCAAGATTTGTGTCCTCAAGTCACCTTCTTGTCTGAATCCTTGCTCTCTGGGCTGCTCTCCGCCACTTTCTCCTTGGCGTCCGAGGTTGCTGAGGTTCCAGAGGGACCCGCCTGTTCCGAGTCTTTGCTCTCACTTCCCGATTCTGCTGGAGCTCCGCCCTCTGTTGTAGTGCTGTCTCCGCCCCCAGCGTTGTCAACGGAGACAGGAGTTTCCAAAACTTGCAGGTCCAGGTCTGTTCCCCCCTCCATCTTTATCACAGCTGAGAAAAGAGGACTGCATTACCCACAATGCTGTCAAATCATCTAACAAGTTTGCAAAATACAACATGTTTTCTCATTTTATGAAGAATATGAGAAAGAAAACACTCTTTCTACTATATTAATGAGTTTAAAAAGTTTGTCACACTCATGGGAAGATTTGCTGCACTGACAAAAGTCTGCTTTTTATTGGTCAATTCAAATTTCATGAACAGTATAAATGAGTGAATTGAACACCTTGAACAAGAAAACTTCTATCTATTGTATTGTGAACTAGAGTTACAGAACCAGTCACCGTTCACTTGCTCGTCTTATCGCCAATTTCATCGACCAACAGAAAAACTCAAACTCCCAGATAGTTTTTATTCTTGGATTTCCATCTACAACTAAAGTGAATGTGATGCCACTCACCGGCATCCATGAGCTTGATGATCTTGGAGGCGTGGTCCATGTCCAGTGCAATGTCGTCCATCCAGTGGTTTTCAAACAGGAAGAGGAAGACGTCCAACCGTGTCTTGAGCGCGGCCTGAGTCTCTGCTTTTCGCGCTGTGATGTCGTCGGGGTGATATTTGGACCTGAACCACTCGTGCTGTTTGTGCGAGAGGAAAAAGTCCTGCAGCTGCTGCCGCCTGAAGTCCAGTTTGTACTGATTGTAACGCTTCACCGCCTCAGTCTCATCCACGTTGTCTTCGAGGTTCAGAAGGAAGTCCTGGACACAAAGGAAGAGAACGTCCAGCAAAAGAAGAGAACGTCCAACAGTCAACATCATGAAGAATTTTTTTTTTACTTGATATGACTTTACCATATAAATCTTGTATCAGGTGACACATGGAAAGTTTATGTACTTTACAGAGTGCAATAGACAAAATAACAGTCCAGGTCAAGTTTTTGGTTTGAGTTCTGATTTCAGTACCTTGAAACTCCTCATGGTCGGGGGGCCTGGTGGAGGCAAGTCTGGATCCATCAAACCCAACCTGCCACAGAAATCTCAGTGAAGTAGCACTTTGGATACTTTTGAATTTCAATGATTTGTCTTGATAAAGTCAAGCTTAATCTATGTAAACAAAAGGAATAAAGCATAATGTTACTGTTGGCGAGTTAAATTTTTAAGCCTATATAACTTCTTTATACAACATCACAAATATGACAAGGCTAACAAAACTGAACCAATCGTGGATGAAGCTAAATACAACTGCAGATCTGTTTAGAATGGGGTGAATCCCGGTTGTGTGTGGCACCTGCTCTGAAGGGGATGTCCATGTGGCGGTGGCATGTGCGGCAGCTCCGGGGGCCAGTGTGGACCTGGAAACGGGGGAGCTACAAACGGCAGGTCGTATCTGTATGGCTCCCCCCGGTGGTCGTCCCTAAAATAAAGATATTCAGGCTACTGGAGAAAACGCCAAAAAAACACAAAAAATATACTAGCAGGTGGAATAGGAACTAATTACAGCACTAGTGCAACGCTTCATTGTCCCTGTAGGGAAATTTGTCCTTTGCCAATGACCACATGGGAAACTTGTCAGGAGCAGCGACCGCTACGGTGCAGCGTCCATCTCCACTTGTTAATAAGTAAGTAAGTAAGTAATCTTTATTTATATTTTATATACTTATTGTCTTGGTCAGGACCTCCACTGGAGGATTTTTACACATAGTGCATGTTTTTGGAGGTGAAGAAAGCGGAGTACCTGTAGGAAACCCACCAAGATAGGAGAAATATACCAACTCCACAGAGAAAGGATTTGATTTAAGTAAAGCAATCATGAATGTATTTTGTTCACTTTTTTTTTTTTTTATTTAGTTATCCGTTAAGAGTTCCCCCATGATTTGACGGGGAAACACAGATTGATAGGGAAAGCCAAAGTATGGAGTATGAATCTGTACATCTGTATTCATAAGGACAATAATGTTTTGCCTCAGAATCATATCTTACCAGTCCCTCCGCATGCGCTTGTGCTGGGGGCTCATGTGCCGCGGTGGAGAGAAGCGCTCTCTTCGTCCTCGGTCGTAGTCTCGCCTGCGCTCACGGCCACGATCCCAGTCTCTGAACGCATCACAGAAGTAACAGGGTAATAAACGCAGCAATGAAAAAAATCAACGGTCCTTGAATGCCTCACAGAAAAACTACCATCAAAGAATATTTTGTTGTGTACAAATGTGTACTGTTATGGGCTCGGAAGGAACAAATAAATACCCTTATCTGGTTTGGCAATAAACGATACTTTACCAACAGGTATTCATTGGTTGTATCTCTCTACTGGTCTATTACTATAGTTAAATTTTGGCCAATATGCCCCCTATAACCCCTATGTAGTGCGTGAACTTCCCTTGAAGAAAATATCTCCCAAATGTCTAGAAAATGAATGGATAGCTTTAAAAATATTGTTATGTCCCCTGTGAATCTCCTGCCATTACCTCTCGGGCCAGTCGTCCCGCCTCCTCTCCTCACGCTCTCTCGATCGCTCCATGTCGCCTCTCTCCCTTCGGAATTTGTCCCGACGGCGACGATCTAGCTCATCATCACTGTCGCCCATCTCTGCTCAAGGAAAACATTTCACTGAATCAATGGACTGGTTTTTAAAGGATAAAGAGTCAGACAACTGTGGTCAATTTTATGCTATTGGATTAATCTTGAAAATTAAGATTAGGGATGCAAAAGTTACAGTTTTAGTAATGTAAATATTATTATAGGTAAATAGTTTGTGTTGCAATCTTGAAAGGCAAGTGAGAGTATTTTTTAATTTGAAATTTGATTAAAATAAAGCGACAGGGGAACTGCCACAAGGTTTGTAACTGGAACCATGTAATAACATTAATCCAAACTAGTTCCTTGCTCTCAAAACAGCTGCACTATCAGACCTCTGTCCCACAATACATTGAAAAAGAGGACCACCCTTATTCAGCCAATCTGCTCACAGCCCAACACGTCAAACAGTGACTCAACTGAAATCAAAGACAGCATGTTGTTGTAGGGAAAAACAACATGCACTTTCCAAGGGAAAAAATAGGTATATATGAAGTCGGCTAAAGATTTGGAAAATCCTATTTGAAAGGAGACCAAAGATAATTCTTGCTAAGAAGGTAGCAGTTTCGATTTAACACTCAGACACCTAACTTTGAGACAAAAACAGCAACTTACAGATCGTCTCCATATACAGTAAATATAAAATATTTGGTAAGAGAACTGAGGGACTATGTGATACTGAGCGCTGACTGTTCTAGAGGGATTGTCCTTTATCATTTGAGCCCAACAAATACATTCAAAAGGAGAAAAAAGGGAATTTAGCACTTGTTGTGAAGGGAATATATCTGACAGATGACTGCATCCTTTCAGTTGTAAAATCACATACACCTTTCAAAAAGTCTTTAAAATATCTACCAATTGTGTAGATTTGATCAAGCTTAAAATCCCATCAACATATCCTTCAAAACAATGGGTCACAATAATCGGAAATACACTGTAGCTAAATCTAAGGAGGCCAAAGGACGAAATTAAGTAATTAAACTTTGTCCATGCAATATGGAGACAGTTTCTCTTTGCTTATGACATGAACAAACAGAACAAACAGCTAGAGTGTCACGTAAGGTGGACAGCTTTACTGAATACTGAGATATATCTGAACTATACAATACTGTAAGAGGATATAAAAGTCAAAGAAACGTTTCCTTTGTTTCACGGCAACACAAAGTAAATATTTTAACGCAACGCTTCAATAAGTATTTTTGGGGAATGAATGAATTGCTAAAAACCTGTGTTAGCATTTAGCATCACATCAATGTGAGCCAATTGCGACATCATTATGTTCAGTTAACACACGCTAATTCAACTATTGGGTTTAAATGTGTGCAATATAGGATATTAGGTTTATATGGGTGCGTTTTAACACATTTGTAGATTTTACACATGACTAAAAGAGGTAGGTTAGCACAACAGCTAACAGCGCTAGCATGTGTCCTTTACATATACTTTAGTAAGTCGTTTTTGCACTTTTTGAATGAAGACAGGTTGTAAAACAGTGGTGTGGGCAAGTTTTACCTGAGGGGTTTGAGTTGTGTGGAGTGAAAAGGTGATAAAAGCGGAGAGAAGAGGCTAAAGCTAAAGCAAGAGCAGAGGACCCGCCGAGCGCACACAGCACAGGGACACTACCGCTGGGTCTGAGACGACACAGCGCCCCCAGCGGCCACACGAGAGAGGTGCCATTTTTAACATTTGTGTTTTTTATCATCAGTGAAAGAGAGATAACATAATCTTTATTTGTCCCACAATGGAGACATGTGTGCTGAGTGTAGAGCAGTGGAAAAAGGAATCACTATTTAAAAACATCTATTAATTTACTTAATCGATTTAATTTATTGTAACTAATTCATTTTCAAAGTGACCTATCCAACACTGGTCATGAGCAGTTTAAATAAACTGTGTATAATCACAAAGATATACAAAATTAAGAGCATCCACACTGATTTGTTGGATGAATTGAACATTGTCAGAAAAGGGCATTGTCAGAAAAGGTTAGTTTCATTCATTTCATTTATCCATTTATTTCAGGCAAGTTTCAATGTGTAGTGTAGAACATAAAGTGCATAAGTATAGTAAAATAGCTTGATGGTAATGAATTACAGAAATAACTCAAAATTAATTGAAAAGAAAAAGATTTGAGTGAAAAAAAACAAATAAATAAACAAAGAAAAAAAAATTGCATGAATTGCTATATTTGGCCCAAAATCTACAACTCATGATCAATACTGCAATAAATAATTCTCTTTCAGATCTAAAATCAGAACTACTTAAACCTTTGAAAAAAACAAACATCCGGTCTGAGTCAGGCCCATCTACGCATATTTCTTGAAGAAGTAGGTTTTCGTGTCAGTATATTGCGGTCTTGACAGGATTTCCTCAGACTCGGACAGTCTACTGCAGCATGAAGGGCATTCCTCTGATCCTCTGTGAGTACAATTGTTGTAAATATGCATATTTCAAAATATTTATAATTCCACTCATATTTACAGTATATATTCTTTGTATTCAGTGGCGGTTTCTGTGAACTGTAGAATTGTCCAAGCTCGAGGTACGTCACAAACTAACGCACGAGAGACAGGCTCTTCACATTTACTTTGTAGTTCATTGTACTAATAATTATCTCACTAATTTTTTTTGGCTGATTTGCACATTATCTTGCAATTAATATCCCTCATTTTGATATAAATGTGCTGTAAATCTGGGAATTTCGATCCATCCATCCACTTTCTAGCCCTTAATCCATTTCTGGGTCGGGGGGGTGGCCAGAGATACGACCCAGTACATGGAGCACCAACCCCTCACTGATCCTCCTGCAGGTGTTGAGTCCACAGGGGGGCTTCAGGCAATATGGGGTTAAGTGTCTTACCCAAGGACACGACAGCAGTCATCAGTGGGAGTCGGTGGAGAGGTCTCATGGTGGGCTCGAACCCACAACCTTCAGGCTCAAAGGCCAATGCTCTACCAACTGAGCCACTATCGCCAATCTGGGAATTGTAATGCAAAAAATACTTGCCACTTGTGTAACCATGTAGTGAAGTCATTGTGAAATAAAATGAAAAACTGGGCACACGACAAAGCAGTAATTTTTATAGTTTAGGAAAGTTCCTCTTGTCTTATAGTAGACTAAAGTTAAAAACCAGACAATTGTATGCATTCAAAATCTTTGTGGTTAGATTTGGCACACAAGACTCTTACTGCATGTTTCTCAGTACTTCTTTAGGCTGGTCACATGCATTTGTCATAGTGTTCCATAGAGCTCAGAAAGTTTGTGGTAAGGGGAGGAAGTGGCAGAGGAAGAGCAATAGATGTCTTCAAATCACAAAAATACTGATATGTCCTCCCTCACTTTTGTGTAATATACTGTGTTCTATTGTTCTTCAATTATTTACTATTAATAACAAGTAAAAAAGAGAGGACCACCCTCACTAAGCAAATCAGCTCTCAGCCCTATAGGTGTCAAATAGTGACCCACAGGGCAACATTACAAGTGTGCACAACATTATAGCATGCAGTGATCCAATTTTTCATAACATTTGACTTTTTTTGTCAATATGTATGAATAAACGTAGGGTACACCAGCTTTGAGCAAAAAATATATTAGTTTGAGAATATGTTTTGTTGATCATCTTTTCCAGCGTCAGTAAAGGTGAGCCCAGACTCCACTCAGTTCTGGGAGTACGATGAGCAGGTTTCCGTGAGCTGTGAAGACTTTGGGCCCAAAAACTGGACCCTGTGGAGATTCACCAAGAGGTCTGGAAAGTCTGATCTTCTGCTTAGAATCAAACCTTAATGTATATTCCATGGGGATGATTTTGTAACAAGTTTTTTTGCGATCACAATTTGGATCCATGTGAGAGAGCTCTCAGAATCCCATTGGTAGAAATGAATTTCTTCCCTTCATCAGACAACTGTCAGACAGACAACTGTCTGATGAAGGGTAGTGACCCGAAACGTCACAACAGTTTGTGGTGATAATTAAAATCACTTGGGAGCTAAAGCTGTGCAGAGTCCTCTCCATTTCTTTCATCCATCGACTTTCAACTCTAGCACGCTGCTCAGAATTGGATGTGCGTGTCAATCAGAAATGAATTTCTTCTCAAACATTGTACATTTTTCAGGGGAGGCCTCTCGGAATGTGGGTCTGGGTGGGGCAGTCAGGGCACTGGTTCAGCCTGTGATCTGAAAACCCTCAAACCCTCAGACTCCGGACTTTACTGGTGCGAGTCCCCATATCACGGCAGCAGCGACACCATCAACATCACAGTGACCGGTAAGTCCACAATCACTCCTGCTTTTTTCTTTATCTTGGGAAACGTTCCTTTTCTTTTATCTTAAGGAGGGCCAGTGATCCTGCAGACTCCAGTGAAGATAGAGGAAGGGCTGGAGGTGGCTCTAAGCTGCAGATTTAAATCCGGATTTCAGAACAATAGTGTGGACTTCTACAGAAACCAGGCTCTCCTGAAGTCCAGCCTCGAAGCTCTGACCCGGATCCAGTTCAGCAGAGACCAGCAAGGGGCCTACTCCTGCCAAAGCAATGGTCACCACTCCCCATTGGTGCACATGTATCTCCAAGGTCAGTGCTCTTTTACAGAATGGGGTCCATTATACGTTATAGAAGACAAGATCTCATTGTTGGACTTAAGTTTCAAAAAGGAGTGCAACAACAACAATAAAGATATTTAACTCCTCAGAGTAAATTCACTAGACCTCAGCATTGTCCTCAGCGGAAGGGTTTCCTCTGCTTATACAACAAGTATTGAACACTACAAGACTGACTTTGAGATAAAACAATGGTTATTTATCACAATTTAGTCATAGTTAAATGGACAAACTTTGTAGCCTTGGTTAAATATTTTCTGAGAAGGGTCAGATAACATTTGTCACACTTACTGATATGACTTATATGTTATTTTATTTTAAAAAGTGGCTTTGTAAAAATGCAGTCTTGATCAGGTTGTCCCTCCACAGACGACTCTCCAGCTCCGGTCTTGGTCCTAAATCCAGACTCAGAGCAGATCTTTGAATACAGTTCCATGGATTTCTCCTGTGAACCACAGATTGAAGGTTGGGCCGTCTATCGGTACAGCCCCAAAACAGCCTCTAAACCCTGGTCCCAGTGTGGTCCGGACTGGGGTTCTGTGGAGTCAGGGTTCATCTGTAAAATCAACACCATCAAGAGACTAGACAGCACAATCTACTGGTGTGGGAATAACATGCGTCGAAGCAATTCAGTCCAGCTGCTGGTCAAAAGTAAGTCCTGATTTGTCCTAGTTTAGTTAGGTACAAAAACAAAACAAAGGATCACAAGATTAAAGTGCATTTTAGTTTCAAAGCAGTTCAGCAACATTACACAAAAAATCCTATAAACTCCTCCTTCAAAAGTGCATCTACAAAAGTATACAAAACAAAGAGTTTTGAAGAGGAAATTAGAAGTTTGGCAAAGGGGAATATTAAGACCAAAATCCCAAACTCTGTTCTTCAAAAGCTCAAGTTGTAGAATGGTAGTACGAGCTAGTTGGCACATTTGAGATTCAATTACATGTTTGATTACTGCTAACATCTATTTGTTTGTGCTCTTACAGACAGAGGTGTGATTCTGCAGGTGCCAGTGCTCCCTGTGTCTGCAGGACAAACTGTCCAAATGCTGTGTCTACGTCACACTGAGGGAGCCCTCACAGCTCGTTTTTATAGGGATGGACACATCTTTATGGGAAATTCCACAGGACTAATGACTTTCCAGCAGGTGGCGATGTCTGACGACGGCCTGTATCATTGTGAGATGGGAGGAGAGAAGTCGCAGCCCAGTCACCTCAGAGTCAAAGCAGGTTGGTAGGCCCACTGTGAGTGGCTTATCTGACAGGACAATTATGCACATTTTATAAGGGCTTACTTTATAAAACAAGATTAAAAAGGGTAACCATTCTGACCAATCAGTGTGTCCATTGATCAGAGCGGGGCAAGAGCTGAGAGTTTGTTGCACCAAAATGAGGATTTATAGAAAAACAATGTATTTCAATAGAATTAAAGTTCATGTGGATCGAATTTTTTTTTCAACGGTACTTTATGACTATTTCTAGTGCAGCTCATGAGAATTTAGTTTGCGGAGACCTGGTTTGAGCAAGTGTGAAGAAACTAGTCACATTTCAACAACATAATCTCTTTAATACATGTTGTCAGCGCTAGTTCAAACAGTTTATCTGGACATAAGCACACACAGACATGTTTACAGACTACATTTAGTCGGGGTCTCTCGCTAGATGGAAAGCAAAAGACAAAGAATGGACGGAGACGCAGCTCCTCATAGTCGCAGAGTGTCGTTGATTGGTCAAATCACAGGAAGAAGAGCCTTCCTCAACTGCCTAACCAAAAGCAGATGTTTTCGGCTTCCTGCTTATTAAAACTCCTAGTTTCTCTTATGACTGGGGGATGGGAGAATGCTGCATCCCACCACACACGTAGGTTAACCCAAAGCTGTCTAAACTTTGAATAAATTCATTCACTTTAATGAAAATCCAACAACTCTATCTATCAGCAAGCAAAACATTTTATAACAATGGAAACCTAATTCTGCTTGTAGGTCTTACTAATGAATTTTGAATTTTAGGTCAATTCCAATATAATTAAATGTTTTCCCCCATACCTTTTGCATGGGGCATCAAACCCATTGTTACATCTTTAATTAGAGGTATTGTCAGAAAGTCTTATTTGTTTGGCCATTATATTTTGTAAACTATTTGACGTCACTAGTGAGGTCACCCGCCTTTACCCCCCCTTCACTTCTGCTCTTTTGTTAGTCTGCTGCGTTCCCCTGTGTGAGCGGACGTGTGCGTGAATGAGACAGAAACCACACACGCTAACTCACCCCACCCATAATCCACCCATACATTATTCATTCCCAACTCTAACTACCTTCATATTCACAATTAAGTTCCCCATCTGGATGTACCAGCCTTCTTCGTGCCCTCCTCTCTGACTGTAGCCCCGTTTACAGTGCAGGCGCTCAGATCAGCACACACCAGTGTCCCACTCTTTCACATGGTCTTTCGAGCCGGATTTGAGCACCCCCTGTAGACAACATTTAGTCACTACAACTGCCTTCTGATGAAGCAGTGCAAACCAGACCCCAGGGGGAGATACGGCTACCAAAGCATCTAGATAACTTTGAAGTTGAATACCAACCTTCAGTTACAACCCCTTCTGCAGTCATAACCCTGCCTGCATCGACCACTACGCTGAGCATGGAGCAGCTGCAGTACCCAAACTGGTGAAACCATCTCCACGTAGAGAGAAACCACTCTCATGCCGAAGCTCAGTGTCTTCTCACAACAGCAGGAAATCCCAATCCTCATTCCGCTCACTGTCCAAGGGCTCAGCAGTTGATGATCTGATTTACAGAGTGTCATGTTGGAGGAGAGAATGAAGCATATGGAACTAGCAGAAGGACAGAGGCAAGTCATGGAACACACCCTAGTGGACGAACAGTGCCTAATACTGGACAGAGAAGCACAAGACGCCCTTAATGAGCAAGAGATGTCACACAAGGCAAAAGAAGCTATATCCAAACAACAGATACTGCAACGCCGACTGAAAGAGAAAGAGATGGAAGTCGAGAGAGCGGCTCTAATCACATCATTCCTGACCGAAGACGAGATTACGAGCCCATGCACCTCGAGGCCCCTGAGTGACTGTGAGGATAACCCCAAGCTCTTTGATGGAGCTCTGCCTCTACCACCACACTCACAGGGCCCCCCTGGTCTACTTAATTCTACTCCCTACCTTCCTGCTCCATCCCCAGTCACTACTACAGCAGTTTATCCCCCCGTCTCAAATAACCCTTCACAAATCTCTGCGCCTCGAGTCCAAGTCCCTGCTACTACAAGTATGACTACGCAATCTACTTACATCACCATGCGTCCTCCCCCCATTCCAGCGCCAAACTTTGCTCCACTGCCATCCCAAGTGCAAGGTATGCTAGACCACTGCTCAGACGCAAGACCAGTCCCAATCTCTGGGCACCGAAAAAATACTACTCCCACAACTGCGTAGTACAGAATGCCGTCTAGCTAAAGACCCTGTCCTTACCGCCACTTACTGCCAGGAAATACAGAAGCTAGAGCAATCCAGGTATGCCATACATTTCCCACCTGAGGTAGTCGACAGCTCCACTGAGTCCTGGTATCTTCCCCACCACGTCGTCCACCACAACGTCAAGGCAAGAGTTGTTTACAACTATTCCAACCAACACAGACTAAACAGCCAACTCCTACCAGGCCCAACCTTAGGTCCTTCCGTTCTTGGTGTACTCCTTCGGTTCCGCGAACACAGCGCAGCTATAAGTGGCAACATTAAAGGGATGTTTCACCAGATACGATTGCTGCCTGAAGACAAACCTCTACTCCGATTCATCTGGAGAGGCATGCAGAAGGAAGAAGAACCAACGGTATACGAGTGGCAGATTTTACCGTTCGGGACAACATGCATACATGAATACATCACTGATGTGCCACGTAGGCCCTCCAAAGGCACGTTAAGGACAACAGTCAAGATCACGAAGACATTCTCCATGAGACAATATGAGACCTTCCAATGACAGCAGCGGATGTCCTATCAGCAGAACTTCATCTACTCAAACAGTCAAAACGAGACAGTTTCCCTGAAGAGGTGTACGCTCTCGCTGCTGGTAAGCCAATCTTAAGGCAGAGTCGCTTAGTCACGCTAGCTCCAGAGTACGATGCAGCTGTTGGTCTGGTGAGAGTGGGAGGCCGACTCCGCAGAGCTGAAGACCTCGACCCTACGTCACCAAGCTTCTTATTAAGAAATTGGACGGCGACCTCCCACATCCCGGCCCTGAAAGAGTCTTCGCTGAACTCCGAAGAAGATACTGGCACCATCAGCATGGCTGTGCTGAATGCCAAAGGTGGCGCGCTGCACCTGTAGTCCCGTAGATGGCAGACCTGCCCCCTCAAGACTCAACCTTTACAAACCCCCTTTCTGGTCAACTGGAGTGGACTGCTTCGGCCCCTACAACGTTAAGGTGGGCCGACGCACAGAGAAGCGGTGGGGACTGTTTTTCAAGTGTATGACCACGAGCTGCGTGCACCTTGACCTCGTGGAAAGCATGGACACTGATGCCTTCCTGATGGCCCTCCGTCGATTCATCGCACGTTGTGGAAAGCCATTTGAGATCCTCGCCGATAGAGGAACCAACTTCAGAGGCGGTGCTGCTGAGTTGCAGGCTAGTTTTGCTGCACTGGCGCCACCTCTGCAAGAGCAGTTGGCAGGACAGAAGATCGCGTTCCGTTTCAACCCTCCTGGTTCCCCACACTTCGGTGGAACGTGGGAACGGGAGATCAGGTCCATAAAGACGACTCTCCAGGTTGTACTCCGTAACCAGACTGTTCCAGACCTTGGGCTGCAGACAGTATTGATTGAAGTTGAAGGACTACTCAACGCAAAGCCACTGGGGTACATCTCATCTAATGCTGCAGACCCGGACCCCGTCACACCGAACCTCCTTCTCATGGGACGACATGATGCATCGCTCCCGCAGGCCATCTACGCATCCAGCGATCTACTTAGCCGCTGGCATCATAGCCAGATCTTGGCAAACCAGTTCTGGTCCAACTTCATTCGTTTCCATCTTCCAGACCTCCAGGCTCAAACGGACGAGTCAGAGCTACTGAAGTGGACATTAAAAGGACAGACCTACCAGCGTCCAATCGTGCGTCTGGTGCGGTTACCGGCCTGGGAAGACGAAGAGGACTCCAACTAAATCAGACTTTTTTTTTTCTTCAAATTTAGAGATAAATTTGGAGGCGGCTTTGTCAGAAAGCCTTAAGATGCGTTCAGACCAAACGCGTCTTGAGCGTCCAAAGCGTCGGGTTTACATTGACATAACATGGGGGACGCGCGTCTAGGAGCGTCAAGAGATCATGCGGCGTGTCACGCGCCTCCCGAGCAGCGCGTCTACGAGCGTCTTGACACGCGTGACGTGTGTCACGCGCGGCTGACGCTCGAGTTGAACAATGTTGAACTTTTCGGGAGAAGACGCAAGCGTCTACCAATCATGAGCCTCCTCCAACAGTGACGTGGTAACGCATTTCAAGGCAGGACCGGGGGGGACGACAACACAACAGCTATGAGGACAAGCTGTGTGGTTAGCCCATCAGCCCTGCAGACTATAACCACCGTGACATGGAGGAGGGTTAGTGAGGAGGTTGGTGTCTCTGGTAAGTTATTTAAACTTTTCACAATCGCTAATCCTTCCTTGCACAAAATCTGTAATGTCACAGGGAGAAAAAAACCCCCACAGATTACATATTAAAGCTACACAGAGGAAACAGTCCATGGAGACAGCAGCTGTAGTATTCTAACATGTAGTATGCTAACACTATTATCTGTATTCATATAAAATAGAGTGTGTATATAATTTGTAATCCCATACTAAGACTGGGAATACTGTATAATTAACATTTACTGTATATATATATATATATATATATATATATATATGGCTTATTATGAAGCACTTTTCATGCAATAGTCTGATAAATATAATGATGAAATAAGAGCACATTATACAGATGTTTCTTTTGTCATTAATAAAGGACATTTGCAGATGACATGGTCTCACTTCCAAAAAGTTTAAAGTGGTTAGCCACACACTTTTATTTGTGTGTATATTTCCAATATATTATTCTTCTGTTACTCCTCAGTGTCTGTTTCTCTTGCGGTGTACCTCTAATATTAAATACAGAAGGATTTCTGTATTTTATTTTGAGGTGTCCATGTTTTAACATGATGTTTTTCAGAGACTTTTGGTAAAATGGAACTCAGACTTTTTCTGACAGCAACAAAATCACACGGTATCGTTTCTCCAGCTTCACCTCCATCACCTCCAGCTTCACCTCTATCACCTCCTGCTTCACTGCGGATTAACAATATGAACTTCAACAAACATATTTTCATGTTTTATTTAATCATCAGTCATGAATAGTTAGAACAGTGGGATCTGCATCTCTGAAGACGAGCAGGAGCAGCAGGAGCAACAGCAGAGTCCTGGGCGTCTGCCTCTGACACCTTCCTGGAAAAAAAAAATACTTGTTGGTGTTATTATAATTTAGTTTTTTGTGTCTGAAGTGTAAAGAGTCATGAAAAATAAGGTATTATTTACACAGGTACATATTTGTCAGCAGTACTTAAAGTTCTAATTGAATACATTCAACTCTAATCTGATCAGAAACAGTGCTTTTCAAGACTTCAAAAAGAGCAGTTCCAGGCCTTTCCTGTGTTCAACTCCTTTTTACTGATGTTCGTTATAATACAAATCCATGGATGTGGTTATTATTATAGAGCCATGGATGTGCTTATTATTATTATAGATCCATGGATATTCCTTTCTCATCAGAAAACACACGTTATTACATTTATAAGTGATGCACAAACGAGGGCCATAGCAAATAAATCAATCATATATCATTTATCGCATATATGTGCATTGTTTACATACAATTATGGCTTTGTAAAAACGAATGATTACTGCCAATACAATTGTTATAATAGAGAAAGTCCGTAACAAAAGCCTCGGATTCTCAGAATGAAGCTTGTGAGAGCTCCACTGATGTGTCCCCGCGTTGAGACGCTCTTTCTCGGCTTGAGCACTGCCCAACCCCCGCTCTCTGCACTGGAGAAAAGTCCGACAATGTTCTATTTGATCACCAAACAGACCTCCGATATGACCATATCAAATGTTATTAGAATTAACTTTTATGTCCTAATTAAAGCGTATTTTACACTTTTTACCTTAATCCTGGCTCCCGTGTCCTTCCCTCTGCGAGTTGTGTTGGCAACAGAGGAGGCCTGCCTCAAAACGCTCTTCCTTGACGCGCCTCCAGAACGCTGTCCTCTAGTGTCCTGGACGCGTGTGACGCGCCTCCAAGATGCTCTGTGACAGCGTCTGCCACAATTTGTCACAAGCGTCCCAAGACGCGCGTCAGACGCGATTTTGCTGCAGAAAACGCGTTTGGTCTGAACGCACCTTTATTGGTTTGGCCATTTTATTTTGTAAACTATCTGCACCTGCCTTCTCCGTGCCCTTCTCTGTGACCGGAGCCCCGTTTACAGTGCAGGCGCTCAAATCAGCACACACAGGTATATCCATTGATACAACATATTACTCCTGGTTTCAAATAGATCATCAAAGAAAGCAAATCAACCAGCATTTTCCCTTTCTTTTAGCCGCTCCACCGCCCGCTTCACAGAAGTCTGCGCTCTCCCTTGTTCACCTGAGATATATAATCGTGTTTGCTCCATATGTCGCCTCCACTCTGCTCTTCATCTCCATCTATAGGCAAACAGGTGAGTTACAACATGCCAGGTTTGAACATATCTTTATAGTTTAAGGCTAGAATTTGGATCAGATATCTAGAAATATATATTTTAAGCGTTTTATTTGTATATCATGCATTTTCTTTGGTCATTAAAAAGATAAGAAGACTATTTAGTGGGTCATTTCATGTTTTAGAATGTCAAGTAATATACATTTTTACACACATATGATGAGGGAAAAAGGATTTAACATTCAATGTTTGACGGGTATGTGAGCAGTTTGAATGACGCAAAATAATCTCCAATTTTATTTGGTGATGACACTTCGCTTGAAAAGAAATCAGCTCCATCAATCAATCTAGGGTCCTTGTAGTGCATGTTTTTTCTTAGTTTTCTTGTATTGTAAAAGTCTACCCATTTACGTGTTACATTCCTGTTTGATCCCAGGTGGAATCTCCATTACTCACAAGAGACACAGGAGGCAGGAGTTAAACCTGGAGCCGGAGTATGAAGACGTGATTCCAGACGTCACCACAGAGTACCAGTTCTGAAAATCAACCAGGACAATAGTACACCATGGACTCTGAGTGCAAAGACCTGGTTTAGTACTAACCAGGTCTTTGCATGTTCTCCCGGTGTCTGCGTAGGTTTCCTCCGGTTTCCCCTACCACTAAAAACATGTACATGTATTTTTTCCATTCACTTGCCTCTTTACCTGTTGATATCATTTCTGATGTTTATTCTGCTCATATTCTCCGCTGCAAAGTACAATATACACATCTGTAAATACTTCTGAACCATATGCAATTATAGCCCAGTTTATTTAATTTTATTCTTTATCTTTATTTTATTATCTATTATCTTAAATAATAGACTTATTTAAAGTGTGCAATCTGAGTGCTCTTATTTCCTTCTTTCTCTGCTGTAATGTGTGCAACGATGACACTGAAATTTCTCCACTGCGAGACGAATAAAGGTTTATCTTATCTTAATAGGTCTGGCATGTGCCTCCTGTACTGGCGACCTCGCTCCAATCTCTATGTGTAGTGAGAGGACAATTGCCCAAAAATAACAATTGTAAACCGCTTTGTGACTCTGGTCTGTGAAAGGCGGTATATAAATAAAGATTACTTACTTACTTACCAGTTCTGACCTGAAAATCAACCAAGACAATAGTACACCATGGACTATGAGTGCAAAGACCTGGTTTAGTACTAGACCGGTTTCAAAGCTGTTTGTATCCGGTTCCAATAGAAGAGAGAAGAGCAGACAAACACTCACAACAATACCCCAAACATTTTAACCAGTGGGTTAAAATGACTGATTATATTTTCTTGATTCAAAAATGATTCGTCAACAAATCAATTATTCTGTATTTAATTTATTAGAAAACATGTCATCTTTACATACTTGAAAGAAAGAGCCCCATGGGTCACTATTTGTAACTTTGGGTTTGGAACTGATTTATTGTCTGAAAAAGCTGATCTAAAGATGGGACAAAGGCCAAGACATTGTTTCATATGAAACTAGTTGGATGGATTTTTTTAACTTTTGAAAGTTAGGTACCCCAGGTTTAAACAAATTTGAATTGACAAAACAACTTGAATTTAGAAAAACAAGTGAAAACCCTTTCAGATGGCATAATTTCACTCTCAAAAGCCTGAAATATATCGGCAATTCAGTAGCGCAGTGGTTAGCACTTGGGCTTCACAGCATGAAGGTCCTGACTTTCTATTACATAGTTCAAAGTTATAACACATCTTCATTTCTGGTCTACATGCCAAACCAATGCCTCACTGTGACAGCCCCATTTGTTCTTGCTCATCTGTTTTGTGAACAGTTCTATTTGTATTTCATATGTTGCTTCGCCCTTTAGGCTTCGCTAATGCATATCTCTCGGAAGCATCGCTTCCCGCCCTGAGAAGATCAAACGATCCACCCTCCAATCACCTTCACGTCCTGGCGTAGGCCAGTCCCCTATAAATAGGGCCATGCACCACAGCTCTTCTCCTTTCTCTCTCAGCTTGCCTAAGAGAAGCTTCGATTCATTTGCTAGGATGTCTTCAAGCAAGATCCCCGCGCCTGAGAACTTGCCACCCTCCGGTGTCAGGCTGTGGATCTGCGACTTGTGCCCAGCGGCACTCTCCCAGACTGACCGCCACAAGTCCAGCGTCTTCTGCCTGGGCTGGCGTCGTGCCGCGGGAGAAAGCCCCAGATGTGTGGCTTGTCTCGCCGTGGATTATTTATGCCGCATAGAGTGTTGCCCTTGGTGGCATCGCTCATGGTGTGCTACCCTCTATCCACGCTGAACAGACGTATAGCTAATACACCACAGATGGTTGTCCTAGCTTAACACATCACTTTGCTCGCTTCATCCCTGGAGTGGTGCCCATGGTGGCTCGCTCATGGGGTGCTACGTTCTGCTCACGCTGGACAGGCGTAATCAGTGGCGGCCGGCCAATAGAGGGCGCTAGGGCGCCGCCCCACCACTCACAACTTGCCATGTTACCTTGAATAAAACGTTAAAAAAAATAATAACATTAAAATATTTCGAAATGTATGTGTGTTTTATTTCAGATGTGGAAGAAATACTTTATAGTTTATGCTGAGTTGGATTGATTAAGCTCATCAGCGTTGTCTGTGTCGGACTGAGGACGTATTTCCGCCTCAGGGCGCAAAAGATTGCGCCCTGAGCCGTCTATGGACTCTCGTTAAAAGTTGTACATGCGCAGTAGCTCCTCTTCAATGCAAGAGATAAGACGATTTGGGGGCGCAGGAGAAGTGCGCCCTGAGGGGGCGGGATCGCCCGCGACCTGTACTGTCACTGTCTGTGACGTCCGTTTACAGTGATTGACAGGTCAAGCTGTGGGAATTTGAGACGAACGTAAGACGCAAAATGGAGAACGAGAAAAAGAATAATTCAGTTAGATCACTCATAACAATACCGTTTGAGAGAAGATCATACCAGGAGAAGGTTGAGGTTAAAGAGCTTGGACCTGATCAGCCAAATATTACCATTAGTCAGCAGTCCAGCGACAGGGGGAGACGGTACACTCGTACTTTTTCCAGGACCTGGTTCAGCGCCAAATCTTGGCTAGCAGCATGTAGCGAGGCTAATGCTTTATTTTGCTTTCCATGCCTCTTGTTGTAAACATCAGGATCTGACCCAGCATGGATGAAGACAGGTATGACTGATCTGAAGCACTTTTTAGAAAAGGCAAAGAAGCATGAGCAGACTGGTATCCACATGCAAAATGCCCTCAAATTAGCTATGTCTGGGAAGATAAATATGCTTCAGTCACAACAGTCAGTGTAAACTTACTTACTGCTGGTATATATCTAGTCATCATATTCATAGCCCCCCCAGTAGAAAATTCCACCAGCCGCCACTGGGCGTAATACTACTGCGCCACAGATGGTTGCTTATTAACATCACTTTCGGTGCCCATGGTGGCTCGCTCAGGGTGTGCCTCTGCTTCACTATATCAGCCGCGAGGGGATAGGCCCATGACAGCCCATTCCCCGGCGATAGCGTATGGAGTATACGCGGGCGCGGAGGCCTGGCCTTGGCGGTCAGGCTTTCCTCCCATAGAGGATGGAGTACGCCTGTACACCAGCTTCCTACGGGGTGTACAGGCGAGCGGGGCAAGCCGGCCGTGTCCATGCTTGACAGGTGTTAGGCTTGTGCATCATAGGTCGTTGCTATGGCTTATAACATTACTCTCCTCGCTGCATCCCTCGGACAGGGACCGCTCTGCCACCCCGCACCGCTCAGAGCCAAGAGGAGACAGCAAGCGCGTGACAAGCAGAGGAGCAGCAGCCACCCCGGCTTTGCAGCTGCAAGGAGGGGAGGGAAACGCTTTAATAAAGGCCATCATCAGGCCCGTTACTCCCTCAAAGAGAACACTTCTTTCCCCTTTTCCTTATCCTCAGCGCTTGGCCAACGCTGCTCTTCTGCCAAGTGCCTGGAGCCTCTCTCAGCGCGCCTCTCGTGCGCGCGCTGGAGGCATGCTCCGGGACCGCTGTGCGCTCCCCGTGCCTTTGCCTCTCTTGGGCAGAGAGTGCGCGGCTGCACGCTACCCTCCTACGCTCTCTGTGCGCCACGAGCACCAGCTCACAGCTGTCCTGCCCTCACGCTGCTACCCGGTAAAAGCCAGGGCCGCAGCTAGGGCTCAGACCTTTTTCCAGCGGCCCCCCACTATCCAGAGCAATGAGTGGTACTGCTCTCCCCCCCCCTCCTCAGTCCACAGTGTTGGGGAGCGGGGGCTCGGCTCCACGTAAGCGCAGCACACCTGCCCTCATGTGGCCACCCAGAAAAAGGGCCCAGGGCCGCAGCTAGGGCCCAGCCCTCTTCCCAGGCCCCCCCCCACTGCAAAAAGTGGGACTGCTCGGCCCCCTATCAGTCCACAGTGTTGGGGAGCGGGGGCTTGGCTCCACGCGGCCACCCGGAGAAGGGCCCTGGGCCGCAGCTAGGGCCCAGCCCTCTTCCCAGGGGCCCCCCCACTGCAAAAAGGTGGGACTGCTCGGCCCCCTCTCAGTCCACAGTGTTGTGGAGCGGGGGCTCGGCTTCACGTAAGCGCAGCACACCTGCCCTCACGCGGCCACCTGGAAAAAGGCCCAGGGCCGCAGCTAGGGCCCAGCCCTCTTCCCAGGGGCCCCCCACTGCAAAAAGTGGGACTGCTCGGCCCCCTCTCAGTCCACAGTGTTGTGGAGCGGGGGCTCGGCTTCACGTAAGCGCAGCACACCGGCCCTCACGCGGCCACCTGGAAAAAGGCCCAGGGCCGCAGCTAGGGCCAAGCCCTCTTCCCAGGGGCCCCCCACTGTAATAAGTGGGACTGCTCGGCCCCCTCTCAGTCCACAGTGTTGGGGAGCTGGGGCCCGGCTCCACGTAAGCGCAGCACACCTGCCCTCACGCAGACACCCGGAAAAGGGCCTAGGGCCGCAGCTAGGGCCCAGCCCTCTTCCCAGGGGCCTCCCACTGCAATAAGCGGGGCTGCTCGGCCCCCTCTTAGTCCACAGTGTTGGGGAGCAGGGGCTCGGCTCCACGTAAGCGCAGAACACCCGCCGTCACGCGGCCACCCGGGAAAAGGCCCAGGGCCGCAGCTAGGGCCCAGCCCTCTTTCAAGGGGCCCCCCACTGCAATAAGCGGGACTGCTCGGCCCCCTCTTGGTCCACAGTGTTGGGGAGCAGGGGCTCGGCTCCACGTAAGTGCAGCACACCTGCCCTCACGCGGCCACCCAGAGAAAGGCCCAGGGCCGTAGCTAGGGCTCAGGCCTTTTTCCCACGGGCCCCCCACTATCCGATGCCTCCCCAGGATGGGACATCTGTGGGCGGATCAGGCCTTTCTCCCTCCTCCCATCTCGCTGTGCTTCCCTTGACCCATGTTGTCACTGTATCGGAACAGTCGGGGCTCCGGGGAACTCTGTGGATACACAGAGTGCTGAGTCGGGGCTATGCTCTCCAGTTCTCCTGGCGGCCCCCTCCTTTCTGCGGCATTCTCCAGACAGGGCTAGGCAGCCCGGAGAACGCCGTGGCGCTTCACAGGGAGGTCAACACGCTTCTGCAGCGCCGGGCGGTAGTGGAGGTAGACCCGCTCAGGACAGGGAAAGGGTTTTACTCTCCATACTTCATAGTCCCCAAAGAATAAAAAAAAAAAAAAAAAAAAAAAAGTGCGGAGGGTGCGGGCCATGCTGGACCTGCTCGTCCTCAATGGCTGCATAGCCAAGCGACTGTTTCGCATGCCCACAGTAAACAGCTACTCCTGAGCATCAGGCCCGGGGACTGGAGGTCCTCCGTGGACCTCCACGACGCGAATTTTCACAAACCCATTGCACAGGGGCACAAGAAGTTCCTCCGGTCCCCCACTCGGCTACTCCCTAGCCCCCCCGCACCTTCTCCAAGTGTGTGGAGGCGGCGCTAGAACCCCTTCGGCGTCAGGGCCTCAGGACACTGACGTATATCAACGAATGGTGATCCTGTCCTTCCGGGAGGATGCGCAGGATCAAACGTTCAGAGTGTTAAACCACGTGCCCACCTAGGGTTTGTGATCAATAGGGACAAAAGCTCCCTGTGCCCGGCCCAGGAGATCTCGTATCTGGGACTGGGCTTGAATTCCAGGAGCATGACGGCTTCACTCTCGCCAGAGAGAGAAGCGGCGGTTCAGAACCTGGGCCGGATCGTTCTGGGTGAACCTCGGGTGCAACCGCGGCAGATCCAGTCTCTCTTGGGCATGATGGCAGCGGCCCATCCAGTGGTGAGACTGGGGTTGCTGCACATGCGATATCTCCAGAGGTGGTTCTCACACCTCAGGGGCTTTCACGGAGGGAGCGACTGTCGTTGAGGGCTCAGAACGACGTCGCCTTCTGGCTGTCCCCAGGTCGACTCCAGGAGGGAGTTCAAATGGGTGTTGTGGACCACCACATCAAGGTCTTCACGGACGCCTCACTGAGTGGTTGGGGAGGCGTGCTCGGCCACCACTCGACAGGAGGCGTTTGGTCCTCCCCCTTGGGGCACATCAACCTCCTGGAGTTGGAGGCGATGCGGTTGGTGCTGGCCCATTTCATGACCAGACTGGAGGGCCAACAGGTGATTGTTCGGACGGACAACACCACTGTGGCAGCATATCTGAACAGGCATGGGGGGACCAGGTCCCCCGCCCTTCACAGGCTGGCAGTGGAGGTTCTTCTGTGGGCGGACATTCACCTAGCCTCTCTGAGGGCCCGTCATATCCCAGGCGAGCGTAACGTGGCCGCCGACAGGATGTCCAGGGGCGAGGCCTTGCGGGACGAGTGGGGTCTCGCCCCAGCGGTCGTGGCAGAGGTCTGGCTCCGGTTCGGGACACCGGTGGCCGACTTTTTCCCAAATGCAGAGAACGCACAGTGCCCACTCTGGTTCTCGCTCAGGTCCAGCAACAAGCCCCCTCTCGGGGTGGACGCCATGGCGCACCGGTCGTGGCCCAACGGTCTCCTCTACGCCTTCCCGCCTCGCCGGCTCTTGGCAGCCCTGCTTTACAGGGTGAGGACGGAGGAGTCTCCATCCTGGTGGTGGCGCCGGACAGCCCGGGAGCCAGGTGCTATCCGGACCTGGTGAGCATGGCGCTCAGTCCGCCTTGGCCCGTTCCGGACCGTCCTGATGCTCTGAGACAGGCAGGGGGAGCCCTTTACTCACGCCCTGTCCTGGGAAGCAGGCTCATGTTGAGCCTTGGTCTCCCTCCCTCAGTGGTCGCTACTATTCAGGGTGGGAGGGCTACATCCACCACCAAAGCGTATGAGGTTCGCTGGAAACTCTTCGCCTCTTGGTGCGTGGACAGATGTTGGACACCACCTAGTGGGGTCCAACATCCCTCCATCCAGGAGGTCTTGGCTTTTCTCCAGTTCTTGCTGGAGAAATGGAAGGGCGGCCTCCACTCTGGGTGTGTTCGCGGCGGCCATTACCACTGGGCACGAAGGGGTTTGGTAGCCACTCTGCGCGGTTCCTACGAGGGGCCCGCAGGATCAGGCCTCCCCTCCGGCGGTCGGCTTCGTCTTGGGACCTTCAGGTGGTCTTGGCTGGCCTTTCAGGGCCTCCATTTGAACCCCTGGACAATGCGACCATTGCCTCATTGTCCTACAAAACGGCATTGTTGTGGGCGTGGGCTTCGGCCAAGAGGTCTGGGGATCTGTGCGCCTTTTCCGTGCAGCCGTCTTGTTTGTCCCTCCCCGATCGGGAGGGCATGATGGACATGGCACTTCGGTGGAGGAGATCTGCAGAGCGGCGTCTTGGTCCTCCTCCTCGACTTTTGTGCAGTTTTACCTACTGGAGGTGGCCTGAGTGAGTGCAGGGTGGCCCTAGTTCCTCCTTCGACAGACCTCGGTGAGAACTGGTCTGCAGGGGGGGGGGGTTGTGTGGAGAGGTGTTGGCGCTCTTGGGAGAGGCGGCCAGGACACCTCTGCAGTAAGGATAGGCGCTCTTGGGAGAGGCGGCCTAGGCCCTTCTGCAGTCTGCTTTACACTCCTGGGGATCAGGCGCTCTTGGGAGAGGCTGCCTGCCCAGGTTTGTTCTGATTTCTTTCCTGCTTTGCATGTTGGAGAATGCGTGGGCACTCTTGGGAGAGGTGACCCAGCATCCCTTTCTCTATGGCTCGTAGGACCTCCGTCTCTACCGCTTGGTTGCGGTATGAGCACGTGGGTCACGCGTTTGCTCGAATCACCGGAGTTCATGCCTGCTGGGAGTACATCGGTCTGGGCTTCGCTATGTTATGCATTAGCGAAGCCTAAAGGGCGAAGCAACATATGAAATAGAAACCCCAGTTACTTAATGTAACTAAGGTTCTATGAATATGTTGCGAAGCCCTTTAGCTTCGAGCCCAGCAGGCCTGCCCTCTCTTATTCGGCTGAGTTCGAAAGGAGAAGAGCTGTGGTGCATGGCCCTATTTATAGGGGACTGGCCTACGCCAGGACGTGAAGGTGATTGGAGGGTGGATCGTTTGATCTTCTCAGGGCGGGAAGCGATGCTTCCGAGAGATATGCATTAGCGAAGCCTAAAGGGCTTCGCAACATATTCATAGAACCTGGGTTTTTCCAGTGTCTGTCTCTTTGATGCCTGAGCCTGAACGCCTTCACGCACAGTCCACATCGGAAGGGCTTCTCTCCTGTGTGGATCGAAGCGTGAACGTTCAAATTACACTCATCGTGAAACTCCTTCCCACACTCCTTACACTTAAGTTCGGTAAAGTTAGCTTGATATTCACAGATTCGGACTTCCGCGGTGAATATCTTACGAAAGCTACGTTGTTAAACGAAAGTAATTGTGCCAAAATGATCACCTCTACATGGGCTAACTACTACAACATCGATTTTTCTAATCCAATGCGCTGTTTTAATGCAGAGAAATCCATTGAATCCAATGCGCCGCAAGTGCCGGGAAAAGCACTTAGGGAGCGTCAACAAATGCCAATACCAGCTGTGTAAACGAACAATAGTTTTTATTTTAAGCCAAGTACACGCACTAAACTCTCAAATACTATAAATAGCTACCATATCTAACTACTACAACCTTTGTTTTCAGCATTTGTTTCTTTTTTGTATTTTTTATGAATAAATAGGATTTAATATTAATATGAATTTTGAATAACTTTTTTTCAAAAAGGGGCGTGGTCACCAAATTCTCAGGTATGTTCAATAACTGCCATATCTAACTACTACAACTTTTGTTTTCAGTAGAAATATCTTTTTTATATTTTTTATGATTAAATATGAATATGAATTTTGAATAACTTTTTTCAAAAAGGGGCGTGGTCACCAAATTCTCAGGTATCATCAATAACTGCCATATCTAACTACTACAACTTTTGTTTTCAGCAGAAATATCTTTTTTACATTTTTTATGATTAAATATGAATATGAATTTCGAATAACTTTTTTTCAAAAAGGGGCGTGGTCACCTAATTCTCAGGTATAATCAATAATTAAAATATCTCATGGGTTTGACCATGCAGGTGGAGGTTTGGAGCCTCGGCTTCCTCTCTCCTCATGGTTCAGAGTCGTCTCCTGCTTCAAGAGGCTCTCTGTTTCTGATTCAGACCACTCCTCAGATTGTGCTTCCTCTGCTTTTTTCATGTGTGTGCGTGTGTTTTCTGAGGGTTGTGGTATTGTTTACTTGTTTGTTAACACTTGTTTGTGTTACATCCTTGTTATTATTATTATTGACACGTGAAGGTCAGATAGAGATTTAATTATAAAAAATATAAAAAAGATATTTCTGCTGAAAACAAAAGTTGTAGTAGTTAGATATGGCAGTTATTGAACATACCTGAGAATTTGGTGACCACGCCCCTTTTTGAAAAAAAGTTATTCAAAATTTATATTCATATTTAATCATAAAAATATAAAAAAGATATTTCTTCTGAAAACAAAAGTTGTAGTAGTTATATATGGCAGTTATTGATGATACCTGAGAATTTGGTGACCACGCCCCTTTTTGAAAAAAAGTTATTCAAAATTCATATTTATATTTAATTATAAAAAATATAAAAAAGATATTTCTGCTGAAAACAAAAGTTGTAGTAGTTAGATATGGCAGTTATTGATGATACCTGAGAATTTGGTGACCACGCCCCTTTTTGAAAAAAAGTTATTCAAAATTCATATTCATATTAAATCCTATTTATTCATAAAAAATACAAAAAAGAAACAAATGCTGAAAACAAAGGTTGTAGTACTTAGATATGGTAGCTATTTATAGTATTTGAGAGTTTAGTGCGTGTACTTGGCTTAAAATAAAAACTATTGTTCGTTTACACAGCTGGTATTGGCATTTGTTGACGCTCCCTAAGTGCTTTTCTCGGCACTTGCGGCGCATTGGATTCAATGGATTTCTCTGCATTAAAACAGCGCATTGGATTAGAAAAATCGATGTTGTAGTAGTTAGCCCATGTAGAGGTGATCATTTTGGCACAATTACTTTCGTTTAACAACGTAGCTTTCGTAAGATATTCACCGCGGAAGTCCGAATCTGTGAATATCAAGCTAACTTTACCGAACTTTACACTTACACCTTCTGACCTCCGAGTGCCGGATCATGTGTCTCTCCAGACTCTGCTTCGTCCCGAGCCTTTTGCCACACTGCGCGCACCCAGAACTCCCGTCGACCTTGCCCTTTCCTTTGGCCTCCACGTGCGTCTCTTCGTGTTTCTGTGCCGCGGCTTTTGCGACGCACCTCCTCCCGCAAAAATCACAACCGAACGGAAATTCTTCTCTGTGGCGCATCTCGTGCACCTCCCTGGTGCGCTTGTTCTTGAAGGATTTCCCGCACGCCGAACAAACAAAATGTTTTTCCTTCGTGTGGACCGCGGCGTGTGCGTTCAAATTGCTTTTATGGTTGAACCGCTTGTGACACACTTCGCAAGCAAATAACTTCTCTTTGCTGTGGATGTTTTTGTGCACGCTGAGGAATCTTTTGCTTCGAAATGTCTTGGGTCACTGGTCGCACTGGTACGGCGTCTCTTCAGTGTGAGATTTTTTGTGTTCTGTCAAATTGCCGTTAAGTTTAAAAGCCTTCCCGCAATATTCGCAGCTGTAGGGGCGTGCGTCACTGTGTCCCTCCGCTGCGAAATCCCCTTTCCGTAAGAACGATTTTCTGCACGTCTTGCATTCAAAGTCCCTGTGGCCGCTGTGGATGAGTCGGTGGTTGTTCAAAGAGCTCTTTTGGACAAATGTCTTTCCACAGATTTCGCAGGAGTATTTTCTTAGGCCCAAGTGCACAATCAGATGCTGTTTGAGATTGACCAAACACTCAAACCTCTTGTTGCAAAAGGAGCAGCTGTAGAAACCGTTCACTTCTTCAAAGCCTGAGGCCGAGTCTGAGAAAGAAAGATAAATTAGCGCTGCAACATTGCAGAAGGGTCCAAGGACAGTGGTGCTGATCCAGGACACTCGACATTCAACAACATTTAAGGACTTTCTCAACATTTATGGCTATTGGTCTGAACCGATATCTGTATGTGTTTGTATCATTGGATTTCTAATGTTTAATTCTCTGATCTGTGTGAAATTTCACCGTTTTGTAAAGTCCTTCAAGATTATTGTGATGTAGGGCTATAATTTTTTTTTCAACATTCAATGGACTGTACAGAATTTAAAGAAGAAGTATTTAAAGAGAAGTATTTTTTTTAATTTCAGTTTCTATCTCTGTGTGGAGTGAGAGACAAATGTCCAAAAAAATTGAAAAGCGCTTTGTGACTCTGGTCAGTGAAAGGCGCTATAGCTTCAGATTCAGATTCAGATTCAGACTACTTTATTTATCCCACCAGGGGCAATTCATTTGAGCAGCACATAACTTAAAAAAACCCAAAGGAAATTTGAATCTGAATCTGAATCTAGTGGTAGAAGCGGGAAGTTGCATTCTGCTCTCATAGTAGTAAACAGCATGGTGTAATTGATGGCATGCAGTTATAAAAAGAGCATAATTTGACAAGTGTCCCCACTATGACAAATGTCAATTTGCGTCAAATTAATTCAATTTGTTCAAGGGGCTGGTGCTCTGTGTAATGGGTAGCATCTCTGACTGCCACCCCCCTGACCCAGAAATGGATTAAGGGGAAGAAGATGGATGGATGGATGGATGGATTGTTCAAGTTTTACAAGTTTGAGATAGTTGCATTTGGATGTTTGTGCCACATGGTCCTGATATTTGCTATTTAATAAAGAAAATTGTTGTAAAAGACTACTTTTCCTCGTGTCTTTTCAGTTAGTCATTTTATACCTGGATTTGTGCAGATTAATAAATAATTTTTATTCAAAATATTTCATGTTTTAAGTTTGAAAATGATGGTATCTAGTTGTGTAGGGCAAGAACAACTAAAACCACGTACCTTGTTCTTGTCCGGAATCCTCAGATCTGTCCTGGATGTAGTCATCGCTTGAGATTTCAAAGTCTTCGTCTTTCACCTGCACCTTCATCACGTCCTTTTCCCACTCAGTGCTGCCCTCTTCTGGCGGAAGTGCTGGTAAAAATACATCATTGAGTGGTGAGCATCCAAACCAAATAAATCCTATATCCCTTCTGTCTTCATGAAAGGTACTAATCATTCATCTCATAAATAACTATGCTGTCTAACTGTAAGGCTTGTCCATCAGACTGCTGAAACACATTCATTTTAACATGAAAAATAGAAAAACCCACCTCTGTATTCGGCCATGACAATATCTTTTGTCGATATCCAAATAAAAATCTATGCAATTTCACACTTTCACCACAAGATTGGAAGAATGTACAAAACTATTAGTTATAAAAAGACTGTCTGACCTCCCTGGGTAAATATTTCTACTTATTTCCCATTCCAAACCACAACATTCCAATGTAAATATCATCAAGATCATGTTTAAGGGTTAAATTAAATGAAATTATGCATATTTGTTTAGTGTTAATTGTTTAATTTTGTTTAGCATAGCAACAGTTAATCATGGGATGGATATTTCTGACCCATTTAAAACTCAGTGGGGGCTTTTAAGGAAATGGACAGAAACACACAAGTTTCTGTACTTCGTCAGTGTTTCCCAGTAGAACAGAGAAACTCACTTGTGCTGAGGGCATTGGCCGTGTAGACCGTGCCATCCTCCAGCTCCACTTTGATCTGAAACTTCTCGTCTTTATCGACAATGGAAATAAATCCATTGTTCAACTTCATCTCCTCCTCCACACAGAGTCCAGCACACCTTCTCTGAGCAAAGATGGATGAATCTGAGAAAAACAGGACAAACTGCTAAATAAGAGCTAAACAAAGACTAATTTTGGTATAACTTGAATTTATGGAAAAAATACAATAAAGTACAGTTTATATTTATTCTTCTAATGACACTGTTTTGCAAATGAACTATTCAAATGTACTCAATAATAATGATCAGAATAACAGGACTAAACAAAGACTAAATCAGGTGCATTTTATCATGCCCAAATCCGGTTATTATAATATACATGCCTTATAAGCAATGAACATTTCCGTGTGCCTGAAAGTGCAAAATAGCCTTTTTTTGATTTTCCGATTCCGATTCATTTATTACTTTGTCTCCTGAAAGAAAATTGTGTATTGGAGGGGGGGTCAGTAGCCCCCACAGATACAGACATCAAAAATTTAAAAATAAAAATAAATAAAAGAACACACATTTCCCTTCAAAAATAGAGAAGTACACGGACCTAGTACCAGTCTAAAAATATCCCTGTAATATAAACAGATGAACAGACCTAATCGGCCCAAAGTGTCATTATCCTGTCTAGAACCGGTGAACGAGTTCTACTTACTCATCGATCAAAATGCTCGAAAGTAGGCGTGGCTTAGACATTTTTCACAATAAAAGGCCACTGCCTCTGCGGGATCTCTAAAGTCCGAAATAAAGACTCCTTTCTCGTAGTGTTTCTGACGAAGGATTGCTATCACATATAATCAACGTAAATCAGATGTGTTGTTGCTGTTCCAAATACTGTCTGTGAATCGCGAACTGTTTCCCATGACACTGACCTGAACAGCTGCAAGGTGCGCAGTTTAACCTGGAGCTGCGGTGGGACTGTGGTGTTCCCATTCAATAAACACGCTCACAACAGCGATTTACAAACACATGACCAGCGCCTGCTCTCACACATTGTTCTCATATACTACAGTCATAAGAAATATTGATGTAGAAAAAGAAACTGTAGAAAAAGAAGAACATGTGGAATTAATGCTGTATGTGATCGCTATCACAGACCAGGAAAAGGACGTTCGGGTTGTATGAGTGAGCAATAATGTGACTAATAATGAGCATGCAACTGTGACAGGACGAACATGTGTGTGTGTAAAGCATGACAGCAGCAAGAGGGTGTCACTGAAAGATGACAGCAGATGGCCAAACACATGTTGTATTTGTAGAGTGGGCTAGATCCACCTGCGTGTCCGCGTACTCGCACCCCGCTTCACCTGTCTCCAAAGCATTGTAACGCAATGTCACTGGCAATAGAATGGTACACCCTGTTCCTGTTACCTGTGTCGTGTAGCCACAGACACATACACATAGATCGTACGCTCGGACGCGGTTTGGTACGTGGTGCAGCGACAGATTAACCTGCTGACGCATCTCCAGATCCTCTTTCAGAGACGTCTCTGCAGCATTTCTCTGTCACTGCGCTGCGGACATGTGTTTTACGCGTTGCTCGGTCACAATTCCATGTCACAATTGTTCCCTTGTGTGCAGTATGACATTTTTTTTTTCCTAAGCCTTTTTACACTTGTAGATTTCCGTAGAGGTAAAAAAACAAAACAAAAACTCACACACAAATAACTAACACGAAAATGTTAAAATGTTATCTTTCAGCAGAGGACGAGTTGACTTCCGGGAGAGGCACGTGATTTCCGTTCGGACCAATCAGAAACATAAACAAATGCTCAAACATAACGGTCGAGGCGAGGATAATAAAGCATAATGTTGAGCGGAGAAAGGACGTGAAAAAAAATCTAATAATAGATAATAGAATAATACATAATAATTGATCTTTTTTTCTAATAATAAATCCTGAGTGCTCGTATTATTCCTATTTATTCTGCTGTGATGTGCTCAACTATGACATTTTACCACTGAGAGTCAAATAAAAGTTCTTCTGAAATAGAAGTGAGTAAATTAAATCAATTCCTGGAATGAACTTCCGAGCTAATATAACTCCGGTCAATTATAATTTCCCTGCATTTAGTACGAAAGGTAATTTGTACTATGGTGTGATACGACCAGGCTATGATAGACATGGAATAAAATGGGTAAAAACATCTTACTCGCGATTCCATTTTTTTGATATACTGAGAAATTGGTGTTCTAGTTTGTCAAGTGCTTTGTAAAAGTCGAGAAAAAAATGAGAAATAAAATAAATCCTTAGTGTTAAAGATCTTTTACCAGTCTATTATGTTTTGATCTATTATTTACAAATCCTGATTGAGTTTCACTGACAATTGTAATTGTAAAAACCAGTTTTTAACCTGTTAGTGTATATGTTAATAATTTATAGTCATTATTTAATAATGAAGTGGGATGATAGTTTTCTAATATTTCGTTGTCTTTATCTGGATTGGAATTAAGTGTTACGATGCCTTGTTTCATGGTGGTTGGTAGTTTGAAATGAATTTGAAATGAATGAACATGTCCCTGACTTTTGTGTGTTAGACCTGTACCATCTATTCCAATGCGGTTTTACTGCTAATGGAAAATAAACTGAATCTGAAAATAAAAGAGAATGGTTGGACTAAACTCACAGTAATTTATGTGTGTGTATGTGTGTGTGTGTGTCAGACCTCATGACTGATCAGGAATTCTGACCTAAAACAGTGATATGAAGAGCAAGACAAACATACGAGTACTAAGAGAGACTCAAAGATTTATTGTCAAGTTTCTCCTCCTTGATTATGGAGTGGGGGTGGGGAGTGAAGGGTGGGAGCCCAGGGAGGGCAGGTAAGGACGGGAGTTCAGCTTCCTGATCGCCTGGTAGAGAAAATGGTTCGTCAGTGGACTGGGCCTGTCCCGTGGATTTCCCAGTCTCCGCCCTGAAAGCATTACTTTGAGGGGCTGTTGTGGGTGTGTAGGGTCTCAGGTCATTCTGACGGCTTGAGACAGGTAAGTGTCCTAATGCTCCACAGATCTTCTCAGTTTCTCTTACAAAGCACTCGAGGCTTCTGCAGCAGGTGGCAGAGCTGGCACCGTGCTCCTGAGGATCCAGCTCTGCTTCTGCTCCTCCAGAGAAACAAAAGACAGAAAGGATCAGTTCTTCAAAATTAAAGGAGAACTTGTGTCAGGTTAGCATAAGGATCAGACAGGGGCCAAGCAGGAGAGGTGAGCCAAGCAGGAGGAGCAGAGAGCTTAGCAGGTGGAGGAGGAGGAACAGAAGGACGAGAGAGGAGAGAAGACGAGGAGGAGCAAAAGAACCTCCCAGAACGAAGAAACTTGGCAGAGCGGCCAGGCATAGTGAGCGAGAGAGGACATAGCTTAAGAGTCCTCAGCAGGAGATCAGGAGGCCTGATGGAGTCCTCAGCAGGAGGTGTGGAGGCCTGATATAGGAGGAGCACAAGGATCTGTGGAGGAGGAACAGGTTAAACATCATTGATAACAGCTTCTTAATTTCAATGTTTTCTCTCAACATTTCTCACTTTTACATGAGATAAAGGAAATATGATGCATTATTTGTGGCCATTGGGAAATGTGTGAAGTAATTAAAAATGTGATGAGTTCACCAATAATTGCTCTACTTCACTGTCATCACATTTGTTCATTCATTATTATTATTATTATTATTATTATTATCACCCCTTAATCAATCCATTTCTGTCAATCACCAATCAGCGACAATCACACGCCCCCGTTCCCAGCTCCATGTCTTACAGCTACAATGACATCACACTATCACAGGACTGAGACAGGAGCTTTCAGACTGAGGGAGGCGCTTTTACATGTTTGTGCCAGACCTTCAGGATACCAGCGTGGATGGATCTAAAAACACCTCCAGGACTGTTTTTGATGAGGACAACATTGTATCATGGTTAAAATAAGTTGATTTGAGAAAATATTGTGAATTCAGGTGGATCAGGTCCTTTGAAAAATTAGATGTCTTCAAGTTTTAAATAGATTTGTTTTCTTTTGTTATAAATATTACATTTATAGTTTGTCTCAGCAGAGAGTCTTATAAAAGTAAATGATTCATGAACATTTTATCTTTTGTATCGAAAGAGCTCTGTGAGTCATGATGGTCCTCTCTTTTTCACTTTTGTGAAGACAAAAACACAGGCTGTGAAAACTAGGGATTGAACCAAACCGTTAAGAGCGAGGGTCTAAAGTCTGGTTAAAAGACTGTATTTGCAGAGTTTGTTGTTTTGTGGTAAAGTCCCGCTTGTGGATGTGAGCAAGAACCATTTGGAACCATTTGGACTATGGCAGGTATGGAAGGAGTACATCTTCTAAATAAGAGACTTATTTAAAATCACATGGATCATAATCTCCATGTAGACTAATGTTGAACTGAATTGTCTCAGAGACAGTAGAAACATCACTTCTGTGGCTGATGAAGACGTTTTTATGTTGGGTCTTCCTCAACATGCTGGTTTCATGGTTTCATGTGGCTTGAGGACTTTGATTTCTTACACTTATAATTATTATACTCAGTCTAATCTCTCTGTAAAACCTGCTTTAGCCACAAATCAAAGTTATCTTTGTTGCTATTTTTCTGTCTGTGAGTGAGTAACACAGGCAAAACCCATAGGACTAAGGTGAACAGGGAAAGTGGAAAATCTCACGTTTTTTCCTCAGAAAAGTCTGGTAGTTGTGGTCAGGAGTAGGTCAGCAGCAGTCTGGGTGGAAATGGCCTGCAGGGATGTCTCCTGTTTGAAGAAATCGTCGAGTGAAGTTTGACAAAATGAGTTTGTGTCTCAGCCAAAGTTTTGCACGGATGCAGTGATTCAAAAGATGCACTGGCCCTAGCAACGCCACCTAGCAACAAGAGGCGCGTGCTCATTTCACATTCACGAGACGCAGTGATTTAAATAGCCTTAAATATTCATTATTATTAGATTATATGTACATTTCCACATGCACGTATCATGTTAGGACAATGGCTCCCTCTGCTGGTGGCCTACGGTCTGCGGATGTTCTCATGGACAGCTCAGTCAAGTGCAACAAGAAACGTTTATAACTAAAATATTCTTAGAAATTGCATTAACAGGACACCTTTGGGTCAAAGCCAGCAACATTTTACCTAAAAAGTGGCAACCCAAATATGACTTTTTTTTTTCTTTGATTGGACAATCTGCTTTAAACCTGTAAAAAGAAAAACATTATGGACTTTAAGTCCATTGTATTTATTTTTATTTTTATTAAGAATATCTCATTTTAAACTTCTGTTCAGATTTGAGGTGGGACCTGTTAACTGAGGACACATAAAGGACCGGTATGGAATGTTTTAATTAATCTTTTGGAGAAAAACTCACACAAAACAAAACCCTTCCACAATACAATGCTGTCGATCAGTTATAAAAATAACAGATTCAAAACAATTGATTTGTCCAGTTCAATTCAATTCCATTTATTCTTGTATAGCCCTAAATCACAAAGGTGTTATCTTGGAGGACTTTACACAACCGTTGAATTTTCCAACACAGATCAGAGAATCAAACACAAGAAAAAGTTGTCCATTCCTCTGACCAATATGACACCCACCAACAAAGAGGCAATCCTTGAAGCCAAAATGGGGTTCTTAAAAATGCAAACAATAATAATCTATTGTCCTTATCACATTCAATGTCAAAAATACAGTAAACTACTTCGAGTCCTTTCTCAGTCCCTGTGTCTTTCTTGGTGACTGTCCCTGTGATGCTTCAGTTTGAATTTGTTTCCACAGACTTCACACTCATAAAGCCTTTCCCCCAAGTGAATCGTCATCATGTGTTTTCTCATATTACTTTTATCATTGAACTTTTTCCCACACTCCTGACACTCGTGCTGCTCCTCATGCCTCTGCATGTGCAGTTTCAAACTAGCTGGGGTCTGAAATCTCTTTGTGCAGTGTTTACAACCATACTTTAGCTCGTAGTCAACAATTTTTGCCTTTACATCCGCTTTCACGTGCGTCTTTACGTGATTTTGCAACAGGCTTTTGCAGACAAACGACTTTCCACATTTGTCACAAACAAAAGGACATTCCCCTCTGTGCCGCATCTCATGTTGCAGCCAATGCTGCTTGATTCGAAACTTCTTTTCACAAAAGGAACAGCTGAAAGGTTTCTCCCCCGTGTGAAGTGTTGCATGTTTTCTCAAATTACTTGCATCGTTAAAAGCTTTGAGACACACTTTGCATTCAAAACCTTTCTCTTTGTTGTGCGTTCTTTTGTGACTAGTTAACAATACTTTCATTTTGAAGTGTTTGGGACACTGGTCACATTGAAAAGGACTTTCATCTGTGTGGCATTTTTTGTGCTGTGTCAATTTAGCTTGACATTTGAACATTTTCCCACACTGGTCACAGCAGTATGGACGTTCATCACTATGGCTCCTCATATGTATACTCAAATCTCCTTTTCGTTTAAACTTTTTGGGACACGCCTTGCATTGAAAGTCTTTGTTTCCGCTGTGGATGAGTTGGTGACTTTTCAAAGATCCTTTTCGGCTGAACCTCTTTCCACAGACGTCGCAAGAAAACTTTTTGACCCCCGAGTGAATGGCCAGGTGTTGTTTGAAAATTTGAATCCGATTAAAAGTTCTATCACACTTGAGGCACACGTACTGGTTTTCTTCTGAAAAAGAGAAAAACAACACATTATAATTACCTGTTGACAATGAGAATATAAAAAACAGAAGGCAAACGTTTTTTAATACACAAAACAGATATAACATGCAAAACACGCTTTGAAATGTAGTTATTGTCAAAAAAAATTCTTTAGAGCAATACATTTAAATGCGTTTACGCCCGAGACGCCACCCTGACCCTCACCATCGCAACACGCCCCCACGGTTATCAGTTTCTAAAAAAGGATCTGATATGTGGAGTCTGTGATCCAAAACGCCCCTTCAACATTTTTGCACTCTCCTTAATGAACTCTCACTGTTCTTTTTATATTTTGCATTATAGTAGCAGCAGTGGTGGTAACAGCAGTAGCCCCAGCTGTAAAAATACCTTTATCATCGGACTCAGTTTCTTGATCAAATACTGCATCTTCATCTTCCGTCTCAACATCACTCTCAGCAGAATCCCCGTCTGGCACGAAGTCTAAAACAGGACCATCAGAGTAGTGCTGGTTCACATCATATCATACAGTCAATTATCAGTTTATGTGTATTGTGCTTATTTAATTAGGACGCACACTGCACCTGGTTGAAGCCATCTTAGAAATGAGGATGGCCACAATTGAATTCATAAGAAATGCCTCCCTACTTATCGTTTTGTGTGTGTGTATTGTGATTTCCACTTATATTGGGAACGATCATGTTATAATTGTGGAAAGGCATGTCTTCTCACTGTGAAAGGAGGTCTCCAACATGTAGAAGCTTGCCAGTTCTTTATGGGTGGCTCTCCAAAAGGATTTAGAGGAATTCCTTCACTTTTGCGTCCTTGCATATTCATTTGAACGATTCATGTATTCATTATATTCACTAATGCAGGGATGCGTATTGTTTGTATAATGCAGAGGAAGCCAAGTAGAGCTGGCTTGAACAGCAACAGCCTAGTAACTAAAGAACCGATCAGGAGTGGCGCTTCAATGATGAGTTGTAATAGCACTAAAACAACATATTATTAGTCAAATGTTAGGGCACATAATTTGGAAGTTATCATAATCAAACACCCGGATTACACCGAGCATTAAACCACAGATTTAAATGGTTTGCGTAAGAGCTAGGAGAGTTTACTGTAACTTCTTCAATTGAATGGAGCCAAAACGAGAAGCTGCAGAACCTCACCCATGAACCATTTTTAATATACTTCATAAATCCACTTGCATTCTAAGGTTGTATCCTCATAATACAAGTGTCCTCACATATATTTTAACCAACTTAACAAAAAAAGAAAGTACACCTTTCACATTTCTGTCAATATTTATTATTCGTAGGGAAACACTGAAGACATTACACTTTGATACAACGTAAAGTCGACACTGTACAGCAGTGGTTCTCAAAGTGGGGGGCATGATGCACTAAGCTGGAGAAAATCGAAAGGTGATTTCAAAAAAGTTTTTTTGAAGTTTTTGAAATTTGAAGACAATAATTGAGTGGAATTGGATAAAAATAACACAATAACATGTTTTGACACTTGATGATTACTGCTTTATCATATTTTATGATGTCTCACTGAAACGTTTGCGGAGCCCCTGCTGTACAGCTTCACAAACCTGAGCAACATTAAGATGAAGTAGGAAAATTGCAAGAGATTAAATTTTGCACCATTGGATCCTCACAAAGGTAGAATTTCAGAATGAAAAAAGGATGAAATCACATGCAGATATAAAAGGGCAAGCAACTGAGAGGATTGGGTACAGAAAATAATAAATCAGTCAAGAGAGTTGTGGACCATCACAACTCTGGTTCCTCCTTGTTCCAATTTCCAAATATGCTAAAAAAAAAGTCGTGTTCAACTTTAACAAGTTCACTCTGACTTCTCGCCAGCGCATTTGAACGACGGCGGCCTCCAAAGCTGTGCTCCTTTTCTCTGTGCTGCAATTTCAGCCCGTTGCTTCCATCAAGACCTCCTTTCACTTTATAAATTTGTCAAAATGGGCCATATCATGGCAGGTTACCATGGAAACATACATATATATTTCCACCAGATACCAGTTAATATTGGGTATCTGCAAATACCAAAATCCCAGTTATTGGTGTCCAAAAAAACACTTGGACATGAGGTCCCAACCACCAGACTTAAAGGCCCCGTCCACACGTAGCCGGGTATCTGCTAAACCACAGATATTTGTCTTCCTTTGCACCTGTCATCCACATGACAACGCATCAGAAACAAATATATAAAAAACCTCCGGGCAAAGTGGAGATTTTTGAAAACTCCGTTTATGCAGTTGCGTGTAGACAGAGATAACCGGAGTTTTGCCTTTTCGCACGTCACGGTATGCTCCCAAAACAACAACAAACAAAACATGCGACCTCTGATCAGTGAAGGATTATACTGCCTTAAAAACTGTTCGCTGCTGCTCCACATCAGAGAGCAGCAAAGTGATCATGCATGCTCGAAAACAACCAAAACAGGAGCGAAACCAGGATTAAACCAGGGCTGAGGACAGGGGTCAGTGCTTATGAACATATGCACCCTGAGTTCCTACTATGACTGTAAGTGCCGCCACAGAAGTACCAGCGTCTGCATCAAAGCTCCGCCCACTTCTGTGGTTTTTCCCCAACGCAGGACGTCAGAAGACGCCAGTGGGGGTGGGTCCCAGCTCAAAAGTGGCCAAAATGACGTGCGCTGACATGCTTGCAATACCACCCCGGGCCGATGGGGTGGACCCAGAAGTAGAATTAGCCAATGCTAACATATAGCATTGGCAGACCTCTCAAAAACGTCTTTACAGGATGGACCAAAAGTTGGCTCTTGGCCCAAAGCTCCGTTCCACATGTGTGTCAATGCTGAGGGGGTGGATTTTTTTGGTCCACTCTAGTTTACTTGCTGTGAATCTTTGAAGTCTCTCGTTCAAATGAATGGAGTTGCGCCGGCTGACGCATGCGCAGATGCGTTTTTTCACAATTTTCTTGTGGGCGGGACCACTCGCGGCCATTTTGGATTGCTCCAGTAGAGCACATTTTTTGGCCCATTAGTTAGAACGGCGGAGATAGGCGTGACTCTGTCCATTAATATATACAGTCTATGGAAGACGCACATGTTTGGAATGTTATGAATGTGATTGAAAACACAGATGTTCGGTTGTGTGTGGATGCAAATTAATTTTATAAACCGAGGGGGGGAAATATTCGGTTTTAAAAATACCCGGCTACGTGTGGACATGGCAAAAGACAAGTGGGCTGTAAGTGAACCCAGATATTTTGCATTTGGCAGAGTGGGCCAATGATATGCATACAAAGGTTTTGCCAGTAGGGATTTACCTCTAATTACCGTTTAATTGTTACAAGAACCTCATTATTGGAAGAGGCTTACTCTGCTTTGGCCCTTTGGGATGAATAGCTTGTAGACCCATGTCATCGAGTGTGCGCCGTATGGTGTCGGGACTGACCGGCAGACTTGCCATCGCACTAAACTTTGCAGCAATACCAGCAGCATTCATCCCCTCATTTTCCCAAAACAACTTCTCGATTAGACTCCGAGCATGCACATTCAATTTCTTTGGTCGACCAGAGCGAGGCAGGCTTTTAACAGAACCTGTATTCTTAAACCGATTTAAGGTTGAGACCACAGTAGCGCGGCTCAGGTTCAAGCGCTTGGCAATGGTTGGAGAGCGAAGACCCGCTGTATACAAGTCAACAATTCTTTGTCTCAGATCCTCAGACAGTTCTCTGCTCCTCCAGTGACCTGTGTGAGACAGTGAGAGCAACACCACCACATTTATCTCCATTCAACACTAACGCGTCACATAACACTGTGGAAGTTTCTTCACTTGTTGCCAGGGACATTTACATTGCATCAAAGTGTAATTTCATTTTGTAATTGAAATATGAGGAGAGGACTCACTTGTCGTACATACTCAGTTTTGCAGCTGTAACAATTGATGCTAGAATCTTTGGCTGAAGCCATTACGAATGACTGCTTTTTGCAGTCACTCAAAAAAATTGGCCGTGAATGACATTTGAAGGCACTTTTAGTTGTTGTGGCTTTTAGTCTGAAAAATGACAACTTCAATTTCAGTCACTCATATATGATTCAGTTTTATAAAAAGTGCTCAACCAATATAAAAATATTGAAATAAACAGATAAGGAACCATAATTGATCAAGTCATTTCAAGCCTTGTTTATTCAAAACATGGAACGTGAAATCAAACATAATCACAGAAACCATCCATAGTTAGTACTCACCTAAACACCTATTGCGCCTGGGTTCAACTCCTGGGCTGTGTGGAGTTTGCATGTTCTCCCTGTCTTTGCGTGAGTTTCTTTCATGCGCTCCAGTTCCCCCTACCATTAAAAACATGTACAATAGGTGTAAATGTAAGTGAATGATTGGTGGTGGTCACTGGTCAGAACTCGCTGCCTTATTGGTGAGCAAGAACAGTCAGACTGATGCAGTCTCAAAAGCGAAAACTGGTTCTCAGAAAAGAGATGAAAGACCAGGGGCCAAAAAAGTGAGAGTGGTGCTGTGGGCCAGCACATTTTTAACTTCAGGCAACAGTTCATGTGAATGTCAGCTATGCTGGGTTTTATCATGACGAGTTGTCTAAAGGTTCTGGACGTGCATCATGGGACGCAATGATAAATACCAGCAGATCTCTAGAGCAGTGGTTCCCAAAGTGGGAACCGCAAGGCCGCAAGATGATTTCAATATAATTTTTTATTTTATTTGATTCAATAGGATTACTTGTTAAATTGTGTTTGGAGAAGAGTCTGATAAAAACAGAATATTTCTTAATCACATTTTGTAATTTTGTCCCAGACATTACGAGATTAGACAGCAGCGCATTTATCATGGGGGTCGCGGGCAAAAAACGTTGGGAAATCCTGGTCTAGTTATGAAAGAGTTACAGATGTTATATGCACACATAATAATAATAATAATAATGCATCGGTTTTATATAGCGCTTTTCTGGACACTCAAAGACGCTTCACATGTCATTATTCTTTCACTCCATACACGGTGGTGATAAACTACTACTGTAGCCACAGCTGCCCTGGGGCACATACACATACACATATTTTCACAGCTCCTTCAGCAAAGGAAACTCACTACTTTTCCAGTAACTAAGTATTACTCACTCACCTAAGTCATCTATTATTGAAAGAAAACCACCGCTGAGCTTCATCTCATCCTCAACAGTGATTCCAGAGAACCTCCTCTCCGCAAAGATGGAGGCATCTGAGAAAAGAAAGAATAAAGGTTGGGACTCGACCAGGACTCGACCAGGACTCGACCAGGACTCGACCAGGACTCGACCAGGACTCGACCAGGACTCGACCAGGACTCGACCAGGACTCGACCAGGACTCGACCAGGACTCGACCAGGACTCACCTTGAATCTGAAGTTTTTGTTCCAAAGTGTAGTTTGTAGGATGGCTAAAAATGTCAAATAATGACACAGCCGGTACTTTTAGTTTCATGGTCTTCTCTCGATCCATCTGCAATTTTCTTTTGGAAAGAATACACACATATTAGTCAGACATACTCTGATGCTAGAAAAACACTCATCGAGTTCTGTTTAGCTGTGCATACAACTGAGGGATTTTATAGTTTTATCTTTCTTTTTAATGTTTTGTGATTATTTATGATTTTAATGCTTTCTTATTTTGTTCAGCACTTTGAATTGCCTTGTGTATGAATTGTACTATATAAATAAACTTGCCTTGCCTCTACCAAGAGGCGCATTAAAGAGAGCTCATAGAAGCCACCGCTCCTTTATATGATTCTTCACTAACAAAGTAAATATAGCCACATCCATCAACAGAGCAAGAAAGAAAAATACACCTGGAACAGCACAACACGTTTCCAAGTCACATTAACATTAGTAAACAAAAAAGGTCAGCAAAAGACCAACATGTGTTCCTGCTCCTCCACATGAACGGAGGCAGTGTTTCATTAACATGTGTCTTTAAAGTAATATTCTGACTAAACAAAGTAAGTTTTGACCATTTTGACCCAGTGCGGTCGCTCAGTACGTTACAGAATCCCCAGAGATGTTATGTTTGGCAAAGGGAACAGTGACATTATAAGAAGAAACTAAAATAAACAAACAATAGTGGAAAGTGGACGAGGCTAAGGACACAACATTAGCTGCATCTTGCGAACCCCAGTGTGACCCACCTCTGCAGTCTACAGGCCGTCTACAGTCAGCGATCTAAGCAGGTATGTCATGGTCCATGTTGCCCTGCAGATGTTTGTGCCTGAGCAGCACTTTGAGGCTAAAACACTGTAAAAATGAGAACAATCCTAAGAACCAGGCCGCTGTGGAAAACACGTCCTCGCTGCAAAAAGGCTCGTACTTCCGGTGAACGAGTTCTACTTACTCATCGATCAAAATGCTCGAAAGTAGGCGTGGCTTAGACATTTTTCACAATAAAAGCCCACTGCCTCTGCGGGACCTCTAAAGTCCGAAATAAAGACTCCTTTCTCGTAGTGTTTCTGACGAAGGATTGCTATCACATATAATCAACGTAAATCAGATGTGTTGTTGCTGTTCCATATACTGTCTGTGAATCGCGAACTGTTTCCCACAACACTGACCTGAGCAGCTGCAAGGTGCGCAGGTTAACCTGGAGCTGCGGTGGGACTGTGGTGTTTCCATTCAATAAACACGTTCACAACAGCGATTTACAAACACATGACCAGCGCCTGCTCTCACACAATGTTCTCATAGACTACAGTCATAAGAAATATTGATGTAGAAAAAGAAATCACATGTGGAATTAATGCTGTAGGTGATCGCTATCACAAACCAGGAAAAGGACGTTCGGGTTGTATGAGTGAGCAATAATGTGACTAATAATGAGCATGCAACTGTGACAGGATGAACATGTGTGTGTGTAAAGCATGACAGCAGCAAGAGGGTGTCACTGAAAGATGACAGCAGACGGCCAAACACATGTTGTATTTGTAGAGTGGGCTAGATCCACCTGCGTGTCCGCGTACTCGCACCCCGCTTCACCTGTCTCCAAAGCATTGTAACGCAATGTCACTGGCAATAGAATGGTACACCCTGTTCCTGTTGTAAACATTCTTGTTCACCTTTTGTGTGTATTCCTAAATGTACAAACATGTCAATGTGCACATAACTGGTAAAATGATCAGGCAATAACAGCCCAGAACATGACATCCACTCATTGAGTATACATGTCTATTAGTATATTATTCCTGAGTAGTCCCTTGTGTGATGTTTTGTTTATTTCATTGCCTGTGTGATTTGCCTGGTGTTTAATCTTTGTGTGTGTTTCATGTAAAGATTTGTGCCTTGTGTGAGATGGACTGTGCAGCAGTCATCTCAGAGGACCACACAGACACGTTTAAATCACCAACACAGATTGGAGAATCAACAGCGAAGACCCAGGAAATATTGAACCCATGTGTATTGGTTCATAGAGAAAGACCAATGCCCATGAATGATGATGAATATGCATACAAATTAATATTGATTGCTGGACATTTCGCTGACAGTAGCAGATGGCCAAAATGATGTATATTTGGGGTGGACGTGGTACACCTGCAAACCTTGCAGCTGATCATGTCAGTGTTGTGCTCATTACAAATGTTGATGTTGGTCCAGTCATACTGCACACAAGGGAACAATTGTGACATGGAATTGTGACCGAGCAACGCTAAAACACATGTCCGCAGCGCTGTGACAGAGAAATGCTGCAGAGACGTCTCTGAAAGAGGATCTGGAGATGCGTCAGCAGGTTAATCTGTCGCTGCACCACGTACCAAACCGCGTCCGAGCGTACGATCTATGTGTGTGTGTCTGTGGCTACACGACACAGGTAACAGGAACAGGGTGTACCATTCTATTGCCAGTGACATTGCGTTACAATGCTTTGGAGACAGGTGAAGCGGGGTGCGAGTACGCGGACACGCAGGTGGATCTAGCCCACTCTACAAATACAACATGTGTTTGGCCGTCTGCTGTCATCTTTCAGTGACACCCTCTTGCTGCTGTCATGTTTACACACACACATGTTCATCCTGTCACAGTTGCATGCTCATTATTAGTCACATTATTGCTCACTCATACAACCCGAACGTCCTTTTCCTGGTTTGTGATAGCGATCACCTACAGCATTAATTCCACATGTGATTTCTTTTTCTACATCAATATTTCTTATGACTGTAGTCTATGAGAACATTGTGTGAGAGCAGGCGCTGGTCATGTGTTTGTAAATCGCTGTTGTGAACGTGTTTATTGAATGGAAACACCACAGTCCCACCGCAGCTCCAGGTTAACCTGCGCACCTTGCAGCTGCTCAGGTCAGTGTCATGGGAAACAGTTCGCGATTCACAGACAGTATATGGAACAGCAACAACACATCTGATTTACGTTGATTATATGTGATAGCAATCCTTCGTCAGAAACACTACGAGAAAGGAGTCTTTATTTCGGTCTTTAGAGGTCCCGCAGAGGCAGTGGGCTTTTATTGTGAAAAATGTCTAAGCCACGCCTACTTTCGAGCATTTTGATCGATGAGTAAGTAGAACTCGTTCACCGGTGCACACGGATGAAGGGATCGGTCCATAAAACATCAAAACTTAAGATCAGTTGAAATAAAAGAATTATACCTAAAAGAAGGGATCCAAAAATATCCACAATAACAACACTTTTCCATTCAGCCACTAGAGGTGAGCCCCAATGTTTGTTTGTGTTTAATCAACTATCTGTGAAGTTTTCATGAAGCTAAGATCTGAGACAGTCTTCCTAAAAATGTAAGACAGGCTTCATCTCTGACAATCTTTTAATCCAGGTTAAACTGCATACAAGTACAACTGAGGGATTTTACCTTTACTCTTGAATGCACTGTGATTATTTAGGGGTTTAATGCTTTGTGGGATTGTTTCGATCTCGTTTTGTTTGAGTGGCAGGATCATGTTAAAATACACATCATACATTTAGGCACAGCAAAGTAAACTATTTAATTATTATGTAATAATACATAGAGTATTATGTGGACATTTAAAATGAATGAGAACAGTGACACAAATGTATAACGTTTATTAAATAAAGTACTCACTCTTCTCACAGTATTTATTAGGAAAACACTGAAGAAATTACACTTAACCAACCATTTAAGACAAAGTTTGAAAATGGGAAGAATTACAATTTGCACTCACACAATAAAGTACATAGGCCCACAGTATGTTGAATTTCAGAATGCAAACAGATGAAATGTGAATGAAACAATGTAAACGGAGCACGAGAGATCAAAGAGTAAGGTGCAAAGACATAAATAATAGGTCCTTTGGTCTTCCTCGTCTTTTAATGAGATTAATAAAAACCTGAAGGCTTCCCAAAGATGTTTATAACGCCAGAAAGATCAATTAAGGATAAAGAAGGATAGGGAAGTTTCACAATTCAAAACAAATCTGTTGTATTAAGGGTCAGCTGTCCTTCCACAACTTTTTCCCTTGTCTTTGAGAAAGGGAGGAGCTGTTTTTTTATTCATTTGACAGAATAAAACAGAAAAGTCTCACAACAGGTATAAATGTTTTGTCTGCAGTGATTGTAACAGATGCCAATATACTTTTCCAAATACATTATAAGGTACGAAACCTGTAAACTGGAGTAGACTACCGCTGACAATCAAACCAGCACAACAAAGACTGAGGGGAGGAAGTAAGTCTTCTTTTCATCAGGTATTTTAGAAACGTGTCCCGTGAGGATCTTCTTCCAAAGAGCTGCCACAGTCGTTACAAGAGCCTCATTTTTGGAAGAGGCGTCCTCTTCTTCTGGTCTTCGGGGCGAGAGTCATTGAGGGACTTACTCGGCCACCGCCCTTTGGGATGACTCACTTGTAGACCCACTTGGTTCAGGACACGCCGTATGGTCTGGGGGCTGACAGACTTATCTGTCACTGCTTTTAACTCTGCAGCAATGCTCGGAGCACTGATACCTTTATTATCCAAATAAAACTTGTGGATTAGACTCTGAAAATCTGAGGTCAACTTCTTTGGTCGACCAGAGCGAGGCAAGCTCTGAAAACCACCAGTAATCTTAAACCGCCGTATGGTCCTGGCCACAGTACTTCGGCTCAGGTTCAGGAGTTTGGAAATCTTTGGAGAGCGGTGACCCTGTTTATGTAGAGAAATAATCTTTTTCCTCGTATCTTCAGACAGTTCTTTGCACTTCCAGTTACCTGGATGAGACAGAGAGGCAGTGATAACATGATTATATTTTAACACACAAAAGGTCAATTTCTTTCAACACCTTTTTTTTTTCCAAACAAAAAAAACTCGGGGAAAAAAATAACTCACCGGAATTATTGTCTACTACTGAAAGAAAACCATCGCTAAACTTCATCTCATCCTCCACACTGATTCCAGAATACATCCTCTCAGCAAATATTGCAGCATCTGAAGAAAGAAGGAAGGAATAACTCAGAAAATAAAATAAAATATATTAGACCAAAATAAACTAGGACCAAATAAAGACTAAACCAGGTCCAAACCAGGATTAAACAAGGACTAAACCAGAGCTAACCTTGAATCTGAAGTCTTTTCTCCAAGTTGCAGTTTTTAGGAAGTTTAAAAATGTCAAACAATTGGACAGCAGGAACTCTCATTTCCATGTTCTTCTCTGGATCTTTTCCTGTAAAAAAATTAAAATCATGAGTCTGACTTTATGTTCTGCACAAACATCTGTAAAAGACAATCCTCTGTTCTCCTTAGAGATAGGAGGAGGAAAGGAGCTTGGAGTAAAGCCGCTGCTCTTCCACAGAGAGAGACACGCTGCAGGGACCATGCATCTCTGCCTGGAAGCATGTCCAGATTCGCCCGGATGTGTTGGAGGAAGTGGGCACGAAGAAGGAAGTCTGGGCATCTCTGCTCAGACAGCTTCCTCCACTTTATTTTTTACTACTAGACATATTATTCTTGTCAAACCGACTGGTCAAAACGACACCTCAAAAACTAAACACAAACATGATCTATAGCAGTAGACATGTTGTGATAACACAGTAGTTCCTAATTACTTTAAATAACATCAAATACAAGAATCTCTCTCAGCATCATGATAAATATCAGGTAAAAACAGACGTAATGTAACTCAATGTAGGTAATGTAGTAATTAGTCTTTGCACAAATGGTCGTTGGTTCGATACATCCACAACTCATGTCACCAACTCCCACTGAAGTCTGCTGTTGTTGTGTCCCTCGGCAAGACACTTAACCCTACTTTGCCTGAAACCCCAACTGAAAGACCATGGAGGATCAGCGAGGGGGGAGTGAAAACGAGAGAATGAATGCTTACACTGAGTCTGTCCTCATATGTTCTACAGTTCAGCAGTTATAATGTTCTTGAGAAGGAAACCGGAGCACCCAGAGGAAACCCACTTGAGCGCAGCAATGCATCAGAAGTAAAGTGGAAATCGGTAGTAATTAGATTTTGATTATTCGATTAACATAAAACACTACTCTATTTGCATACGATACATTTTACCAGTGGAAGGAAACAGACAAAACATAAAAAACACCCGTGTTGCCAATTATAGACAGTTTCACCCACCTTTAGTCGCTCTTTCATCAAAGTCAACCTTTAAATTTGTTTTTTCTGTGGCCTACTTAATTCAAGTATGCCTGATCAGTTCGTTCATAGTTCATTACTGTATGGATAACGAACGCAAACGCACAAACATGTAGAAAAGTGAAGTATCCAGCTGCAGAGCTGCTGCTGCTGCTTCGTCAGACCGTTCCCGCAGGTTGTGCGCTGTGCGGCGGGAGGCTGCCCTCTGGCGGAGATCACCTGTCACTGCAGCCCCTACCCTAAAAATCAGGGCTGTACCATGATCTATAATGGGATGTACTAATAACTGAGGTCTGTTTTTTACTTTCATATAGATTTTTACCGTTATTATTTGCTTTAACCACGATAGAAGATACATTACAAAACATCCATAATGAGAGAGCAAAAAGGAAGCTACCCGTTTATTCCATTTCTAAATTAAATTTAGCTGGTGCACATTATCAAATACATATTTGTCTAACAGAAAGAGTCCTGAACAAATTACATTTTATGGACAAATCAGATTACAACACTACATTTTTAAAAGAAAAAAGAAAACAAAAACACGTAATATTTCTATCTAAGACTGAGCATGCTTTTGATGAAAAATAAATAATATAACATTTAGTGAATGTACACTAGAGGGCGCAAAGAGACCCTTGCATAAAGAATGAATGAATGGAGGGGGTTTGCGGTCTTTGGGGGAGGTGTCAAAGATATGAACAATTGCAATTCCATATTTTTCTAAAGAATAAGTCTAGTCTTTTCATTACTATAGAAAAAATAGTAACCAACTTTTAACAATAATAATGAATGAAAGCTAAAGTTATAGCTTGAGAGTTTATTTTATTCTTTTATTATTATCTTATAATTTCAATTTTATTATTTATTATCTCAAAAACTAGACCCTGTTTGATGTCTGACTGCTCTTATTTCCAACTTGTTATACTGTAATGTGCGCAACGATGACACTGAAAATTCAAATCATATGGAAGCTGACACCCTTGAAATTACTTTTGCCACATGCATCTAACATTTTAACAACAATTATATACTGATAAAAGCTGTTTGTGTGTCCTGTTTTCACTTCAGCTCAATCTCAACTGACTCAACAGGTGATCATTGGCTCAAACTGTGTGTTTAGTGATGCACAAGCATAATAGGTTTACTACTGTAGAATATTTACTCTTGATTCCTGCAAAAGTCAAGAATCAAACAAGATGAAGTGTTAGTATTATTTATTGAGTTAGTTTTTCCTGGAGAATATAGCGACTGTGCTGTGATAAGACACAGCAGACACACAGTATATGCAGTATACGAGGATCATAAAAATATTTCATATGGTTTGGCACTTGCACTGCGGAAGAAATATGACAGGAGAGAATTGAACAGGTATAATGAAAGTAAATTCCCCCCAGGTTCTGCCCTCTGGTGGTGGAAGCTGAAGTGATGAGCCCATAACATGAACATATATGTCTCACTGTTGAGGCGAAAATGGGGAGGAGGCCTGTTGCTGCGCGAGCTGAATGCAGGTGAAGGCAGATACTGATAGCAGAGCCACAGGTGTGGGGGGTTTGAGGTGAAACTAGTGCACTTAGTCTTCCAGTTGGAGACTTCACTGTTTAATGTTCTATAAAAAATAGAATATTGGGGAAACGTTTTCTGAACAATTTCACTGTATTCATTTCAGAAAGTTAATTTATTATATATTGATTCTACAAATATGTCGAATAGTTCAAGCATTGTTTTCGGTTTCACTTTCTGAAATGCAGAAAAAACACTTTTTGAAGAACTATTGAACAACACATTGATTGAGAAATGTATTTAGAATTCCATGTTTTAGCCTTTTAAAATTATACAGAGCTAAAACATATACAAATAGATTGCCCCCTGCTGGGACTCTGAGGGGCACTGCTGGCTGGAGCTCTGAGGAGCACAGGGACGAGTCTCCTGCTGGGACTCTGAGGGGCACAGGAACTGCTGGCTGAAGCTCTGAGGAGAACAGGGTCTGGTCTCCTGCTGGGACTCTGAGGAGCACACGGATGGGTCTCCTGCAGGGACTCTGAGGGCTACAGGAACTGCTGACTGGAGCTCTGAGGAGCACAGGGATTGGTCTCCTGCTGGGACTCTGAGGAGCATGAGGATTGGTCTCCTGCTGGGACTCTGAGAGCTACAGGAACTGCTGGCTGGAGCTCTGAGGAGCACAGGGATTGGTCTCCTGCTCGGACTCTGAGGAGCATAGGGACTGGTCTCTGGCCAGGACTCTGAGGAGCACAGGTACTGGTCTTCCAATGGAACTTTGAGGAGCACAGGGACTGGCCTCTGGCTGGTGCAGAGAATCAGGACAAACGGTCTTCTCTGTTAATGTGCAAATCCAGATTAAAAACATTTCTATTTAGCTGTGCAAATGGTGTGAATATCTATAAATTTGCCTGTATGGTATGCGTGTGAATCGTGCCATGCAAACAAACATGCATGACATTACATCACTCAGCATGCATTTACACGGCCCGTGCCCCAGAGAATATCGATCTTTCGTCTGCTCTGTGAATGGATTCTTCAGTCTAATTGTGATGAGTTGTTGTCATGCGTCTGTGCTTTAATCACCGCTGCACATCTGAACGCTCTGACACGTCTGGTCTTTGTGTCCCGCGGGAGGATCAACACGTCGCCGTATCGTGTGCATCTCGCTCACAAAATGCCAAACTCCTGGATCCCAAGGCAGGAGCTGAACACCTGAAAGGACAAGGCGAGTTCAATCGATTTCACTGCAAAAGAGGACGAAAGGTCCGTGGTTAACATGTAGAGTATAATGATCAGACGTGGGTGCATGAGGGGAAGCCCACACACAGTTAAAGCTGGGGTACTTAACTTTTTGTTTCATAAATCTCAATCTCAAACATATGTCTCATTTTGTCCACTCCCTTTTAAACCAGAGAATTTCCTCCAAATTCGTTTTTTAGTTTTTCACCAGATGTTTATTTATTTATTATTATTATTATTATTACTTTTTTTTTACCTTTCATAACTTTCAATACGTGCTGAAACTGGTGAATATAATTGAAACAGAAAAACAGTTTGAATGTTATGGTTCTTTTATAACACTTTTGAAGCAACTGTAGTAAAGGTTGAACTCATCATTGTGTGGAGGACTCAGTGATTTTCTTCTTGATGTTTTGGTTTTTTGAAGGTCGACGATTGGTGCCGTGGCAGACTTTGAGAAGAGTGTCTGTTTTGTTTTGTATAAAGCCCTGTGCATTCTGTAAAACGTTGGTCTTGTCGTTTTAACATCAATAAAAAATCCATAAAACATGTCTTCTGCCTTTGACACGATCCGAGACCTTTTTTTGTCACGTTGCACTGAGAGATGATTGGCTGTATGAGGGTGGTGTTCTACATATCTGTCTGAAAAAGTTGATCTGAAGATGTGACAAACATGAAGCTTAAGTGGAAATTCAGAGTGGAAGACCTGAGAACGCAGCTCTGAGCGCTCAGTTCTCCTGCTGTTGCCCACAGCAACAGCAATCAGTCAATCACACTCACTCAGCTGCAGCGCAAATCCTCACCTGCAGCAATCAGGCACTGCCCGCATCAGCTTCATGTCACGCAGAAGCGCCATCCAAGCAGCAGCTTCATTCGTGCTGCAACCCTCCTCCTCCCCATCTCCGCCTTGTTCCAGGCCAGCCTCTTCATCCTTCTCCTAGCTACAGTACCACCACCAGGGTTTGGCCCCGGGGGATTTCATCTCATAATCTCTTTCCCCTTCTGCAATCGTGCAGTGCTCCGCCAAAGCGCCAAATCCCAACCACATTCTGTTCAGCACAATAAATATGATATTGAAAATATTGTCTTTAGTGTCATATGTGTAATCAGTGCAGTGTCAGATTACCTGCCAATCAACAAACAATTCTAATACCATATTTTGCCTGTTCGAGTCTCTCCTGATTGAAATACCTTCATGTGAAAACTAAGGACAGAACCAAACTGTTTAGAAAGCAAAGAAGTTATGTAAGTTTTGTTCATGTCTCTTGTGGTTTGAAACTTAAACAGAATAGAAAAGTGTGCATA